GTCTTGAGCCATCTGTTCTTCGCCTTGGCATTTCGACGAATCTTTTTGACCAGGGTGGGCACGTCGTCCTTCCCGAGACCGATACCAGCGAAACTATGCAGCGTCTGACCACCAATATTGCAAGCAGCAAGACCAGTAGAAGCTGTTATACTGAGACGTTCCGGATCTCGTGCCCACTTTTTCTTCAACTCTGCGATGATGGCTCGCATCAATACAGACTTACCAGTACCAGCCGGACCGGTAAAGAATACGCTGTGATTCTCGCGGACGACTAGATCGATTACATGCTGCTGCTCGGTACTCAATGAAATGGCAGAAGCCTTGGCCTTGCGTCTAACGTGGTCTTCTGTAGCGGCAAGAGTCTCCAGTGAATCAGGTCCAGACTTTTTATTCTGATTCTTGAGCTGCTTCCGACGCTCCTTTATCTCGCTTTGCGTCGTATCCCAAAGCGAATCTTGGTTCTTTTTAGGGGCTGGAGTAACTGGATGTTCCCTCTTCTCGGTGTTATCTTCGGGTGATGACGCAGAAGTAGCAGCTAGTGTTGCTTTCCACGTCGTGGGTAATACCCTTTTCACAGGTCGAGGCGGGTCAGGTTGCGAGATATCGTCCGGCGAACCTCGTTTCGACGGTCTCTGGGGGTTTGGCGGGGGGTGGCGATGTTCTTGCGGTGACGAAGACCATGATATTTGGCTGGTAGGCGGTTGAAGTACCGGGTCCGCACGGGGCTTCGGTGCGGCTGGCTGGGGAGGGAGAGATGCAGGAAGTTGATAATCCAGGTCCAACTCTAAAGTATTATCGTCGCTAAAATCATCTTCTACGAAGTAGGCAGATGCGCCTGCCTTGCCCTGGGAAACACGAGCAGGCGCCGATGCTTCTTGGAATGACCCGGCATTGCTACATAGCGAGGCGAGGCTACTGGAGCGTTCGGTGATGCTTCGGGTTGAGGTGACAGGAGAAAATGGTTTGTACGGACGGCGAGGTTGCTGTACATTATCGGATTTGGATTGTAACGGTTCACTATTGTTGCTTGCTGCCTTCATAGACCCTGATGTAGCGCCTGACGATAAATTGGCACGCCCCGCGTGGGAGGATGATGCCCACTTGGTGAGATTTCCATCTTGAGCGGAAGAGCTACTCTTCGCGAATTTATTCCTGCCGGATTGTGCGGATGTGCTCGCCTGTTTTTTATCTCTTACAACAGCTCTACCCAACATGGTAATACGGGGAGAGACCGAGAGATAAGCGATTGCATGCGAACGTATACGTGGAAACGGAAACGAGTGTCGAGGACGCAAGGGTCTTGAAGGCAGCAATCGAAAAAGACCAGTAGTCATACAGGAACTTCGAGATTGCTGGGCTCGTAGGTTTTGTTGAGTTAATTAAGTCAATCGGACTGCGTTTAATTTACGAGGGAGTGTTGGTCCAAGTGTCAGCAGCGTGTTCCTGCCCCGACTGAGGGCTACGGAATACATAAGACTTGTGTTTTGTTAGGTAGGGGTAGGTGTTACCTTCAAGGGTTCTAGCACCTATCAAAAAAGTAAGTCAATTGTCCATGTGTCGCGTTTGCACGCGTTGATTGAAACCCCCACACTATAAAATTTAATGTGCATGAGCCGCGCTAGAAATGCAGCCAATAACCTAGGGTTTACATAAGCAGAATACGTGCATGTTGCAGCTGCTAAATCTGTAAAAGGTAAAGGTACAATACAAAGATACGTCATTCCAGCTGTCCAGATAGAGCCAACAGGCAGAACACCGGGGGTTGCTGCTGCTAGGCAACATTGCACCTTCTAAAGGGAAGTCTTTGTAAAGCATTTTAACTCTTACATCAACATAACTTATTCAATTGATTTTCAAATTATGAGAGGACATGAAGTTAAAAAATGATATTGCATCAATTGAAAAATCGTTGATCAATTTGTCCACTCAGATTCGAGAAGTCAAAGAAGATGAGCCAGCGCCGTCGAAAGATACGGGATGCGGGCGCCGAGGATGAGGAGCGCCGTCAATATGAGACGGGAGGGCAAACGCTCCAAGAGCTAGACGCAAAGTCAGTTATCGGGGATCGGTTTCTAAGATATATAAACTGACTTACTTTCGAGATATCCAAACCGACCAAAGAATCACTCGAGAACATTATTCTTTTCAGACTTATATAAGGATCTCTTCAACCCTCTGAGTGACAATAAACCGCAGGCCGGCCCTAAACTTGCGCGCACTAGAGCAGCATCTCAGAAACAAAATAAGCTCTCTCCGCACGAGCAAAAACGCAATATCATAGAACGCTTCATATCAAGATGGCGCACAGAGGTGGGAAACGATATCTACCCTGCTATGCGCTTGATCCTATCCAATTCAGACCGGGACAGAGGGATGTACGGGCTCAAGGAGGGAAATATCAGCAGGCTACTCGTAAAGTTGATGAGAATTGATAGGAATTCCGAAGATGGCTATGATCTTCTACACTGGAAGATGCCGAGCAAGTCAACAACCGGCCGGGCTGCTGGTGACTTCACCGGGCGATGCTTCGACGTGCTATCAAAAAGGCCCATGCGTATAGAGCCCGGAGATATGCGTATTGCTGAAGTTAATGAGATGTTAGACAAGCTGGCGGCCGCGTCCGGTGAGAGCGAGCAGCTACCGATATTCGAAATCTTCTATCAACGCATGAATCCGGAAGAATTGAAATGGCTCATTCGTATTATCTTAAAGCAGATGAGGGTGGGAGCGACGGAAAGGACTTTTATGGATGTGTGGCATCCTGATGCTCAGGATTTATTCAGCGTGTCGTCAAGTCTCCGCCAAGTTTGCTGGGATCTCTACGACCCTAAATTCCGACTTACGGATGGCCAAACGAGTGTCACATTGATGCAGTGCTTCCAGCCTATGCTCTGCCACTATCAGATGTCTACCTCTTTTCAGAAGATGGTTGACAAACTCAATTCGATAAACCGAGTGGAAGGCGATGATGAGTTCTGGATTGAGGAGAAGTTGGATGGCGAGCGGATGCAGCTACACATGGAAGAAGATGATAATATACCCGGCGGCAAGAGATTTAAGTTCTGGTCAAGAAAAGCCAAAGATTACACCTACCTCTACGGCGAGAGCTTTGAAGACGGCAATTCGTCACTGGCCCGCTACCTGAAGGATGCTTTTGCTCCTGGCGTACGCAATGTCATCTTGGACGGCGAGATGATAGTATGGGACCCAGAACTTGACAAGGTGCTGAAATTCGGTACTTTGAAGACGGCAGCGATCGCGGAACAGCGAAATCACCATAACGACAACGCACCTCGACCAGTACTTCGCGTCTTTGATATTCTGTACTTAAATGACCAACCGTTAACACAATACACCCTACGAGATCGACGGAACGCGCTTGAAAAAGCCGTCCCGGGTGTACCATATCGGCTTGAAGTCCACAAATATGACAAGGCCAACTCGGCGGACGCGATAGAGCCAATGCTGCGAAAAATCGTCTCGGATGCCTCCGAGGGGTTAGTTATTAAGAACCCAAGGTCGATGTACACTCTCGCTGACCGTAGCGACAATTGGATCAAAGTCAAACCGGAGTATATGAGCGGTTTCGGTGAGTCGGTAGAAGTTATTATCATTGGGGGGTACTACGGATCCGGCCATCGCGGTGGCATATTGGGCTCATTTCTCTGCGGACTTCGTGCTTCGGAAAACGACATCAAAGCTGGAGCGAAGCCAGAAACGTGCTACAGCTTCGTGAAAGTTGGCGGTGGTTTCAGTGCAGAAGATTTGGCCGAAATTCGACATCTCACAGAAGGGAAATGGAAGCCTTGGGACCCAAAGAAGCCACCGAGCGAATATATTCAGCTTGCTGGTGGAGATAAATATCAGATTCTTCGGCCCGACGTTTGGATTCGCCCGAGCGAATCACTCGTCATTTCCGTCAAAGCAGCCAGCGCCGGGGAATCGGATCAGTTTGCTAAGGGCATTACGTTAAGATTCCCACGGTTCAGGGGCATACGGCTTGACAGGAGCTGGGATTCGTGCTTAGATTTCCAAGGCTTCTTAGACATGAAGACACGAGCCGAAAAGGAGAACGAGGAGAAGGCCATGAAGATGGAATCGCATAGGAAACGGGCGGTCAAGCGAACTAAGAGAGAAATTGTCATCGCGGGTCAGGATAATACCGCTCCGGCTATGTTTGAGGGCCCGAAGACTAAAGTATTCGAAGGCCTGGAATTCTGCGTCTTAACGGATTGCACATCCCCGGTTAAGAGGTCGAAGGCACAGCTTGAGACGCTAATAAAGGAGAACGGCGGCAAGATACAGCAGAGAGCCAGTCCGGGTACCAACATGCTCCTTATTGGCGAAAAAAAAGTAGTCAAGGTAGCCAGCCTGATGAAAGCTGGAGACGTTGACATTATCAAACCGAAGTGGGTGTTAGATTGCCTGGCACAGCGCGACAGGGACTTCCTCCTCCCCTTCGAGACGGGACACATCTTCCACGCTACCGAGGCCACGATGCGCCACGCAGAGGACAATGTGGATGAATTTGGCGATAGTTACGCCAGAGATCTAAATTTGAAGGACCTGAGACAACTGCTCGAGTCGATGCCAAAGAAGGGAATCATCGTCGGAGAGCCGTTTAACAAGGAAGAATTTCTCAACCAGCTAGCCGATCACGGCCATGACATTGGTGGTTTGAGGAGCTATATATTTAGGGGCGCAAGGGTACACTTCGCAGCAACAGACGAGGTCCCTTCCATATCATGTCTCAAGCTGAAGAATTGGGTTAAATATGGAGGAGGGTCTATAATTGACGATCTAGGCGATAGAAGTACAACGCACGTGGTAATAATAAGTGATAGTGAGACTGGTGAGATGGAGCGAGCAGCAGAAGTACGCTCATTCATTAGCACCCGAACCCCTGTTCCCAGGGTAGTATCGCGGCAATGGATCGAGGATTGCTGGAAGAATCGGACTACATTAGACGAGGAGAGATATGCACCATTATAATGATCATAAGTGATTAGTCTAGCTAATATTCATTTCATTCATGCGGATGATCTATCATTGGTATCTTTACTTCCCTATTGTCAAGAACAAACGATCTCCCACGTCTCCCACACCCGGCTTGAGCATACCATTCGGTGTGAGCTCAGCGTCGACGCCCGCAACCCATATATCCACAGCCTCGGGCCACTCCTCGGCAGCGCGCCGCACACCATCGGCGGCCGCAATGACAGATAGGACAATGATGCGCTTAGCACCCCACTCCTTGAGCGTCTGTATGGCAGCCGCACAAGTTCCTCCGGTTGCGATAACGGGGTCTACGATGATAGCTAAACTCGACGCGTTCGTTCCAGGCTCGCTCGCCGAAGTAGAGACATGATGTGGAAGATTGTTGTAATATTCGACGGGCTCGAGCGTGCTGGGCTCCCGATACAAGCCTAAGTGGTGTACGGGGACGGGTTCAGGAAGTAGGGTTTGTATCGCTTGGAGTTATGTATGCATTAGGTTCAAGAGCTGTATACAAGGACAAGAATAAAGGAGCTAGATACACACCTTCTACCATACCGAGACCCGATCTAAGGATAGGGACTATTGATAGAGCTTCCGGCCGTAGCGTCGTTGTGGTATATTCGTACCCGATGGGAGTCTCGCCCTACGTGGAGAAATGCCGTGTTAACCATGCATAGCCTACCACCTATACGGGTACGACATCCCAATGTGGTATGTGGTATGTGATATGAAGGAAAATGGTATAAAGAAGATGGATAAGACGGTTGGTTAGATATGAGGATACCTTTGGTCCATCAACAGGCGTCAAGGATGCAGCCAGAGCTTCGCATCCGAGGATCAAAGAGATGTCATTTATTAAAGACTTGACTTCTCGAGACTCTGTGCTCTTAGACCGTAGACGACTTAGCTTGGCCACCAAGCACGGGTGCTTAGAGACGTGGACGTTGGAAGGGAGCGACATGATAAATTCTTGGCTAGGGTTACGGCGTAGCTATAGATGCCAACGTAGGAGAGAGGGTAAAGACGTATTAAGCAGCAAGCATAAGCAAGTAGTTGTTTAGAAAGTAAGCAAGCAAGTAAGTAAACAAGCTATACCTAACGATAGAGACACGAGGTGGGCGTGTAACCCTTCAGCTCTAAGACAGAGAATGAAGTGAGCAAATGTATGTAAATATGTAAATATGTAAATATGAAATATGTAGGTTCAGGTTCAAAGTTAGGGATCTACGATGGACAGACCGCTTGACCCTTCTACGGCTTGTCTGGCTTACATTAGGTACAATACAATACTTCAGGGTAGTGCCTCCCTCACCTGCTCACTGTTTAGGTAGTAGCTGCTTAGGTACCTCCTATCAAGAGAGCTTCTAACGCGGGGAAGAGGTGCCAAGGTGCTTATCAATAGCTGCCCCGCCATACTTGATACCTAAGATAAGGTTAGTTAATCGCTTTAGATTAGGTACAATACAATACGGATTACGGAATACCTTAGGTAATTTCAATAACGTATTATCAGGTATCCGTCTAACACGGTTCTCATATGATATGATGATGATGATCTAACCAAATCTAACCAAATACATGACATTAATTGCAAAAACACTAATGATCGGAAATACGTGCCAAGAGGAGAATTAAAACAAGGACCATAAATAAGTCAAATTCCAACAATGTCGTAGCTACTCGGTATAATGTTGCACACCAGAAACCTATGAAATAACCTATGAAATATCATCACGAGACGGCATCGTGAGATGGACGGCGGCCAGTCGCATCTTCCATCGCACTCAAACATCGATCGAGACAAAGTGCCCGGTCATATCTCTCGGTCTGTGTCTGGTCATGGTCAGACCTTATCACAACAACCATCTTCGTCAGATTACGACGCGCCAGAGTCGTACACGAACCTACATGACGTAGACGAAGACGCAGACCGTTTGGATCCAGCTGAGCCGGCCAGCGTTAGGGAACAGGAGCGGCTGCAAGCTCGGGTGCAACGGCGTCGTTCATCTACATCGCAATCTAACTACGATGTCCCGGATTCTTATGCAAATGTGCCCGAGTTAGAGGAGATAGCACCCATTCCGAATCCGGATAGGCACCGCTTACGTTCAACCCCTTCGCTTGAAGAGGGGAGGGCTCTTGAACGTGAATATTCAAGTCGCCAAGAAGCTCGGCGGAGGAGAGGTAAAGAGGTAGAGGCAGATACCGAGAAACCAAAGATAGAAGAGGTGTCAAGATTAGAAACCGAGATCTACACCATATCGTATCTCATCCTCTTCGCACTGCTTGGCACTCTCGCTCGAATAGGACTCCAGGCCCTGACATTTTACGCCGGGGCTCCTGTGGCTTTCAGCTCCGTATGGCCCAACTTCGCAGGTTGTCTCGTCCTAGGATTTCTAGCCGAAGACCGCATGCTCTTCCGCTTCGAATGGGGCACTCCGACCTACGAGCTACAGCTCCTGCGGGCGAAACAAAATGCTGTCAACGAGGAGTCGGGCGGATCTAGCTCAGATAGGGTAGCTGTAGACCTCGCTGCTGCAAAGAAGGCACATATGGCTACCAAGAAAACTATACCGCTTTATATCGGTCTTGCTACTGGGTTTTGCGGCTCCTTCACGTCCTTCTCTTCCTTTGTCCGAGATATCTTCCTCGCTCTATCTAATGACCTTCTCGCACCAGACGCGGGGTCGACAACTGCTCCTCGAAATGGTGGTCACTCATTCATGGCCCTCCTCGCCGTCATCATTACCACTATTTCTTTATCAACATCGGGCCTCTTCGTCGGAGCTCAACTCGCGCTAGCCCTAGAGCCAATCACGCCATCGCTGCCCTTTAATTTCACCCGCAAATTCCTCGACCGATTTGCTGTTTTCCTCGCATGGGGCTGCTGGATCGGGGCCATCCTCCTCTCTGCGCTCCCGCCGGACCGATTTAGCAGCCCCGGAGCAGCGGAAACGTGGCGCGGTCGAGTAACCTTTTCCCTGGTGTTCGCACCGCTGGGGTGTCTCGGGCGGTTCTACGCCTCTCTCTACCTTAACGGGTATCTTCCTTCGTTTCCGCTCGGCACGTTCTCCGTCAACATATTCGGTACGGCGGTCCTTGGTATGGCATGGGACCTCGCGCACGTTCCCCTGGGCGGCGTCGTCGGCTGCCAGGTGTTGCAAGGTATTGAGGATGGGTTTTGCGGCTGCTTGACTACCGTGTCCACGTGGATAGCCGAGCTAACGGCCTTGCGGAGACGGCATGCGTATATATATGGAGGTGCTAGTGTTGTGGTTGCTTTGGCTTGTATGATAATTATTATGGGCGGTCTGAGATGGACAGACGGCTTTAGCACGTTGGCTTGCTTGCATTGAAGGGATGTATAAATCAATTATCAAGATACATGTATCTGGCTGTCACACAGTCTCCTTATATAAGGAGACGGATAGAAACGTTAAATTCTGTTCTATTTACGCCCGATTCCTTATATACAATACCTACATTTCCTCGGAGACAACGAACATAAAGAAATTATGTACATCCATTTGCAAATTTCCTTACCTCGCACCCGCACCCGTTGGCGCAGCGCATTTCTTTTCCAACCATCTCGCAAAATTCGTCGAAGGCACATCAACTCCTCTCCAAAACACATCAGAGCCCCATATCACGACAGGGAAGTACAGCAAAGTAGAAACGATAAAGCTTATGGCGTAAGGCCAGAGCCCTTCTTTTCCAATAAATGTCCAGCAGGCGTCAAGCAACCATTTACCAATTGTTCGGTTGCCCAGCCCGTGAACAAGGTAGAGCGCATAGCTTATCCGTCCAAGATATCGAGCTGGTCGAGTAAGGAATACAGATTGGACAGACGGTAGGAAAGCCATTGGACCGACAAGTAACATAGCACCGATTGCTAACCAAAAGCGACGGCGGTATGCACCGAAAGGCCAAACATATTTTGACCAGATATAGCCGGGAGTTTGGGTGTTGTGGTCTCGAGGATAGCCGCAAAGGAAAAGACCAAGTATCATAGCCAGTATAAGGAGCCCATTTACTAACTTTCTCGCCGATGGATTCTTAGGCTTCCTCAGCAGTACTTCAAATTCTGCTAGAGACATGCCTGAGATGAACAGAGCGAGATCCCAGCGTTTATGGCCGAAACAATGGATCATAAGCAGGCCTTGGACAATAAGTCGAACGACAGTCCGAGTCTTTGCAAGCCCGACGATGAGTAGAAAGACAACCATCGAGCCCCGGAACTCGACAGCAATAGACCATAGTTGAGGATTATAGAACCCAGAGAAGTCCGGCGTCCACTCCCACGGGTTCGACTCCATGTCGAGATATTCAAGATATGACATTAGGCCATGCTCGAACGGTTTCCCATCCACCTTCTTAGGGATATCTATTATACCGAGATAGGCGCAGATAAAGGCCATCGTGCTAGACGCGAAGGCTGGGAGGAATAGACGAATAGCTCGGCGGAAGGTAAGTGAGGTCAGCCCGGAGAACAGCTCCGTATACTCTTGGCGGTGCATCCGCTGGATGAATCGGTGGGAAAGCACAAAACCGGAGACGACGAAAAATACCGATACCATAGCGGCGCCAGAGTAGATGATCCGAACGAACGGCAACAACCAAAACGACGTATTATCTTTGTATCCCCATCCCGAGTTAATAGACGGGTATGGAACGTGAGTCCAGTGAAGAATGAAAACGATCAGAGAAGCGACGCCGCGAACGCCATCGAGATATTCCGTCGAGTGCGGCTTTCTCGACGCCGCGTTTGACTTCTCTAATTCTTCGACCGACGACGATCTCTTTGCTAGAAAACTTGGTCTCGCAAAGGCGAGGCATTGCCAAACGGCTACCCGAAACGAAATCGGGCGAAGACTCTTTCTCCATCCAGATGACCAAGATGACCACCTCGTGCGATCCGATTCCTCTAACGGTATTGGAGGGAGAAGGGCCTCTTCATCCTCCCTAGCTGAGTGCCCGGGAAGATGCATGGTCGACGTTACTCAACCGACAGTGCACTTCCTGCTAACCTATGGATTTTGATATCGCAACGAAGCTGGAAGTGTCACCGTCCCTCCTTTAACTAAGCGAATTCACTCCGTATCGGGGAAGATTGAATTTCTCTTCCTACTTGAAAACGGTCTAACTCTCGATAGGCTACTTGCCTAAGGTATACTAACTAGTTGTATAACTAGTTGTATAAGCCAAGAATCTGCCACGAGATGACCTGGTCCACCACGCCCAGGGTTATTTGATGAGACTATTGAGAGGAGCAACAAGGTAGGTAAGATTGCAATACACTATCACCAGCTATACTGACGGCGTGGCCGTAGTGGATTCTTCGGCATGCGTCTGTCGTCTGATAGTTGGGATATTAAGAACAACTATTAAAAACAACTCATAACACATGAAATCAGACAAAACATAGTTATTCAACAAAATAAAATAAAATAAAATAAAGCATTGAAAAACTAAGACTTAGGAGAGGAGATACGGTCTATCCGAAGGAATCGAATGCCAGATCCCGCATCCTTCAGTCGTTGGACCATGTCGAAGGAAACGTCGCACAGGGTTCGGACCAGACTGGCCAGAGCAGAGGGCTACAAGATAGGGGACCATTTCTCGACACCATTCAAAATCAGACTGGTTCAAAATGATGAGCCGCTGAACTGGTAAGAAGCCAAGTCGATCTCTAAGGATTAAGATTCTGCCAAGACAGAAAGCCTCCAATAGCGAGCAACACAAGTGCCGGATCTGCAAATCAAGCCTCTGAAAGGGCTTAGCATTACATGTCGCCAAGAGCTTCTGCAATGCACGCCAAGATATTGCCCTGTCGCAACGTTGAAGTTGACGGGTTTGATGAGCTTTTTTAGTGGTCTATCGTCTTGGGTATTCTTTGATATTTCAAACCCTCGTCTTCCAACTATTCGGAGCTGATCACTTCTATAATAAACCTAGCCTCCGGTCGTTAGACTTACCATTCGACCAACAAATAGTCTCCATCGCAATACATAATAATAGCCCCATTCGGAAGGTCTTTCAAAGGGGGTATCGCAGCACGCGACTTCAAACAAACGAGGTCTCGTGTGGCACGTGTGCACTTTCTTAGAAGAGAAGGAGATGAATGAAGCCCTTGACATCACATCAGAATGTCGAGATCACATAGTAAAGTGAAGTTTGGGGCTAGATTCAGAAGCAACTCGCGGTAGGTCGTGCCAAGTGACGCAGAAATCGTTATAGGCGTCACTACATAGTATTACTAACCTAGCATCTCGCGTGTCTCCTATGTAGATGCTGTGACTACTATTACTACTATTGTGTATGTATAGCCTGGTTACGACAATTGTGCGCTCAAGCTTGTGACTGACCAGCTCAGCTTTAGACCCTTCCTGGCTCGAGAGCCCGACCTAGTCACTACCGTGGATCCCATGTGGTCCCCCTTATCGTTACTCTCATGACGTGGGGGGGAATCACTTCTCAGCCTATTAGCTTGGCAGTTCTGGAAACCCGGACTGGAAGGCAGTTTTCTATATCCCAGAAGTTGAGATCTTCGTTGTGCATCTCGGCCCCTCTCCGCTACCATGGACCTTGCAAGTTACTTCTTCCTAATATGATTTGCCCTCTCCGAAAATTTCAGGGTGTGGACACGACAATTGTTAGTTGCTTAGAGTAGGAAATATGTCGTGTGCTGTCGATCCGTTTCCTATACAGTTCACTCCTTGCGCTTCTTACCTGCTTCTGAGAGTTCTTCCCTCATCTATCTCACCGAGAGACGCGACCATCGTGAGACCATATCTTCCGAGCTGATAACGAGCATGACTCTTTAACGTCGAGATAGGCTTTCGCAAGGTGACGCCCCCTGTAGTGTAGTTACCGAGATCGAGCATGTGAGAAACAGCACGCAATTCACGATCGTTACGTTACGACAACCTACTCATGTGATTCCACTCTTTTCTTTCTGCAACCAACTACATACCAGTCAGGGAGTTTCTCCGAGGGACGTCCCAGATACTCGAAAGGGAAAGTTCTACTATTTGTCGGGATTCGGGCAAAACCTAGCAAGTGAATATTAGCGGAGGGAGGTTAAGACTACAAAGCAGAAAGGAAAGCAATAACATCTCAGGATGGTATGGGCTGGAGCGGTCTTGTCTATCCCCAACCGGAGCCAAAGTCCTATTGACTACTCCAAAACCATGTTGTCGCCAAGAATACTACCGCGACTTTTCATAAATGTCCCGAATTCTCCTATAGAACAGGGTACATTCACATCACGGCGCATGCGGAGGATAATATCTTTAGCTTGCTTCCTGGGGTTAATATGGGTGGTGGTAGATAAATGGAAGACGGTTCGCTCAGAAGGGCAGAGCTATACTGCCTTCCGGTTGATGCGACATGCTGCTCTAGATGGCAAAGCGTCGCAATGGGTTGGCGGTGGTGCTGTCATGACATCTCAAGATAGTACAGAGAGCACGACATCCACATCTCGACCGGCGAAAGAGGAGCATACTCTTTATCATATGTTACCCGACGTCATCCGCATATCGTTTGAAGAAGCCGTCCGGGATGTTGCCCTGGATGGTTGGGAAGATGAATGGCTTTCGGCTGGTCATTTCGACGCCGAGAAGCATGGCCCACTGGACGAGCCGAAGATCGATTTCGTCTATAACTGGGTTAACGGATCCGACGAGGCCTTCAAGAATATCCGGCATAGCTACGAGCTAGAATCGCCTCTCAACGACCGAGACGGAAAGTGGATATCGCAACATAGCATCAACCGATATCGCGACTGGGACGAGTTGAGATACTCATTCCGTAGCCTCGATGTCTATGCCAAGGGGTTCGTTAACAAAATCCAGCTTCTCGTCAACTCGGTTGGTGGGTCATATCAACAGGACGGCACAGAAATGCGTCCTCAGAGGCCGACTTGGCTTAGAGACGACGACGAGACCAACCAGCACGTACAGGTTCTTAGCCACGAGTCCTTCTTCCGCGAGACAGAGAAGGAATGTCTTCCCACCTTTAACTCCCTCTCGATCGAATCCCAGATTTACATGACTCCATCGTCGACAGACCAGCTTTTTGCGTTATCCGACGACATGTTCCTAGGGATGCCTCATGCCGCCTCCGACTTCTACTCGCCTCTGTTTGGCCCGACTATGGGCTTCAAAAGTGATCATTATAACGTCAAGCAGCTCGGAGGTAAGGGTCAGATACCATCATTCGGCGAGAAACCATTCGTCTATTATACCTCGTACCTCCTCAACCATCGATTCGGCGAACGTAACCGTCACGTCCAGGCCCATTTCGGACATTCAGTCTCGAGAAGAGTGATGAAGGAGGCGATGGCCTCTTTTCCTCAGCCATCAGCAAGGGGTGCATGCGAGCGATTTCGTGGCGAGTCACGATTCCAAATATACCCTTGGTATGCCAGCTTCCACTATACCATCGAGAGGTTTAGAGAAGCTTTACTCTGGTCCTTCGTTATTTCTCGTTCGGACAAGAACTCGGATGGGTACCTCGATTGGACGGAACGCCAGCGTATAATGGAGGTTGTCGAACCGGGATGGCGTCAGCTATCTACTAACGACGCATCCAAGCCCGCTGCGCAAAGTCCAATAAGGGAGCGGATGTACTACAAGCTTCCGCAGATCCTCCAGAAGGCAGGGCTCCAGCCACCTCAAGCAAACGTGAACGTATTGTGGACATCCCTCGACGGACCTGAGACGATTCGTAATGTTAAATGCAACGATTTCAGTCTCGACAAGTGCTTTGGGGACTCCTTCGCGTCGTCGCTCTCAGATTCGACCTCGCCAAACCCTGATTTTACGGCGTCTAACATCTTCTCACGCCTCTCGTATCAGCGGCCAGAATGTGGCGACTGCCTGATCAAGTTCTTACTGGCCTCGCAGCCGCGAGGACTAGAACCCTTGCTGCCTCCCAAGGCTACAAAGCCGCACGAGCGCGAGATGATCATCAAGGCGCTCAAGAAGTACCAGCATACTATCATCGACACGGACGCGATGAAGTTCGTCATGGTGAAAGATGCGGAACAAGCAGAAGCGGAATTGCTAGAGCGCACTATTCGCAGAGGCAAGGGGTACGGTCAATGGTGTCTCAACGACGACGTTATGACCGAGAGCGAGGAGCAGGTCGGCCGCGTCCGAGATGTCATAGCACAGGTCTTCGAGGACTTGTGGCCCCTCAAGGGGCGCTGGGAAAAGGGAAACTGAGAAGCTGAAAAGAAGATCTCATGGTTCCTTAGATATAACGATACTAACATACGCGGGCGTGATTTCTGGCTATTTCTGTATTTACTATTGAAAAGATACCACATATTTTTTTTGCACTGATGTACGTATACAATATATCCCGATGAACAATCTACGCCATTTAATACGGCCAGTTTGACCATCATTGCTGTCTTCAACTGCATTGACCGTCAACTCAATCTCCTGCAAACTATCCACGCAGAAAGAGCTGGGAAATTCGTGGAACTTAGACGTACGTACTCGGGGCTAAAGTAAAATACCGCTTTTTCATGAAGGCCACTATAAGGGTGACGTAGGCGAGTATTGGAGATCTCCACGTCCGTCCTTGTCAGGGGCGACGCGTAGAGTAACACGGCACGATGTACGCACGACACGACGCGGCGTAACGTGACGGCGTGTGATGCCGTTGGGTCGAGATTCGTCACCGCGGTGAGAGGGCCGAGGTAACGTCGGCAGAAATGTAAAAGCCGAAGTTAAGTTGAAGTAAAATTGGTATGTAGGGAGGGGACTCAGTCGGAGGCAGTATTTACTTTTTAGGGGGTCTTCGCTAAGTCTACGATCTTGAATCGTCGTTGAAAGTTATTCAAGAGCCCAAGACTGCATATACACGAAGAGATATTAGCAAGTATCCGTGATAGATGGAGACTGCCTTCGTATCCTTTACACTTATACCATGTCAACCATCCGTCTGCCGTCAGCATATGAGACACTGGGCCGATGAAGCAAGTTTTGCCGAATAATGTCTCGCATAGGTGCAGTCTTTCCGGGCTATATGACTCAAGTTAAGGAAAGGGGTTATGGAAATGAATATGGGACAATACTGCTAAATTTAATATACATTAACTACTACAAACACAGATGTATCCGGGGGTTCACAGCATTCTATAGACGGTGAAGATCAACTAGTAACGCGAAGAATAAATCACGTAAGTACCCAAGTCTGATTGCTGGTATATACTATATACTCAGATTAAAGTATATTCTAGACGCTCTATGTTCCGCTCAAATACGCTCAAATGCTGAAATTTTCGAAAGCAATGCCGTCGTTACTCGACGACGAATCTCATAGGGCCATGGCCGCCCAGAACCCAACCGCAACCAACGCCAAACACCATTCAACTCGACTGCGGGAACTTGACGAATCTGGTGTTGTTGCTGAATCGCCCACCTGGGCTGTCGTGCTTGCGCTGGGAGAATCAAGTCCGGACGGTAGCGTGCTGCCGCTCGTTTTCGACGGGGCCGAGGAAGAAGCGGATGGCGATGACGAGGAGGAGGAAGATGAGGAAGAAGAAGAAGAAGAGGTTTTGGAAGCTGGCAAGTCGCAGTCACCTTTAACAGTGGACATGTCCGTCTCCTTCGTGATCTCTATCTCGTTCGTACCGCAGTTCACGTATTGAGCTAGGTGAATGGCGTTATTTGTCTGATCGAAAACGGCTATAAAAAAACTGTCAGTCTTTTACCTAGGTACCTACTAACACATGACAATCGCTCTTCGTGTTGTTATATATAGGACTCACCGTAAGCAGAGCGGAGCATCGTGTCGCCGAGGAGAACGAAGTCGTCGCTCGCCATGATACCCAAGTAACACTGCGTGAAGAAGGAGTTTTGGATCTCTCTGACGACCTCGTTATAGGGTACCTTTATCGTAACACCGTCGAAAGCGAAGTTTAGAGTGCCCGGTAGGTCGTTGAGAGAGCAGTCGACGGGATAGAGACCGTTGGCATCCGTAGCCTCGGCGCCGAAGTCCGCCGCGATGCTGTTCGCCAGCTCCGTCGGTAGGAGAGTGAGGGTGGCGCCACTGTCTAGGAAAACAGCCATGGTGTTGTTCACGTATTCCTTCTTCGCGCCGCTCGGGGGGGTTAGGCTTAGGGAGGTCATGTTGATCCAGTATCTCGGCACTTGGTCCGGGGATTCTTCCGCGGGGATGATAGGCAAGGTCTGCAGAGTACCCGTAAACTTGCCGGTGTCTAGCCCGCCGAAGATGATGACTCCTTCTTGCTCCTCCTTGCCGCCGAGGGCCAGGCTGAACGCCTTGGTATCTGTTACCCCTTGGTCCGCTAACTCGTCTACGAAATTCTTGTAACTCGTGGTGACGTTTATTCCGTGACCTATTCCCAGAATACCAGCAAACTCATCATCAGTCTCCGTGGCAACTCCGAACTGGATCCCTTTTAGTTTCGCGTCTAGTCCAAGATCAGTTTTGCAGTCTCATTATGATACACTCGAACGAGCAACTTACCCGTGCCTGTGAGGCCAATATCATCTGAGAAGTATTGGATCTTAGCAGCACCGATGCCATACCGTAACGTCTTCGTGCCAGCTAGCTGGGTTGCGGTAGACGAATTCGACGAGTCATAGTGACCTATTGCCTGGCAAAACCTGACATCCGCAGAGCCCGAGAGGTCGGAACAATCGGGATTTACCCAAAGCTCAAACGAGCCGGTATCTAGTTGGACATAGACCTGCTGCGGCGGCGTGCCGATGTCCACTTTGACGGTTTAGCAAGAGAAGCAGCACATAAGGCGAACGAGGGGTTACAAACATGAGGCGTAGTATGCTACATCTGATCTGTTGGCTAGGGGTACAGTAGTTATAGCCCGCTTATCCCCAAAATCAGCGAATACATTTTTATTCGTAGAATGTACAACAGGTAGCTTGACATAACGGCTACTGCGGCGCTCGATAGTAGAGGCTTGGCAATAAGCTCCTATAATTAAGTCAAGGAGGAGGAAGAGCCGGGCTGCCATCTCTAGCACAATCAGATATTACACGCGAGTTTTCAGCATGAAATGACCACAGCTTCAAAAAAGCACGAAAGAGACCTGGGCGGAGTTTTTGTTTTGTTTTCTAAACTTCGCCTTTTGAACTTGTCAAAATCCGACTGGTCGTTGGCTCAGCAGTTTTGCCTGTCAATCAGCCAGCCTGCGCCTGTATCTGTTGCGCTTATATGAAGTAGACCAGACGAATGAGCAAAGGAGTGAATCCTTCGAGGGTAGTTATCCGAATAAGGCAAAAAGAACGGCAGCACCGAATAATAATAATAAATAAATAAACAACGAGCGCGAAACCAGTCGGCGGACCCGGGAAATCGTTATTAATAAAGAAAAAAAAAATACAGGAAAATCCAAGAGAAAGCTACCAAGAGCCGACCGGTCGGATACTACTTCGTAAGAGGGAAAAGGAACGGGAAATGCGATGCCGTGATAAACGAACGAACGAACGAACGAACGGGAAAAAAAAAAGACGAACAAGAACTAACAAGCAGACCAAGAAAATGAGATGAAGGTCACAAGAAACGACGGCGAAGTTCAATTGGAGAATATCGCCAGCGCTGAAGACCCCGGCGTGGCTTGGAAGGGCAAGCTGTCTAGTGCCGAGATCCTCAAATAGCATAGCGCAGGGGCTACGAGCGTGGGTGTTGCGGCTCTGGGCTCTGGGTAATGGGCCAATAGTGAGGCCGAACCACTTGGCCATGTTGGAGTTGTGTCTGTTTTATTAATAGGGGGCGTTTCAGCGCTCTATGTAGGTAGGTAGGTTAGGTAGGTAATCCTGAAGGGATCGTCCTCGGCTCGGTGTAGGGCTGAGGTGAAGGTGTTGGTGTTGTTTACCTATTCATAGAACATTGCGAATCAAGCCTCGATTCGTATGTATGTACCTAATGTGAAGACGCGTGTGCTCAATATCATTGACGATCGACGACGACAATATCGGATTACCTATACCTACATAATAACCAAAGGCTATCGGACTACATAAAACCCCAGGGTTTCGTCTATGCATGAAATCGAATAGAAACTCTACGCCGTCTCAGTACCTAGCCTACCTTGGAAAAAGTCAAGGGGGTTACGGTGGCCTGTAGGTGCAACTGTGCCAAAATCAAGAAAATGGGTTGCACTATGTCTAATAAGGTAATAGTAACTTTAGGTGCACAGTATAGGCTCAACTATTTACGCTGTATACGCAATTAAGGTAATACTTACCCCTTTTTTAACCTTATACTACAATAACTTTACCAATACCTATTTTAAAAATCTTTAAAAGTTATTAATATATCAATTAGAAAATGAAAAAAATCCTGGTCCAAGTTATATTTGATTTAACCCGAAACTGGTAAAGATATTAAAAAGACTATGTCCGACTTTAGGAGGGTTATGTAATTATATAAGCATTACAATACGGGCTACCCGGGCCATTTTCTCCACGAGTTTAAATTGTTAGCCAATCATAATTAGTCTTTACCTTAGCCTCACATACCTTACATAAGCGCCCAAAATCTGAGCATTAATATCCGGGCTACAATAGCAATTTAAACATTACAATTAACATCATTCAATAGCCCCAATTGATGCGAAACTAATGGTCCAAATTGCGTGCTTATGCGATAGGTATTGAGTATTATATTAGTATTAAAGTTTTCGGAATCTAGTTGAAAAGACTTCATCGCGGGTGCTTATAAAGGGTGTCACGTGCTTTCCTCTCCAGACAAGCGCTATTTGATTCTACTATTACACAACAACGAAAAGACCGATTCGAATGCAATTTGAATAGTTAGTTTCGCATCAATTGGGGCTATTCAATAATACCAATTGTAATGTTTGGATTGCTATTATTGTAAAGTTATTTAAATGTATATAAGAGGATTGAAATTGTGGTAAATATATACACGAAGTAGAAAACCTTGTATTTTACTATACTGTGCACTTAGTGTTGCTTATTATATTGCCCGTTTTGGAAAGGCCTGGTTGATTTTCTTGATTTTGGCACAGTTGCACCTACAGGCCACCGTAGGGGTGGCACGAGCCATAAGGAGTTGCCAAGGGCTTGAATACGGTAATGTTTATCCATTTTACGTTAGTCCCATTGCTCTTCTTTTCTTTTTCTTTTTTTCTGTAACCCTTCCCCTCTGGGGTATATATCCTGTTCTCGAATTGCTCTTCAGGACGAATACTATGTAAATAAGTTGATGATTTCAATGTGAGGATCAGAGTATTCAAGCTGATCGTTTCTCCTTAATATAAACTATTGTTATTATCATTTTTCATAACTACCTAACCTAAGGTAGGTATATAAATAATATTCCCCGACTTATTCAAGTTTACCTACCGCAATGCCAATGCTTGACCTGTCACACGTACCTACACTATGTATTCGACGCCGTGGCTTGGCCCGTTTGTCTCAGCAATATTCGCCTTGTCTCAGACAGGCAAGCCAACCGCTTCCTACGCTGCGATCGCTACCGAATACGCGTGTTACGCAAAGCCACCGATACGGTCCCCCACCGCATCTCCTTCCCGAACGCGGCCTTTTCAGGTCTCCCGATTCCTTGTTCATTGGTCAGTAAGACTCCTTGCTCTCTTTCGGTGCGCGGACTACAGACGATAATAATGTAGACCGGCCCGAAGCTTATGGCTGGCTGTACCGCCGCATTCCGCATCTTAGCTACTAACGTTGTTTATCACTAATTGCGCAACGCTTTGCATGTGAGTATATTCCTTATATATCGGATATCAAACGTACGTAGTGTTTATCGCAGTCGCTGCTAGGGAAGTTGATCAAGTCCCCTTCTTCTATTACTCAAGGCCGAAGAGCAACATGGAATAGAAGGTTCTCTGGTGTCGGCATTGCCCACTAGCTTGACATGTGTTACTTTGCGTTGGCAATCCCATCAGAGGTCGAAACTTTGTAAATTACCACGCAGCTGAGGGACAGTGTCTCATTATCTTTACCTTTTAGTGATAGTACTTCTTCCCAACGGTACTCCATCTAGGCTGGTAGTCTAGAAACTTCCTTATGTCTCTTATCAACCTCTTTCTCATCTTCTCCGCGTCTTAGGGAGGGAGGAAGATTACTCGAATAGACTTACCACTTCCCTCTAATTATCATCTACTGCTTTGGTACGTTAGTCCGAAGCTGACGGTCCGGATAGCTTCGATGAATTGCGTAAGAAGCATATATTTAACTGCCTAGTAATGCAGCAGTGTCGTATCCTGAACAGTATCTCAGGTTCTCACTCAACCTAGCTGGTTGGGACTACTCTTAGGTGGGCGCGTATACACTGCTGCCTTCTAGGCATATAGTATTAGATATTTAATTACGGCCTTATAGGTAACTTACCTAGTAGGTATTACTCACTCATGGTGGCGTGGTATTAAATCGGCAGGCTTCAAGAAGTCTAAGGGTAAAGTTCAGGGGTATCTGACTTATAATGCTTATAGCCGTATATATAGACCGGGGATATATGGCTTAATTGCACAATATGCGAAAGTGAGCGTTCTTCAACAACGTTTGAGCACCCTATTCTATAAAAAAAATATTAATATTATGTACCTAAGGTAGTACAATATCTTACCTCATACCTATTGCGACCAGTGCTAAAGACAATAGTTCTTACAGAATATTGGGAATAGGCAGGTCAATTATTACACATGCTGCTCAGCTTCATATCTGTTACCAGTTACCAGCATCTGTTAACTAGCATCTGCTAAATCGAGTAAAGCTCCGGGGTTGGGGAATGCACCCTGATATCCGCTAACACCTAACAAACTCACTTATTCTGCCACTCTGCCTTGTCAGGCTCCTAGCATCTCCGCGCATTTTAGGTACGTCTATCACATCTCCGAGAATTTTTAATATTGAATAAAGGTTACGCATACGCATACGCAACGCTAGTCTATCTAGGAATGGAAGCATGCAAGGTTCTCAATTATCACTTACAATACCCCCTGGACTTGCTGACAGCGACGAGTCTATTCCGACAAATAGACCATCATATGGACTTTAAATAATAGTTACCTGAAACGGCCCGGTGGATATTATGATAGCTTTAGCTTTATCATGTTAACTAGTGCTATTATGGATTCAGGCTTCAGGTTTTTGTCCTTGGCCTATTCAGCCTCAGCCGTCTTATAAGGAAGAGACGTGTAAAGGAATGGCCTAGAGTTCGATTTCGACAAGTCATTTTTTCTCTTTATTCACGATCGGAGAAGAGACATATAGAGGTATCAACCCTGACTGAGGCCGATTCCCGGAGGCTATATAATCAAAGCAGTCCCACCTCTAACGTCGACTCTGGGCTAGCGAAATTCTCTCCAACCACTGGGCAACTGAAAAGAACAGTCCTATGCTTACTCTATTCGACTATACATACCATACCATACCATACCATACATTACCACAAATGGGCGACATAAAAGCATTCTCGGGGGTTGCGCCACCTGCGCCTACTCCCTTTACCTCGTCAGACTCCCTGGTCGCCTTTAGGTTCCCGTTGAAGGCATATCTACAAGAACACCCACAGTTTAACTCGATAGCTGTCGGTGCCGTTGTCTTCAACGACGACGGAAAATTACTCATCGTGCAGAGAGCAGCACATGACTCGTTCCCGCTGCTGTGGGAGATACCGGGAGGAGCTTGCGACTATGAAGACGAGTCTGTGTTGCATGCCGTGGCGCGCGAGCTATGGGAGGAGAGTGGGCTACGCGCCAAGTCCATCATCAGCCTCGTCGGCGAAGGTCTTCCTATCCCCTACCGGGGTAACCGATGCATGTGTAAATACTCCTTTTTGACCGAGGTGGAACAGCACGACGTCAAGTTGGATCCCAACGAGCATCAGGCATTCTTGTGGATCACCGAGGAAGAGGCTAGGGCTGGCAAGTGTGGTGATGTTGAATTTAAGTACACGACTAAGGGGCAAAAACTTACAGTGTGCGAGGCTTTCAAGTTGAGGAACGATGGACGGGCTCAAGCGAATTAGAGCGCAGAATATTGGGCTCTCGCATGGTTGGATTCCTAGACAGGCAAGAGACTCGGCTTGTGGTTGCATCTAGTTGTACCTGCTTGCATCGTACATAGGCATATGGGAGCCAATTGTTATAGGGTACCGTACGTGGATCTTATTGCTCTGAGCGTTATCTGGACTGTTAGTTTAAGTCGTGAATATAGGGGATATGTTAGAGGTTTAGATGACATGCGAACGGTGAACTCTCAACACCCGTTTGCGATGTGGTAGACGAATCATCCCGCTCGCTGAACATAGTGTTATTAATGCTGTTATTGGTACTGTTAGTATCTCTGCTACTTTATAGGGCTTGCCGACATAGGTACCCAGGTAGTCAAAAGGACGATGTCTCTTGGCACGTTACCGTTAAGGACTGACGCGCATGAAGTAGCTATATCGTGCGCCACGTCGAATACCCATGTTCTGAATAGACGAGATTAGGCAGTAATAAAAAGTCAGGAGACCTCAATATGTACCTGTATAATGTGTATAGTACATAGTATGTAGTATGTAGTATACTAAATGCATGTCTCTCTTCTTCTTCGTATGGACGTGCCTTATAACATCGTGGTTGCTATATGTAGACGTGATACCGAGGATGCAATTCTTGATTACGGCGATAGCCGATGGTCTAGACTTGGTCCAGTAGAGGGCATATGACTTGAGATGAGAGGCAAATGGCATATGAAAGGCTGCAATGATTAAGTATGAACAACCCACCAACTCAGACATGTTACGCATAAATATGTGCTCACGCATATGTAGAGACAGCTCAGACGTTTAGGCATATAATGTGACAAGGCTTCGGCATGTTGGAAATCTGATTGTAAAGTGAAAAGGAAAGAAAAAAAAGATGGTCAGCACGAGACCTGGAATCTTAGTAACTACCTCCTATGTACCTCCCTCATCTGCTCATGTAATACTGGTAGTACTGCTGGAAACTTTATCTTCGACTGCTGCACGATGAATATGAGTAATCAAATCATGTGATCACATTTGTAGATGACTAAACGACAAGCAGAGGCTGCAGAGTGGGGTTTTAGCTCGCCTAAGCTCCCGAATGGGGATGGATCCTTGGCATTTTCGGGCGCCCGGGGCAAGCAATTCAGCAATTCCAAGCTTCGGAAGCAATCCTCAAATCAGACCACTCACCACTCGCAAATCCCTCTTTTTCTAAACAACCTTTCACAATTAACAAAACGTCACCGATCTCGACCTCAACCCACCAACACCACCAACACCCCTTGACCTCCAATTGCCGACGCCATGTTTTTGCAACGCTCCGCCGTAGCCGTGGCACGCCGCGCCGTTGTGTCTCCCGTTGCCAGACGAAGTTTTGCAGTCTCGGCCATCCGCCGTAAGAATACCTTCGCCGAATTGCGCCCGAACGTGCATCGTACGATGCGACCGTCACCATCAACATAACTGACTATGTACTTTCAGGAGATGCGAAGACAGGAGAGGCGAAGAATGTCGAGCTTCGTACTAGCACCGGTCAGAAGATAAAGACTTTCCACGGTATGGCTTATCCAGCCTCAATTGAGCTATTCGGTATGGTGGGGAAGCTTTGTTGACTTGGGCATTATGCAATTATAGAAATCCAGTCAGAGGATGACCTAATCGGACCCGGTGCCGCCCCCGGTACCGTCCCTACCGATCTCGAGCAGGCCACAGGTCTGGAGCGATTGGAAATTCTTGGAAAGATGGAGGGCGTGGATATCTTCGACATGCGACCTCTCGATGCCTCGCGAAAAGGTATGGGATTATTAACTAGATAACTACGAGAATGGAAATTTGGGCTAACGGTGCACCTTAGGAACCCTAGACAACCCTATCCCAGTCAGGTCTGCCGGTGACGAGCAGTACGCTGGCTGCACTGGCTATCCCGCCGACTCCCACATTGTCACCTGGCTCGGCGTACGTCTTCCTAGATTTGAATCCCATATCAGGATTAAAAACCACAGCTTTCCCCGCTGGTAATATAATCCCAAGAATAGTCTAACTAATGCGCATATAGATGTCCCGTCAGCGACCCATCGAGCGATGCCCTGAGTGCGGCAGTGTCTACAAGATGGAATATGTCGGACCTCAGGATGACGGCCACGGACACGGACACGATCACCACGGCTACGAGGAGCCTAAGACCTTCGCTGACTACGTCAAGCCTAACTACTGGTGATCGTGTTACAGGTGATGGTGGTTTATGACGCAAAAGTCGGGACGGAGTTATGGCTGCATAGGAGAAGGTGGCGGCTGTAGAATTGTATATTGCCGAGGGCTGTATAGAAATCGATTAACTTTGCAGCAACTACATGGGTCATGCATATGTTGTGATTCTTGCATGTGGTTTTTTAGTTCCCTTGCCGATTAGAGCTTGCATAATACGGTTCACGATAGAATTTCGACTTGTTACTCGTGACGTTTCGAACGTATGACGTCGGGTATAAACCTATCTGTCCGTACTTGGGTTATGCCTGTTTATTTATCATTTATACCTTACGTATATCCTTGATGGCATTGATGAAAATGAGACATGGGAAGGTGGATAATATTATATGCTTTTCGATACATAGAATGTTCAAGATTAGACCATTCGGATTGAATACTACGAATGGAAATATATTCAGAAGTACCTAGCCTAGGTAACGTATATACGCCGGAATCCGTATGTAAGGTTAGGTACCTGTACGTATCTAGGTTGTTCGTGAAACCTCGGATAGCGGAATCCCCTTAACACGGCCTAGCAGGGGTAGTGGTATAATCCTGCCCAATCGAGTAACTAATATGTAAATTGTACACGTATGTAACGGGCTAAGTTAGGCTACTGGCTACTGGAGATTGAAAATGAAGATGAATGCCTCTATTTGCTCTAATTGTACATAGTAGTAATAAGAACAAATAGGAACGCCAAGTCTGATAGATTAGATCGGATACGGGAGGTACGGAGTATGCAATGACCATGACCGAATGAATAGATGATACCAGCTTCAGCTTCAGCTTTTAGTATTGTACTGCAACTTTGGTATTACGCTACACTACCTGTTATTGGTACTCGTAAGACTACGCCTCTATTTATATCATTCTATGCAACTCTCAGCGAGCACATCCTCCCTCGCTCCAAATCCTCCTTATGAAAAGGTGCATTAGTATTGCGTGTTGTATACGTGTATGTAACATGTATTATATCTAATGTGTGGTATGAATGGATGGATTATGCCTACTCCTTCATGCGATATTGTGGCTTTGCAGCTTTGTAAGTCTAAGCCCGAGGGGAGGAGAAAGGGATAGAAAAGAAAATATATACGAAGTATAAGTTATGTAGTGTATCTATAATGATCGGGTAATCAAAACGTTATGAGGCCGCCGCCTAGAACAGCGATGGCCAGCGTAATTTAACATTCGACCAGCTTATATTGGTAAACTATAGGAGGAGAATGTTGGATGTACCGGCTACGAATCGGCTTAGTATACTACACCCCCTAAAAAACCGGGTGCATAACGCGACGGCGTATTAATATTGGACCGACTATTAAATAGGTACTATTAAACATGATAAGATGGAAAAGTAACCCACCCCTTGCCCAAAATCTCCGTAGCCATACATACTAACCTAGGTACCTACCTAGTAGGTTAAAGACGAGATGAGAGAAAAAGAGGAAGGAAAAAACCATTGAGAAGAAGCATTAATAAATTCCTTCTTCGTCCTACCTCAACTACCAATTGCAACATATCGTGCTGTCCCACGAGACGCATGTACTCCGTGCTAACGGGATTGCACGTACTTGTGTAAGAGGCGCCAATAAGCATGTCAAAATTCGATAATACAATACATTAATACCTAGTGCTCACCCAACCCTTCCAACCCTTTTCTAAAAATCATGCATATAGTCAACCCAGGTCTGACTACCTATCTCCAATTTGACCAAGCCAACGTGAGGCCTTGGATGGATGACATGATATGACGATACGATAGTCCCTGTCTTATATGTAGACTAGCAAGGCTTCTTTAGTCAAAGTCACTTATAATAGTGCACGAAGGTAGGCACTAATTTACCAAAATTTACGCATCAATCTATTCGCCAGATCGTAGCAAGTATACGAACCGTATACGTAGCCCCGTAGCTCGTGGTTTGTTAGTAGCTCGTATAGTAGTAGCAGGTATACCATAACCTGCCTAACTCAACCTCGGCTGGTGGGCAAGGTAGTATGTATGAGTATGAGGGTAGTATGAGGCATGTACATGGCTATATATGTAGGTAGGTACCTGCATATAGGTACATACGCACCAATGCATCCACATATGTGTATAATATAGATTATGATTAATATGCGATGTATGTATGCGTGCGTATACATATACTCGACGGAGTACCTAACATAGCATATACTACCTAATACTCGTGGACATTACCTTACTTACACCTTTACCTTATGTACAATACATACATCTTGCGGCCGGCGCGTGGGGAGGTTGTTTGTTTAAATGTTCCAAGGTTCCTAGGTTTCCTATGCACTCCCGCGGCCCCGAGTCTAATAATGCTAATAATGCTAATAATGCATGGGTGAGCGGGTGAGCTTCTACCTAAAACGCCAGAGGAAAGTAGTGTAATACCGCGCCAATAATAAGTCGGTGGTATTGGCGCGTTGCCGCCTATCGCATTTCCCCTTACCTATAGGTACGTAATGTATGTACTTCCCCAAGAAGGCAAAAAAAAGAAAAGATTTTTTGATTGATTAATAAGTCGAAAGAGTTGTAAACGGAGAAGAAAAGTAATAGATGACATCCCTGGTCTCATTGCTGCTAAAAATGTTTGCCATGATTAAGAGATTAAGAGGGATTATCTTTTAGCGATGCTTTGCAACACAGTAACCTGAAATAGGGTTAGAAGATTAAAATCACGAGAATCTTTCATGTTTAAAACGTCGGACCATACAACATACATGTAGCTCATAAGGGATAAATGACCTCAAGGTATACGTGTACCCAGCTACTTATAGCAAGGTAGATATACATTAATAGATATACATTATAGGCAATAGAGGATGTATTGCACTACCACCAACTTACATACATACCACCTATTACCAACATCCAACCTGACAAGAAAACCTTCTAACTAGGGAGTGCAAACTTACTGCTGCATTTATATTTCCCCCTCCAATTCTATTCCCAATCAACCCTTTCCGCGTTCCTTTCAGGATTTTTTGTCCTCCCTCGAGTCAATCGCCTGCACACGCCCACCACTTACACCCGAGTCCTAGATACTATGTAGCCAGTCTAAACAAATATTAGAAATCTTGGCGTTTACATGTACAATATAGTCATCAGTGTTAGTGGATAGCAGATAGCGGATAGCATAACCCCCATGCCTCCCTATATGATTGCGCATCCGACTACTTGTTGATTTTCTTCCTCGTTGCTTTCTCCCAGCTACCGTACCTCACTTGGCCACAACCCTGCTAAGCCCCATCTACAGACCCATCGCCAGACCCATCGCTCCGGCGCGTTCCCCAACGCGCATCAGCAGGCCGGCATACAATAGACCAGCATATTAAGCCAACATCGTCGTCATCGTCATTATTTAAAACGCGAGTTCCAACACGGCGCAGCAGCGCAATACGACGACTACTACGAGAGATATATACGTCTCGACGACTTACAGAGAAGGAAGAAGAAAACAGCGAGGCATCGTCGCGACTAACAAAACATCACCCACGAAAACTAAAGAAAACTAAGAAAAAAAAAAAAAAAACCTCCGTCATTCCACCCAGGCAAGTTCCTACATTGCCGGGACCCTGTTAAATGGGAGCCGCATCGACAGGCCTTGTCGAAACGGGATCCATACTTGGAGAGATCGACTGCACCCAACTCCAACTATTGGATTGGATCGGGTAACTAATAAGACTATTCGATTCGTCTGCCACACGACTTCCTAATTAAACAGAATCACCCTTTTTTTTTCTTCGGTACTAACGATCGATCCATATCCACCGCCCACTATTATTGATCGGTCAGGTTCGGTATAACTCATTACTCGTTTAAAGTAGGTAAAATGGAATACTCGCTTTTTATATTCCCTTTTTCCTCGTTTACTGTTTACTCTACCACTATAGCCTTTTTGTCTATCCTATACTATTTCTCCAATTGCTCACCCACGTCCCGTCCAAGATACCCTGGAGATACTTGAGGTATTGTACCTTGCCTTGGTGTCTAAACATAGTTACATAGTATGCTTGCACTAGTGTTATCGTGTTTTTTGCACCAGCCTTGTTCCTGTCCATCTCTACATTACATCCCTAAATAGGATAGACTATTAAAGTTGGTGTTACTTGCTGACCCTTTTTCGAGAAAAGAATAATTTCCCAACTGCGAGCGTGAAGAGGGCAAGTGTTCCTAAACCTGGCATATCGACGGAATTATCCACGATACAAGAAAGGGAGGCATGGAGAGAGGGAAGCGGCTTTGATGATTGATTCGATTAGTCACTTTTGAGGCCGGTCATCAATAATTTCCTAATCTAATTCTCCATCTTACGGGTGCTTCTATAGGCAAGTATTTTATTATATCTCATCGAACACGTATATCAATATCAGTCACGTTCACTTCCTGCATATCATTTTTTGCCTCTTCTTTATTTGGCGTCTCAAGCCCACCATCGTCTACCGTCTACCGTCTAGTGCATCGTCTATCATCCTTACCTATTACCTCAGGTACATCATCATTAATAGGATAGTGTGCCTACCCATCTTACACATATCCATACCTATCCATATGTATATACGTACATATACATATACATATACACAAACACATACACATATACATACATTCATACACGTACGTATTATTCCATATTTTTTTTCTACTATTCCTCCGCGTCACCTAGTCCCACTACCCCTCCTATTCGATGATTTCGATGACAGCTGTCGTAGGTTGATTTTTCCCGAGCAACTAGATAGAAATCCTCACAGATGGCAACCAAAACCCCCTTAGGTAACCAACATTAAGTTACCTCTCTCGTCTCTCGTGCAACCCGTCTTCCTCTACACGTCACGCTAATAATAATAATACGCTACTTCTCATACTCATCAATAACATTACCAATAACATTACACGTTAGGTCTGACAAACATTTCTCCTCTAGGCTCCTTTACCCATCTACTTCCACACGCGCACATAATACCTACCAAAGGTATTGCTACAATTATTTCTTTATTTTCCCAGACAAGGTTCGCTGGTTGTCTAGAGCATGAACACGCGCAGACGAGAATAGGCAAAGCAACACGACGCGACAATACTTATTCTTCCATGAGTCAATCAACTTAGTCGACGACCTTGTAAGCATTGGACATTGGACATACGCTCTAGTCATAAGAGAGTACCGTCTCTACTGGTAAGTACCTATCTAGTGTATCTCTCCCTTTTAACTGTCTGCCCCATCGTACCCCTGTCTATTATATTCTATCCATCTATATATCACAATGCGATCCGCGTCCCCACAACTAGTATACCCATTACCATTACCATACCATATTATACGCACCTTACCTTCGTATTATTTTTTATTTATTTCCTTCCCTTCTTCTCTTTTCCTTCGTCATCACCGACCTGCATTTGAGTTTATGCTGGAAATTCATATGATGATTGAACCTTAAATGCATCATCACACTTCACCACCCTTGCACTTATAATCCACCATCACACTATCGCCAACAATATCGCCAACAGCACTTACCTATCGCCCTATACCTACCCTGTCTTATCTCGTATCTGACGACGCGAAGAATTTATTAGCGCATGCGGATCGCATAAGATCGCTGACGACTTAATATTCTCAGATCTGCTAACACATGTTACATAGCAAGTGAAAGCTCTGCTGGTGATAGGGTGGATGCGCGTCAAGTCGCCACCATGTCTGCTAAGAAGGAATCTTTTGCAACACATCCGGAGGACTGGGATGAAGCAGAGAAGAATCATCGGGAAAGCACCAGAAGCGCGCGAGAGAAAGAGGATATGAGAATTCAGCAGGAGTATCGTGTCCTTGCGGACCAACTAAGAGCACAGCTTATCCAGCTGTACGACAGAAAGTCTCAGCTTCAGGACGAGTTACAGGCTATTGAAGGCGACATTGAGCATCACGAAAAGCAGCAGGAGCGACTGGCCAACGAATTCGACGACAACGAAGCTCGTCTTGCGTCTCGGCGCAAAGCAGAAGATCAAGCGCAAGAATTATTCTTTGCTCGTAATCGCGAAGATGCGGCGTCTAAGGAGAACGTACGACCTAAGAGCAGTAACGGGACCCGTCGTCAGCCCAGTCGTGATATGCAACCGCTGGCTAATGGCGCTGCTGGTTGGACTAGCATCAATGGTTCGCGGCGCCGCGGCCGTCGTGAAGAAGAGGAAGAACCTCCAGCAGACCCTGGCAACCTTCTAAGTAGCGTCTACCACAATCCTGTGGAAGAATCCGACTCGCTCAATGGCAGGTCTATGCCTCTACGTAGCAGCAATACCCGCGGTCGACCAAGCCTGGCCTCGAATGGTGCGACTACAGAGACTAATGCAGATACCCCCGAAAATTATCTCATTAATCGGGCAAAGGACAGGCCTCTGAAGCCTAAGCAGCGACACAGCCTACCTAGCCTTCCAGCAGCGGCCCGTTCGCCGAGCGGTAGACCGCGTAAGTTTCCCTTCGGATATTACTTTTGCTGGTCTTACTAATAATGTTGTTCTAGCCATCCCTGAGCTTTCCAGCGAGGTTCAAACAAAACCCTCGTCTGGTCGAAGATCGTTGCCAAGTGCTAAGGGTTCAGTAACCCCGACGGAAAGATCGACGCCGGCGCCTATCGAAGGCCAAGAAATCACCCGCGAAAGGTTGGTGCTTCGGGATGATGGAAAAGTTATGACAGAGCCTCCGATGTATGCCGGCATCCCTCTAGAACGGATCGATAAGGACCACCCGTATTGGGACCCCGAGTGGGAGCCGTTGGAAGCCATCATGCAACCACAGCTGGACAAATGGAAAGAGAAGCTGGATCAGCTTAGAAGAGAACCTCAGTCTATACGCCACACGGTTTTCCTTGCCAACCGCCAAGTTAACCGAGGCCAGTCTGTTGTTAATTTCCTTAGAGATGGAGAGTGGCACCCGTACCAGTTTGTGGGCAAGGATATGATGAACAAGTTCTACAAGACGTTCATCAACTACGATACCATGTTCCGCCTAGTGAACGTACACGAAGAGCTGAAGAAATTCGACCTCGATATGACTCCTCTCGAATGGCTACGGCAACGAATGTACGACATCGCAGAGGCGCAGGGGGACAAGTTCAACTTATCTAAGACGACCCACGATCTGTACCACGATGCCAGCCTAAAGCTTTTGAGAGAAAAGCACGGCTTCGGCAACATCGGACGACCTTCAGGTTACAAGCTCAAAGAGAGGGATCCAGAAAAGGCAGCGGCCAAGAAGATTAAACAGGAGTCGGCGGGTTCGGTGCGACGCAAGGCTCGCCGATCGATTGGACAGGTCGATCCGGATGACACGCCTAGCGTCGAAGACATGCAGAAGGGATCCGAGCAGCCGCAGGAAGTATTGGAGCCTGTGACGCCGCGCTTACAAAAGCGTCAGCGCCTAGAACCGGCGCCTCTGCCTCCGCCACCACCCCCCAAGCCGGAAGCTGAAGAGGACGACCTGGAATACAGCGGCTGGACGTCGACGGATTCTTTTTCTGCGGGGCGAATCATGCATATGGACTGGCGCGTCTACCAGATCAAGACTCACGACTTGACCACGAGCACCGAAGTCACCCAATACTGGACTTGGAAGCCGGAGAAGGGATTGTTCGAACATCAGGTGCTGCGAGACGTCCATCCCAAGGTGACGTGGGGGTTCTACCAAAAGCCGATCAACTTCGACCTGGCGGTAGAAGAGATCAAGGAGATCCAGTACGCACCAGACAGCCAAAAGGTGCTAGTATCCGTCTCCGACGAGAAGCGCGGCTGCGTCTTAGCCTACTTCAAGAGGGAGCGAACCAAGAGGCGATTTTTGGCATTCGCTAAGAGAAAGGGCATCAAGCTCGCAAAGGGCACCGGGTAAGCAACTCGACACGATGACAATGCTAATTGGTATATACCTAAGGACTATCGATCGCTAACAGCCCATTTGTAGTGCACAACTCGAGAACTCGTGGGATACGATGGAGTCCAAGACGCTGCCGAACGAGGATTCAGATACATAGACGCATTCGATTGCTCTCATATTGTCTCTATTCCAAGCCCTTCGTCGATATCTTTTCTTTTTACGTGTATAGATTTGGTCTTGAGGCATTCTACGGACGTCGGCATCACATGTTGACAACGCGAAGGAATTTAATACAGGACCACCGCAAGGAAACTGGAGGCTTTTCTCGTTTTGGCAGCAGCATGACTTGTTTGTATTTTTTTTTCGTTGTTTATTGTTTTCAGTACTTTTGTTTTTCAGTCCTTTCTTGTTTTCAATCTCCTCGCGGCATCAGCATGGATGAACTTGGCAGGGCGGGAAAATCGACCGGACGAAGGGATGGACAAAAGGGTGTGGATAAGGTGTGGAACGCGCGCGCCTCGTCAAATTAAGGCGAGTTGGCTAATAACGAGATCTGATCTCAAAGTATTAAGAGGAAGTGAGAAAGTGAGAGAGAGAGAAAAGGACATAAGAGAATGAGTTTAGTGGCAACACACCCTTCCAGTGTACTATTCACGCTTATACTACCTACTCGACCCTGTATTTTTGTGCGGATATTTGGGCCTGATCTCGCCCACTTGGATGCGTATCTGCATTCTCCTTTGTTTTTGGTCTTTTCCTCCCCCTTTTTGTTTTTTTTTTCCACCCTCTAATGACGAGTGTGTACACTACCCACGTATGTACTGCATAGATAGGCCGCCCAGGCCAGGAGATACGGCGAAAAGGGCATAGGCAAATGGACTCTGCGTCGTGTTGTTTTTTTATAGCCCCCATTGGCTTTTCTGTATACTTGTACCGAACTACTTGCTGTTGCATATTCCTTGACTTGTGAAGGCGAGAACATTAATATGAAAACAAAAGCAGTAATATATATAAAAATAGCTTTTTTTGCTTGATAAATCGTTCCTGATTCGAAAAGATAGACTGTGAAGGATGCGGATGCGTAGGTGCAGGACGTAAGAAGTAAGGGGTAGCGACGTTGGTGGCATTAGGATGCGATGCGATGCGATGCAATAGTGTACAATACAATAAACTCGATAGGGGAAAAGAAAAAGAAAAGCCCCACACGTTCCCGACGTTCTGGCATATGTACAAGGCGTGGGCAATCCCTGTGAAATCTGTAATGCGTAGGCCACACATACATACATACAGTAGCGGCAGATCCGTCCATGTACCCTCGTGGCAACTTTGCGAGAAAAGGAGCGCGTGGGTGCGGCCCCCAAAATGGAGATGGATGGATTTGAAGGCAGGAAGGGCGGCCTGACCGGCGACCCTGATTTTATTTTCTGCGCTATGCTGCTAACCTAGGTACATGCATATCGACCGTAGGCCAAGCCGGGAGGAAGCGGGCTCTGCTAGGTACCTACCTACCTATGCACTACCTATGTAGGTACGCTATATTATGTACAATACGAAGGTCCGGGCCAAAAGTCTTGCACATCTAGTCTTGGCAAACCACGTGTAGGTTAAAAAAAAAAAAGACCGCACGGTATTTAGGTAGTTAAGCTATAGTGGCTAATGCCGCTATAAATACAGTAGTAAGCCACCTGAACTTAATATATAGGCCACTATCCAAATTTTAGCTTAGCAGGTAGGTGATACGGTATTAGTAGAAAAGGATGACGAATGCGGTGTTAGGAACTCTCCTCGAAAATCTTAAAATATTCAAGCAGATGATAATCCAAGCGGATGAGCATCTTTAGCTCTTAGACCAGGGCGATAGATTTTAACTGGAACCTGTTAATGTTTAGCTTTCTAGAACCTCAAAAGGTTACGAACTAGGATGCTCGTATCTTATGATCGTATAATACCTAGGACCAACAATTTCAATATCATCACAGCTCCATATTGTAAGTGAAGAGTTCGGAGTCAAAACTCGGTTGGCTTGCCAGACAAGCATGATAGTTCCAGCCCTGCACATAGCTGAGCGATAGGTTATCAGAGACGGCCATGCGTATCGATTAAGCTTGTACGCTCAGATACTATGGTGTTTGTTTCCTATGAATAGACTTCGATTCGTGGCGTTAGCCTCTAAGCTATGAAATGCGTAAACGTAAGTCTAATATGTTGGGGATCTCTGGAAGGCAGCTGGGAGAATATATAAACAACCTCGCCCTCCTCTGTGAGAGGTCCTTCTAACATCCCATATATCAATCAAGTACTGCCCATCACACGTTCGTAAGACCATACCTAAGTCGCAACAGGTATTATCACCAACTCTCTTATCGAACCTCTAGTAGTATCCGACATGTACTAACTATTTATAGCAATGGATTTCCTAGATGAGCTCGAGTCGATGGCTCAGGTTGCTATCCAACAACCACAACAACTAGACGAGATAGAGATAGTGACGATATCAAGAGATGGCAGTCGCTATTTGGTTACACACATGTCCAAGCTATACAGAAAATCCAAGAGCACAGGGCAGATTTATCTCGTGTCCCTATCACGGACTCTCATTGGGACATTGTGCGCGCCGAGAAAGAGGCGGAAGGTTACAACAAGGAGGCCTACGAGCACTCCCATAGCCTCATGACGTCCCTTACGTCCAACTCGAGGCCCCGAAAGATTACTAGCAAGACCAAACCGTCGGTCTATCTTCTTAAGCTCGAAGGACCTCTCGATACTGTAATCCGAGTGCAATCAGCCGCTGGCCTTGACATAGCACCTCAAGAGCACAGAGGCACAGATGACTCGGGCGAACACACAGTATTTTGCAAAGTTGACGTACACACTAAGGAAAAACTTGGCGAGTTCCTCGCCAGCCAGGGGTCAAGATTTCAACCCACATTCATCCGGTACTCGAGGGCAGAAAAGGACTTGTCCACAAAATCGGCATATCCGACTCTCGGCATCGACACAACTATGCCTCAGCACCGCCTCTGCTCCAACGACGACCCGAAGCTGGTTCCGGCACAGAACCAATACCCGGTGTGGTACTTCTTCTACGGGACCCTTGCGGACCCGTCGGTCTTGAAGCGGTTGTTGGGTATCGATCCGTCGTACTGCCCTGCGAGCGTGGTAGGCGGTGTTTTGAAGACATGGGGTGGAAAATACAAGGCGTTGGTCGACGCGCCGAGCGGCAAAACAGTACGAGGCCAAGCATTCCTTGTGAAGAACCAGGAGCAGGAGGAATGCCTCCAGCTATACGAGACCGACAAGTACGACGTGGTCCGGTGTGAATTTCAGCTTCACGGCAAGAAAGTAAAGGGGCTTACATTTCGATTTATCGGCGATGTTGATCCATAGGCCTTACTCGGCGGGAAAGGGCATGTTTTAAAGGGATAAGTTTGACGTTATCGTCGAACTTGTTATTAGTCAAAGGGATTGGTTTTAGGTTGAACGGCCGGGAATCTTTAGTGGTAGTGTGCATTATGCGCCATAGCGTGTTGCTTCTTTTTCTTCAAGCCTTCGTCTCTTAGCGATTAAAAAGAAGTTAAGTACTATTGGAGCAAGAATCATGGACTATAATTCATAGGTCTACTGTGGATTATTAGTCATCCCGGAATATCTTATCAAACCTAATCTGCACCCCACTAAAATTCGCTATCGATTGGCGTATCGCGATTCGCAACTCGCAATTCGCAACTCGCAACTCTGCCGTCAAATTCGAGATACTGGATACTGGATACTGGAATCCTACCAGGTTCATATAATAGACGACCGAATAACATAACATTCTCGTGCGCTCCATGTGAGCAGGCAGCCGACGACAAGATGCTGTACGAGCTAATTGGAATCGTGGGTTCTCTTTTTCTACTGCTGCTGCTGCTGCTGCTGCTGCTGTTGATATGGAAGAATATTTACTGACACTTAATATAGGTCCGACCCGGCAACCTCGCCGAGGTAAAAGAGTACGTCCTTGCCATTCTACCATATCAGTTTCAAATCTCAGCCTCGACCTAAGCGAAACACAGCTTACTTACTAACTGCAACTCTCCCACCCAAACAGAATCGTCCTAACAGCCGGCCAACTAATCCTCCAACAAAAAGGCGTAATCCGCGGCATCGCCAACTGGGGCGTCTTCCTGCTGCCCAAGGCCACCAGCGTGCACCAGATGCGCCACCACTCGGGCCACTACTTCGCCATGCGCTTCGACGCCAGCGTCGGCACCCAGCAGGCCGTGCGCAACATGTTGGCCCTCGACCCCCGCATGATCCGCCACGCCTCCGTCAAGCTCGGCGACGGGAAACTAACTACCATGAGCCGATTCGGCGGGCCCGAGTGGTCGAGCTAGGTTTATGAGCTAAGGGATATGAGATGAGAAGAGATGAGACGAGGCTTAGGTCTCGTCTCGGAGTCTGGTTACGAGTTTGGCTGCAGGGTACGGGAGTGAGTGGTGCTGTATATGTATAGTACACCTGCTCGCTTTACCTGGCCTTCTGTCTTCCTGCATTTGGAGGAGGATCGATACGTTATTCCCATAACCATGTGCACGAGCGCAATGGTTAGTATCAGAGCAGCGGCAAAAGAGAGCTCCTATATCAGGTAGCCGAGGGATAGCAACGATGACGCAACTTAGGGGCCTGGATGATATGAATGGTTGATTAAGCTGCGGATTCGCTTGCTTGCTGCATACATATGACATGATATGAGGCACATGCAAGGTATATATACCAGAACTATAAATACAGACATGGTAAAGACAGCGTTGTAGCTTTTCACACGTGCGAATTTGGATATGTGCAACCGTTAACTAGCTGTTGTGGCTCATACACCAGATAACTCTGAGTTATACTGCCGAATATGATATATAGCTATGTAAGCCTTGGTAACCTCCAGCACTTTTCTAACAAGAAAGCAAGACGGATGCAACGCGTTTCATCACCGTACATTATCTCGCCCTTATTCTCACGTCAGCCCCTGACGGCGGACATGCTGTCGGAAAAACAGTATATGGCACTGAAAAGAAACCCCTATAAGTAGACAGTACTACGCTTTAACATTCTTTGAGAATATTCATAATAGGTATCTTAATTATTTATTGATCCCTCCCTTTCCCTAGCATATCTTGCTATGTGACCGAGGGTGACGTCGATTTAATGCAAAGCAAAGCAAAGCTAATTCCCTTATTCCGTAGCGCTGAAGTGATATCTCCTACTATATCGTCTCACTTTTCGTACTGGACGAGCTTCTCGAAGCGTGTTCGTAAACACTCGCACCCCGATACCCCTCCCTACTATTCTCCACGTCGATATCCGCCCCATAGTACGAATACCAGATTGGCTACCTCGATTGGTTCGGGAACAGCTGATCAAGCATCGACGTCCATCTCCGACGACTTGCGTTTGTACCAGGCCACAAAGTCGTCAATGACGCCTGGCCAAGCTCCATCCTCGCTCCAGAAGCTTAGTGCTTCGTCCGCCATGCTCTTCAGTGCGAATTCAAAAGTCTGATTCCACATATCGCGACTAACTGACCGTGTCCAATTCTCTCGCAGAAACGCAATCCACTCAGCCAACCAATCGGTGCCCGTAGTCTCTCCAATCCATAGCATACCCGGCTTCTTGAAAAGCAGCTCCCAGTACAAGATCGCGTTGTCCAGTGAGAGCGCCCGCTGGTCTCCTTCTCTACCGACGACGAAAGCGTACCGGTAGACCTTACGAAATAGGTCTCGATCCTTGCTTAGTGAGTCGGCAAGGCGCTTGAAGTATTGCTTCTGGCCTTCGATCTTGGCCTCGGCCCTTTTATCAGTTAGTTTCCCCGTGCTAACCGATGGATGGGTATATCATTGGATTTATTTGATTAAATTCCAGGTAAGTTCGTGATAAATTGCATAGATACACCGTTCAACGACGGTAAACAATCTATGAGACGGTTCGCAGATATGGATCTGCTTAAGGGGAGTACTAAGTGAAGACTTACGCCGGGTTGGCTTTCCAGCCATTTATGAAGCCTGTCCGGGTGATTTCGCCTATAGTAGGAGCCTGGACGAGTTCCATAGCAAGAAAGAGTGACGCCCCTTCGAGATCGACGCCGATAGAAGTCAGATAGGCCATGGATGAATCCGCACCGAGTGCATCTTTCGGGTCCTCCTCGGTATCTGTCTTCTGTTAGCAGCTTCATCTCTTAGATAAACATAGTTAAGCGCACTCCTGAGGCTGTCAAATAGCTTCGTAAGTTGCGATTCCTTGGTCGCAGACGATGCGCTAGAACTCCCCTGGAAGAACCTAGAGGGTGAATAGTTAGTAAGAATAAGTTCTGAATGAATATCATATACGCCCAAGAGAGGTTCACAAGATGTGCGACTAGCGACTGAACAGAGACAGGCCTAGCAGTTAAACAATATAAGGCAAGACAAGATAGTTTCGACATGATCTACACTATACATGACATGTGACAGCATGATGATCTGATCGACCAAGATTACTTCAACGTTATCGAGGGATAACCAGCAACGAGCGATTCGCAACGTCGCAAATCTTGACACAAATTCCGAACGGACGCACAAAAGGTTGTGAGACCACATTTCGGTTGCTTTCCACATTTGGTGCTACAGCATCACGAACTTGCTGCCGTCCCATGAAAAATATACGCATAACACCGACGGTACGCCCAGGGTACCAGAGAGTATTAAGTAACCCGTATGGAACACCTATAAGAGGAAGGAATAGTAGAAAGATGAAAACCACTCACGCATCAATGGCCTCGTTCAACTTGTATCCCGTGTTCTTAAGATACTATAGAGGAAGATTGGTTAGCACGAGACCGCCCCCAGACCGAATATATTGGTGGGAGTTTGGGCGACAACGAAGGAATGGGACGGAGTGGTTCGGCCGTCGTGATCATCACGGATATAGAGCTATCGAAGAAGCATAGGCGGAGAAATAAAGAGAGAAAACCGTACTCTAGTGGCGGTCTTGTCTGAAGCCCCGGTTATCGAGACGAAGCTAGCTACCGCCGCTTTCTGGACGGAGGATAGCGGTGGCATCGCGTCGATTGTATCACCTATCAGTGGGTGATTTATGGGGAGACGACGGGTATATTGGTAGATAATCTGGTAGACGAGGACTCGGAGCCTTGTCCCTCGGTACTAGAGGGTGAAATATATCTGGCTACGGTATGTCGGTCGTTTGTTCCGCATATAAAAAGCGCACGTCGCGACCGCTTTGTTGGTTCTAAGTAGTTCGGTAGTGGGGGGGAAGCTTCGGCGGTTGGAATGCGGAGGAGGGGTTGTTATAACTCGGCGGGGAGTACGAATAAGAGTAGTTAATCGATGAATAAACACCGAAAAGATGTTTCGACGAGGACGTATTTTTAAGAACTGTTTTTTATTATTATCTGAGACTCGAGTGCTGTCTGATTGTGTCGGCCTAGAACAGATGGGAGAGTGGAAACAATGGATGCACAGTTAAAGCTGAAGGGTCTCAGAGTTGTTTGGTTGTTGGCGTAGGGATTTGTGGTGGGGTTGGTCCTTAGGCTAGGAGGTACGTACTACCATATTAAGCTGGAAGCAACGAAGACAACTTTGGGCATCACCCATCACCTAATATTTGTTAAAAGAGGCAAGAGGTAAGAGGCAAGTGCCTCCAATAGGTGACCAGAGTGACCAGACAAAGAGTGGATCACTGCTTGACACAGAGGCGTAAACACAGTTACTAGGTTAGATTATGTAGGTAGGTAAGCAATTTACCAACCTAAAGTTCTAAATTCACAATCGCGTACCATGTTACCAGCCTCAGTCTTAATCGGGTATTATTTCCATTCTCACTTCACCAGATCTTCTACTCGTTCCAACCACACCTATCAAGTTACAAGGACATTGTAACTAGGCAGCTCTCATACAGACAAATTACTAATAATGTGTAATGGAAACGAATGAAGGGGTATCGTGTGATAACTGCGACTTCCTCCTCAATATGCTCCAATCCCCTTGTAGAAACTAGAAAGAAAAACGAGTACAGCATGCTATCTCACCAACTCCAATAAGGGGCAATGCACCCCACAAGCCCAAAGGTATGCAGTCTAGCATTATGCAACCATTAATATCTCAGCCCTCAAGATGCGACTATTACTCGTCGATATCTCGTTGCTGCTCCACTGGTTTCTCCGCTGATCCGTACTTTAATAGTAGTCTTGCCCTTGGTCGTTCCTCGCCGAGAGTTCTAGTCGCCAAGGGGCATACCCTCGAGCTCGTCGAGCAGACGACGCCAATTGTCAGCCAGCATCTCCGAATACTTGACACGCTCCTGTGCCCAGTCTTGGTTCCACCGGCTGACGTGGAACTGTGTGTGCTGGAAGTTGATAAGTTCGTCACGCAGGCACTCTCTCACAAATATAGAACGATTGTGCTGGTTAACGATAGACTCCTTATCCTGCATTAAGTGTTAGCAACTTTGCGTGCCGGTGACGAATATTAAGTAGGTACGAACCTTTATAATGGCCTCGACCACCTTCTCAATCTCTCCCGGCTTGACGTCTGGCCTGGTTCGTAAACCTGCGAGCTTCGTCTCATTATTCTTGATCCTCCGTTCTAAATATGGGATGTTGTCTTTGTCTAGCCTTTCCCTTCGATCGAATAGTTCCCTAATACTGACGAGTGCGTCGCGCTGCCTCTTCAGGTCTTCCAACACACCTGCATCCCACGCCTTGCTTTCATCCTCCATTAAGCTTTGGGTGGTTTGTAAGTGTCGGCTCATAGCAACCAGGCCGTCATTCAAAAGAGGCACGTCGTTAGTATCAGTAGCGTAAGTATCCGAGCTTGCTTCGGTGAGGGACGTAAGAGACATAGCCAAGCGGCCGTGATCAGCTGCCACACCCTCGCTCCGCTTCACAAGACGGTCCATGATGTTACAAGTCGAGATGTACAATTCGGCGGACCGTTTAATACCCTGTCTAGTGCGCTCGAAAAGGTCCTCCAACGAGGGCGGCAGGGATTCTTCAAGACCAGGCGGTAGCGACCGGCCGGCGAATTCATCAACCACCGAGATTGCTGCTTGTTTGCGCCATACTGTAAGTTCCTGCGGCTCGTTAGCTTCGAATGTAAGAATGCTTGTTTCGTTCAACTCATACCGTTGGGACAGTCAAGAACATTATAACAAGTTGCTCCTGGCCCAAGACAGGATGCCGGACTAGTGTGTTCAGGAACCTGGCCAGGCCACGTCTTCGCTTCTCGATAAATGCGCCGTCGTTGGAAAGGTGGTTGCCATTGACTGCGACTCTCTTTGGTGGAAGTAGAGGCAATGCTCGAAATGGATATCTCTTATGCAAGCAATCGAGTAACCATACGAAATCGCTATATCTGCGAATAACTTTGCTGCCGCGTCGTGAACTCGTGACCTCGTAATTGTGGTGTTGGAATAAGAACACGCCCTCCTTTTCCGGCATCAGCGAAACCGTGATGTTCTCGTCAACTGCAATGCCAGACCGACCACCACTAATGGTCCTAGAATGGCCAATTGTTGCGTTAGGACCCGGATCGCGACCTTCTCTATCGCCCGGAATTCCAAAAGGATTTGTCGGATTATGGGAGGATGCTTCGCCGAGGCCTCCGGCGTTATTTCCGTCGTAATATCCCCAGCCACCTGGATTCGAAGATACGGAGCCGCCAACAGATTGAGAGCGAACGCCGCCGGCTGAAGCCATTGTAGAGGTGGTGAAATTGGAGGTCGTGCGAGGGTGCATATTAGGGGTATCGGAATTTCCGTAACCATTACCATTCAGCGGAGTAGCATGGTTAGCACCGTTGGTCTTGGGTGACTCTCCGTGGTTATGGTGTTTGTGGACTTCGGCTGAATTCCACGGGTCGTCTTCGGGGCCGTCCATGGATGATTTTCTCTCTCGGGATTGCGAACTGAAGGGGATAGGCAGATTATCGGGTTGCTGGGGTGGTTTTGCTGCAAGTTCTGCAGTATCTGGAAAGATGGATTTCTTGGCCGACACTGATGATAATTGGGCTTGCGGCAAGTCTGCAATAGGTTGGTATGATTTAGTAGGATGTAATTTCTTGGCGAATAACGTAAATATCCCCGCAAGATGATGCACAGGGCAGCGCAGCGCAGCAGTGCAGCAGCGAAGATACGATAAGACCGGCTAGCCCATTGGACGCCAAATGCGATTCGCCAAATGAACGAAAACGCGGCGACAAATATATCAAAAGTTGATTTCTAAGGGATACGAAAAGTGTGAAAGTATAAAAGAAAAGAAAAGAAATATTATGTGAAAACACTTACTACGTCTTCGCTCATCAACGCCGTCTAAACTTATAGATTCACCTTCTTGCGCGAGGCCGATAAGAGCCATTAACACGTTAAACTCATTGCGACCGATCGTATCGAGGCTACCAGCCGGCGCAAGTATCCCCATTATTTGCGCTTGATCGTCGGCACCTAACTTAGCTGCGGCAAGCGTCTTAGCGACGCCTGACGATGTGACCTTGCCGGCGCTTCCATCCTCCTGTACAGCCTTGTCGAATGCCTCGATGTAGCTATCTGGTACATCGACACCGTCGAGGAGTCTCCGAAGAAGGTCGGCACGCGATTGTTGTTTCCTAGGGGTCGGCATATCCCAAGGCGAAGCTCTACCGCTGCCGAAGTCGTCATCGTTGAAGAGACTATCCGAAGTCGACCGAGTCGTAGGTCCGTCGTCGTCGAACAAGGACGTTCGAGATCGCCCCATGCTTGGATTACCGGAAGACGGGGTTTCGTTTGGAGGGGAGGTACCAAAGAGAGACATGGCCCCGGTTTGACAAGCTGTTTTTGTCGCTATTTAGAATCGAAGGTAAGGCGATCGGCGGAATCGACAACGGTGATGAGCTCGTGTGGTGGAAGGAACGGAATGTCGTAATAGAGGTATACCTAATAGTTAAGGCTAAGCTGAACAAACCAGCAGTCGATTAAGGATGCAATGCAGGGGGCAAAGCTAGAAAATACGGATGAAGGCGCAAGGATTATGCACGTACTTTAAAAGTATAGAGAAGAAGGAAAGGTTTGGGGATTGAGTGTTACAAAAAGCTGAACAAAAAGTATTGTATCATACTGTATACACGCCCGTGCTGCCTTCCATAAGTTAAGAGCTTAACTACATAACGGCTGTACGGGTTATGCCTGCGCTGAAACGCCAGGGAAGTACAGGTGGGACAAGGTGGGACGCAATGGATCGACGCTGGCAAGTGCGGAGCTGAATACATTGCATATATACTTGCATATATCAACTGCACCACCGGACTTGGTTCAACCATGCATACTTACATGTAGGTACATCTGCAACATCGCCAATTACACTGACATTAATGTATTTGATACATGTGCATTTTGTGCCTATGTAAAGTAATTTACTTGCATAATGAATAGGGCACTTGGGCAATTGAAATATTTACCGTATCGTTAGGTACTTATGCAAATATTGATAATACCACCTAGTACTAAGGTTCAACACTTGAAAGACTCAAGCGACCCCCTGCTGCAACCACCAAACTGAAGGCACATCATATCTCCATTTAGATGGGTTGACATAACAAGTGTAAGTGGGTAGATCCGTAGATGTTCCCAGCAATAGGTGTATATACCTGCAGACGCAATACATAATATAGTACATTCTGCAGATTCGACAAGTATATTCTTATAGCTTGTCCCACAGTTTTGTGTCTTCCTGCGTAGTTCCCTTCTCCTTCTTCTGCCGCTTGAGAATCTGCGACGGCGGGACTCTAAAGTACAAACTTGGCGACTCGCCGGGCTTCAACGTGTGGCTCAGATATCCTCGGTGCGCAGGGTCACGATAATATTCGATATCCCAACGAGCTGTCGGATCCGGCAATCTGTAGGAAAACCCCCTCTGGCGGACCTCCTCTAGGACCGGCTGTACATGCTCTGGACCGGTAGGTAAGGGCTTATCGGTGTGAAAACTCTTGCCCAGCACCAACCGCTTTATAGCTTCCTTAGTATAGTATCGCGTCATGATCTTTCCTCCCGCTTTTTCTACTGCATCAATGGCCGCCGCCGATGCGCGAGAAACAACGATATCGATCGGCTGCTTCAGCGAATCTGCTCCCCTTGCTAATAACTTGATCCCATCCTTAATCGTTCCGACAAGATTAGATTGTATTAACTCTTTTGGCGTGATCCGCTGCGTAGCATCGATACGGCCGGCGTCGATCCAGTCTTGTAGCTTGTTTAGGTTGACTTCAGACATAACGGGTGCTCGCCTATTAAATAGTTAGTTTCCGATGCCAATTGAAAGGGTAGCAAGGCTATTCGGCTATACAGGTTCTCGAATCCAAGCTTTCCCCTCTGAACTACCAAAGGTGTTTGACCACCCTGGAACCACGGCTTGACCTTTCCATGCTGCTTTTGACCCTTATGACCCCTTCCAGACGTTTTGCCCTTTCCAGAGGAGGGACCGCGACCAACACGAATACGTTTCTGATAGGCACCTGGGTTGTCGGATAGGTTCGCAAGAATGGAGGCGCTACGAGATTGAATTGAGAGCGCATTGAACAATCCTACGAGCGATGAATTACTCGGCTGCTCAATTGAGGCCTTGCAGCACCGGGCTGCCAACCCAAGGGGTATTCGTGGAGGCATCTTGCGACTCGTGCCTGTAGTGGGAGTTTGTAGTGGGATGTCTTGATACAAGAATTTCCCTTTGATATCTTTTTCTGGGGTTTTGCCTTTTGGCCAAAAGTGGTCCTAGCTTTTAGCTTTCGGTACGTACATAGTGGGGGTCTGGCCTTCGTAGAGGTACCTAGGTACCTAACATCAATCTTTTAGAGGTAGACTTCCTACAAGACATCTCAAGATTATGTACCTACATATCATATCCTCAACGCTACGGGTGTTTACGACAATACGTTCAATCTTTATTTTCATAGTTAAACTTTGGTCATGAATATATTCGTTGTATGTTTTTATCAATATGCCTAATCTGCTTTTCGCGTGTTTTAGCTTCAGTATACTCGTCAAAGGTCCTTACCCCTAAACGATCAGCTCTAGTCGAATTGTGAGTAGTGCTAGTACGGCCTTTCTCTATTATCAAGTTGCTACCCCCTTTATATTCGATCTAGGCTACTTAGAATAAGGAACTAAATAGTTCTTGCTCACTTAAAATATGATCGATATAGAACAGTCATCCCAGAACTTATAAGCTAGTGACACTCCTCCCACAATCCTACCTCTGTTAGATCCTGACCTTCACGATGCTGGTTATCTAAATCCCAACCTTCCCCGCATTGGTAGACACTCTTACTTATGTACTAGGTTTAACTACCCAAAAACGATTCTACCTAATTGCGGCTTAGTATATGATTGCGTGATAATCATAAGGTAGCATCGTAGATCTATGTGTAGTTAAGGCTTATCAAGCCGCTGCTTTGTAAAGGGTATCTGGGTGGTAATGAGGGGCGTCTTAGAGCTCCAAAGCGACGCAAGCAAGCGGAAGGATTATAAATATTATAAATATACGGGTAATATCATCTCTGAAAAAGATGCATTTATAACCAAATACCTTAGCATGTTGGCTAATACTAGATAAACATGGATGAGAAGAAATTAACAGTCGAGGATACCTCGAACAACCCTGTGAGCATTTCTAACCCGACTCCTATTCAAGCAGAAGGACAATCAGTGGCGTCCTCTAGAGATCTCGACGATGCATACGACCTCTATCGAAGACAAGATGCCGTCGATCTTGACCCTCGAGAAGCACGTCAGGTGCTACGAAAAATCGATTGGCACATTCTGCCACTTCTGATGGGAACTTATCTACTTCAATACCTCGATAAGTCAAGCGTCAACTTCGCAAGCGTTTTTGGATTAAGGCAAGGGACGAATCTACATGGCCAAGATTACTCGTGGTCTTTATCTATATTTTATTTCGGTATGAGCTTTCGAGGTAAACAGTCTTTACGACGACTAATTAGCTTTGTCTACTTTCAGGATACTTAGTAGCGCAATGGCCAGCCGGCTATCTCTTGCAAAGGCTTCCAGCCGGGAAGTTCATCGGTAGCAGCATTCTAGGTTATTGAATCCTCCCACACTATATATCTATAGTAAGACTGACGGGGTCTTAGTTTGGGGTATGCTCACCATTGTTACTCCGGCATGCAAGAATTTCGCCGGGATAGCAGTGAACCGCTTCTTGCTCGGATGCTTCGAGGCAGTAGTGAACCCGGGTTTCGTGCTCGTCCTTTCAATGTGGTGGAAACAGGATGAGCAGCCCATGCGATTGACGACTTACTACAGTATGAATGGGATAGCTGGTATTTGTGGCGGTCTACTTGGTTATGCTGGTGAGCTCGATATCATATCAAACTGAGGTTGAATATCTTCTAACTAACATGCTTGTAGTATGTTACAACTTCTGTTCTTATATAATTGCACCAATCTGCTGTCTCTCTTCCTTTCTTACCCCTAAGAAGAGTATGACTTCGGGTACTCGCTTCAGCACTAACCTACGATAGATTGGCCACATCACATCTGGTTTACCTCCATGGATGTACATCTTTCTTGTGTTCGGTTCTATAAGTTTGGCTTGGGGTACCATCTTCCTGATCTTCATGCCTGATATTCCTTCGACGGCGCGATTTCTAAACGAAAAGCAGAAAGTTATCGCAGTCGAACGAGTAGCTAAGAACAGACAAGGAGTGAAGAACCACCATTTCAAAACCTATCAAATGTGGCAGTGTCTCCTGGATCCGAAGACTTGGATTTTATTTGTCATGGCCATCGCAGCGCAGATTCCAAATGCTGCCCAGTCAAGTGTATCGCACCCATATTTTCTCACCGGCATATAGCAATTAATACTAACATCTAACCTAGTTCACATCCATAATTCTAGAGACATTCGGCTTTGATGTGCTCCAGACGCAGTACTTACAAATCCCGGGGAATTTAGTACAATTCTTTTCCCTTCTCCTATCAGGTTGGATTAGTTCTCGATTTCCAAACATGCGTTGTGTGGTCATGTTAGTGGGAAACTTGATCTGCGTCGGCTGTGGTGCAGCTCTTGTCGGGCTACCGGTTGGTCCTGATGGTACACAGAATAGATGGGGTCGACTGGTTGCGCTCTGGCTGTGCTCATTCCAATCTGTAGGTTTTAGTTTGAGCTTGACGATGGTAAGTAGCAACGTAGCCGGATATACCAAAAAACAGCTCACGGGAGCTTTCCTGTTCGTGGGCTATTGTGTCGGGAATATAATAGGGCCGCAAACCTTTATCGAAACAGAGGCACCGTTCTATACCTCGGCGTACATTGCGTGAGTCTTCTAAGATTAGAGCTATATGTTAAAGGCTAAACCTTATGCTAGGATTCTCATCGGCTATTCTGTGAAGACAGTAATGGTCATCGTACTGTACATATATATGTGGTCGGTAAACAGGAAGCGGGACCGTGAAGCTGCCCTAGAGGGCCCTGGACTTTCAGAGGAACAAGAGAAACAAGCGATCGAGCAAGGAATGCAGGATGTTACCGAGTTGGATAACAAGGGCTTTAGATACGTTCTATAAGGACATACCGGCTTAGAAGACTATTTTACCAGCTACCATTGCTTTTAATTTCATCCAGTTGGGTATTTATACGAGGCAATACTGCCCACCTCCCTCGTAGTTGAACACGTATTTTATATATCTACAGCCACCTAATTTAAAGGGGAGTGTCTGTGCTAACCCCTATGCTTATATAGAGGAGCTGCAGAGTTCGGTATATCAAGTTCTCAACCCCATGCTTTACTAGGTACTAGGGACCAACATTAATCGCCTGTTAGATGATTTTTAGGAAATAGGGGTAGGGAAGACCTGGGAATATCGCATAACCAAGCTCAAATGGAACTGAAAGGTGCATAATAGCTACACACAGCTGGCTTCGTAACACAAAATCCTGTATTGGACGGGTATGACTAACGGCAGTATGGACGATGCTGGAACTTGAATGGTCGGAAACCTGGGGCTATCATATTTTGATAGGCCGCGTATGTGGGTACTGGTGACTCCCGTGCTGGTTTAAGTACCTCCGCATCTTGAGACAGTCTGAACTCCCCTGAAGTCTCCCTTGAACTGGCACCCATCTACTTCGACGAGCAACTCCACCTACTTCTATACCGAGTTCCGTGTTTCGGACTTAGGGTTGAGTCCTTGACTGAACATGAATACGGACCTTTACCTGGCAGAAGCTCTTAATGTGATTTGACACACTCTAGGCCGAGGAGGTGCGAATTTTGCGGTGAACACTCATGAGGAGTTCTGAGGGGAGACAAGAACGACACTATCCCCTATAGCTAGATATTAGAGAAGGATAAGTTAAGAAAAAATGGTAAAGACGGACCTCGCACAAACAGCATCTCGGACTTCTTCGTTGTTGTCTAAAGGAGGGGTTAGCAGGATATCCTAGAACGTATGAGATAGTACTTACTCTAATTTCCTCATCGTCGTCATCTTCGTCTACCGTATAGATAGTTTCCACAACGTCACCCAAGACTAAATTCATATGGCTGTCATAGGCCTTGAATTTATCTAGTTAGTTGAAGAGGGAAGAGTTGGCATGGGCCGATATGATTCACGTACATGAAGGCGTCCTTTCAATTCACGATCGCCGCGCAACTTTACAAATACAACCTCGTCGAGAAGGAGGCGCACAAGATCGAGAGGCTCAGATACTGAGCCGCCAGCGGGGCCTTCTTCACCACCAGCCATTATTATAAGATCACGTCAAATATGGGTTAATATGATCTGTACGTGTGTTGAAATGTTGAAGATACGGTGTTGGAGTCGGGTTAGACTGGTGTAGAGGTGAGGATGCGGTATATGAAGATTAAACGATTCGGTTTAATGTTCGCAGCTTGTAGAAAGAAACCTGGGTACAACAATTTAGTGAAAGAGTCTGGGCTTGGCAAAATCATAAAAATGATTACCTAATATTTCAACAGCCACAAATACCAAGGTACTTATGTCTGTACTAGAAGCTATGACCACTGTAAAATCACTATAAAATATGTTTGCTGTTAGCGTAGTTCTCCATACGCACTACCGTCACACTAAATTAGAGTTTACGGGGAAGTACTCCACTATCTCCACAACTCCATACTTAATAATTCCACAACTCGGCGAGTCCAAACCAACACAACTTCAACTATCAAAGTTCCCCGCAAATCACGTCTAATATGTCTGTCCAGTTCTCCTGAATCAGTAGCCTAGCCTATTTACACCAGTCATGATAGTACTCGATAGTTCTCATAATGCTCCCCACCACTTTGACGGTGTCGTTCGGCCGGCATCGAACTTTCTCTTATACACCCCTTAAAGGAGTTTACTCAAGGGTTATTAACTCCCATCAAAGTCGATCCTCTGGATTGATCTCCAGTAGAGATACCAACAGTGCTTCGCCATGTAAGAGTCTATATAGTTCTACACGTGGCCTTGCAACGGCAGTCCATTCCTCTAGTGCCGTTTCAAGAGAGGACTTCGAATTCTTCAGTGACCTTCTCAACCACACTGAATCAAAACCGCAAACTGAATCTGGCCATGGCAATCCTGTTTCCAGTGATAAGACCCCTGTTGTAACCTTACCTGACCCGTTTAAAAGAGCTCTCGAGGCACTGCGACGGAAGGACACTCGGAGACTACTCATCTATCTTAAACAAATATCATCCATGGAAGAAGCTGAGCTTCACGCGGCCGTTTCTTTACTGCCTCGAACTACGTTCACCGAACTTCTCCGGGCCTTGGATCCGTTTGTTGTTGCTAAGGATGCCGATCCAACGGACCGGACACACGTATCTGCTGGAGCGTACCAGGTATTAAATTTAGGAGCTACTATTGACATTTGGGGAGTCCGGAAAATATATTCGCAGCTACTACGCCATATGCTAGTCCTGCTGTCTGCATTGAAAGCCTCAGGCGGTATTCTACAGTCAGAAGAGTACATCTACCTAGTCAGATGTGCAGGTGCTGCTGCAGACCCTACGGGAGTAAAATGGATATGGAATGAGATGGTTCGCAACCAGACTACGAGTTGGAGGCAAAGCAAGTTATACGCCGAGTTTATTTCCGCACGCTTCCTCACAAACCCTTTATATACAGGCTACGATAAAACCAGAAGGATGGTCACTGCCCGAAGTTTACATCACTCCAAATTTATCCTTCACTGGTCGCAGATTCGAAAGACGGATCTCCTCAGATACCATACCCGACTCAAGAAGCTTTATTTCGGACTCAACAAGGATACCCAACACGCTGAAGACTTGATACGAATGATGAGGAAGGACAATTCGGCCAGGAGACTTTACCTCTGGATTCATAGTCATGGCACCTACATGACCGAAAGTTTAGTGTGTGCTTTGATGATTGCATTCGGACGGGCCGGGTCTTTATATTTTATCAGTAATAGTATATTGGATCGTCATTTCGGCATTAGGATAGGTAAAATAATCCATAACATGGCGACTGACATACAGCAGGGCCCCAGCCGTGTGAGACCTACTGCGCTTCTCATGGAAGCTATCGTGGAGACATATGGATCAAACGCAGAGATCCCCCTTGCCTTACAGCTGGTCCAACACCTATCAAAGACGTTTCGAATCCCTATCCCCGGGTCTGTATGGAAAGACCTTATGGAGTGGGCCTATATTATGGGCTCTGTACCGCCGTCTGGGGGGTGGAAGCTGGCCAAAATGTTTTCTAAAGTGCCGAACGCAGAAGTAGTAGAATTTATCTGGAATATGATGGTGTCCGAGCCGTATCGCGTACAACCCAACTTCGAACACTACAATATACTCCTTCGGAATCTTATAGCGCGAAGACAGTTCAGCAGGTTCATCCCGTACATGAGGAAGGCAGTTGATTTATACAAGATTCAATGCCAAGAGTACGAAGACGCGGTAATCGAGTACTTCCAAATGATTAACGATAATGGGGTGCGTAATAGCGAGACAGTACATCGGTACCAACGGGCTCGGTTTAAGAAGGCGACTATGCGGCATACCATCCAAACGTGGTGTCGGCAGTTCCTTGCCAACGTACGAGCCTTCAACCCTATGAACCCGCTTGTGACCGTGGCCGTCCCGGATTTCATTAATGAGTTTAGGGATTTTATCCCAAACCCGGCCTTTTATCGCACGTCTCACGGATACGTCTCCCTGCGAGACATTGCCCGGGAACCCATGCGTTTAGTCCCTCTCGAACATGTTCCTTTCACTATACAGGTGAAGAGTAGGCTGGGAGAGGTCTTGCTCCTAGACACGAAAGCGAGGAAATTCGCCACCAATTCTCGACATACCTTAGCGGGCCGAAAGCCGATATCTCAGTTTGACCTCGAGACTCTCCTCACGACCACATCCCGAGCGAAGCCGCCGAAGCCTTGGCACAAGGCGGCTATCAAAGAAGCACTGGAGGGATCGGAGAAATCGATTGAATACGAGCCCGGCGAGTCGCGTAGCGAGTTACCAGAGCCGCTAGAGGTGGATACTTACGATGATGATGACGACTTTTATTAAAAGCAGCCGCTTGTATGTATCTGTATTATTATACCCACAAGATGTTCATTTCGTATATAAATCACTGCTGTTTTGCTATACCCCAGCAGCGGCGATATCATATACAAACCCCTTAGCCCCTTTTGTAGCCCCTTTTGGTGGGATATTGAACATACGTGATATATAGACATATTCTTCGCTTCATTGTGAAATATGGCTCGTGATACGAGGCCGATGCTTGTTATCTTCACGTATAATAATCATTCGTAACGATACAGAAGATGGTTACGATTTGACTTTCTCTAATCTCAGATCATTTATGTACATGTAGCGGCTCAGCGCGATCCAACCCCACCGGAACCAGACCATCTGGCTCTTATGCGCCTCCGTCATAGCCCGGCGCGCCGTCCCGTAGCTCTCCCGACCACCGGCCAGCGCGCTCACGCTAACCAGAACACCCGGGTTGCCCTTATCGCTCTTCTTGCTAGCACCGCCGGGCCCGGCAAACGCAAGCGACATGACAGTCGCGAAAATATCTAGGAACCCGGTATACTTGCGTAGAAAGCTCACGCTGGTCAGCGTGTACAGGTCTACGGGCGACGCCCAGCCGGGCTTACCCCGGGTCAACGAGGAGACGAAGGCGCGCGCGCCGTGGTATAGGGATATGTGGTTCGGGTGCGAGGATACGCCGCGGGAATCGAAGGTTATAATCGCGTCGATGGTGGCGTTTGGAGCGGTTAGGTTCTCGGAGGAGGACTTTTGCGAAGCTAGGCGGGGCGCAAAGGCGCTGCTTAGGAGGGCAGATATTTTGGAGGATTCCCAGGTTGTGGTCATGGAGTCGGGGAAGTCACTGGGGGGAGAGGGTGTTAAGTTTGGTTACTGTATCGTGTATGTACATACAGGAATACAGGATAGGTAGACTCACGGGCTATCGTAGACTAGGACATCGTCTTCGCGGGTGAGGCCAAGTAACATGCCGCTCTTGACGAGCTCCTTCTTGCGCGTCTCGCCGAGGCCGTCGGCATTGCCGGAGCTTAGGCATAGGATCTTGAGGTGGTTGCCGTGTTCGGGGCGGGTGAGGGCCAGGACGGTGGGCGCGAAGAACATGGCTTCGTCGTCTGGGTGGGCGATCAGCAGGCAGATGCGCTTGCCGCGTAGCATTGGTAGGCGTGTCTGCGATACCGATGCCGTGTAGACGTATAGCAGTGGGAGGATGACGGCGAGGATGCCGAGGGTCGATAGGGATGGGAGCGGCATGTTTTGGCTGTTTGGTAGCTCAATGTCGACGTTGGTGGCCTCTCGACTATAAGAGCAATATATAAGAAAAGATGGCACAATATATAGAGAAGTAAAGCGGTCACCAAAGCCAAGTCATAGATTGTCTAGTGAAATCCGGGGACATTGAAACCAGACAAGTTCGGGCTTGGATCCGAAGCATTATCCGTTCTTAGCCTCGTCGGATGGTCTGAGAAAGTGACGATGGACTTGCACCAAGATTCGCATTCGCGTTGGATGAAATTATGTAAGAGGGAGAGAAGCCCCTCTGTTGCACCTCTTTGAAGGTTGATCATCAATTGTTGCATAGACTAGCAGACTAGTTCGTGTATCCGATTAGTGCATATAAAGTATGGGTTCTATAGAGGTTTTCATTGGCTGCTCGAACCCCCTGCCGAATCTACCGAACACCTTCAAGCTTATGACGGGAGCTTAGGTACTAAACCCCTACATGTACATAATTTTACGTCGTATCACCGACACGCGACCATACATACCTTACCTATACTTAATCAGCCTTACCTCTTAACTCCTAATTAATTATACCTTAATACCTCTAGCTCCATCAACTCTTCGCTATGGTTCAAACTCGAAAAGCAAGAAAGGCGGCGGAAGGGATCAAGCTATCTCATCCCGATCGAACCGCCGCTCCTAGCGAGGACACCTTGCTGAAGCTTGCTCAGGACCGCAACCTCTTCGAGGAAGCCGAGAGGAAGAAGAGGAAGATGGCGAAAGATCGGGATTCCGATGACGATTCGGATGATGGGGACGAGCTCCTGTCGTCTACGGCCGATAGGGTAGTAGAGGCTATTCTCTGGAGCATCAGTTTGTCTATGTTCCATTTCACTCTCGATGTGCTTGTTCAGCATCAATATGCAATCTCCATCATATGGCCTCAGATCATAATTCGATCAGTGCAAGCCTCTATCGGTAAGTCCCCCTTACAATTGTCAAGGAATCAGCTGTATCGGGTCGAATTAATGCGTGTAGTGTTCTTCTTGCTCATCTATGTACTTCATCCGCACGTCTCGGCTCCGTCTTTTGTGCCTGGACTGCCGGTGAGATATCAGTCTCCTCTACGGCAGATCCTCTTCCTCGCCGCGAGTGTTGCTTCCGGTTGCTATTTAATTCATATTTCGAATAAGTATAGCTATCTCGCTGTTATGAAGCAATCACCACCTTTGGGCTGTCTCTGGGTCTGGTCCGTCATTGAGCTTGACCTGCCATATGCCGTCCTCTCTTTAGCTTGTATCGGCGGGTTCTTCTACCAGGGCGGGTATACAATAAAGCAACCATATTAATATCTTAAGAAAGGTCCAGACCCTAGCACCGTATTGTATACGTCTTTTGACTCATTAATACTATATGAGCCGCACGCCAAGTCAAAAGTCGGATATTGGCCTATTCAGTACGTAAATTCAGGTGGTTTACCACTATATTTATATCGGTATCAGCTGCTATAATTCAACAAGACCGCACATACAGTCTTGTTTGGGTGGGATTAGGACATGATCCCAGGGATAATATTGGCGATTCAAAATGGTCTTGATTAGAGGACAGCTTTTGACGATAGGAATGAGAAATGTCTGACGAGACTATCATGCGATTTGGTCATTGCTTTGATTGGATACGATCAGGTAAAAATACATCATCTTCCAAAGGACAAAGTCACGGAGTTCCGAGATTATATGCAATATTATTCTGGTGACAGTCTCCGGATACCGTACTAATTTTACAAATTTGGAAATAATCTTATAAAGAGATGCCTAGCAGATCTACAGGGGTCTTAAACTTGGGGGTTACTGAATGTCACCTTTTCACGTGATGCCTCTAACCTACAACTTGAACTGGGTATTGGTCACTTATATATCCTAAATTTTAGAATTCACTGAGAAATTGAGTTGACTGATTTGGATTATCGAGAAATATCTAATCTAAACAAAGTGATATCAAGCTCCTAGTTTAAATTTAATACTAAGCTATGTGAGAATCCCAACCGATCCGATATGTTTACAGGTTTTAGTTATTCTGGAGAATAGCAAATAACTATATCTCGTTAGAGCTGCGTGGTTGCGTAGGGGCTTTGCTGGTTGCTAAAATTGGCATAGTATTTATCCAATGCTAGAATCAGGAGAAATTCATATAGGAATGGGATCCTACTTTTCAGCAACTCGTTTCAGGGAGCATATCAGATCCCATTGCAGTGCCTACGTCAGTCGTATGCTACAATAACAAGTACCAAATCGAGTCTCCTTTATGCTGTATGATTAGGCATTTGCATTTTGTAATAGTAAATTTACAAATTGATTTATTCATTCTTATCTACAACAGTCCCGCTATCCCATTTAAAGAGAAGATGCTTCCAGGCAGGGCGGGGTGATTATTTTATTATTCCTAGATCAGGTATCTGTCTAATCACTGGGTCATCACTAGCATACGTGTAAGTTGCTAAAGAAATCAGTAGATATGCGTAGCAATAAATGTGATTGTATCCCGTACCTTAGGTAGGCAGGTAGCTAACCTATTTGTGGTATCATGTGCCGTATTTACGGGCTGTCACGTACCTTACCGTTGGCGTTGGCGCATGCAAAGTTAGGCTTCTAATCAGTAAACGACTCTATCACCACGCCTAAGAATTGATTAAGGGGGGACTTAGTACTCAGGTACCGATGCACCGTCTAGGTAGGTACCTAATGTATTAACTGTTGATTCAGTCGTAAAGCCATTGGTACAAATCGTATCGATTAAAATCACCACAATCACTGTCGCCTCAGGGTAAGTGATGCGCTGATTATTATTCCAACCCAAACACTGCATAAATATTTCGACACCGGCAACCGCAACACGTAGATTCTTCACCCACACACCCACATTTTCGAACAACCAGTGTCCCTTAGAATTCCGTCCAATCTAACAGCCCGACATCTTTATTCTCGACAAGATGGTCGGCTGCTTTCCTAAGTTGTCCTTTCTTCTGGCAAAGAAGCCTGCTCAGGTACGTTAACGTTAAGTTTACTTGTCACATCGAGCGGTGTTCATCTTGACGCGTCTATATTGCAACGCGTCGCGACTGTCTTTATTTTAGCTGCCTAGATTTCCTCTTTCACCTCCCACCTTTGCCGTCACGTCTTCACCTTTGCCGTTACATCTTCACATTTGCCGTTCCTTCTATTTACTTACCACCCCTTCAACACAATCTTCCCCTTATTTCGGCAACAGCGTGATAGTCAAAGAGGAAAACAATTCTACCTCATTATCTTGGAAATCTTGTGTAACTATTTTCTATCTTCAGGAAACTGTGCCGTCAAGACCTTATACTGACACTTCTTTGAAGAAACAGGCTTCTAACGTTATTGACTTCGCCAACATCGCCGACACGGCTGGAACCAACGACGCCAACGACGCCATGTCAAAGCCCGACAAGTACAAGACCCCCTCCGAGAAGGGACTTGCCGTCCCCGGCACTGCCAGCAGCTCGGGTTGGAAACCGTACACCATCCCCTACACCGGCACTGGCATCAAGCGTTCCGCCAGCAGTACCAACTGGGCCTCTCAGAGTTCCCCACAGGCAGATGGCTTTGCCGTGGCTTCTCACGCCGCGCCGCCTTTGTACATCACCGGCGACCCAAAGAAGAAGGGCCAGCCTGCCGACAAGAAGGGAAAGCAGCCTGCCGGTAGCATGGACAAGAAGTACAAGAAGGCTGCCGACGAAACCCACATGTTCAAGGGTGCCTATATTGCAAGCCGCGTGAAGCCTGAGGACCGTCAGCCGATCGAATAGGTATGTATCATGTATCATGTTTCCCTACAGCGCCGTACATTACTGGAAGAAGCCTACTAACACTTATCTCTATCTGAATAGGTTACAACGTTACAACGTGGATTCTCCTTACCTTCATAGCAGGATTCTATGCGCGTCTTACCTCAATTCTCTGGATTGAACGTCGCAGCTGATCCCGTAAAGGGTCATTTTGATACTAGCATTTTCAGGCGGATTTGCATTGCGACGAGGATTTCCTATTTCGGTATTAATTCGACTGGTGACCATGATCACTATCACGAGACATGACTTTTGGACTGGCTTTTGCAGTTTGCATTTTCGACTTAGCATGTACGGATAGGCGGGCGTTATGGATTATGAAAAGATCACACACACACATAATAATAAGGAGTGAGAAAAGGGGCGGAGAAAACACCAAAAAAAAAGTCATTGACGCGGCATTCACCTTTGCATATTGTTTCGTTGCAAGCTCATTCAACTGTTGGCAGCTAGTTAGCAAGTAATCAGGGTAGATACCACCAGGTAGATACCAATTTGCACAAATCATTTGCCTTTCAGCTTTGTGCTGGTTTTAGACGTGAATAATGATATGTGTTGACTTGAAATCTCTGACCTAGGCGTGATGTGACAATAACACTGACTTATCTTGACAAAGTTGGTATTTAACTAATAGGGCAAAATATAGGTTCGTGCTTTTCTCTACGTCTAGAGAAAACAAGTCTTCTGAATCAAGGACGGTGCCAAGTTTGACGTGGGTTTGTAATTGAAGTGATCAACTACACCTTGACGTGAATATACTTGCAAGAGCTATTTGGACATACCTTCATCATGGCCACGCAGGTCTCCATGATTACTCCTTGTTAAGCTCTTCATATCCAGCCCGAACCAGGCTCTCAGGGCCCTTAACATCGCCAACACCAGTCCAGTAGAATAACCCACCTAGCCCCTTTCTACTCACATACTCAGCTTTCCGTCTTACCGTCTCCGGGACATCAAAGCTAACAAACCCCTCACCTGCACGGTCAACATAGCTCGCAGCCACTGCATGATGGTCAACAGTTGCATCCCTGATCCACTCGGGAGGTAGATCATTGTAGTCCATCGCTGCGGTGGATCTGAAGGGCTGCCCAACCCCACGGGCCCCAGCAAAAGACCATGCGTAGACCGGCACACCTAGAACAATTTTGTAAACTGGGAAATGTTGTGACGCCAGATACTCAACACCGCGGTGGCACGAATTCCTGAGGGCCGGATCCACATGCGATTGTGGGCCTGGTTGGGCGAAGAGCTGTGCGTGGTGTCCCGATACATCAGTCCATGGGCCATTGAAGTCGTAGCCCATTAGATTTATACTATCGAGGAGCTTTCTCGCTGCGCGCATATTGATGTTCTTCAAGCAGTACTCACCAGTAGGCAGAGCGGTAGTAAGGAGGTACCGCGGCGAGGGCAGTGCTTTTCTCAGGGCGCCGAGTACGGCAATGTAATTTTTACCTACGTCCGGTGTTAATGGGAACTCCCAGTCGATATCTACGCCATCGAATTGGTACTGCTCTACGAACTCCTTGCAGGACCTCGCGAACGTACTCCGACGGGTAGAGTCCGCGGCCATGGCGGGAAACTCGGCGCTGCCGCTGCCACCACCGATTGAGACTAGAGTTTTGAGATCAGGCTTTTGCTGCTTTAATTTGGCCAGCGCGCGGATGCAGCCCTTCTCCCCGTCGACGTCTTTGGTTAAGTCTGCAAACTCGTCTAATAATTTGAGGGTTCCATCTTCGTTTAGGAGGACGAAGGCGTAGTATATTCGGTTAATGCAGTCGAGTTGGAGAGACGAGGGGGGAAAGCCCTTGTAGACTCGCCAGCTGGGATAGTATACAGCATTGATGGGGGTTTGGTTAGATGACATGACGACGGAAGCTTTAGAGGTAAATAGCGGAAACGTAGGTATGTAGGTATGTAGGTATGTACTTGGTTAGGGACAGGGAAGCAGGAAGAAAGTAATGTTTGACTGATATTATTGAGAATGCTCTTAGGTATAGGTTAGACTTATAATTGTAGGGATGAAGCTATTTAGGTAATTCTTGATATACTCGAGCTGAATGAGAATGAAGTTAGGAGGTAGGTAGCTAAGTTGATGATAGGTTAGGTAGCTAAGTTGATGATGCTATTAGGTAGTTCCAAATTATCTGGACTCGCGAGTCGCGACTAACTTGCAGTATTCTTGATGTGGCGGTAACTAATCGACGTACTTACCTCAAGTAACACGAGGACTCTCGTATTTTGAAAACTCTGGAAAGTACCTAACATACATTAGGTACATAATTCAAGCCGAACGTTCCCGGTTCATGACAAATGTCTCAATTTTAGTCAGTGGCTACTTGTAGTTTCTCATTGCGGTTGGCTACTGGGAGGTCTTACAGCAGAAGGTCTTTCCTGTCATAACGAGAATAAGAAAATAATTCCGGGATTTTTATTCAGGTGGTTATGCAAAAACGCCCAAGGTTAATGATACAAATGACGGATAATTGGATAATTGCTAGAGATAATTTTGTAGAATCTGTAAAAGAGGGGTTTAATTCCAAAAAGCAGTTATATGCAACTCCTATACCCAATTAACCGAGTCATCTAATTTGAACCACCCTAAATCCCGTAACTTTTCGCTTGCTCATATGAATACCTTCGATCGATATGCAATTATGCCAGGTGCAACTCCATTTATATGCATCAAAGGTAGCATGCCGATTCAACCTTTGGTCTTTTCTTGGCAATTGGGAAAATGCTCCGCAACTCATCGTCAATCATGATTTGATTTCTCGTACCCGTTTCCGTTTAATGGCTCGTCCATAACCACATCTATGGGCACCACATTTCGACCCGAACATTTTGAACCTCGTCGAGAACCTTGAAATCCATGTCCTTTTGCTTGAAAGCGATGATAATCATGTCGAACCCTTCGAGGCTTGACTTGTTCCAGTCGCTCATATCTAGACGGGGAATGTGAGGGATGGCAGTTTGCTTTACCAGTGCATCGGCAAACATAACATCGACTCGTCCCGAGTCGGCAAGAGTCTGAATAAGCTTCAGCCCCGGTGAGTTGCTCAGATGAGACTGGCCAGCCTTAAATCCCACTCCGACCACTAGTACTCGAGGTCGGAATAAGCTGGAAGACTTCTCTGAACGTGATATCCGTGATGTGGTCTCAGTACGCTCAACGTGTTTAAAGTCGGACTCTTTGCTGAGATGCAGGCTCTCGCTGTTGGCAGAAGTTTGAGTTGAGGTATTATGCGGCGCCTCCCGGAAGAGGGCATCTAAAACTCTTTGCCCGATCTTCTCCGGTCGTTGCCACGTGGTTTCGGTTGCCATCTTCAAAAGAGGGAATGAGCTGTTGGCCATGAGATAGTACGGGTTGACTGGGATGCAGTGGCCTCCAACACCAAGACCGGGAGTGAACGGAGTATAACCGAACGGCTTAGTTGACGCCGCCCTGCATACTTCGTAAGGGTCGATGCCGTGGCCAATGCAAGCATCCGCCATTTCGTTGGCGTAGGTGATGGCGATCATCCTTTGGCAGTTCTCGTACAGTTTGGTCATTTCTGCCGTTTCCGGCGTCGATACGGGAACGATGGAGTCAAACACACGCGAATACAAACGGGTAATCGCAGCAAGAGATCCGGGGACAACATCGTCCAATCCAGATATGACCTTTGGAATTACGTGCATGGGTGGATCAGTTCGTCCAGGGTCGATTCTCTTTAAAACTGTTAGCGGGTTTCCTGAATATCGTGATGTTGGTAACGTACCTCTGGAGACATGCCCGCGAAAAACCCTTTCTCTTTAGCCAAGGGGCCGAGTAGCTGCCTTGTCATCCCGATGGCAACGGAACTCTCTATCACTACCGTTGAGCCTGGCCGGGCATATTTCCACACGTTAGTTAACGCGCTTCTGACATATGATGTATCGATTGTCTTATCAGCTTTGAGAAGCGTTGGCACTGAAATGAGGAAGTGGGTAGCCCTGGAGAGATTTCGAGGATCGAGGGTGAAAGATACACGACTTCCTTCGCCTCCAAACTCCTCTTCTAATCTTCGAAGTTGCTCTTTCGATACATCGAAGCCCAGCACGTCGTAATGACTCGAGAAAGAGCCGATGAGCTGTGTTCCAACATATCCGCACCCGATGACAGCCACAACAGGCTCTTTGTTCTCGTCGATGCTGTCAGAGCAGTCTAGATCCAAGTTTTCTAGTCCATCAGCTTCGCTTAAAGCGTCAATCTGAGGAGTTCTGGGCGGCGAGATTTCCTGGCTTGGCTTGTTGCTCTGGCCGAAGGGGTCTACGATCAGGAGACAGTCTTGAGCAGGGAAGGCTGCTCGAATCTCCTTCATGACGTCGCCAATGAGAAGAGGATACATATTGGAATTTTGCTTAATGCAGATAATAAAACGAGTGGATTGGTCAACTATGAGAGAAACAAGAGGAGCTTTCTCTAAGAGTTAGAAAACGCCGAGAAGTGGAATTCTTCACAATGAGAGAACCTAAGCCAAAGCAGGTCGATAACGAAGAAACTTATTCTGATCGAAACAGGAGATGCGAGGCAGAATATGAAGTATCGGGCCTTTAGGTCAAACCACTACGTTTAGTTCGAGCATAGGACAAACGTAACCTTCTTTTCTCAACAATTATCCATTCTATTACACACAAGCTTACATACAAGCGTGCGTGTAATCCGCGACCGATCTAGAGCAGTTGCTTTCTTTGGCTCGGACCCAACATAACGAAAATTACCCAACCTGGTGGGCACGGATTCGACCGAGTCCAATCCGACTCCATACAGAATTTCGCCCGGATAGTGGCGTATCAATGCTGAGAATAATATCTATGTTCTAATTCTAATAGGTGGGGGTGCTTGTTTTCGCGACTCATTACATCGCAATCAATATCTCAGTTATTCTATCTCGACATCATTAATGTTGCCCTAGATCCAGCCTAGATACAGGGTCCATACCATTTACGCTAGTAAGGCAACAGGGCAAGGGGCAGCAAGCTAGCTGTAGAATCGAGGCTTTCCTATCGAGTCCCGTCCCTCCCTATGCGGATGATCTGCATAGAGCCGCACAGGGCTGTTCCACTACCCGAACACGACAACCATTATGGTTCCTGGCAAGTGGTTATACGGTTTAGCCAGGTCCTGGTCACAGCAGTTTTCTAAGTTTCGAAGCCTACCCAAATGTCCAGAGAGTTACAGCACGCGCATTCGCTCGGACCGAAACCATCTGCTCTCACTAAGGACTCGACTTGAAGTCATTCTAGATACTAGCACGACCATAGAAACTTATTTTGCCACTACAGTACGCCCCCTGTAATGATTTTATTCAGCGGACCCCTAGAGCTACTTGGCTGAGATCCTAAAGCGTATATCTATTGCCACCCTGGGAGGTCGTTGTAGTTTTCCGGGGACGTTGTTTCAGAGTATTTCATGCCATAAAACCCTGGTGTAATAATGGAGATGCTTTAAAGGGCGTTATTCTATTCAGAATTCGAAGCCCTGTTCTGTATCGTGCACGTCCGAAAAAACTAACATTATTTCAGGGGGTGAACTGTAAGGCTGAACGTGGGTCTGGGGTCCCCTCTCTCCGCTTGAGTGGACATGATATGATGTCTCTTACGGCGCTACCGTCCAAATTTTCGTCTTTGGTATTGTGGAAGCCTTTTCTGGAGCTTATTGCATGGGCCAAGGCGACTCTCTGAACCCTCAAGTCTAACTACACTTAGAAACTTAATACTCTCGCCACAAAGTCTGTCTACACACGGTGATGTATAGGTCTGTGTGGATATGTTACTCGTGAAGATGGTGGATCCCATCAGTTCTCTGGATCTTAGAGGCTTGGAAAATTCCATTAGTTCATACAACAAATTCCCGTTCTCGAATAATAGGTTCAACAGGCTGTCGTATCACCTACTCCCAATAGGCACAATAACCACCCTAAATACTATGTCAGGATCCAGCCTGAAGCTCAACTGAATCACCGTATCCTTGGCTTGCGAAATAAAAATTTCATCAACATCATCCCGGTTACCCCGTATTCTGATGTTCCGCTTCTCGGCCTCAGACCGCCATAAGACGTCAGAGGGGTAGAGGTCATAGAAGGATACACAGAGCTAGTTGCCCCTAGATGTATTTTGGCTCTCCTTGACTCTCTTGCCTTGAGCAAGCTTCAGAAAACTCCATTAGTCATTCATTAAAAGATAATCAGGACGTTTGATGTCACTCGTTCTGAAAACCCATTTTCGTTTCTTTAACTTAAATTACTTGTTTTGTTGGTGTCGAGCTACGAGCTTCTCGACAAGTCTATTCGGAACGCGGACGTGGTGTCTTCCCGTTCATCCTATTGCCAATCATCAGTACTAGTAACTTATCGGTTCGCCGCGGCGGCCACACCAGGGAGGAAACATCATGGTCTTCTATAACCGTACTACAAGAGTTAGTCGGCCTTTTCTTCTTCTTCTATCGAATGTCCCTAACTGCAAATAGGCGGAGAGTAATCCGAGCACAGATGGAGGAACAAGTTCATCTTCGGAGAATCCCTTCTCAGATAGACATAACCGGCCTTCACGGTCGTTTAGTCTTAGATCATCCCGAGAGTCTACTCAGAATGAAAAGGCGGCGGGAGCTGACTTTCGAGAGGAAGCTCCTCCTGTGCCTGGGCAAACTACCGACACCCCTATTGCGACCCGAACACACCTACAACCCAACCAACATGGTGTAGGTCAGGACCATTCTCCGACCGCATCGGTATCGGGAACGTCACGGACCACATCACCAAACACATCCAGTTCCGGCTCGCCTGAGGAAGAGCGGGCGGCAATACTCGAGAGTCTACCTCCTCTTTCGGCCAACGCTACAACTGCATCTATAGCTGCCGATGCTATAGATCCTGTACTCATAGAGAGGGGTAAAAGGAAGGTTGCCAGGCACAAATATATCGCGATATCTATCATATTTGTTTTAAAGTAAGTCATCCGTCTATCTTCGCTACAAATAAGCAACTAACACACGTTAGCTTCATGTTTATCTTTTCTAGTTGGTATTGGCCCAGATTCTATTACATATACCTACCATTCATCTCACTGCCTCTCGTCTTAAACTGCGTCATGATTTTCGATATCATTGTCTGGTCGTTGAAGAACCTAGTCTTCAAACCGAAAAAGGTTCAACCCGAGACTCCGGAGGAAATGGTTCTACTTATGCCCTGCTACAATGAGACTTATGAGGAATGCAGTAAGTCGCTCGACTCGCTCGTCAATCAAGTCAATATCAGCCATCACAAGCAAGCAATCATGGTTGTTTGTGATGGCAAGGTTCGAGGTCCTGGTATGGACAAAACCACGGGCGATTATCTCAACGAGGACATTTTCGTCGATCAAATAGAGCGGAAGATGATCCGCGCGGCATATGTCGCATGGGACGGCCAGTCTATGGATGTCGACGTATCAAGAGGGATATATAAGGGTGTGCCATTTTTCTGCATCGTGAAGCAGCAGAATCAGGGCAAACGAGACAGCTTGATCGTCGCTCGCTCTTTCGTACACAATTTCAACATACGCGACAAGCGGCCGAAGGTCATTTTCTCTCCCGAGTTCTTCAAGGCGATGACGGACTTTCTAGTTGAAGATGCTGGAATGCGCCACGTCGAGCTATTAGTCGGTATGGATGCTGACACAGTATTTGCGAAGGATTGTATCAGCCATCTGATTGAAGAATGTCATTATCCCGGGACAGTCGGCGTCTGCGGCTACGTCGCGGTAGACTTTTCGACCCATAAGTGGAATATATGGTCTATATACCAAAATGCCGAATATACTATCGCTCAAGGCCTACGGCGACTTCACCAAAGTCTCTGCACCAAGAAGGTCTCTTGTCTTCCAGGATGCTGTCAATTACTCCGTGTTTGCGAGGAGACGTGTGGCGACCGTATTCTCATCGAGGAATTCGGCTACCATCCTAAGCCAACAGATGGCATTATCAAACGTATCCGCGCCACGGCGTCTGAGGACCGGAACCACGTCTGCTTAATGCTTATGAAGTTTCCCAAGGCCCGCACACGACAGGCCCTGAGAGCGTACGCTTTTACCGACGTGCCACATTCACTCTCGGTCTTCCTCAGTCAGCGGCGCCGCTGGACACTCGGCGCGACAAGTAACGATCTCATGCTACTTATGGAGTCCAACTATAAGTTCAATCTATGGGAGCGTATCGTCGCGCTTTCAAACGTCTTGACATGGATGCTTAACCTTTTTGCTATTGCGAGTCTGGCCTGTATGGTATTCGCATTTATACGTAAGTCCCCAACTATCATTTTTAAACATAGCCATGGCAACATATACTAATTATTCAACTATGCAGACCAACCTTTTTGGCTTGTCATGATTTTTGCTTCCATTATGATCATACCCCTCTGCTACTACCTCGGCTTAGCAGTATGGCTATGCCAAAGTTGGCTGGAGCGCGGCCAATACCTCTTAGGCCTAGCCATTTTTACAACCTGCGGTCCTTTTATCAACATCTGTGTCACTATATATGCATGTGTCTACATGGATAATTTCGGATGGGGTAAGACGCGTAAGGTCATCGCCGAGACGGGTGAAGCCGAGAAACCAGACTGGCAGGTACAGCAAGAGCGTTACCAGGATGCTCTCAGTGACGGCGAGAAGATCTTCGGCACTATGATTCCTGATGAAGAGAACCAGCTACACCCGGAGGTCTACAGGACACCGTTTACGGCGCCCACCTCGAGCCGTTTGACGCCTATCAGGGCCGACAGCGAGGCGATACAGCAAATACCTCAGGGACTACCTACGGACCCATCTGCACGCGGAATTGATGGTGATATACTACAAATACCACTACCCACACGTCATCCTACCCACAATCTTCGTTCACACAACCCTCCTACGCGCGATATCCCTACGATAATTCTTCCTACAGACAACCCCTCTACGCACAATCCTCACGTCTCCGACACCCACTGATTTAACTAGTTTCGTATTACGAACTATAGGAGATAAGAGTGGTCTAGCCGTAATACCATGGAGATTTTGTGGCTCTAGTAAAAGTATAATATATAGATTAATTCATGTGAGGGCTAGAGTAACGCCATGTCTGGCTAGCTAGACAGGTAACACGATAACCGAGCTAGAGATGGCCCAAACGCAAGATTACGACCTATAAGCAGAGCAAAAACTGGCCTTGACAATGAGTCAGAGACCCAAAGCGTATAGTGCGTACAGTGGTTAACTTTTCTTATGGGAAGACAACCCATGAGCCTCGTCAAACCTTGGTTACCTATGTTCTCGGTCTCCTGGTTAACCTAAAGGCTATTAGTTATACTTTATTAGATCTAGCTCTATTAACCTAGGTAGCTTTGATGGGAAGAGTTACGTTATCGTCCCCGCTACAGCCTCCTCTCCATCGGTATAGTTCTCACGGACGGGTCTGAGGCTTGCAACACAGCCCCCAGTTCCCAACATATTAAACTCTCGGATATTAGCCAAGAGATATGTATATATATCGGCCCTCCCTCCTATTCCATGTCGAACCGAATCCAAGATTCCAAGCTCTCAAGTTTATAACATTCGTTCCTATAAGCTTCGGGCATTACAGATTCAAGATGGGTTACGACAAGTCAGGCGAAACAAGGGCAATAGTCATTACTATTCTCGTACTAACATCAATGCTAATAACTTTCGGTCTCGCCATCTTCGCAGATAGATTACAGCCTGATCACGGCGACGCATCGAGTCTCGAACGCAAGAGTTACGACAATGTTCCGCCTTCCGTTCTTTCACGAGGAGACTCGTAAGTATTTCCACCGCAGACTTCACTCGCAAGCAATACCTCGACTGACAGCGCCAAACAGTGACATCCCCGAGGGAAAGCCCCTCTTCAACATGTCGCGTCCTCACATCGGCGACGTCCCCTACGGCCAAGCCATCTTCTCCTGCTCCAAGCCGGGGCAAATCGCACTGACGTTCGACGACGGCCCCTTTTACTGGACCAACCACGTCTTGGACCAGCTGGACGGGCTCAACATCAAGGGGACGTTCTTCATCACGGGCAACAGCCCGGTCCTGAGCCGGCGCATCGACACGAACCCGGAGTACGCAGCCCTGATCAGGCGTATGCGCTCGAGGGGCCACCAGATCGCCTCTCACACCTGGTCGCACAAGCATCTAAAAGACATCGGGCGCGAGGGCCGCTACAACGAAATGGTGTACAACGAGATGGCCCTCCGCAACGTCATGACCACGCCGCCGACGTACATGCGTCCTCCGTACGGAGAATGGCGCGACCCGGACTCGATGCAGGATCTGAAGGCGCTAGGGTACCACGTCATCATGTACAACATCGACACCAGGGACTACAACTGTAACACGGAGACGGACATCGAGGACTCGATTAGCCTATTCAAAGACGCACTTAGGGAAGATGGTAACGGGTCGTATATCGTGCTGGCGCATGATGTTCGCGAGTGGACGGCGAAGAAGCTGCTCCCGGCTATGATTCACACTATGGACCTGAGGGGATATCACGCCGTGACCGTGGGGGAGTGTCTGGGCGATTCGGAGTTTAATTGGTATAGGGACCCTGATGACGTGGAGGATTGATTAGAGTTATGGTGCGGTGCGGTGCTGTGCTGTTTTCTTACTGTTTGGTGGCGTTTGGCGTTTTTTTTTCGGGAACCCCTAATGGTTGTTTGGCCTACTATAGTAGATGAAAATGGGTTACATGGCATAAATTTATGTATACCCCGGAGACCAGGGGTTCTGATAGTTAGGTAGTTAAACTTATATTTCCTTTCGTACCTACCTAGGTAGCTATTTACTGCTGAGTCTTGTCATGATAGATTCCTGAGTGTCTACACAAAGGTAGCAGGTCTTTAGACAGCTCCACTAAGTGTCCAGCCTTCATGATCTCCTTTCGCCCGTGTACCTACCTAGGTAAATATGGCTGAAATCCAGGTGGCATGTTACTCGCCTTAGTCAGGTCGACCGAGACAATATCAGGTATTTTGTTTGTCTGAGGTACTTTCTGATATACTTCGAGCGGACTGAACTTTCCGGTGTTTTCAACATGTTTTTCTGAGTCATAATCATATAGTTCTAGCGTGTGCTCGAGCTACACTTACTCCGAGTCAAATATTGAGAATTCGTAGCTCTTGGTCCTTTAGTTTCACCCCTGCTCTAGCGATGTCCGATGGCGTGCACGTATCTCAGCCGCAAAGTCGTCGACGCTTTTATTAAACGAGCTAGTGTAGTGAGAAACAGAGTAGGTATCCGTGCGGCAACATTGAAGCTAAAACCACGATCTCCGAGCGCTGATTGGAGCGCATATGTATAGAGAACTAGCATCGCTGGCGAATTACATAGTACTAAGTCCTGCATGCCTGATTTACACCGCTACATACGTATTAGCTTTTCTTGAGACGGAAGAGTTTTCTGCGTAGCTTAAGCAGACACATAGAAAATAGTTCATCGTTGGCATGTGAGTTATCGATCGGGTAGGCCCCAAATCCAACCAAACGGGTTACAAAGCGAATATAGTTACAGTAAAGTAGTAGGTACACAGATGGCCTTGGCCTGCTTTTAGTAGTGTAACTTGTAAGAGAGCCTCTCGGAGCTTAACTTTAACATGTCAAGAAACTAATCCCTGTTTGTAAGTTTGTTTCCTTTTCTTGCGTACTTGGCGTGGTGAGACCTTCACCCCCCCTCCCGGGCCTCCCCCTGTCTCCCCCAGCGGAGAGTCTTTTCTTTGTGGAGGCTCTCCATGGGGTTGACCAATGGGGACGTCATCTCCCCCTCGTTTCCCCTCGTTTCCTTTGTGTTGGGATCTGTGGGACTAGTGTACGTAGTAGTGTATGTCATCTTCGTCCAACCCCATGGGCTGTAGAAGTTGGGGATTTGGAGCTGCGGGGTTTAAGCCCGACTAAAACATCGCCTTGTTTTCCTCGTAGCCATGTCCTGTTCCTTGTCGTGCCCATTCCTAGCGAGGCAATTCGGCTTGATGTCGGGTACGAGACGCGGCGAGGACCGGGACTCGTGACCTGCGTTGTCGAAGCTATTGGTTCCCACGCGGCGGTTATGCTGTTGACCTTGGTCTAACTGTATCTGGTATGAGGTTGGGCGACGCCTTTGTCTCCTGGCTAGGTACAGAATTCAAGTATTATTCATTGGGTATATATCATGTAGATCACCCCCCTCTCATGTAGGCTTTTAGAAAACCTCTCACAACATTGGCGATTGTTCTCACAAGAGGCGACGCATGTATACGTCTGAGTGAGTAGTGACAGAATCGACCTTGTATTGCTCCAAGCAAGAATGGCCAAGATAGAGAGGCTTCCCGGCACTAATGTAGCTAACTTCTTAGAGAAGCGACAGCTGCTTATTGCGATCAACTGCATCGCTGCGCTGGTGTGTATTATACAATATTCCGCGCGCTTTTGTGATAGTTCGCTTACGTCTAACTAACTCGTCATAGTCTATCTTCTTTTTTGGATATGATCAGGGTATGATGTCTGGAGTGAACGGTACGTATAGCAACATGAGGTCTTATAATGCCTTATTATCCCAAACTTCTCCTTCGTGTAAATACAGTAGCTAATACTCAGCAGTAAGTGGGATAACCCTATTATTTCAGCTTGCTCGAGAAAGAATTCAAGCGCTCTAAAAACAGTGGGATTATAAAGCTAACATGGGATATTTTGCTATACTAGAACTCTAAGGACTATATCGATCTCATGGGCCTCGGATATGTCGATCCTGACACAGACGAACCTATTATCACGGACAGTTTACTACAGGGCGGTATCGTCTCCGTCTACTACCTGGGGACTTTAATTGGGTGTCTAGGCGGAGGATGGGTTGGCGATAAAATCGGTAGAATAAAGACTATCGCCTTAGGATCGGTATGGGCCGTTATAGGAGCAAGCTTGCAGTGCTCGGCCATGAATCACAACTGGATGATCTGCGCTCGCGCTGTGAACGGCATCGGAACTGGTATCCTTAATGCCATCGTCCCTGTCTGGTCAGTTATTCCTACGTAGTTGAGCACTTATAACCTTACTTGTCTAATTATATCTAACCTAACTCCTTATCAGGGCGACTGAAACGGCAGAACACACTTCGAGAGGGCAGTTCATCGCTATCGAGTTTACCCTAAACATCTTCGGTGTTGTCGTAGCTTACTGGCTCGAATTCGGCTTGTCGTTCATCGATAATGGCAATTCGGCACTCCGATGGCGATTCCCCATCGCATTCCAAATCATCCCGCTCCTCGTACTCCTAGGAGCGGTCTGGTTCTTCCCGGAATCGCCTCGATGGCTTGCCAAGGTTGGGCGCGTTGAAGAAGCCCGCTTCATCCTGCATCGACTAAGAGGATCGACGGGAGAGGATCTTCAGAGGGCCGAGTCGGAGTTGCACGACATCACTAACATCGTCGCCCTCGAATCCAAAGAGTCTCAAAAGAACTCGTATCTACATATGCTTTTTGGCATCGGCTCGGGCGAGTTGCACACCGGACGACGTGTGCAACTTGTCATCTGGCTGCAGATTATCCAGGAATGGGTTGGTATCGCCGGTGTCACCGTTTACGCGCCTACTATCTTTCGCATAGCCGGCTTCGACACATTTAAGAGCCAGTGGATTAGCGGTCTGAACAACATCTTCTATATGTTCGCTACTCTCGTCTGCGTCTTTACTTTGGATCGTATCGGCCGTAGGTGGACTTTGTACTGGGGTGCTGTCGGTCAAGGAATCGCCATGTTCCTTGCCGGCGCCTTTTCTAAGCTGGGCCAAGATGCGACTGCGAACGGCGAACTGGATAAAGCCAGCTCTTACGGAGCAGCAGCGGCATCTTTCGTATTTATATTCACTTCCGTCTTCGGTGCAACCTGGTTGACGGTGCCTTGGTTATACCCTGCCGAGATCTTTCCTCTCCAGGTCCGAGCAAAGGGGAACGCCTGGGGTGTCGTCGGCTGGTCGATTGGAAACGGATGGCTGACGCTTCTGTGCCCGGTCATGTTTTCGAGTAAGTTTTGTTCTTATTCGAACTTATTATACCTACATCCAACTAAACTGTCCCAGATATTGGTTCCACGACGCTACACATCTTCGGTGCGTGCAACATACTAGCTATTCCAATCGTTTGGGCTCTCTACCCTGAGAGTAACCAGCGGACGCTAGAGGAGATGGACCTCCTTTTTGCAGCACCCACTCCATGGGTTTGGGATGCCGAGAAGACATTTGCGCGACTCAAGGAAGAGCGGCCAGACCTTATTCAGGCTGCTAAAAGAGGCGAGCATGTCGTCGACCCTGAGGCTGGAATCCTAGCGCGCCCCGCAACTCCAAAGAACGAGACGGCTATCCATACGGAAAGCGAGGAAAATGCGTCCCCATAGATAGACTATTATCTCCAACTACAGTGAGGCATGTCACCTTTCGGCACGGTTAATCATGATTTCACCATCTTCTGGCATCTTTAGAGGATCGGTATAAATAAGACGGGTGCTTAAGTATAATAAGGAGAGTGATCCAGAAACACATAGACTCCAGCTGTCTAAGACTAGAATTGGTGAAGAGTATCGATACCCCTGGACTTTAGCGTATAGCCTGAATCAATTATATTTCTACCATTTAAATAATATGTAGTGATATAGTGATGAAACGCCCTTACTTCGTCATCTCTTCTTAGCTGCCCTTGGGCTTGCGTCTTGTACGAAGAAAGCTTCTCATTCTCTGTGCATATAATCATAAGCAGGTATTGATGACACCCTACTCACACCACTCATGACCTAGTCACCTTCCAATGATACTCGACCAAGCCTTTTGCCCTGAAACAAAGATTATTGGTATTAACTCCCAAGGAGTCCTTTGGCCATGGTTATGGCTTTTCGAAGTTAAGTGTATTATGTGTAGCCAGCCCGGAATCTCACATTACCATCCCCATACGGATTAGAGAAAGGGGTATTAAACACTATTTAAGTTCATTAATATCATAACCAGATATTACATGCGCTAAGAGTATAACAGCACGTACCATAGAGCTAGTTGCCATTTAGTCCAGTATCTGATATGCCTATTCAGAAGCAATTCCCTCGCCATTCAGAGCTGCAGCACCCTCAGCAGCCGCCTCGCCTTCGGCCCCGTTGAACCCAATGGCACCATCACCGACTACCAGCGCAGGTGAATAGGCTCCTAGGTTGATATTTAAGGGGGCGCAAATAGAGAGGCCAATGAGCGTGGCGAAGATGATAATAAATGCGGATTTCATATTGCGCTTTTGTTGGATGTAGTCGTAAGTGATAGGCGTGTGGGAAAAGTAGACGACTGGCTCAAGGCGTAAAGATTATAATATGGTGCACCTGTGCACTTCGGAGAAAAGACAAGATATAATCACAAGTGGAAATAAGTTGGGACGAGGACTAGCTACCAATAGAAGAAAGGGGAAGCCATAAAGATGGTGGAGGTATCCGGATTCTTATCATATTCTCCAGATCTCATCTCGATGAACACGCGATTGAACCAACCAGCTATCACACATATTTCCCCTCAAACAGCAATCCAAAAATAGGCATTCGAGTTATACGTTTCGAAGTATCGAGGAGTCTCACACTGTTGTTGAATCTGCCAAGACGCACCGCCAAGGGCCTCAGATCGAGCCAAGCCGTGGGATCGCCGCTGTGTCTGTCGCAGCCCCACGAGTAGTCATACACATGATGTCTGAGAATGGAAACAATCAGTCCGAATACGTTATATACCTAGACCAATTAGGTACCTATATAGAAATGGCGAGGGAAATAAGACCCTAGCTGACGCACTGGTAATTCACCAAGGGACTACGATAACTGCCGTGCTGGTACCGTGGATCTACGTTTCGACCTAATCGCAGTCGTCGAATCAGACAGGCTTGTTCCTGGGTAGCTGATCACAGAGAGACAGTTAGCTTGATGATATTAAGCTAGACAATATGAAGCTAGAGGGCATTATAGCAGTCAGCCGCTTTAGCATTGCCAAGCTGTGTCACTAAGACGTCCTCGGTTGAATATCATACAGCCGAAAATACGTAGGCGTAGCATATTTAACAGCTAAAAGTTACTTCATATCTATCCCCTCGGATAGCCCGTAGTAGAAGATATTTAGTCTTATTAACTACGGGGTTTCTATCCAGTTCTCATAGCAATGACATCTATAGTAGGTAACCAACCTAGAACCTACGTAGATAGTCCTTCAATGAAGCATAATAACTAACCTATATCCCTAGAATACTAAGGGCCTGAGTCCGCTTTCTTCGACCTTTGGTTATACTTACCTCTATACCCATCACACCTATACCTCCCGTTCAGGTTAAAAGGGGTATAGGTAATAGGCCCGTAGTCTAGTCAGTAATATTCTTGAGGCTCATCTCATCACTAGAAGCTTAAAATCATCAGAGACGGGTTGCTATATATTAAGGCTACTTTACATTAGCATTAACATTCCATCAAAGTACCTACCTATGTAGGCCTCGCAACCTCTATATCCAACAAAACCTCCCATCTCAAACCCATTTCTTTCCACCACCTACAAATCCGGCATCTCCTTCAAATAACTCTCCAAACCCTGCAACTCAACCCCCCTCTGCGCATTAAGCGTCCTCTCCATATCCCACGCCACGCCCCTCCCCACAGCCCACACATTCGTATACTTCAGCATCCCATCATCCGGCCTCTCCCTCAACTTCTCCTTCAAGCTCTCCACATCCCACACTTCCCTCGTCCACTCCCCCCCAAACCTCCCCTCCACCAGCTCCGCAACGCGCGCGTACGTCACCGTGTCCCCCGCGATATACACCACCTGCCGCGAGACGTCCCGCGGGTCGTACGCCACCTCCGCTGCCATACGCCCGATATCCGCCGCCGTAGTAAGCGACAGCCGCGCATCCCACGATCCCAAGGCGCGCAGTTTCCGCCGTTGGAGGTCGACGACGCCGAAGGCCGGTAGGAACAGGAAACTCGTGAACAGCCCCGTCGACACGATGATCCAGTCCGTATCCCGCTGCGAGCGCAGCAGCGAGCGCACGCGCAGCTGCTCGTCAAACAAGTCCTGCGCGCTACCACCCCCCACGGCGTCGTAGTCGATGCCCCATTGCCAGGGCAGATACCGCCGCGCCTTAGCTTGCAGGACCGCCTGCGTGAGCTTGACCTGGGTCCCGGGCGGCAGGCCGAAGCCCGAGCAGGAGATTACAGTGTGGTACTTCTTAAACACCCCAGCGAGCTGTTCCGCCGAATCGTTCGCCAGGTCGCCCGCCTCGAAGGCAGCACCTAGGGACTTGAGACGGTCGTTCTGCGTCTTCTTGGTTGGGTCCTGCGAGGAGATGCTTGATTGACGGAGGAAGATGGCGATAGAGCCGCCGTTGCGCTTGGGGTGCGCGACGAGGGACTCCAAGACAGCTGTGCCGAGCTCGCCGGCGCCGATGAGGAGAATAGAGGGGGAAGCGGCCATGTTGGATTTTAGATTTAATCCTGTCCAGGTAAAATATACTAGTTACTTGATACCTAAGTCAACTAGTTACCAGAAGCAACCGACGATTATATATATATGTCAACCGAGTATCACAGCCCCTTTAATACAAGTCAAAGACTCAAAGGAACAAGCTAAACCACGCGCGATGACAAATGAACCCTGCTCGCGGTTAAAAGTTCCAGCATGATTTGAGGTCGAGCTACACGGCTAAGAACCAATCATATTCTGACAATAGGACAATCCTCAGTTTGTAATTAGTAATGCCAGCCTTACCTTCTCCTTATTAGACTGGAGAGTCTCAGGAGATAACGGAGGTTAGACTATTCGACCCGCGGCCCGTCTTGTATGATGATGTATAAACTTGATTAACCCCGAGGGGTCTGGCTTGGCAGGCATAACTGAATCCTAGCTGGTGGAACAGTTTAACTCTGTACGGTCAAGCTTAGCTGATATCTCTATATATCGGGTATTCTTGGGTCGTATTGGATTTGACCTTTTCACGATGTGAAAAGAAGGAAAAAAACAACGTGAAGTAGATAAGACGGTTAAATAGGATATATCTTTAAATTAGAGAAGTAATACTCCCCTCTACGATGTAATTAGATAAATACACAGGTATATATTATTACTCATCGAATGAAGAAAATGAAGTCTCGTGTTTATCCGCTAGCAAATCTATTTGCCATAAGCCAAAGCCCATCGGAAAACACCACCCCTACGTAGTCGCAACACTCACTCATACAATCTGACCCATCCAAGTCTTTCATTCCTAGAGCGTATGTGGATCTTGGGCTACCTCGTACAGCTAACCCTTTCGATAGTGATTAAATTTACTGTCGCTCTAATCCAAGACTCTACCGGCTAGGCTTGAACTGCTCCTGTCCTTCGTCTGCGTCTTCTTCAACGCTTTGCCTAGGCGAACCTCGTTCAAAAAGGCAGCAGGCCTGCCGCCGCCCGAAGGAGCAGCCGGCAAAGCACCTGGAGCTGGAGGCGGTGGTGGAGGGGGAGCACCCATTCCTGGAATCGGCGGTGCGGGTGGCGGTGGCGCCCCGGGAGCCCCGAAATTAGGCATCGGGGGAGGAGGTGGTGGGGGAGCTCCTACACCTGCCTCTGGCATGGGCGGCGGCGGCGGAGGTGCGGCGGGCGACCCCGCAGTCTCTCCGATAGGGGGAGGGCTGAAAGGTGTTGAAGTTACAACTGGCGAAGCTCCGGCAGACTTGTCACCCGTGGCCGATAGTGGTCGAGGAGGACCCATGGAGCCGAAGAGAAGAGAAGCTAGCTGAGCAGCACCGGCGGCTGGACGCTCGTCGTCTGAATCTTCATCATCCTCTTCGTTCCCAGAGCCCCATTCATCGTCTGTGTCTGGTCGCTTTCGAGAAGGAGGCGGTGCCGTTTTGGCCTCCTGGGTTATTCGGAAAAAGGGATTGGTGGACACTTCCGGCTGGGGTGGTGGCGGCGGCGGGGGAACTGGGGCAGGAGCAGCTGGTGCAGCCGCAGGGGGAGCCGCGGAGGACTCCGAGGACTGAGATAACATTCGGCGGTAAGGGTTGCGGCTCTCCGATTCGGAGGGCGGGCTAGCGACGACCGAAGGAGGAGACATGACGGGCGGCGCGGTGGCGGGAGGTGGCGGCGTAGCTTTACGCTCCAGTTCCTGGCTACCGAGCTGACTGCTACCAAGAGTAGGAGTAGATGCTTGAGGGGTGATCTGCTGCGGACCCTCGTCGTCGTCCGAGGAAGAAGAGTCGTCCTCCATCGCTGCGAGTTGCCTTTGAAGTTCAAGTTCTCTTTGGCGTGCAGCTTCGATTTCGGCACGCTGGGCTGCCAGTTTCGCTTCCTTTTCTTTCGCATCAGCCATAGCGGCTTTCTTCTTTTTCTTTTCTTCCTCTTTCTTTAGCTTGCCTTGGCGGACTTGTTCCTCTAAAGCCTTGAGGCGAGCAGAGGCGGCATCGCGTTCGTTGGCGAGTTCTTGCTCCTGTTGTCTGGCCTCATCCCTGTCAAGAGTTAGTCTGAATAACAAATAGAAAATTAGGGTGACATGTTACGTACTCCATTTGCTGGGTAGCTCGCTGTTGCTCTTCGTGCTCTTTGGCGAGACGTTGCTCCTCGGCTTTCCTAGCGCCCTCTTCCTCTTCAGCTCTCTTTGTAGCAGATGCATCTTCATGCTTCCCACCTTTCCTCGAAGGAGGCGGAGGTGGTTTCTTGGTTTCCGTCTTGAGTGCAGGAGTAGGAGGAGCCACGCCTTGCTCCTCGGCAATTCTAGCTTGCCGCTCTTGCTCGCGTCGGGCGTCCTCTTCTTCCGCTTGTCGGCGTTTGGCCGCACGTTCTGCCTTCTCACGTTCCAATTTCTGAGCGGCAGTCTCCCCGGGCTTAGAAGCCGTCTTGATTCCAAGAGCTGCAAGGCGCTCGGCCATACGCTGTTCTGCTTGCTGTTTAATAAACGCGGCCCTCTCCTCTGGGGTTTTATACGATGAGTACGACCCGCCGGCGGGCGCTGGTGACCGGCTGGTTGGTGGCGTGGCAGTGCGGGTTGTTGACGAAGGACTGCCCAAACGAGCTGGCGGTGCTTCTGCTTTAACGGGCTCGGCCGTGGGTGCTCGTCCACCCTTACGATCCTGGGCCCTGACTCGAGCGGCCCGGCTCGAACGTTGCAAGTCGAATATGAAGTCTCGCACCTCATCCTCCACGCCGAGGGCATCTTCCCATCTCCTTTTTTCGTGCTCATTAGCAGCACTCTCGCCGCCTTCTTTGAGGTTCTCTTCGATACCTCGCGAAAATTCACGGACACTCTCCTCTACGTCTCGGACCATACCCTCGTTGATATCCTTTTCGTTTCGAACTTTGAGGCTCTCTTCTTCTAGCCTCTTCGCCGCATCCCCTTCATCATCACCGATGTCTAACTTCTTGCCAGTCAGCGCAGCCGTCCTCTGCTGCATCATGGCCTTAGCTCTAGCCTTGAGACGGTCCGACTCGGTGATCGAGCCGCCCGGTCCAGTGCCGATGATGTTAGAGGCGCTTCCGGGATGCGCTTTCGCGTCTCTGAGTCGGAAGAGTTCAAGCCTAGCTTCAGCAATAGCCTTTTCGGTCTTTCTAACCTGGGAGGCTAGCTCAGGGATCTTATCGGTAAGGTTCTGTAGCTGGCGCTTCAGAGACCTCCTTTCGGCTTCAGAATCGCCACTTGCAAGGGCAGCATCAGGATGGGCGTCAATATCGTCTTGGATTCGCCTAATACGACGGTATAGCTCCTCGGCCTCGCGCCGATCACGTCTATCAAGAATATCATCCTCCTCGGCGGCTGCTTCGTCCTTGAAATCCATGGCATCTAGGAGGACTTGCTTTTCTCGAATCTTCTTCTTTAACTGGTCAATAGAAAGTTCGTCGTTAGACGTAACAGACGAAGGTGACTCTGGCCGGGGGGAGGAATTTCCGATCCTGCGTCGCGCGCTCGACCGGTACCCAACTTGATCGTCGTTATTTTTGAACACGGTCGCATCTTTCCGTCCAGCATTCAACCCAGCATTTCCTTTAAAGGAATGGCTCTTCAAGTAGCTAACTCCCGTCTTCTGGGGAAGTAAAGCGGCGCCTGAGTTCTTGCGGAAATCAGACTCTTGGCTTAGCATGGACTTGATAGTACCAAGTGATTCGGTAAAGTTGCGGGTAGACGGCGGTACGAGCTCGGGTGGTAGCACATTAGGAACGGGATAACCGTTTAGTTTTCTGTAGATTAAGTGCATAGCTACGGCAAACTCGTCAAGGTTGAGTTTGCCCTTGTTTCCGTTGTCGGCGAGGGTCCATATTCGCTCAAGATCCGGCTTCTCGAGACCGCTTTGGCCGAAGATTTCTATCGCCTGATCCCCCCCGATAAAACCTTTACCTAGACCATCCCACGCCCGGAATAATTGGTCGTAGCGGGTCTTCTCGTCCTTAGTAATGGCCCACGGAATCACTGCGTTACCGGATAAGCCGGCAGTAGTATAATTCTGCTGCTCGCGACCTGCCTGCGGCATCATTCGGGCCTGTAGCGCGTCGATATTAGGAAGTCCGGTTGCTGGGGCGTTGACTAGGCCCCATTGGCCGGGCATTCCAGTCGGCTGCGCATTGAGAGGAAGTGCGCTGGCGGGAGACAACCCTCCAGGAAAGCCCGTAGGCATAGGTGGCATAGGTGGCATAGGTCCGTTGTACCCGGTCGGTTGCGGGTTATTCAGGCCTCCTGGAAACCCAGTCTGCTGTGGCTGGATTCCTTGACCAGGGAATCCCGTCATCTGCGTCTGGAGTAACTGGGAGTTAGATGACATGGGCTGAGGATGCTGAATCGTCGGTGGCGTGGCAGTATTCTGCCTGGTGAAATCTGCGGTATTTGCCGCACCAGAGCTAGCAGCTTCTTCCGCGATACTAAAGTTGATTATATCGACCATACTCGATACTTCATTCTTGATATTATCCGGTAGACTTCCAGGGAGCGTTTTACCCACAAGCTTCAAATTGCAGAGGTACATAGCTAGCGCAAATTCGGGGAAGTGTAGTTCGCCAGATCGAGTGGTATCCGAAAGAGTCCTATCCAGAGGTTAGATAATTGCCAATTAGAAAGCTGATGGTAGTATACTATACCATATATGTGACAGAGAATCTCCATCAAGTCTCGATCGCAGTAATAGGTCCCGGGCCTTCTCTCCAGACATCGTCGACCCGTCACCCACAGCCGATTTAAACAGCGTCTCAAACTTGGCCTGATCTTGGGCTGTGATAAAGGATAACCTAATGTTCGGTATCTTGTTTGTAGGCTTATGAGCCCCTCGACCCGCCGCCAGCGACTCGGACGCGCCACCGGTCTTGAACGAAGCAGCCATCGCGCTGAAGCCTGTCGGTTGAGGATTGATTGCTGGTGCCGGGGCAGATAACTGGGACGGGGCTTGCGAAGCGGCTGCTGGCGCGAATGAGCTTTGGGGCTGTTGCTGGTTGAATTGGGCCTGAAATTGGGAGGGTATCTGCGGTACTGGCGGAGCGCCCGTCTGGAAGTTTTGCTGCTGAGGAGCTTGACCGGGAAACCCGGTGAACTGAGGCTGGAGATTTGGCATAGGGGGTTGTTGCGGCATTCCCTGAGGCATTCCCGTCTGTTGGGGTTGTATGCCTTGCGCACCAGGGAAACCTGTATACTGCTGGGTTAAGGGGGCCTGCCCATATCCCGTCGGCTGCGGTGCGAATGGACTCGGCTGCTGCTGCCCCGGCTGTTGCTGTTGGGGTTGTTGGCCTGGAACACCGTACGAGTTGCCATACTGCTGGCCGGGTCGCAGGCTGTTGCCGCCCATGAACGAATTAGAATTGGAATACATATTGATCCGATTATCTCTAGACTGAAAATGGTGTTGCTAAAGGAAGTGCTAGAGGAACAGACTAGAGAGGTCCTAAGGACCTAATAGTGCTGCTCGATGATGATGATGTTAAAGAAGTAAGAAAGCCTGTAGAAAGTCTGTGGATTGGAAATATGTTCAATTGTTGTAGATGACGAAGCAGCCGAAGCAAGCAGCTGCTAATCAAACGGGACAAGGAGTGGCTTGGCATAATTTAGGCGCACGACCGCTAAACGCGAACCAGCAACAGGCTTCAATATTGGCTCAAAACTCAATGGCTGGGTGTACGTACCTATCAAGTGGATTTTTATATGCAGATCTCACGTGCGTATGTACCTAATGTATTCCGTCCCCACGTACATAAGGTATTCAGAGCTTATGTATAGGAGGTAGACATATAATTGCATTCAAAATTTATTCACGGCTTAACCTGTGTTACGTACTGTATGAATATCAACCTAAGCGATCAGTTGACGACCAGGTAGATTTATGTTCGTCTGCTTTAGCTATTCTTTTGCCCCGTATTTACTACTTTATCGTCTGCATTATACTACCACCCCTATTACTTGAATAGCTAAGTTACACACATCTCCTTTTACCACCTAAAGCTGTACTGCCTCCTTCATCAACTTTCCCCAGTGGCACCTGTCATAATGTAGACTTTGTCTCCTGGCTATCGGCTCTTTTAATTACTGCTTCTTACTGGGCAGCCGAAGTAGGGAATTGGTCGGCATTCTTCTTGGCCCACGCCCCGAAATCGATCTTCGAGGCGGCCTTCTTTAGAGCACCAGTTAGACCGAACTGGGTTGGGATACCCTCAACCCGGTGAGTCGAGTTCAGGTTCTTGACTAGAACAATCTGGTAGCAAGTAGCAGTGCCCTGTCGAGAAGCGATAGTTGAGGACGCAAGGAAGTATTCCCAGATCTATTTCGACTTGTTAGCCACACAATATACATCCCGAGGGCTAGTTCATGGCAAACTTACGCGGAACCATCTCTTTCCATACTTAGCTTCAACCTTCTCGCGGTTGGCCAACCAGTTCCTATACCAGCGCCACAGAGTTGCGGAATAGTGCACACCGATCGTGTCGAGTCCCTTGATTTCCCACCCGGCACCTTCCAGTCCGCTAATGAAGAAGTCGAGAGGAGTTGACGCGTCGGCACCGGGGAAGACATATTTGTTCATGAATAAGCCCCAGATAAGATCCTCGTATTGCCAAGGCTTTCGAAGACCAGCAATCTGTAGGAAGAAAACTCCATCATCGTCGAGCATATCGTAGACCTGCTTCAAGAAGGTACCGAACTTACGAACACCAACGTGCTCAGCCATCTCCAGACATGTGATCTTCTTGTATCCGCCCTGGGGCACCGGGATATCTCGGTAATCCATGCAGAGAATCTTGCTCTGTTCCTCAGGAATGCCAACGTTGCGCAGAGCCTTGTTACCCCACGCAGTTTGGTTGCGGCCGAGAGTAACACCAGTAGCATGGGCACCGTAGTTGACACTTGCGAATCGTGCGAGGGTACCCCAACCGCAACCGATATCGAGCAGCGACTCGCCTTCCTTCAAGTCGATCTTCTCGCAAACAATAGCTAGCTTGTTGTCCTGAAGTTGCTCCAAGGTCTCCTCGGTGTTGATGTCCGAAATAATACCAGAAGTGTAGATCATACGTGGGCCCAAAAACCACCCGTAGAAGTCGTCACCACGATCGTAATGGTCACGAACCTGTTCCTCATCTTGGTGGAGTTAGCCGGCGGTTATTCTTAGCAGTTAATGCCTGTAATATCTTACCTTGACTCCGAGTGTGCATGATAACCTCAGGGATCATGCCGAACAAGAAGTACTTGCAGAGACCCCAGGTAAATCGGAAGCTTGCCCAATCATGTCTGTATTCCATAACTTCGAGGCAATCACCGTTGAAGTCGACATCACCATCGAAGTACATTTCGTAGAAGGTCTCTAGGGGGATCTTGTTCTTGCCATGATACTTGAGCTTATCAGATTGCTTCTTGAAAGTGAGGTAGTGTTCGATCGGCCGTCCGGGGTATCTGGCTTTCTCGTTCCTTCGAGGACTTATAGAAGAGATAGTGAGCCAGAAACCAGCAAGAATAGGGATGCTGGTGAACAAGGCGAAGAATATAGCAGTCTTTAGACCACCTCCGACTTTCCATGACATCCAAAGAGGGACACCGCCCATCAAAGAGAATAGCAGGACATTAGAGAAGGTGTCAGAACCAGCCGAATCCGCGGGGAGAGGTGCATTTTTAATGGATGGGTACTAGAAAGATAATGTTAGCTTCCGGAATGCTTCTATAAGACGAGTTTACCGAATCCGTGGATTCCGATATGAAAAGATAATAACAAAAAGAAAAGAAAAGACCTACCGATGTAGTTGGCACACCGCAGTCCTCAAACTTTTCGAAGGTAGGAGTGGGAGCTTTGGGAGTTTCGATGAATTCGAACTCGGATTCGCTCCCATTGACACTATGAGGTTTTGACATAGTGAAAGGTTGCAAAGCCAATGAGGGCCGGGAAAGACTTTGCGATAACCTTCTTTGTGTCTTGAAGAGTTGGAAGAAGAATTTGTGGGAAAAGCTTGAGGTAGTTCAGAGTATTTCTTGCCCCTTCCCACTTTCACAGACCGCCCTCCTTCCTGCATGTCCAAACCCGATAACCAACCCGATAACCCTTTTCACGAATTGGCGTCTCTAATTGGCGGAAAACTCTAAGCTAGAACCACAGTAGATGCCGTTCCGTTGTAATCATAGTGGGGTTGGCCACGACTTAGAGCTCCAACGGTGTGAAAAACCCCCACTTACCTTTACGATCCAGCGGTCCAGGTACTAGGTTATCCCCACTACTGAGCTAACGCTAAGCTTCCAAAAATTGAATAGGGGTCAACACCTAGGTAGGATGCATCTACATGTAAGATACATCTAGGATACACACAGGTGTTTGACCAGGAAAGCAAACATAGCCACGTTGATTTCTACATTGGAAGTAATACCATCTCAGCTACTAGCTAAATTTGATAGGCAAGGTATACCCTTAAACAAATACTCTCAGACTCTTATTTCTGCACAAGACCTGGCAGAAAATAACATTACGAAGTACATAAAACCCACCTCTCAAAATCTAGTACCTTGGCGTAAAGGCCACGTTGTTCTGTAGAGCCCATTCAAGGCACTACTATGTATGATACCGATAACGCACTGGAATCTGCAACTTGTCCTTATGTAGTAAGGCATGACTCGTACAGACACAGTACCGAGGCAGAGCTACCGCTCTAGGATTAAACGACGTTGAATCGTGAACAACCCGCCCGGTAATAGGAGACAACATCCGTCGTTGTCTCGTAAATATATCAAAAGAGCCTGTAGCTCACGCATACGTGTGGTAGCTGGAACACTCCGTACCACCAGGGTTCGATATCGTACAAGATAATAGCCAGGGATCGACCGGGGGATAATACAAAAAGCGATGTCCACAAGACGGTTTACCACCTAGGACTACACCGACAATAACGTTGTAGTTCTAAGTCAAATACGGCGACTTAAAGGCAATCGTGTCCTCAAGGCCTTAGATCGCCGCCATGCTATTTAGGTGTCATTCCGCTTTGACTATACCAACAATTCATTATAGGTCCCGGAAGAGCCTCGTTGATGTGTTGAGCACCAATTTGGTGGAAACTGGTACTGTGAATAGCTCAACAATTCTAGTCTCAACCATGTCTAGTTCCCCTACGTCAGTATCACATCGAACAGTATGTATTAAGGCGTATTAAATAGTTTAACAGAGGGTGTATTACAACCTCTAATTTGATCTGGCACGACACCTACTCAAACGATAATCGGGTCACCAGCGGTCCTAGTCGACGGAAGATATTCGGCGAGTATCTCATCCCGAGTGGCAAATCCCGTACGTGGTGTTATGTTCTGTGCATTAACGGACCCAGCCTAAGAAATCCAACATTCACCAATAATGGGAAGTCGTGTTGTAGATATAGGAACGAGGCGATATTGTGTAGTCAGTATAGCGTGGTACGCTGAGTAGCCGCCGGTATTCCATTCGATCGAACTGACTAGTCATTAGCCAGCTCTTTCAGCGCCTGTAACTGCGTTCGGAATGTCTATGGCTATCCCGGTCTCGATCACGATGATGACTATGGCCGTAATCTCGTCGCTCGCGTTCGCGTTCAGACTTGTAGCTATCACCACGGCGATCATCACGGTCTCGCCTCTCCTTTTCTTTATCCCTCCTATACTCATTAAGACGGGGTCTGTGTTCACGATGCCCGTGTTTTCGAGCCAACTCTCCCTTCCTAATCTCTTCATCCTCCTTAGAACCAAGTCCCATCAGATTTGGCCGCTTTTTGACTTCTTTTGGCTTCGCACCGCGCTCCTCGCCGTTCCAACCCATTCCGCGTAGCATGGCCGCTCCAAATTCGCCCTCAGGTATCTGATCGTACTCGTCTATGGTCGATACCTCTGCAGCTTCTTCCATTCTACGACGGTAAGCATCTTGTTCCGAAAGCGTCGTGGGTGTGCTATGGCTTGATTTGCCTTCGATAACGAGGTCCTTCGTAAATTTTCGTTTCTTGCCCAAGAGAGCATCTATAGCATCGGTATCTTCGTTCGCAGGAACTTCAGATTCATCGCTGGGATGGACTACTCCACGGTCGGCTGTTGTAGACCCTTCGTCTCTTGACGGACTCTCATCTGGATTGTCAGGATCATCTTGTACTGGTTTCTTCGTCACGGTAAGACCCCATTTGATTTGCTTGTCCTGGTCGGCCGGATCTCTTTCTGCAGAGTCGCCAGATTCCGCCCGCCTTGATGGTAAACTGTCCCTGGTGCTCTTCTGGGATTTCAACTCAGCCTTCCAGTCACGGTTCTTGTGGCCGGTTATCACGTAGGGTGCGTTGGCGCGTCCCGATTTGTCCGTCTTCAGATTTCGCCTCTTAGCTTCAGATTCAGATACATCATCACCAATAGTTGTGATTACTTCGTGTCGAGCTTCGTCGTCGCTCCCGGAATCGGAATCATGGCTGAGAACGTGTGGTCGCTGACGTTTGCCTAATGTTGATGGCGGCTGGGAATGTGCTTGTTTCTTAGCTCCGTTGACAGACTTCGAGGATGACGATGTACCAAATTTAATCGCTATGCGCGGAGCTGGTTCAGTCATTTTGTTTGATCCAAACAGCCGTATGAGGCGGGGCAAGAAATATAGCTGTTTGGTACCGATACGCGAAGGCTAATAAGGTAGCGAAGAGTTGTTGTTTTATTGTTTAGTATGTAGCTGGCGACGTAAATCTAAGGCGAAGTTGTACATTGGGTAGACCTTCCGGAGGTAGCATTCCATCAGGCGGCGGGTCAAATGTGGCTAAAAGCCATAAATTTCCAATCCAGCTTGGATTATCTAATAAAGTGTGGCTCACCCCATATGCATTCACCCGTGGACCTTGGACCCCAAAGATAAACGAAGTACAACCTACCTAGTTACATAGTGTAATACATGTATTTCCTCATAACTTAACGCAACTCTAAATCTTTCAAACAAATGGAACATGATATTAAAGAAACAAAATATCGGGCGCATATAATATACTATGGTCAGAGGGCTCTGGTGGATACTAAGCGACTATCTAAGTCCTGATAGATAGGTAGGTAGGTACCTAGGTATTGAAGTGCATTTGATACATTAGGTACATGTAGTAATAGGAACAAACACGTTGAACGCCTTACACATACGTGTACCTACCTCCTAATGTATAAGGTTGATAGGTACCTTCCAAGTTGCATACGTGGATGAGGAGAGCAGGAGGGGCAAACAAATTTGTATACATATAGGGCTTATAGAAGGTGCGTTAGGGAACTTAGGTACTAGCAATAGCACTCGGCAGAATGGGTCAGCACTGTATGTCGGTCTAGCCAGGCCTATCAGAACGCCCCTGTGCACTGAAGTGGTCGGTACCATAGGCTACTATAGGCTTCATCTGCGAAAAGGAAAATAAAAAAATCAATCCAAGAGACTTCCTGTCCATGATCGCGAAGATAGAATTCAATTAATACAACACAACGCCATCATTTCCATCACTCAATAATATCGGATTCATCTCCAGCGGTACCATTAAGCCTGGAGAGCCATCCGTTTTCATGTAAAACGGATGTCGCGGTGGTCGATGCTATGACTGAGGTCGTGCCCGCCGACCGCACGAAGCTTCTGCAATCAAAGCGGGCAGAATGCAGGTCAGTTATATATTCGGATGAGTAGAGCTAATTGATCCGATACTCATGATATATATTTTTATAGTGCTATCGCTCGTTCGAGGAAGAGAAAGCTCTGCGTTCTGTATGCGGTCGCCACGACTCCGGATGGCCTCCCACAACGAAGCTTCGCCGATCCAGACGCGCCACCAGCTAATGCTGCCGAGTTGAGTTTTCTTGAAGGTTGCGATATCTTACAGTATGTTTAAATATCGCGTCCTTTTATTATTTATATATTCTATCTCCGATCGCGTTTGGGCAGTTGGGAATTAGAAATATTTGGTGGATTTGATATCAAGGCCTTGAAAACATTCGTCGTCTACCTAATGGTATTTATTTGTTCATGTTGCTAATTACTAATTTTATAAATTAGAGGAAGAAAATTAAACGAGTTAAATATTCCTACGCGACTTCGAGTTCGATCCGAATACCCTCCACTTACCCGACCCGGCGAGACTTTCATCACAAGCGAAAATGCTCATCAGAATAGGAAGAAAGATGTTGCCGCTATCGTGCGACCCGTTATGGCACTGCCTTCGATACAGTCGCGACCAGGAATTGGTGATAGCCAAACGAATCTTCCTTCCACTCTACCAGCATCCATACCAGCATCCAGTCCCGGATTGAAGCAGCATCAGCCAATTTGGCCCATCCAATCTTCCGGACGACCTATAAGATCAGATCCTCTCACTCCGTTACCAAATGATTTATCTAAACCTAGGTTTCCGTCTGGTGAACATGTAGAGCATCTACCCGCGAACGATAGGCCTGATGGAATCCCCAAGGTTCCAATAAGTCATGCTGCGACCTCCGTTAATCTTCCTCAACCACAAGTAGTTCAAACTCTTATGAATGAGCAGCGACAGCAGCACCAGCACCAACAACAACCACTACAGCACCCACAGCAACAATACCACCAGCAGCAACAACAACAGCAGCAGCAGCAACTTCAGCAGAAGCCGCAACAGACACCGCAACATACGGGCACGCATTTAGGAGGTACTCACAATGGCGAGCCGATGGATATTGACCCTGTCCCAGCTACGAAGCTTGAAGAGAAGGTGGCTGTGGCTCGCTCGGTTTCTCAGGTCGACGGCAGGGACGGAGTTGATGACGCATCCTCAAGTTCAACAACACCAATTCTTTCCAGTACAAGGAACAACGTAGATGCAGCTCGTGAAAGTGTGCCACTTGCGGACAGTACAGAGGCTAAGCTGGCGGGAATGAAAGATGTGGCGTCGATGAGACAAAATCCATTGAGCTTAACGCCCTCAGAGCCGATCGTGGCTGGAACATCCGAAAACATTCCGAACCGAGTCAAAGACCAACCGCTGCCAACACCCACCATTGTAACAACAACGGAGCTACCAACTAATACAAACCCAAAAGTTGATTCGATACAACCGCTAAACCCCCCGTTATCTACTAGGCAACCTGGGAAGCCTGTGACCACAAGCTTCGAGCAGACTACGAGTAGTTTCCATACTATTTCACAACTGCCCGTGCAGCAGCCTCCTAACAATGATTCCTTTGCTTTTCCGACTACGGATACGAGGAACGAGAAACCGCCGACTGACACAAGCGCAACTGCTGCCGGGTTTACGAACGGCGTTGTTCAGGTTGAAAGCAAGAACGAAGTCATGGAGAAAGAAGTTTCGGTGGCGCCTGTTGACTCGGCTCCGATTACACCGCAACTCGACTCTGAAGGAACTCAACGTTCCCCTCAACCAACGCAATCTCATCAGCCTATTCGAGAGCGAAGTAGCAGCCCTACGGGGGTTGCTCGACAGAAGCCGGTTTCTGAGATCCTTAGCGAACCGCCGAGGAGGTCGAGAAAATCCCCATCCGATCATACAGCATTGGTGACACCAACAACGTCTCAGTCGTCTCGACAGCATTCGCAAAGCCTTTCCGAAAGGTCTAAGCTTATAGAGAAAAGTAAACGGTCAACAGTAGTGTTCGGTAGACAGACTAAACCTACAGGAGACTCGGATAAAACACTAGTTCAGAATCAGCAGAAGGTTGGGCAGATAGCTAGTGATGACTACTTTACTCCCCTGTTTGTCCAAGCGTTTGCCTCGAACTCTAAATGGATGAGACCCCTGGACCAGATTTTACACCAGGCCCATAAGACATTGTCAACGCCTGATTCTTACACTCAGATACTTGATAATCAAGCTTGCAAGGTCCTTAAGAGGGTTTATCACTTGCAACATCATAACAAGTGGTCTTTACGCCAACCAAAACGTTGCCCTGAGCCCACGCGCCAACCATGTCACTGGGATGTTTTACTCAAAGAGATGAAATGGATGAGAACTGATTTCCGTGAAGAGCGAAAATGGAAGATGGCAGCCGCCCGGAACCTTGCTTATGCTTGTGCCGAATGGGTGTCAGCTCCTATAGAAGATCGCAAAGCCCTCCAGGTAGATGCCATCATACCTCCTAGGGTGTCAGCCGATGCTGGAGAAGTCATTATGGGTGATGCGCATATCCCCCAGAGTTCGGATAGCCAACCGACGCCGGACCTTATTCCATCCGCGGACATGGATTCCCCGATGGAGCCAGACGATGAGCCTCGTGAGGACATTCTCGACACAGTAGCTCCATCAGCTATATTCGCTCTAGAAAATGACGATATAGTGTTTGCATTACATCAGTCTCCTACCGCGGATCGGCTACTTGAAGAACTGCCTATTTACGGATCGCCGTTGAAAGTCCCCAAGTCCGACCTCACTGCGCCAGAGTACGACCCCGATGCCTCATGGAGACGCCCCGCACTGCCACTAAGCAAATTCGTGGAGGGCCGAATGGAACTCACGCCGATTGAGCCGCCAAAGAAGCGAAGCCGGTACAATTATGCACAGGAGGACGACGAGGATGATGGGGTCGTGTTCGGTCAGCTAAACAACAGCCAACCTCGACTAGAGCCAGAAAGCCCCGACGTGGCGCTCTTTCGGCCTGAGAATAAAAGTTTCAGAGATAGACTGCACGCTGGGCATCAATTCCGCCCGCCTAACGAGCATTCTATGCCTTTCCAGTCGTTTTATGAGTGCCGTAGCCCTTCCCAATGGATACAGTCCGAGGATGATGAACTGAAGGGCCTCGTCCGTGAGTATTCTTATAATTGGTCTCTAATATCTAGCATACTCTCCTCCAAGTCCTTATTCAGCTCCGGGGCTGAAAGGCGGACACCATGGGAATGTTTTGAACGCTGGGTTATGCTCGAGGGACTTCCTCACGACATGCAGAAAACACAGTATTTCAAGCTATGGCAGGGCAGAATTGAATCGTCACAGCAAGTTATCCGGCAGCATCAAAACGCGATGCAACAACAAGCGCAGCAGCAGCAGCAACAGCAAGCTAACTCTAATGGTCCCGTCACACCGATCCCTAAGAGGCGGTACAACGTTCCATTGAAGGTAGAGAGGCGGCGTAACCAGAAACACCTGACGATGATAGACGCGATGAGAAAGCTTGCAAAGAAACGTGAGACGGCCATACAAAAACAGCAGCATGCCGCTTCTCTCGCAGCTACGAGAAAGCCAAACGAAACACCCCAGCAAAGAGCCCCGACCAAGACCCCAAGAGAATATAGTATCATGCGATTCGAAAGAGATCAAGCAATGGCCGAGAGGTTGGCGGAGAGGATGGCACAACAGCAGCGTCACGAGGCCCAGCGCAGAGTATGAATCTCCCTTTTCCTATCCTAGGAATATTGACCGAATGACACTAACATACGTACTTAGGCTGCCCTTCAAAGAGCACAGCAAGGACAGGTTGCACAGATGGCAGCCGCCCAGAATGTGAATCAGCTCCCGCAGAACAATCCTCAGATGGCAGCCTCTCATCCTCATGCGGCTATGGCTCGTGTCGGTGCTCCTAATCAAATTCCGATGAACAGTCAAGGTCGTCCGCGAATGCCCATGCATGCCACTCCAAATGGTACCGGAGCCTCCAATCACATGAGCGGCGGTCTCGTTCCTCCTATGCAGATGAATGGCACCTCTCAAGTGCAGATGCCTACAGTTAATGGCCAGTCGCGGATGGCGATGCCCACCGCACAGCCAGACATTCAGCTCTTGATGCAAGCGCAGCAGATTTCCGAGCAACAGCGACGCTCGGTACAGATGCGGCAGCAACAGCAACAACATCAGCAACAATCTCAGACTCCGCAAGGAAGCATGCCTTTGCAAAATTCGCCCCCCGCTATGCGTGCTGCCGCGATGAGCGGATTGAACCAGAAAAGCTACCTTACCAATGCCCAGGCCCAAGCAATGATGGCCCAATTCAACAACGGAAATGGTTCAGGAATGTCAACCCCTCCCGCACCGGGTCTTCCCATGGCGTCCCAAGCAGGGTCGCCGCGACCAAACGCGACAATGTCTCAACCGACGCATCAGACATACGTCTCGCAGCTGCAGCATATCGAGAATCAGATCAGACAGCAACATCCCAATACGCCACAGGATATGGTCCGTGAGATGGCAAGGCAGCTGCTAAATACCCGCCACAATAACCACAACCTTGCACAGTCTGCGATGAACGCTGCTGCGGGAGGTACAGGACATGCCGCTGCTGCTAATGGGCCACACCAATATGCTCAGCTACTTAGGGCTCAGCAACAGCAACAAGCCGCCGCCGCCGCCGCCGCAGCGCAGGCCCAACAGGCACAAGCTCAAGCTCAAGCTCAAGCTCAAGCCCAACACGGAGCACAACAACAGCATCAGCGGAACTCGAGCGGAAGCGCGACACCAACACCGTCTGTACCTAAGTAGGCTCACGATGCACCATGTCATTCGTCCAACGCGGTGCCCGTTGATCTGTTCGAGAGTACAGAGGCATGATGTTGCTAAACAGAGTTCGCCTCATTTTCTGAGAGGTACAAGATAGCGATAATGTTTCGATATCCTCGGCTTTTTCAGTTTTAGACTCATCATACCTGTCTCGACAGACCTTAACCTTGGAAGATTTCGAGATTGCCTAGGTAGTGATCGAATCCTCACCAGAAGAGGCTCTGAGCCTACCAATTTACGACTGGTAGCAGATTTCAATAGGATTATCCTGCCGTCGCATCGCTGCGGTGTATCAGAACCTTGCTATACCCGTTTATTGGGGGGTCGTCGTGTCGATATTTACATGAGCCCACGTCTTATCCCGAGTCCTAAGATTAGGCCATTCCTGTCACTTGAGTCGACAGGAATTCGAAGTCGACACTATACCAAGATGTTCCAAGCTTATAGCCAGAGGGTATAGCGCCAATAGCCATGCGGGGAAGCAAGCCGGGTTTCAGAACTCGGCCGCCCTCGATTATCAGCGTCTGGGTTCTGTAAATAATAACTGCTGTCTTGGCCAGTAGAGGCATCTTAAGCAGATAGCGTTCACGTATGAAAAAAAGAATCACAATTTAAGACAAACGATGCAGTAATATAATGACATGTCATCTAAGTGCTATGCCCTTCAGAATAGTTTGTCATAGATCCCTTTATTTTATTTTATGTTAAAATATGTTAAAATATGTATATAAGCAGCATCTACATATGTACATAGGCAGTACGTGTAAGTACCTAATCGATTTAGCTATCCAGATATATCCCACTTTATCTATTATTCTCCACTTTATTTTTTCCCTTATCATGGATCGATTCTCTTCAGTGTCCAAATTTTCTTGCGAAACTCAACTGTCGAAGCTAGCTCAAATCGAAAACACAGCAGAATGGGCAAACGAAAGCGGACAGACGCCCCTACTAACGGGACCAAAACCCAGGAATTAACTATTCTTAAGAAACCCAAAACCACCGAGTCGTTACCAGCAGAGAGAGAGAGCTCTTCCCCATTGACGATCCAGGTTGTTACGGGATCTTATGATCGAATTCTCCACGGATTGACGGCTACTATCTCGGCAGACGACCAGGTCGAGTTTGCTGACACCTTTCTATTCAATGCGCACAGCTCCGCGATACGATGTATAGCACTCTCGCCCCCCTCGGCACCAGAACCGGGCAGGCTGCAAAAGGTCATGCTGGCCTCGGGTAGCAGCGACGAGCGTATCAACGTCTATAACATCTCGGCGCATCCGCCCAGCCTCAAAGACCAAGGCGCCTTATCCTCCGTCATGCCTCGAAAGACATTAGAGAACCCCAAGAATCGGGAGATTGGAACACTATTACACCATTCATCTACGATCACCAAGTTATCTTTTCCTACGAAATCCAAACTCATCTCCGCCTCCGAAGACTCTACCATAGCTGTCACGAGGACGAGGGATTGGTCCCTACTGTCAACTATCAAAGTCCCCGTACCGAAGCCTCTGGGTCGGCCGAGCGGCGATACGGCAGCGCTAGGTGCGACGCCGGCCGGTGTTAACGACTTCGCCGTACACCCGAGCATGAAACTTATGATCAGCGTGAGCAGAGGCGAGAGATCTATGCGATTGTGGAATTTAATGACGGCTAAGAAGGCCGGCGTGCTTAATTTTAACCGAGACATGCTACAAGAAGTAGGAGAAGGGAAGCATGCGCTAGGGGAGGGCAGGAAAGTAGTCTGGGGTAGCACCGAGGACGGTGATGAATTCTGCGTAGGGTTTGACAGGGACGCACTAGTGCTAGGCATGGACAGCACGCCAAAATGCAGGGTTATGCCAGAACCGAGGAAAAAGATACACGAGCTCTGCTACGTCACAATAGACGGCGGAAACGATTCGTCGCTGCTTGCCGTGTCGACCGAGGACGGGAAAATCATGTTCTTCTCTACGAAGAGCCAGGATCTCACGCCGGGCAAATCGTCTACGGAAGGAAAGGGAAAGACGACGCTGCCAGTAGCCAAGTTGATTGCGGAGCTTGGCGGGAAGGAAGCCGGGGTTTCGGGACGTATTAAAGACTTCAGCATCGTAAAAGCCCCAGGGAAAGACGGGGCAGGCAGTTTGTTCATAGCTGCGGGTAGCAGCGACGGAAAGCTTCGCGTCTTCAAGCTCGCCGTCGAGGAGCTCAAGGAGGCGAAGGCTACGAAGACGGTGGGCAAGCTGCTCGGCACTTACGAGACCCAGAACAGGATAACGTGTGTGGAGGCATTTGCGATGATACCCCGGCCGGAGGGCGTGGAGGATAGCGAGGATGAGACGGAGGATATGTCGGATGAAGATGAGAACGAAGATGAAAAAGACGATGAAGATGATGATGAGGATTAAGACGGAAGTAATGAATTAAAAGCTTATGAATAATAGCTGCGGAAAAGCTCGAACTATCATCAAGACCAGTAATAGTTGTGTTACAATATCCATTCCCATGAACTATATATCAGCACCTAAGGTAGTTTTAAGAGGCATGTAAGCCCATCTAGATCTATTATCGCTACCGAGAAGAACAGCACTTACCTGGAGATGAGCATATCCATATCAAAAATCAGCTGGTTCTCATCTTCTATGTCAATCTATGGTAAAGTCAGATGATATGCGCAAACCATCCGGAATGAATGCGTGGTTCGATTATAGGGGTAATTAAGCCTTTGTCTTCACATGTTCGAACATACGATTTCTTTCATCTGTTTTTATGAGCTCACAGGCCCATCAACATCACGTGCTGTGTTATCAGAAAATAAGTACCGTGTAATATGTAATATCTACAATACAGTATAGGACGTTTCTGGGTTGATGCCGGCTGAAACCTCGATCCTTTGCAGCGACGCAAGGTGGGTTGTATCGCATAAAACGGCTAGCCGAGGTGACCATTGAAGCGGGTCGGGGATTCATTCATTCAGGACAAAGAGCTTGCTTCGATGCCGTGGTACAATACGATTCTTATGTCTCGGCCGTGTTACAATGCCAACTCGCATGAGGTGCGGTTTTCAATGGCATCTGTGGGATTTGCAGATGAAAGATGCACGATGGTGTCACAAAATGCTGGATGCGTGCATGTTGCGGGGTAGCAACGGCATCTGCCAACCAACCAGCGGAATCTAGCTCGATTTTGCGGATTTCGCATTGTACAAAATAGACGAAAGGCGAAGTCACGATGGACGGAGCATGTGATTCTAAGTCGAACCAAGGGGGTTTTAGAGGAGGTAATGTATTTAAATAGGTACCTATTGTATCTAGGTACTTCTTAGCCCCTCAGCCCCTATGTACATGAAATACATATGGAAATCACTAGTCGACAAAGTCAAACAGCTACTTCCAGAGGAAGACCCCGAGAAAACACACCAGTAGCAAGGCCCATCTTTCCCCTAAAAAGACTAGTAGATAATACGGAATGTAGCTAATAGTTAGAACCTGCATCACTAGAGGCTCATCCACGAAACTTTAACTACTTCAATAGGTCGGAAGTTTTTAAGTGCTGATAGGGAGGTCAGCACCAAAACCGTGTTAAGGCAGGGGTTGTATGTATTATTAGACCAATTACCCTACCCTTTAAGCTTTTGCACATCATGGGAGGGGACAACTAGCCGATTTTTTCGAATGCCTAATAAAATGAACCAGATTACCTAGCATCGCATCCGACGTTTATATGTGCGAGCAAACTTCTAGGCACCGATATTAATTTCAAACTAGAGACTTGGACCAATAACGCAATCAAATGTCTCACTATTTTACCCCCTAAACATGCAAAATTACATTTCGTATATTCGTATATGTAAAGACGTTGAAGTTTCCTATGTACCAGGTAACTAGCATGGATATAAGACATGTAAGGCATCAGGTGCATATGTAAGTACACAGTACCTTAGGTAGGTGTCATTGGAAGGCAGTTTTATAAGCGCCGGGTCCCATTTGCATGTGTTGCTTCTCCATCTTACCTACCTCATACCTACCTACCTATGTACTTGCCTCAATAGCACCTGCATCTTACTGTTCTTATAAGGCTGCTGCTGGCATATATAAAAACTGGCAAGGAAGGTACAGCTGAGCCGGTATGGGGTATACGGTTCGGTTTTGTGTGCGTGGGTAATAAGGTACATCCATGAATGGAACAATACCTAAACAATACCACATACTCCAATCCTTTCTCGTCTTCTCAATATTAAAAAAAACTTCCTCTCTCCACCAACCATAACGCATAATATCGTCATCGTTGCTATTCGTCTTATATATAATCCTATATAATTCGGCTACTTCTACATCTCATCTATCACTAGATTATTCGTTGGAGTGTTAAGAGTGTTGGAGTATTGGAGTATTTTCCGACGTAGCACCTACGCCAAGCTGCAAAACATAGCCAGCCAACCATCGGTTGACCACCAGATCTGAACCTTTCAAGAGTTTCGTGAAACTCCCAATCCCTTTTCTTTTCCACCCCTCTCCTTCTGCAGGGTTCCAATACTTCTCGATTGTGTAGCCAGTCGATTCGTATTGTAGGAACCTTAAATATTGGCCACGCGGCAGAGTCAGGTGGCATTTTGACTTGGTTCCTCCGTTGGCGCTGCCGACTTAATATAACGCCCAATTCTCACTTTACTTGCTTATCTACATTCCATTGTTTCTAAATATTTAGTCGACCTTGGATACAAGATAATAAAGTGCTTGATCTCGTTACTACCTAACCACTATCATGTCTAATTCTCAAGGAGATAACGGTCCACCCTTATTACGGCCTATTCCTCGCCGACCTTTCAACCTAATTCCTAGAGAGCCGACACCCCCGAACGACGACTCGCCCGCCCCTATACCCTCCGCCGACTCGGGACACGTCCCATTGTTAAACCTTGAGTCGCTTAACTCTCGACTACTCAGCATGAGGAACACAGGCTTCACTCCAGAATCTACCACAATTAGCCGCACGGATTCCGCACTTAACTTGACGGGCTCGACGTTAGCGGGCATCTACTCGCCTTCCATATGGGGAAAGGATAAATTCTACATGGGACCTGACGAGCCGGGTACGCCCTGGGGGACAGGCGCTGAGACGCCCGCGAAAAACCTAAGCACGGACGAGCCAAATTACGAGATACAGAAGGAGAGAGCGCAACCGGCGCGGAGGCGGTCCTCTTTACGCCCAGTAGTACGCCCGCAGCCGCTATCTACCTTACAACGCGTGTTATATCACGGCTCGCGCAGCTTGCTCCTGACCGGTCTAGGCGTTCTATATGGGATACTCGCCGTTCAGTTACGAGATAGGCAAATAGCCGCAGGTGCGCTTGGAGTACATAACCTGCTCCGGAGTAGCGATGGCAGTTACGATTGGAGGTATATGGCATTGTCGGGCGTGTGTGGAATCGTAATGGGTAGTTTGCTACCCTGGTTTGACGGCGTCTGGGAACGAATTTTCGGAAGTGACGATATCGTGGTTGAATCCCCAGCAGAGGAAGACGGAGGAGACGAGGCGATTAAAGAGCCTGCCTCTTTCACGGACTGGGCGCTTGCGATTAGAGGCATTGGTGCTTTTGTCGGCATCGCCTTTGCTATTGTACGTTCTCCCTCCCCCGTAACTTCGAAAGCAGACATCTTTCGTCGTACGGGCAATTCTCGCTGACAACACGTACAGAGAAAACTCCCATGGAGCTCGACTCTTCAAGTTTCGCTCGCGTTTGCTCTCGTGAACCCGGTACTTTGGTATATACTGGACCGATCCATGTCCGGTCTGGTACTGTCGATCTCCGTGGGACTAGCCGGGTCTGCGATGTTATTAGGACTGAGGCCGGAGGTAGTACCGTCACCGGCAGCCCCGTCGGCACCTGCTTACGAGGCGTACGGCCCCGAGTACGGCAATGCGACGAACGGCGGTGCTAGCGATCTTAATCGGCAGCAACAATTGACGACAGTTGGCGGGGTGAGTCAGGAGACTATTGCTATGGGCATTTGGTTGTGGAGCGTCCTATTCTGCTGCTGCATATGTTTCGGTAACATTGGACGTTGGCTCGCGATCAGACGTGGTGCCACGACGAAAGGACGATGGGCTCAGCGGCAATGATGGCTAACGAGAGGATGGGAGATAGAGTTGAGGGATATTAATCATACTACCTTATCTAGCAAGAGGTAATAAGGCGCAGCTACAAAAGACAGAACAGAAGAGGAAATCCCTTCTCAACAAATGGAAGAATCTCAGCGGTGAAGGGAGCTGTTATCACGCCCCATAAAAGCGACTTAGTTGAAGTTGCGTTTTTTTTGTTGGATGGATGGTCGGAGCATTCTCTCTACTACTGCTTGGTATGTATGGAATATTAAGGCGCAATTCGGATGGCTTGCATCGGGATTGGGGAATCGGGGACAAACGGAATCAGATGAGCAAGCACCATATGCATATCGTTGCTCGGGGTATTGAACTATTCAACTATTGTTCTGGTACATAGCTTCGTATGTTCGGATAGAGATTTTAGTTGAATCGGAGAGGAGGAATATGGCTCATACTGAAAATTCAGATATTTGAATGCATACGCGCTAAAATATTAAGATGAATAGATGTAAGAATTATAAACATAAGTGCGATGTCAACAGTCTTATTCATAACATTTATCTTGCTTTTTTTATGAACGAAGGCGGTGAGGTAAGAGAACAGGCCTGGACCATCGTTACACGACAGCGATTTTAATACCTCGAGCAAATAATTACATATACCTATCTACCTAGGTATATATATAGCTTTCGTGATTATACAACAGCTAGAGAGTTGTAGGAGACACCTCAATAAGCTAAATGTATTGTATGCTTCTTTCCGGCTACGAAGAGGTTTTGATTTAAGCAAGTGAGAAGATAATTCGCACTTTAGAAATAGTTAAGTGATATGTAGTTTTATGATTAAAAAATAGCTTAGGTATTTAGCCGTAAGAGACGCCAGATGGGCCAGCGGCTGAGCGGGCGCTTGTAAGACTCCAATACACGAATCGGGTGCATGCATCCGGGCTTTTTTTGGAGTTTGCAGTTTGCAGTTCGTGTGGCATACGGCAGAATACGAAGCGATCGCTTACCTTCCATGATAGCTAGAGGAGGGGTTGTTGCTCAGGTCCACTGAGGGGACTGGACAGCTGGAGGGACGAGCATCTATGGATTTGGTTGGAATCGTGGAAGATCCTCGTATGTTAGCGTCATACACTTGGCTTTCCAAGCATCTACCTACCCATGTATACTATGAGAGGTGGCTGCTTGGGGCTGGGCTGGGTTAGGGGAGGATAGATAGAAAGAAATATAGTTGAATGCTTGTTTATATTGGAGGTTGCTTAAGCTGTTTACCATCTGTAATTTAATGTACCTACTCAGCAAAGCGACGGAAGCGTAAGAAACTCTGCCATCTCGATCGAGAGCTAACTAACCTAGTTATATTACGAGCAGTCCAGCGAGAGGTAAGTCAGGTAGGTAAGCTAAGACAAGCCTCCGTAAGCCATGAGCAAATCTAGTTCCACCGCGTATCGGCCAAGACAGAAATCTGGCTGAGCAAGTCTCTCTCTAAATATACGTACGTACGTCAGCTAGAAAGTCGAGATACGCTAGATTACGTACAAGTAATCAATACGTTATGTACCTAGCGAGGACGATCTTCCAACACGGCACGGTGGATCGTGAATATTAATACAATACCGCATTGGTATCGTGCTTGAGACAGGCTGAGGAACTACGGGACTTCAGTTACCTAGCGTCGATGTCCGGACGAAATTACGTCTTTCCGAGATCGATCAGCACTTCCATTCTGTTTAGTTGCCGTGAGGAAGCGAAGCGGCTTCAAGTTTGCTTATTTCGACCGTCAGAGCTATTGGTACTGGTATTATTTTTTGTGCTACACCAAGTCATTGTTGTTGTTGCTGCTGTTGTTGTTTTCTTGAAAATGGTTCGTCATGTGGTTAGCGAGAAACATGGACTTTAGGTCGTACGAACCGACGCACCACGTTATTAACCTAGATAGTGTATTAACAAATCATTTTTTGGCATATGCACGTACGTGATTAGGTATCTATATTATAGTAGTATTAGCATATTCGTAAATTAAATCGGGAGTAGCAAGTTTACATAGGTCAACTATTAACCCGACCGTATCGTGTAAGCCATGGAATAGGAAAATTTAGAAAATATCCTCGATGCTACCTACCACTTGCCCGATAACATACCGAATTACCGGTACATTTATACTATTGCGTAGGTACCTACGGTAATGGATACCCCGGATACTTTATCTTCTGTCCCCCCGATTCCCCGCATATGATATTCTTTTGCGCTCTCGTTCGACGTGAAGTCATTATAATCGCCTATTAGGTATGTAAGTGTTAAACGTTAAATATAATATTTCTACAACGTAACTTCAATATGCTATTCGCATAAACACTTACGAAAACAGCTCCGTTATTAAAACTGCTGAGATCATCTATCGTTATATCGAATATTAAGGTATCAGAGAATTTCCAATCTAGACCCTTGGGACTCAAGGGTCCTGCAGGTAGATCCACAACACACATTACACCTTGCCTATATTGGCTTAGATACCGTCTTTAGCACCACGACTAATCGTTAGTGGAATGCTGATGGAATGCTGCCCCTTCTGTCCCTCTAGTGTCACTTCACTATTGGTTTCCTTGTCTCATCGAGATCATCAGTCCACGTTAACCCATCCCACGAACCAATCACATATTCCAATTCTGTCTTTGACGACAGCTGGAAGTACCCCTACGACGTCAGGACTTTTCTTTTCCTTTCCTCCCTAGCGCTCTTTCGACTTCACTCTTCTATTCTGCTTCTGGGGAAAGAAAAATGTATGATGACTTCTATATATTTTTAACGTACAACATGCTACAGACCTGCTATATACCACTTCTCCCTTGACGTCGTCTTCGAATCGCACGCTTTTAGGCGTCCCGTCCCCCCTCCCGGTTTCTATGTCACCCCCTTTAACTAAATACAACTCCCCGACCCTATGAGATTTATCTAGGTTAAGGTCTTAATATCATTATTTTTATCTAGGTATGTTGAATATCTAGATAATTACTTCCTTCTATATGAATCGACATAAAATAATCGCTCATGAATCAGCTACCCATGGAACCCCGTAAATATTCTACCATCCTGCGACTCTCTGTTCAACTCCTACAGACCAGCACACGTTAGGTCTTTGTCCTTGGTTAATCTACATATTTCTCCCTACTTTTTCTGTACTTTTCCTTATCGGCTTCAAGTAAACTAGCCAAGCAACAAGGCTCGAAAACTACAAACCCAAAACCCAAATTTGTATAAACTATTGCGACGGGGCACTATCTTAGATGATCCACCCGGCGACAACCCATCTATTTACTCCCGGTGTCCAAGTTAAATAACGATACTTTCATGTCCTCGATACAGACTAACTCGAATACGTCGAGCTTGCCTTCGCCGAATGATTCCGAGAGTTCGACCTCCGCGTCTCATCTCGAGAAAGATGGCTCTCTAACTCCAAACCCTACTGGGACCGAGCAGCCTTCGGCGGCTTCCGAGCTGCTTCTCGACGCCGCCAAGGACGTCAGGCAGATCATAAGGCTCATTCAATGTCAAATATGCTCTAAAATACTATGGGAGCCGACTATTTTACCCTGCGGGCACAGCCTCTGCAAGGGATGTATACCTCAGACACATGTCCGAGCTAATATTTCGTGGCCGGCGACGGCCAACCGGCTTCGTGGGTTTGAATGTCCTTTTGACGACTGCGGAAAGGAACACGCGCTCGGAGACTGCTCTATTGATGTCACCTTGAATAAAGCGCTAGCTATCATTAGAGGGATTGTCGAGTCAGATCGAGATATGTCTGATAGTTCTCGCGCTTCTACAAGTATTACAGTGCAGGATCACTGGGATATTGCGGGGATTCCCTCGCTCGCGCACAAAGCGAATGAACCTTTCGTAGCAAAAGGAGCTCGCCTCGTTGCGACATATACGCTAGCAGAACTGGGCAAGCTAGATTATGGGAGCGAGGTATCTTACTCCTCTGTAGGTGCAGAGCGCGGTGAGATGGAACATATCGATATGGCAATGTTGGCGCGGTTAAAGGAGTCTGCTAGAACAGAAATGGATTGTCAAGTCTGTTACGCCTTGTTCTTGGACCCCTTAACGACCACTTGTGGCCACACATTTTGTCGGAGCTGCCTCCACCGCATTTTGGACCATTCAAATCTTTGCGCCATCTGCAGGCGCCCTTTATCGATACAGGCTCAGGTCAACAGGCAGTCCTACCCTTCGAACGATCGGCTCTGCAAGATAATTAACGGGTTCTGGGCCGATCTCGTAGCCCTTCGTGCGCAGGCGTATGCACTCGAACAGCAGGCAAATCAGGATGGGTTCGACATCCCGCTCTTCGTCTGTACGCTTTCGTTCCCGCGTATGCCTACCTTTCTTCACGTTTTCGAACCACGCTACCGCTTAATGATCCGGCGGGCGATGGAAGGCGACCGAACGTTCGGCATGGTACTTTACAACCCGTCTCGTACGCCTGGCGAGCCTGAATTTATGGAAATCGGAACGCTACTCCGCATAGTTAATATCGAACCTTTCGCGGATGGGCGGAGCTTATTGGAGACAGTTGGTGTTTCTCGCTTCCGGGTGACCCGGCACGGGTGGTTAGACGGGTACGTGGTCGGTAATATCGAGAAGATCGATGATATTAGCGTAGCGGAAGAAGAAGCTATAGAGGCGGAGGAAACGATGCGCTCTCGTGGCGTAAGGGGGTTGGCAACCGCACCGCCTAGTCCAGGACCGACGCATACAGAAGCCGTACCTGTTCGCTCTCTGCCGGTATCCGTATCGCTAGATGATATAGAGACGATGTCGACTAGAGAGCTGGTCGAGGTGGGCGTGGACTTTGCTAGGAGAGTGAGAGCGCAGAGCGTGGCGTGGTTAAATTCGCGAGTTCTAGCCATCTACGGCGAATGTCCTACAGACCCGACTCTCTTCCCCTGGTGGCTCGCTAGCATTCTCCCGGTCAAGGACGAGGAAAAATACAAGCTCCTAGGCACTTCGAGCGTGCGGGAGCGGTGTAAGATGTGCTGTCGGTGGATTATAGAATGGGAGGCGAACAGATGGTTAGTAACACACTCTCTTCTTTCACGCGTGGGCAAAGTCAAGGGGTGGTAGGTTATACCCGATACCTCGGCGAGAGGATAAGACAACTGGTCCTCATAAAGCTAAGCTCGCTACAGATTAGGTCCTGATTACTGACGCATTGGTCGATGCTTCCAGGACTATTTCCGATTGTCTCGTCTTGTGACAGACGGCTTATATTTACTTACACGTTATCCTTACTACGTTGACTTGCGGCTCGTCCGAGTTGAGCTACGAATAAAAACACCCGGTCTTAATGGTAGAAAGATTTAGAAGTTAGCGTTGGTAGAAGAAGTTGGAAGAATTGGCTTCGAAGGAGTATTCATTCATGCTTATTATCATATTAGTGATGTCATCATAGCGCTAGCATTGCTGTGTACCTAAAGTATCTAGAGCTGAGGAGTTGTCGATTGTTTGTTTATCGCTCTACGCATTATATCATGCATCGTCGTCGTCAAGGATTGTTGAGAAAAGGGGGGTGGATGATTATTGTATATAACTAGCTCCCGCATTGAGAGACGAATGAAGATCTCTTTTTCAAGTAAGATGTATATCACTATTACATAGGTAGTTATATGACTTACGAATTTATTAGTCTTTTCCGTACTAGAGGTGGTATTAATTAATGCTGATACTAACCTACCTACCTATATACATTATAAACGTCTTATGCAAGTACGTAGCTCTATGTAATTTGTGGGGATTTAGTTATTAGTCGAGCTGCTTCTACATCATTTCTACATCATCCGTTAAACTTGATAGATACAATATTAACCTCAACCTCGACTCACTCACTCATAACCAACCAATCCTCGCGTATATACGCACTCTTATACGACGTAAATGCTTACCACCGCATTTCCATCGTTTCCGGGTCTGCTACGGAATAAGTATTCGCACCTAACTCGACTCGCTGCTTTATCGCCCATTCGTCCAACTACTTCGAGAGCAAGAGCTGGATTAGGGTCTTGCTTATCGACTATGGAGTATACGCACATCGCAACACCGGAACGGTGCTATTCTGATTTCTGTTTGATTCCTGTGAGTTAGACTGCTCTACTCTTCTTATGCACTAGATATCTCTCTCCAAATATTCTCTACGCATATAGCCTCATGTAAATTAATATATACCTACTACGTGTGTATAGGTCGGCACAGGCAACGTCTCAGTCGCAGAGGAAGTAGCCGAGGTGCAGAAGCTGCTTAAGGCCAGTGGGCTCACTTACACGATGCATTCTGCGGGGACTACAGTTGGTAAGTTCCCCCCTATTCTATCTACTTCCTTCTCTCATATATCGTACTCTACTACTTTTCCCAGTTGAACTGTGGATTAATACTATACGCTAATCGATACTAGAGGGATCGTGGGACGATGTCATGAAAGTCATTGGACAGGCGCATAGCTTAGTCCATTCTAAAGGCGTTGTTCGCGTGCAGTCGTCGATGAGGGTTGGGACTAGAACGGACAGGAAACAGACGGCGGCGGACAAGGTCAAGCGTGTCGAGGACCTTTTGGGCAAGGAAACTACTAGCTCTTAAACACTAACTAGCATGATATAGCATCATCTCAATGCCTTTACCTTGAGAATGGATATGATTAGTAGTTGTCACAAATATAAATTTCATGACTTATTTCTCAACAAGCAACGTGGAGCGATAAGCAGCGATGTGAATGGATTTCATATATTTATGCAAACAGACATTGCTCGCGTACATTTGATATGTTCCACGTCGGGCATTTTCCTACTACATATACACGTCAAATAGTGAGGGTGACGATGACAACAGCATCTAACCCTACCACACACATCTATTTGTCTTCACGCGGGAGCTGTACTTTCTTGTACTTCGGGAACCCGGGCTCCCAGCGACGGCCAAATCGCGTGTACTACGCGCGGACGGTCTGCTTCCTTGATGACTTACGTAGTTCCTTCTCCTTCTCCTTCTCGAGGTACTTCTTTTGTGCCTTAGCGTCTAGGGCGTTGAGCTCGGCGTCGCGCTTAGCCTTCCTTGCCCTGTCGCGCTCGGCTTGTCGTTCCTCGGCCTTCTCCTCTTCGGCTGCCTTTTGGATCTGCTTGATGGTCTCGTCTCGGACAACCTTGATCTTGCGTAGGATCTCTGGTCGGAAGTGGGCCGACGACGCCAGGTGATCGGGGATCCGGACGAAGTAGGCGAAGAGAGGGGCAAGGTCATCGTAGTTGTTAGACGAGGGAAGACGGTATCGTAGGTAGAGGCGCTTGCGAGGAATCGTTTCATCCATCCTATGATATAATTAGCAAGCTTTCCTTTTGTAGGAATTAAGTAAATCGTATGGTCTCAGTTACGTATAACCGAAATAGGTCATACGTAACAGGGAGCGCTTACTTAGTAGGCTTGTCGACGGGTTGGTCGCTGATAATGAGGTACTCAAACAGATCACCAGCTTGTTTGATGGCCGAGGCAAGCTCGTCTGTCAGTAGCGTCTGGGTAACCTCGGCGCTCTCGCTCATGACCGTTGTCCAGATGGGCAGCTTGGCGTTGTCCTTAGTGAAGGTAATAGATAAGTCGTAGCGATCTTCTCGGAGCTTCTTCATATTGTTCTTGTTGACGATGGCCCAGACGAACCCATCGAACGAGCTCTTGGAATCCTTGCTTCTTAGCTCAGCGGCTCCCGGTAGGGCGGGCACAATCTGAGCCTCCTTGCCGTCGAAGGGGTAGATAACAGCCTCGACCGCATCCTCAGGGGCGGCAAAGCTGTCGAAGAAGAAGCTCAAGGCAGTCTCCAAACCAGTCATTATAGGGTTGAAGCGCTTCTTCAGGGTCAACTTGATATCCATGAAGGCGACATTTTGTCGGCCAGTCGCATAACTCGCGTACTCGAACAAGCTCTTGGCTTTTAGCAGCTTCTCGGGGTCCTGGTCAGCTTGTTGTGGTACTCCACGAAAGCCGACAAGCGCGAATTCGCCGGTGAGGATCGGAGCGTGGGCTTTGATCCATGCTCTCGCCTTGGCGCGATTGAGCTTCGTACCAATGAAGTGCAGGGTGAAGATGACAGCAATGATGACCAAGATGATACCCTCAGCTCGGAATTCGCTCAGACTATGACGCTCGTGAACATTGTACCATTTCGTATACGGGTGAACAGTAGGCGCAGGGCCACCGAGGCCAGCACCATTAGAGACAGTTTCGAATGATACAGGCGTTGGCGAAGGCGCATCGGCGAAGTCGGCAAAGTCTAGGTTACGTGTTAGTTATGTAATTAGATATATCGGTAAAAGAATTGAGGTGTAAGAGTTGTACATATATTCGTTGGGCATTGACTTCAGACCAGGTGTTCAAGGAGCAATTCTTGTCGCGTAGCTTATGGATGCGACTTGGGATATAACTTACCTGAATCGGCGGAGGGAACCGGAGTAGCAGAAGACTTGCTACCCCCAATGATGTTCTTTAAAAAGTCCGCCATGGTTTCGGGACTCGTCGCAGAATTTTGGTGTGCGCGGCGAGGTTGAGGAGGTGGAGTCCAAGATCGAGGGTCGAGGATCGAGAGACGTGGAACAATTTGGAGCAATCTCCAATACGTAAATCGCTTAATTACATAACCCGCAAAACTTAAAAGCTACAGCTTAAACCGCCCGGTTGGAACGTGCACACAGATGAGTTGGGGTTTTGGGGGTGAGTCTCCACATCTGGCCCTAAACAAATTGTGGCTTGAACTTTTAACACTGTCCGTGCAGAACTTAATTCGTAAGGTTAGGTTTAGACCCGTTACCCGGCAACCTGCAGTCAAAGAACCTAACGTCAATACGTAGACTTAAAGTCAATACGTAGGTAGTTAAAGCATCGCCGTCTAAATCAAAACCAAAACCTATACACAACATTTAATAAATAATGAATACGATCACAATCCAACCGGAAGAACAAGCGAAGACAAAATGTCGAAACAAACTTCTCTACGTAAATATGGAAAACAATCCAAGAAACCCAAAGCCGATCGATTATTCGTCGACCTACCACAGACACCAATGCGAAATCAGCGCCAGAAAGTAATAGAAGAACAGGACGATGATAATTCCGATAAAAAAGTGCTGGAGCAATTGGTTGGGGGGATCTCTGCTATGGCAATAGAAGATCAAAACATTGCACCACCAGATTCACTCCGACGCTCTCCCAGACGCAAAGGGCAACAGGCTCTCCTAAAACCACCACCACCCCTTACCCCGGCTCAACTCCGAAGACTCCCAGTAACAAGCCCGCCTAAACCGGAAATCCAAGAACAACTCAAGGATGTAGAAGTAGAGAAGGAACTACAAGTGCTTTCCTGGGCCGACATATGCCCACCAGGCGATAAGATCGTCAAAATAGCGGAGGCTTCTTATGCAGAAGTCTATCGCGTGACGAACGAACGCGGAACTAGCATTATTAAAGTCATCCGGATGGAATCGCCGATAAAAGCACAAACAAAAACTCAACAAAAATCCGGGCTCGTTGACGAAGAACCACATTCCGAGTCGGACTTGATGGGCGAATTAAAGATCTCGGAATGGCTTGCCGACATACCAGGCTTCGTCGTTTACAAGGAAAGATATATAGTTCAGGGGAAGGCTTGCAAGGAATTACTCGAGACACACCAGGCATTTCACAAGAAGTTGAAACGGCAGGATCCAGATAGACTTCAATTCTATCCATCTCCAAGCAGATACTTGCCTGGCACCAAGTTCCTAGTAGTTGAGCTAGGTGACGCAGGGACGGCACTTGAGGATTTTGAGCTAGAATCTGCCGACCAGCTGTGGGACATATTCTTTCACGTCACCATCGCTCTCGCTCGTGCCGAAGCTCATATAGAATTTGAGGTCAGTATATTACATCCCCCTTTACCAGACGCCCTAGACTAACGGTACCAGCATCGAGATCTTCACGAGGGAAACTTATGTATCCGGAGGATAACAGAACCGATTCCAACGGCAGACCGAGGGCGTTCTAGCTGCTTTGGATTTTCTGGTCTCGACGTAACGATACTCGACTACGGGCTCTCTCGAGCTCACGCCGATTACGAGGACCAAGATTCGCTACCTATTGCTTATGATCTGGAAAGAGATTTGAGCATTTTCACCAGCGAACATGCGCCGCAGTGTGAAGTGTATAGACGTATGAGATCCTTCATGTTGCGAGGAGATCGGGTGTGTCTACCCCCCAAAAGTCACAAAACACCTTACGAAGAGGGAATTGACGGCCCAATTTGCTGGGCTCAACACGAGCCTTACACGAATGTATTATGGCTTGCGTACATCTACCAATGGATGGTGAAGCATTTCAAGGGACCCAAAAAAGAGGTCAACGCTTTTAAGCGCGCCACGAAGGAATTCTGGACATACCTCAACCCTGATGCTGCCGATCACGTACCGGGCTTCGGAAGCGCTAGTGATATCGTGAGGTTCGCACTGGAGTCGGGATGGATAGAGGAGGACCAGTTGATGGGTATGCGGGATGAAGTGGAGAAATCGATATTATCGGTTCTAGCGACTAATGACTTAGGAAGGGAGATTGACGAGGAAACTTTTGCAGAAGCATATCTGAGAAGATCGCCTAGAAGGCGCTAAAATAATGCCGTGTAAATCGACGGAAATAGGTTTGTCGATCAACGGCGTTCGGGTTAAAGGGTTACAGGATCGAGTGCATGGACCGGCATTGGCATACGGTGGTTAAGGCTAAGGAAGGAAAGGAAAGGAAAGGACGTAGGATACCATTTGCTATAAATTGTTAATTATACCGAGATGGCCTATACGTGATTATGTCTGAAGCCGATCTACTATTCGTACTGGTAGATGTAAGGGCGACTCACTACTAACACTTACTAGGGGGAGTCACATACTCCATCTTGATATCTTGTTTTTGGGTGGCTTTGACTGGCACAACCCAGCTTTAACTTGGTCGAAGCTCGTATAAAGTTCAAGGGAGAGATCGTATCTCCTCACTGCGTGCACTGCTGATCAAGTTGATCCTATCCGGTTCTCATCGCCAACACAGACAGAATGCAGATATTCTCCGAATCATACCAAGTAGTAGAAACAGATCGTGCTCGGGGACCTACATGAGATTATAGTCTATTTAATCTACGCCGTCTAGTATTGATCCGGTTTATTTTCACAGAGCCAATCATCCAGACATGCGAATTAATACAGAATTAATACAGCTTGGTGCGACGTAGCGCAGCGGGAGCTATTAATATATTTAGATATATTTATTGCTTTGGCCTACGGAGAGACCACGCGTTACCTGAACTCACCTGATGGATGCGGTGTAAACTATATCGTTAACAATTATTATTATAATGCGTCCTGTGGGTGAAGCGCTGAGTGATTATGGTTATGGCCTCTACGAATAATGTGTTTTCGCGCCAAGGAAAAGATCAGCGTCTACAGAATCGATTGGCACGTAGATCAAGTTTTCCAGCCGCGCGCAACGGCAAGGCGGCGGCTTGATTTTCCTCTTTTACTTTTCAGCTTCCCGTCGGGATGGTAAACAATAGCCGGTGTAACATCGTGTCCCGTCGCCTTGGCGGGCCTTAGGTCGTACTACGTAGGTAATTAAGTGGATGTGTTCAATGCTGCTTGAATATTTCAGGTTTTTTCGACGTATGTGTATTATGCGTATGCTCATCTTGGAGGTTGACACGTACTCGTTGAACACGAAGTTGCCTAGGTAGTCAAGAAAGAGTAGCGATAGCAATAAACATTTATCCCTTTACAGTAAGGGGGATATTGGGCATCTACTCCTTGCCGAGGCGGATGTATACATACGTGTAGTGTAGTAAGAGGTAAGCAAAGTACATTAGCGCGCCAGCGTGGGAGGCCGACATGATCTCCGGGATAGTCCTAATGATTCGAAATGATTTCAATTAGGAGACCAGCTTTTGACGATGAAAAAGAACCAATAATGTTGTTGACGAGACCCTCATGCGATTTGGTGATCCTTTCGAATTGGAGACAATTATGTAAAAATACATCATATTCAAAAAGACAAAGTCACGAAGTTCCGAGATTGTATGTAAAATATAAGGGTTTTAAGAAATAAGATACTTACCTTTTTGGAATAGTCACGTACCTCCGACATGGTCCCGGAGATCATTTCGAAATCTTCAAATTATGTCGGTATAAGGATATGTGTATTTAATTAAAAAATAAAAGAAAACATATAAGCGCATACTGGCGAAGCTATTAAGTGCATATATTTATTTACACATACCATTATATTATTATTACGAATAGTTGAAAATACGAATATATCACTTGTTACGATGAGGCTCGAATTACAGGCTTATAAGTACGATTACAATTACAATTACGATTACAAGTCTACGCGCTTTACGATTGAGCTAAGTCTTACGTTGCTACGATTTTACGGGAAACAATAGCTGGCCTGTTGTTGCAGTATATAAGGCCGCAACAGGGCAGGAGGCAGTCACTACCTACTAAGATATGGGAGGCAATAAGCACCTACCTAAAATCATCCCCGAGATCGTTTTGAAAGGCTGAGATCGTTTAAAAAAGGCTGAGATTGTTTCGGAAGGCTAAAATGGTCTTAGAAAGCTAAAATCATACAAATTCAACATGATCCCTGTGACTATTTCAAATATGAGGCTATTTTCACTAAACATCGTCACGGAGACTCGAAATGATTCGATATGCAATATTATCCTGGTAATCATGTCGGGATATTGTAATAATATTCAACATTTTAAAATAATCTTATAAGGTGACATAATCCCTGAGATCATGTCCCCCCACCACCCAGGCGCGGTAATGTATGTATGTATTATGGATAGGAGGTTGGCAAGTTCCAAGTTGTGGCATCAAATTCCCTATTTCAAATAGGCTTTGGTGAAAGGGTCTTAAGGGGTTGTGGAAATGCTGACAGGTATTTTACCTTCCCCTAATACCTTAATAACTACCTACCAATAGCGGTAACATCCGGTCTTTAGGACCAATAGAATAATATGAATAACTTTAAACCTTTTCTATGACCCACATTAGCGCGTTTCAGATCCCACCCGATCTTAAGCTTATGGAGATAAAATATACATGTAGGTACATAGGCACATGGGTATTGAGTCACTTCGTACCTGGCAGGACTGCAGGACTGATTTTCCTTTTTATTATTAAGGGGGAAATGATCAGCGAAATCTACTCGTCATGTCACTAAAGTGGCCCTGCAATTCTAGCCCGCCTTCGATTCCTCGACAAGGCGAAAGAACAAGACAATTGCCAGGTTGCCAGGGAATATGGAAACCAATATAGAAAACCAAACGAAACTTGATCCCGGCAGCCCGGCTAGTCTAGTCAATCGATCCCAGGCCCTATCGATTCCTCCATAATACATGCATAATATATTCGTTCATCAAGGAAAAAAAAGGAGCTGGGCGGAGATGAACAAGATGAACAAGATGGGGACCCTCTGTTTCGAAATACATGCATAAGACTTTTAATTGCAATATTAATTGCAATAGGGGAACATGTAGGTCTTATGTTGTTTCTCAATACCTGTTTCTCAATACCGCCTACTATCTGCATGTAAACGTACCTACTTACATACATGTATGTAGGTTCTTATATATGTTGCAAAGGAGGGGAGGACCCTTACCGCAAGTCTTTTTCTTGCATCTAGAAAGAGAGGAGATAGGGTTACTTTTCCCGGCTCAAACCCTCGAATTTCTGTCTTCTCTCTCGGCCTCTTTGGGGCGGATTTGCCGCTAGTCCTGTCGTTCCCCTGCCATTCCCCTGCATGACGAATCGACGAATAGCTTCGCGCCAACCATTCTCTGCTTAGCTTTGCAGGTGTGTGGCATGGGAAGACTGACCTATCATGCAACGTCTTCCAACCTAAACTGGCCCTAGCAGCCCAGCCAGCCCAGCTTTTAACCTACCAAAATCCACCAGAACCCACCAAAGCCCACCCAACCCCTTTCCAAATCTCCACCTTCACGTCAACCTACCTTGCCTACCACCTTGCTTACCATGGCATGTCTGAATTACACCTGCATAAGGTACCGAAGCTACTATGTACTATCAGATGGTTTCTATTTTCTTGCCGAGCCGGACTGGCTACCCATACAACCATGCCCTACGGTCCCATAGGCCATAGGCTGGAAGATCGTGGTCCACTAATTAATATACAAACCTCCTCCGTAGTCTTCTAATTTTTCTCTTCTCCCCTCTTCACCTTGCAGAGCTCTATCCGCTGTCTTGGGCTTTAACCGTTCGCTCATTTGCTTGTCGCGATTCACTCTTTCAAAGCTCCGCCGGCTGAGTCTACCGTTCATTTACCAAACAAGTCTTTTGTTTGTCCCTTCTTTCTTGGACTAGTCCCCCTATCAGAGCTCAAGTCGAGACTTCAAATCACTGCTCACAGACCACTCCGTCAGACAATCCTTATCAAGGGCCTGGTCCGGTGTTGACATTTATAAAGGAATATCATTCCCTGAAACAAAAAGAATTCTAGGCACTACGATCGGTTGCCCATCACAATAGAATACCTAATACACCTTGAGGCATACGAAAAGGGAAGCAAACATGAAGTACGCAACTGTTGGTGCTTTGGCCTCCGTGGCCGCCAGGGCTGCGGCGGACAAGACGGACATGACCTTTGCCGTCCTCCATTTTACCGGTCAACACACGTTCTTGACCGAAGGTCCCATAGATCCCGTCGTCAACCCCGGAACGCAAGCAACCCATTATCACAGTATCATGGGAGGTAGCAACTTCGGCCTTTCTACTGCGGGTGACGATCTCTTAAGTTCGGATTGTACTACGACTACCATCAAGAACGATAAGAGCAACTACTGGGTTCCATCTCTCTTCTTCCAAGACCCCAAGGATGGCACCTTCGAAAAGGTCCCTCTATATTACATGAATGTGTACTACTTGTATGTTCTCCTATGACTTATAAGTGAGATTTATTTATCTAATAGTTGTTTAGCTTCGAGCCCACCAACGGCACCATCGAGCCGTTCCCCGTTGGGTTGAAGATGTTGAGTGGTGATACCAAAACCAGATCTCCTCCCGCGTTCGGAGGTGGAAGCAATGTTGATCCTACCAAGGGCCCAATCCAGCCAGTTCAGTGGACTTGCCCTCGACAGAGCTACGATCCTCCGTCTTACCCCGTGGATTCTGACGGAACCATGGCCGGTCTTCAGGACCCTAACAACCAGGGCGCAGGTGCGGGTTTCCCCCTTTACGACTGCGACGGCACCTACTCTCCCCTCCGTCAGGACATCCACTTCCCTTCGTGCTACAACCCCGAAGCCGGTCTTAATGACTACGAGAACAATATGGCATGGCCTACCCCTGTGAACGGACTACTAACCTGCCCCGCCGGATGGACCCATGTCCCTCACCTCTTCTACGAGGTCTACTGGGATACTCCCTCGTTCAAGGATAGGTGGACACCCGACGGAAAGACCCAGCCTTTCGTCCTGTCCAACGGTGATGCTACCGGTTACAGCTCGCACGGTGACTTCATCTCCGGCTGGGACGAGGACACCCTCAAGACTATTATCGACACCTGCAATGTTGGTACCCTCGGCATGGAGCACTGCCCTACTATTCCCGGCGGTGTCAACGACGACCAGAACTGCACGATCGAGCCTGCTATCGGTACCATGGTGAAGGCCGCGCAGACTCTCAAGACCCTCCCTCTCGGCTGCCCGGTTACTGGTTGGGGCCATGGTAATTCCAGCGACTCCGATTCCGACTCTTCCTCGGCGCAGCCTGCTACCTCGACCGTGAGTAACTCCCGGATCCATTTACTTCCTTTTCCAACTTGTTTCGCTGCCTTCTTCCTGTGTCTCTTCAACATGACCTAGTATTCCGAATACGGACCAAGTTATAAAAATATCGTTACTAACACCGGATGTGACAGTACAAGGCAAGCAGCGCCGCTGAGGCATCTTCCGCGCAATCTTCGACTGCTGAGTCGGATTCGGTCCCCACCGGAAATGCCTTTATCGAGAAGCCTAACTCGTCCACCGTGACTGCAGCACCTGCCGTCACCGCCGCTGCAGTAGAGGAGAGCAATCCCAATGTTGACACCGTCTGGGATGTCGTATACGTCACCACGACTACCACTCTGCAGCCCGGAGCCACCCCTGCTGTACGCAGACGCCGTGCTCCTTCGCACAGCCATGGCCACATCAAGCGCCACCAGCACAACGTACACGGCCGCCGATAAGCAGGTGCGCGAGTGGCCAACCAAGCCAGTCAATTATTTGATTCTATGTCCATACACGATTTTGTAGGGATTGCGTGGCGCTGTCGAGGGTTGGTCGCATCATAGAGGATCCATGGGAGGGCATGTGATATTGGGAAGTTTTTGCTTTGCTATTATTCTTGGATATGTACCTAGGGTGGGAAAGCCCGCGAGACATAGAAAAGTCGAGCGACGCCTCGCTGTCGATACCTTGATCAGGGGCGCACTTAAAAATTGGGCGATGTACGGGTCACATTTAGAGGATACGTAGCTTGCGCTCATCTTCACTTCTTGATGTAGCATATTTGTATACAATTTATGAACATGATTGTTCGAATTTGATTATACATCTGCATAGAGATTTAATTTTAGACTCTGAGCGACTCATTTATGGTTGGTAGTTGTCCTTGTGATTTATATTCTCTTTTGTTCTAAGTATGCTCGTGGTAATCCAATTTCATCGGCAGGAAAAAGCGATATAGATCTGAATATAAGCTAGAGAATCTGTAAATATGTATATCAACTAATACAGTGTGCAGTAAGCAATCCCCTGTTCACGAAGCCGCCGATTCGAGTTTCGAGGTGAACATTAAATATGTCAGGCGGTGTCTTGATCATAGACGTAGGCTCTATCCTACGTCTAAAGAGGTATGCATGGAGAGAATATTGGTTAGATCCAGAGCACCTAGGAGATCGCAGATATATTTGCGACGTTAAAGACTATTACCGGGTTGGATATTCGTCTTGGCTTGGACAAACATTGATACCATATTTGAATATAATAGGGATTCTAATATACCGTTATCAGTCGGAGTCTTACAGCGATATATTCTTTTTATTCAAGTTAACTACCTAGGTAGGTAGGTATATATCAAGTTGGATATTATCCTTAGAAATGGTATTCTATATCAATCATCAAACCCATTCCACTCCCCCTCATCAGAATCGCTTTGGCTACTGTCATTGCTGCTCAAGTCGCTCTTGGCTTCAGAATCCATATCGTAGTCTTCTCCTTCACTCTCTTCATCTTCTTTCTCTCCCTCGTTCGCACCACGCTGAGTATCATCAGCTCGTGCACATTGATCGGCCCTCTTACCACTACCCACAGAACTAGGGCCATATCCCGGCTTAAACGTCGGCATACCCATGCTATCTCTAATAATGCGACCACTATCATCGCGAATATAAGGACCATCGCCATCCTCGAAAGCAGATTTCACATCGCGGACAAAACCAGCAACAAAGAATCCCATGACGCCCCGCCCATCGTCTTTGTAAGATCTAATGCACGCCTCGGCAACCTCAAAATCCCCGTCGCTCGCTTCGACGGATCCCCGAACCGGCCACTCGCGAAGACCTCGGACCTGCTGGTCCTGCCGTAATATGCGCCAGCCCCTCTCCTTAGCAATATCGGATTGTAGAGCTTTTAAGACGACTTGCTCGTTCTCCTGGGCGTGGATTGAACAAGTCGAGTAAGTGATCTTCTTCGCAGCGGGGAACTTGAAGGCGTGGAGTAGCAGAACAAGTTGAAATGATGATAGTGCTTCTAAGCGTGCCTCCAATTCCTTTTTGGAGGTAACTACTGTTTCCTTCCCATCATCATCGACCATGATCGGCTGTGCTGTGTCCTTACCAGCCTCGGAATCATCACGTTTCCGCTTACGATTGGTGTTAGGGAGCGGCTTCTTGAACGCGCCTGGGACGTCGGGAAGGTATATCGCCGGCATTTCATCTCTACCAACTATACCACTACCCGAGCAGCTGGGATCTAGAAGCAAGCAGCCAACGTTTGCGAACAGTTCGGAATTCGGATCGACCCTAAGGAAGTCCTGACCGAAGCTCATTCTCGTGATTTCCTTGGCACCAGCTAGCTTTACCATCTTCTCTAGGGTCCGCGACCGCTTTGGATCTTTCTCAAACGCAAATACGGTCTGAGTACATCCCTCCTTCTCTGGGACCCGAGAATGTACGATGGCTGCGAGATGGGTTGTTTTATTCCCAGGCGCCGAACAGGAGTCAATGACATCGCCATCTTCAGAGCGAGGATCTAGTAGGTACGCGGGGAAGCAAGAAGCCTTGTCCTGCAGTATTATAGCTCCAGACGTATAGGCTGCCGTCTTGGTGATCTCAAAGCTAGGTGATATAGCTACCAAGTTCGGGATATGTTCGTCGACATATAAGAATTTTCCAGGAGCAGCGGTGACCTCGCCAACGCTAAGAACCCTGGTGAAAGCAACGAAAGTGGTTGCTAACTGATCCTCAATGGTAGTCTTTAAGACGTTCACACGCACCCATCGTGGATAGGCGGCTGCCCCGCCCAAGAATTCGGCAGTAACTTGCTCCCTGAGGGCTTCGACAGACCCAGCTTTCCTCCGTAGACGTGCCCTAGTGAACTCGGCGTTCAGACGCGCCTTATGACGCTCAATTGAAGCTCTGAGACCATGACTAGCAGGAAGCGCAATACCTTTCTTGGATAATATGAAATCATGGACGAGCAGTAGAGCCAGTAAGGGGCTAAGCTATGTATCCCTAGGTAGTTAGCAAGGCTGGGGGGCGAGAGGCTATGAGTTTTCCTATCGAGTAGCTCCTAAGGTAAGGGTGCTCACCTTGCGCTCATGACGTAAAAGTTCCGAATTATCAATAACTTCTTTTAGCACAGGACTCCATTTGCAAGTCTCCAATGCTAGGGCGTAGACTTGCTGCTGAAGAGACTTTAGGTCCTTCTTCCCAAAGATGCGAGTTTTCAAGTTGCCGCCAGTAGATGGCGTTGCCGATAGTATATCGACTGTCTCATGATACAGAGACATTCTTCCCGGAGCATGTTCAGCCGCATGCTCAGGGGTACAGGACGTTGGTTGTACCGTATGTCTTGCATAGGGGATTGTAAAAACGAAGGTTTGCGATGTGCAACTCGAAATGCAAAATCTTGGGTCGGGATCTAATCGATAAGGAAATCTACCATGCAACAACTCGGCAATCTGCGCGCTAAGGGACTAGGTAGTGTAGGTACCTAGGTAGCTTGTATTACTAGCCACATCTGATAACTACGCTGCGGCTGATTTGCCATTTTTAAAATGGATGTTTGCTTTGATTGTGCAAGTAATTTTGTACATTACCTCAATACATATTTCCACCAATATTAAATCCTAGGTACCTACATACCTCTATGTAAGAGTAGGATCTCCGAACTATTACCCAGCTTGTTTAGGGCTTGTTTAGGTGGTCGATGAATACGAGACATATCAAACTATTACAGCCACTTTTCATTTTATCGAGAGCATTTCACCTAGGCAACTTCGATAATTCATTTTTCCAAACGCCTGGAAAGGGCATCGTATGTTTTATATCCTCAAGGATCGAGATCCGGGTCCACTAGCTTTGTGCTTCGCTGTCCATCAAAGCTGAAAATCTGCCACCTGAGCGGCATGTCTTTCGGTCCCGTTGTACACGCATACGCCTCATATGAATTCGAGATGGCCTTTGGCTGGCCTTCTCCAAATCACTCGTCCGGAGTCTTGGCGACAAGCTAATTCAACAGTTTCGATCGTTGTCCGGACTAAACTGTGAGATTCAGTACATATAGTTATCCCACGCAGCCATACAGTAGTTTGTACTTCCGTGTGATGAGCCTTGCATGCAGGTTGGCAGGTTGGGCACCGGGCACCGTAAGCGGAAAGGCCGATCGCATTGTCAATCAGAGGCAGCCATGTGCCCTCCCGAGAGACCAGATCCAGTGAGGAAAACGGAACGGGTTTTTATAACATTGCGAATCGAACATCGTCTCCTGTAAGTACCTATCTAAATAGGTACCTAGGTATGCTCGGAAATCGTGTCACTCCGATATTTATCACGGACCCGAAATAACGCCTCGAAACTTGTGAACGAATCTCTCAGCTCGGTAGTGTGGATTCCTATTTGTTATATGTGATTATCTCGATCTTATGTATTAACCATCCTACATACGACTAAATGAGTCTGTGACGTGTACTTTAACCAATCAAAATACAAACAAGGCTCGATTTTACATACTACGTATGTATGTGCAAGATGAGATGGGCGGAGATGGCGGAGGGTCCGTCAGCCAAGCCCGCATCTACTAATAAGATCATCATCGTGCCCAATAGTTACACAGGTATCTTCTTTATTGAGAGGCAAGTCGGATGGTCGGAGCTTTGATGATACCGTCTTCATAGGATTCCAAAAAACACCAAGGATCCTTCGTAAGCCTGATAGGGCCACGCGATCGAAGGGACGCCACGCAGTTGCGATTCCTGTTTAGATCCCTTCTAACCTCGGTTTCGGTAGATTTTCCTTTCTCTCAATACCTATTACAGTAAATACAGCCCCGAGGGCTGCATATGATATGGATGTTGCGCCGTCCTGTTGATTGGTGCCGTATAAGTCTCACTCTCTCGGAAAGGGGACGACGGGTTTTGCGACCAACACAAACGTGCGGCTACATATGCGTCCTAATTGAATCCCGTCCTGTGCGTCCTGTCAGTGCGGTAGAACAAGCAAAACACTATGATTTCACCAATCATAAACAGGGGAGAGAGAAATTAGAGATGCTTAGATAGTTTCACTGGAGTTATTTTAGAGGCCGTTGATCAAACTGCGAAGTTTTATGCTTAAATCAAGCCATCGCAAAAGAGTGTAGTTAATGCGAAATAACTATCATACACAAGTTGACAAATTGACAAATGTTGGTGAATGTATAGTCGGATCGGGTTTGGAATAAATCCCGTATCATCATCATTACTATCCAAGCCTGTAAAGGTCTCGCAGTCCCGTCAGGTTGGGACTAATTAGTACGGTTAGTACGGTTAGTACACATTTAGACGTTGATCAAGCTTAAAGGATCCATGCGATTCGCAAATATTGACGTCGCCTACTCCGGCAAGTCCCATTTGGTAGGGTGTTATTTGGGAACAGTCTACGTCTAGAACCTTGGAGAATGTAACAATGGGACTCCGGAGCTTATGTCATGGATATCATATATGGAGATGAAAATCAAACATGCATACAGCACTAACACACTGACACCCTTAACACACACACTCTCTTTAAATCCGACTACAATGTGGATTTGGTGAGATGGTTGCCCGCGTTATTCCTCTGGCCCAACAGGCACGGAGAAGGGTTTGGACATGTTCAAAAATAGACCAAGGGTTTTAAGGCCTCAGCTGAATCAGATTGCATGACTTGTAGACTACATGGCTTGTAGACTAAAGGATGTAACATTCCAAACGGATCTCATATGAATCACTGCCTTTCACGTCAAATCAATACCTTTACCCAGCATACTCGATTTGTAGGGACCGAGCAGCGAGATGCCGGATGTGTTACACCAGACGGTATCCATAAGTACCTAAATCCGTGTCCAAACAAAGAAATTGTATCTACATTAGTCTGTAAATATTTCCCCAGCGTGACCTATATATTACTTTGATAGCTCGTCCGCAGGGACTGTCTTGGCTAATCCCTTTGGTTGGGACATTTCTTGTATACAATATACTTACATACACTTACATACATACCCACATACATACATGCCTCATAGATAATAAGCTTCTCTTACTCTTATTTCTACTCCCCCAAGACATAAGAAGAAAAAAAAGATATTTTGTAGGTTGAGTAAGACTTCCCATATTACACCTCGTTCTCATACGAGACTACCACGACTTGCCCATCATGTCGTCTCCCGAATCGTCTTCGGACGAGTCGTCCGCTACCGTGACGGAACAGCAACATCCTCCTCGCCGTGATGTGGAAGCACAGAAACCAAGCGAGAAGCTATCGTACTGGCATCGCCAGTTTGATCTGCCCGGTGTTACCCCCGCAGTGACGGAATGGAAATATAGGGGAAGCGGGACAGCGGACGACCCTTTCATAGTCGACTTCCTTCCCGAAGACCCCAAGAACCCGATGAAGTTTTCCACGACGAAGAAATGGGGTATCACGGCTTTACAGGCCATTGCCGTTCTTGCGGTTACGTTCGTCTCCACGGCTTATTCGGGGGGTATTGGTGAGGTTATTCGTGAATTCGGTGTTAGTGAGGAAATCGCTATTCTCGGCATCTCGCTTTTTGTCCTTGGTTTTGCTGTAGGGTACGTATCGGTTTATATTGTTCTTATCGACTACCTAGTGCTATTATCATACTGACATGTTGTTTAAAGGCCGTTGTTATGGGCTCCGTTGTCCGAGATGTATGGTAGACAATTACTATTCTTTATTACGGTAAGTTGAACATTCGCTCTAGATTCCCTTCGTCAGATAATAGGCACCCAAGTTATAAACAAACACTGACACTAAACTTATATAGTATGGAGCCTTAACCGCGTTCAACGCCGGCGCGGCTGGGTCTCCGAATATTCAGTCGCTCATCATCCTCCGTTTCTTCGCTGGTACCATCGGAAGTTCGCCCCTGACTAATTCTGGCGGAGTCATCGCCGACATGTTCGGTGCTAAGGACAGAGGTTTGGCTACTGCTATATTTGCTACCGTATGTTATCCACCCAACCCAACTCAGTTTCACAACTGTACGAAAACTAATTTCCATTCTTCTAGGCTCCTTTTCTCGGTCCGTCTATTGGTCCAATCGCTGGTGGTTTCCTCGGCACAGCAGGAGGATGGCGGTGGGTACGTAACTATTCTACCCCCTATTCACCCCAAGTAAATATCTACTAACTCTCATCCATGTATTAGGTTGAAGGTCTAATGGCGTGCTTCACCGGGCTCCTGTGGTTTATCTGCACCTTCCTCGTTCCCGAGACATACGCGCCTATTCTCCTCCGTAGACGAGCAGAGAAGTTATCAGAGATGACTGGAAAAGTTTACGTATCCAAGCTTGATGCCGGCAAGCCCAAGAAGACCGTTGGCCAGGAGTTCAAGATTGCCCTGTCTCGTCCTTGGATCCTGCTCTTCCGCGAACCGATCGTTCTTCTTACTTCGCTTTACATGGCTATCGTGTAGTACGTACCCCTTGAACTCTCCCTGTCTAACGCACAATTACGAAATATTATGAGAGAATGCTAACCTCTATCTTCAGTGGAACCTTATACATGATGTTCGCCGCCTTCCCAATCGTCTACCAGCAGAATCGTGGGTGGTCCGCGGGTGTCGGCGGTTTAGCTTTCCTTGGTATCGCCGTCGGTATGTTAGTCGCGGTCTCGTACAGTATATGGGACAATACGCGATACGCCAAGACCATGGCAGCTCATGGAGGGAACGCCCCTGCTGAAGCGAGGTTGCCACCCGCCCTAGTCGGCTCCGTCCTGTTACCCGTCGGGTTATTCTGGTTCGCGTGGACTTGCGGTCCCAACATTCACTGGATCGTATCCATCATCGCATCTGGTTTCTTCGCTACAGGACTGGTCCTTGTCTTCCTCAGCTTGATGAACTATATGATTGACTCATGTAAGTCGTAAACCCCCTATTACAAAACAACAAGACATATTGCAAGGATATAAGTAGGTGTCTAACACAGAAGCAGATGTCATCTACGCCGCCTCAGTCCTAGCCGCAAACTCCGTCCTCCGATCTATCTTCGGCGCCGCATTCCCGCTATTCACGACGGCCATGTACACCAACCTGGGGATCCACTGGGCGAGTTGTATCCCCGCGTTCCTCGCCCTAGCGTGTCTACCTTTCCCATTCCTCTTCTACAAGTTCGGCGCGCGTATCCGCATGAAGTGTAAGTTCGCCGCCGAAGCCGCCAAGGTCCTCGAGAAGATGCGCACGAGAAACGACCACGACGGTCCGCCGGGTCCGCCGGGTCCTTCGGTGAAGCCCGAGAAGTTGGAGAAGACGGCCGAGGAGTCGAATTGAGTTAATGCATTTCATACCTAACCTACCTCCTAAGTAATAGTATCACGGGGCGAGCCAGGCGGATTAGACTGCTAGTACATAGCATATGATTTTGGGGAAAAGTAGAGTCATTTTGGGCATGCTATGCGTAGTTTTTTATCATCTATCATCACGCAGCATGTGGATAGAATAGGGCGTTTCTGCGGAATAAGGATAATCTTACTGGGCTACGATAGAATATTCATACCTGTCGAATAGAGCCCCGGTGATTGAGAGATTTAGCCATATAGTTAATTACAAAATCTCTACTTTGTCTAGTAGTATGAACCATTTTAGAGCTCATCGCGACCCGCCACCTTGACTTTGACACCTGGTATCTTCCTCATTGATATTTTTTGAGTAGCCTTGATCCGTCCGCCTAGGTGGTCATCGTACGTAGTTGTCACGCCGGGTGGCGTCCAGGGTTTGATGCGTCCTTGCCAGACATCTAGACCCCAGCCTTGAACCTCACTCGAGGACCACCCCTTGCCCTTGGGGTAAAGGTAGATCCTATCCTTCGAGAGTTGGTGGACTGCGCCGGCTGGAAGCACGGTTGGATCAAGACCGAGCTTCGCGGGGAGATCGGGGAACTCGAGGGGATCGACAGTGACCATGGTTAGGCTCTTGTAGTTACCGCGAGCTATCTTGTTTAAGTCTTTTCGTATCCCAGCGCGCTCTGCCTCCGTAGCAGCAAAGACGTAGACCATTGACCATCCACGCTGCATCATTTTTAGTAAGCTTTCGCTACTTGGAGTTGAAATATAGGGATAATCATATCACTAGAAGATACATGAAGGAATGATTCTGAAATGAACTCACGTCGAGGAACCGCTGATGGTTGTGTGGTAGAAGCTCCCCTATGACCGGCCGCGAGGCCCCCTTTACGAAGGCTTCGAGTGCGGCGGCATCTGAAGGGTTGTCGAAGTCATGTATATCACCGTCGAGCGGTTTGTAACATTTAACGACCGGCGCGGTTACTTTCTCTACCTCCAGAGCATCGTCATCGGTCGCCACTCCGAACGTGAATTCTTCGCGGTACCGATCCGCCACATCGGCGAAAGCAGCCTTGGATGCCTCGTCGTCCGTGCTGAGGTAGGCGATGAAGACTGTCTCGTCTGCCTTTTTGAAATCCTCTAACGTCGCAGCATTAACCTCTGAAATAACGGGGCGCTGTACGCGGTCAGCCCAAGCGAGAAGACTGCGAGTCGTTAGTTGACTTCTACTTTCATATGTAGACTGGAATCCCAGGGAATTCACGAACGCTGATGCTCTTCGAGGGCCTGTATATGTTGATACAGGTTCTCCCTTGCTAAATAATTTCACAGTTGTAGATAAAGAGACTCCATGTGAAGCGCATATAGCGGCGTTCGCCGTACAGTCGATACTGACAAACGGCACTTTTGCCTCGGGAAGCGCTAGTGACCATTCCGTTTCTAAATGTTCCGTCTTCTTGCTTTACTCATATGGTATTAGCAGTTGGCCTAAATTAGAAGGGTTGTGAGAGTACTAACTCCGAAGGCTTTATCATAAATATCAGGTTCCGCTTAACTCAGAATACGGTTCCCCCGGTAGAAAGACTCACATTTATAACTTAGGTACTTAAATGTTAGTCTTATGCCGTAAGATAATCAAGCTAAGTCAAACTATTCTCCACTTACAAACGACTACGGTTGCTGCTTCGTTATTCTTGAGAATAGATTCAAGATCAGGCCCCGAGATATGTTCCCATGTATATGCGATGTCGAAGAATAACGTATAAACATATAGTAGGATTATCGCGAGCTGCGACATGATTGCTAGTTGCTCATTAGATTTAAAAAATCACTAGACGGCAATTATGAATTACGAATACGGAATAAAACAGGATCTATCATATTGGAGCTCTCCTAGGGTCATCAACTAATGTACAGCCTACAGGTGCTGAGGTAGTAGTGTATGGAGTTATATTAGACAAGGGACTCTTAGTTGATTCAGCTGACGGTCCGTCTGCCACTGTTAAGCTGGTCATATCTTCGCGGGCTGTATACTATGTAGGAGCTTCGATAATATTTCGAGGCTACGTTCACCCTTTTTGACGATGAAAGTTGATACATATCGTAGAAATATTAATGGTGTCTACCCTAACGGTATGGCAGCTCCTTGGCGCATCAGAATTGTGAAGCAAGAGTGGAAGAACGGAAAATGGTAGGAATAGGATGGATTCAAGCTACCAGACTGACTCACTAGGCTGGTGTATGTTGCCAGTAAATGTCTACAGTGAAACGATAGTAATGTCCCCCGATGACGCGTTCGATAGCTGGGACGAAGTTTTATACGCTGACTTGACTATGGAATAACTGTAAGAGTCTTATACTTGCCTGGTATCTTCAAGAACCCGAATAATGGGATATATACAATGACCAGTTGTTGGATATGGACATCAAATCTGAATAGGTATGACCGAATACTACGATATTGAACTCGCATTTGAGCTGAGATACATTCATACATGACAGGGAAATGGCGCGTAGACACGGCGAGACGACACAAACTGCTGAGAGCAATTGGACATGCATAACGTATTTCAGATTCAAGAGTGACACACCCAAACGCCCGAAGAAATTGAAATATGCTTGAATCGTGTGACGTTACTTACAAAAGCTATCGGAAACAGAACACAGCCGCGAATGTGTTACTTCAACGTAAGGCGCAATAAACGCTGAAGTTGTCCTCGAATGAGTACGAAACATTTTGGCATAATTTCCCGGCATCTGGCAAAAACGGCCGGTACCGAACCCCAATTGGGCGACTCCCGACGATCTTCGAACAGGGATCGGAAATTACATACACAGCTAAGGATCAGATGGAGATCAACACCCACCTTACTAAAGAGGAAATCTTACGATTACCCCTGTTAGGTAGTTAGGTGATCCCAAAACTACAACTCTAAGCACTCAAGATTCACAGCGAATCAAAACTAGCCATTGGAAAACAGACATCGAATGAAGTAATTTTCGTAGGCATTCGACGCCTATCAACGCTATTAAGGATTAAGTACATATGCAACCGAACCGTTCTAGTTCTAGTTCACGCCTCATATTGACATGGCCTTCACGGCTTTCGAATCATTAACAGAGAAAACCAAGATTGTTCGCTTAAGCGAAGAGAAGAGCGGCGACACCGGCAGCGGCGGCGAGGAGACCAGAGCCGGCCATGGTGGAAGCACCAGCAGTGGGGATGGGGCTGCCAGTGGGGTAAGAGCTAGTGGGAGGGTTGCTGATTTTAGATGTTAGCTTTGCTACTTGGATAGCTGCAGATTTATAGGATTACTCACGAAGCAGTGTACGAGCCAGTGGGGTAGACGCCAGGGGCACCGGGAGCGACAGGAGAACCGGTGCCGACGGGAGCAGAAGGGCTGACGGTGACAGTGGAGTAGCTGACACTGGTGGTAGGGACACAGGTGGTGTAGGTGATGGGGATCACCGAGGTAGGGTAGGGAGCAGACGCGGAAGGAACGCCAGGGGCGGACTCAGAGGAGCCGGCAGGGGAGCTGGCCGGGCCCGAGGGGGATCCGGGAGCGGCCGAAGAGGGAGTAGCAACGGGGTAAGAGGGAACAGTGCTGAAGCTGGAAGCAGGGACAACAACGCTGGCGCTGCTCTCGACGGCGGCGACGCTGCTGCTGCTGAGGACAGGGCTGGAGACAGCAGGCTGAGACTGGGAGGGAGTCTCAGCGGGGTAGCCAGGCTGGGACGCAGAAGGGACCTCAGCGGGCTGAGAACCAGAAGGAGAACCAGAAGGAGTCTCGACGGGGTATCCAGGGACGGTCGCGGAGCTGGACACCGGGTAGACGGTGCTGCTGGTGACGGTAGACCGGGCCGGGCAGTTGGTGACGGTGGGACCGCAAGAGGTAATGGTGACATAGTCAGTCTCGTAGAGAGTGCTGCCGGCCATAGCGGCACCAGCGAAGAAAACGGCTCCGGCGAAACGCATTTTGAAGGTATTTGGATATTGAACGTAAAACGAACAAGTAGTCTAAGTGGCTTCGAAAAGGTGAAAAGAATGTAAAAGCTGAAAGGCTTATAAGAGCGTTGTGAAAGAGTGGACGACCGAAGTCAAAGCTGAGTTAAGTCACTAAAAGTAGCGGTGATGGCTTAGTGAGTTGAAGGAAAGAAGAAGGAAAGACGGTGTCGATGGAGGCGGTCGGGTATTAATAGCTTAAGCAGCACAAAGGATTCCGAATAGGGGACGATCCTCGCGGGTTGGGAAATTAAACTGAATAGACACCTCCATGGTCCTTGGAGCTAGCGTGTCCAGGGGTTTGTACATACATTACGGAATACAGAAGAGCACATCAGCGATGCATCAGCGGTGGAGGTTGTGGGCAAGCAGGCAAGGAACCGGCAAGGAAGCATAGACAGCTGGGGTTAGGTATGTCGAAATGCCATGGGATTCGCTCCACTTGACTTTTACATACCATCCAATTTGATTTTGAAAGCTTGTAGTTCTTTTGTGAGCTTCAGAAGAGTTAATTATAGAAACAAGTTTCAAATGCTTCTTAGAACACCTTGCTATTCTATTGACTTGTTTACTTTCATCTACTCGGCTCATTGTTTGGGCCATATTGTCATATTCCATGTGGCGTAACGGGGCCGAACAGGTACCATCGTTTCAAGCAAAAGGTGAAGGTGACGGATAGATAGAGACGGTCGGTTGGTGGCGGACGCTGACAGGGGGGACTAACTCCGCAAAAAAGTGGTAAATCTTTACCACTTATAAATGGAATCGGCTAGGATCAGGAACAACAGCGGAGCTGAGTACCACCGAGGAAGTATTTTAGAAGATCAGATTGGTCCTTCTGAGAGGCCACCGGCAAACAAGCATTGATTGTGTGAAACGACCTCCATATTTCGTAAAAGAGACCTAAGAGAGGCTAATATTTAACACACTTGGCGGTAAAAAGAATAGGGCTTAAAGCTTTTGTAGGTATACGAGATATATCTGGGTATATCGCTGTAATTCTTGTACATAATACGCTGAAGAGGCCTTCGAAGGCGTAAGTAGTATACGTAATGTCCATATGTACGGATCCGTATATACACTACATCTGTCACATGTCGATCTATGCATACGCGTATGTTACTATGTATATTCCAACGGGAAGGCGAAGAGAATACATATCACATCATATTATAGGCGTGATTACAGAAGTATTCACTTTCCATTAAGAGATGGGTTTTCCCCGCGGCGCGTCGCCGACTCGCCGACTCGCTCGTTCGTCCAATGTTTGCTCTTTTGTTCTTCAGGGGTGTCTCCTTTTTAAGCCACCCAATTCCCACAAGAAACTGGTGGCAGCAAATCTGCGCCAATGCAGCCCCGGCGTTGCAAAAGAGTACGCTAATGCAGGAACATACGTTGGTTCTCCCTAGATGACAAGATGACAAGATCTACGGACCTAATATCCAAATTAAACGGGAGGCTTGATTAGATCTTTTGTCCCCTCCAGTCAGCCAGTCAGTCAGTCCGTTTGTAGTGTGGTAGGTAATAGGACATCCAACATCGAGGAAGCAGGCGCTTGGTCCAGCTTCGCCTTAGATGTCCTTAGTTAGCTGGGTTCTATCATTGGATGTCGAGTCAAGGGTTTGCTACCTAAAGTATATACCTTAATAAGACCGAACAGCTCGATTAGGCAAGTAATGAGTATGTATTCCGTAGCACTACTAAAATGGCGCACGAAGAAGCGGCTCCTCTCCTCGACAATTTCTCCCTGACGATCCTGCACATGTGGATGGATCGCTAGAGCTTAGAGGGTCTTACGTGTTCTGGTGTTATGGTTTTTACCTACCGAAAAAAATCATCCGAAATAGAAAACGGGTCAAGTGTTATGCCAAGGCTGAACTACGGAGGGATGCATAACCCATCTGCTCATCCGTTTATTGGGTCTTCAGACTGTCGAGTTTTTCTTGTGCCTCATCGCCACGTTTTGAAATGGTCGTTTTTACGGGTAGCACGGCGAGTTAATTAAAGTACCGTATCCGATGTAGGATTACCTATGATTAATGGTAACTAATAAAAATGTCGTTCGAGGATGTGTACAGATTAAGAACGTTGGAATAGGTACAGCGTGGATTTCAGAAACACTCCGAAAAGCCATCTACCTACGTATCGAGTTTCTATGTATATCCGACCGACGAGAGAGACACTAGGTAATAGTTCTCTTAGGACGCAAATTACTGTACTGTGCATATATGTAGGGTGTCGTCACGTTCCTTCATCTGCATCCGTCATACATCATCCTACGGTTGGCTCCAACAAGCTTTTCGTCAGACGGCACATGTCTAATTTTAATTAGATCGTTCCGCGTATCTTGACATGTGCTTCACGAAACCGTGGGTGAACGTTACAATTATTTATTCCAGGGCGCTCGGACTACATAGATGGTAGATGGCCCCATTACCCCCGGTTTCTTGGAAGAGCTTACTTTTCTTACATAGCAGGGCACGACTAAGAAAAGGAGTATTGAATCAATTTGATTACATGATCTCGTTTCTATTCTGTTAGATATTAGGAGGGGCACTGCCAATGCTCATCTTTTTTTCTTTCATCTATGCCCTGTGGTTCTCATCTCTTAACCTACGCTAGGTCTCATGTATGATGGCGACATGAGATCTACTTTCCCGAAACGAGCTTTGGTCATTCTCGACTTGTTGAATATTAGCCGTGAGACCGACTGACGGCTATCTCGAAGACTTATCTAAAGACGTCAACAACAAAGGCTAATCTAATGTCAAGCTCGCCGGATACTAGCTGAGCTTTGTATACTGCTGAGAGACCAACCCCGCAGAAAGACGATCAGTAAATCCGAGACACCGTCCTCAGGTATTGGTACCGCAATCATGGCTCTATGTGATGGTCGAGAAAACTTCGTTGCCAATTGGCCGCTATCAGTCAACTTATAGGTTCGATGAATAACAGTGGTTACGGCGGCTAGGTTGCCATTGTCAATCCATCGGTCTTCGTTGATCGTGACAAGAGGATAATAGTTGACCTGCTTTATCACTGACGTTATATTTAGCTTCCGAGTACGATTTCGAGCCGATCGATCTATCTTTGTTTTTTTCGAGCCTCAATACTTGGTATCAGTCGAGTAGTCGAATGTCTCAATATTATGGATCCAACGGGTTATATCATTATCAATGCATACCTCCCTATTTGAGTTTTTACCGGATCTTGTGAATCGGAGACGAGCCTCAAGCTTTGGGACGCATTTTCACTCTAGCTAATATTGGACAATATCTTGATGCTGAGGATTCCGATATAAATGGCATAGCGGTTTGAATGCGCTCTCCATCGATGAGCTTTCGAATAGAGCATGAAGAATAACCATACTTGATCAGTATAGCTGGGTGTGCTCATAGAGAAGAGTTCAAGTCTTTTGGATATGAGGATGAGGGAACCAAGGGACGATACAGTCTGACCATGGCATGTGAGCAGACCTCATGGTGATGTGATCATATGCTCGGGACGACTATCTCTGTTGTTCCTCATCGACTCTAGCAGATTCTAATCCCTTCACTAAACAGGTCTAAGGGCGGAAGATATGATTTCACAAGGCTGAAGGGAGAATGTGGCACCTTAGGGCAGCGCTGAAGATATCATGAAGTATTCTCAGTTTATCCTATTTACAAAAAATGCATTGTACAGTTTACTCCGTCGGCCTGGAAGATAGTCGAGATAGATAAGCCATAGAGCTTCATCAGAAATTGGTAAAAGGTAGAAAAGAAACATGATACCTATCTTAATTATTCATTGTTGATATTCTTTAATTCCCGCTTATTGACTAATAATCATATGATAGTTGCATGTATGCATTTAAAGCATCCATGATTTAGGCCTAAGTCTGAGGTCCACTGCGGGGAGAAAGACCTAATCAGGCTCACCGCCTGCCCAATTATGCCTAAAGTTGACATGCAGACATGTACATAAAAAGAGATTTAACGCTAAATCGAGTAGGTGGGGGAAAGAATAGGTACCTTACGGGCAAGGCTCAAAGCGGGTTAGAAACAAGTAAGGCAAGTGGGATGGCGGGCAGCAAAAAAAAAAGACAAGAATGTCATCGCTTTTTTATGATTTGAATTGACATCCAACATTAAAAAAAGAACGCCCTTCATAATCAAATAACTACCAACCCCTTACGTTGTCCCCGCGACCGCTACTCTCCTCATTCCTTATTCACACAACTCTCTGACATTGAATTCTATTAAATTCCAACTGTATCATTACTTGTTACCTACCTCTTCTTAGATACCATTAACCGTTAGAGGCAAGACACTTTTACTTAACAACGCTCTTTGTCTCCGGCTCATGGTAAAGCAGCATGCTGCATGAATCTATCATAATCGCCATAGCATCCTCAGATATTGTTGATACGTAACATAGCCTGGACATAGTTGAAGGGCTCGGGTCCGGCGTCTTAGCAAGATGGAATCTCAGGTAAATAATCTTTCATATCCATCGTCGTCGTCGTCGCCGTCGCAGAGCTTAGTTCACCGACTGACCTGACTTCTATACCATATAGATCGAGAATGCCATTGAGATCGCATGGAATCCTAACTCCGACCAAGCCCTGAAAACACAAGCTTTCGATTATCTACATCAACTACGTGCCGATCCTCATGCATGGCAAGTCTGTATCGGTCTGTTTGCTAGAACCCCGAGGTCCTCCGACGTTGTCCGACACGTCAGTCTCGAGATAGTTAATAATGCTATACACGTACAATCCCTCGACACTCAGGCCTTGCTCAGCCTTAGAGGTGCTCTCCTGGCCTACGTGCAATCCACCTACGGCACCAACCAAGCCCAGATAGACTCACCTACCTTGCAGAACAAGCTCACTCAAACTCTCACCTTACTTTTCGTCTCGTTATACAAGCAAGGTTGGGAAAGCTTCCTCGATGATGTACTAGCCCTCACGACCCTCCCCGGAAGCAACCAACGTGACAACGTCTCGGGTGTCATACTCTATCTACGCATTCTCAGCTCTATCCACGACGAGATTGCCGACGTCTTGCTTGCGCGTCAGGACGTCCAGGCCCGCAGCCACACCGAGCTCAAGGATCTAATGCGGGCGCGCGATGTTGGGAAGGTGGCTCAGTCTTGGCAGGATCTTCTTGCTCAGTATGGAAATCAGAACGATGCCATCATCGAGATGACTCTCAAAATTATCGGCAAATGGGCTAGTTGGATCGACATATCTCTTATCATCAACGACGGTATGCTGAGCTTGATCCTTCCGTTGGTCGGTCGCTCCAACAACTCCGGCAGCGAGGACAAGGTCAGGGATGCTGCTGTCGAGGCGTTCACCGAGATTGTAGGCAAGAAGATGCGTCCGGCTGACAAGGCCGAAATGATATCGTTCCTCAATCTACGAGACATCATATCCCAGATCATAGCCAGCCCTCCGCTGAACGAATTTAAAGGCACTCCCAGATATGATACCGATTTGGGCGAGGCCGTCGCTAAATTAGTTAACACCGTCGTAGCCGACATCGTTAGAGTTCTAGAAGACCGATCTACTGATGATTCTACTAGAGCTAAATCGAACCAGCTCCTTCACGAATTTATCCCCTTCTTATTACGATTCTTCTCGGACGAATACGACGAGGTATGCTCTACCGTTATACCGTCGCTCACGGATGTCTTAGCCTATTTTCGCAAACTCTCTGAACTACCCCCTTCCTTCGCTGAAATGCTGCCTCCGATCTTAAACGCCATCATCATGAAGATGCGGTACGACGAGACGTCGTCTTGGGGAAATGAAGACGAGCAAACAGACGAAGCAGAGTTCCTAGAGCTACGGAAGAGGCTTCAGGTACTGCAAAAAACCGTGGCAGCTGTTGACCAGAACCTTTATATCGAGGTCCTATCTAATCTGGTTGCGAATACCTTCCAGACCCTAGATGAGCGAGGGTCGCAGATGGACTGGAGAGATGTCGACTTGGCTCTTCATGAGATGTCTCTATTCGGCGAGCTTGCGATGCCTAATCAAGGGTTAGGCCCCAAGAGCCAGCCCTCTCCGGTTGCATCGGAACGACTTATGGCAATGATGACCAAAATGGTACAATCTGGTATGTAAAATTCAAGATCTGGGTTGGTGGATGTGCTAACTGTTATCCAACTAGGAATCGCAAATTTCCCGCACCCGGCAATTCTTTTGAATTACATGGAAATCTGTGTCCGCTACTGTGCTTTTTTCGAAACTCAACCTGCACTAATCGGTCAGGTCCTCGAAAATTTCGTGCGCCTTGTGCATCAGGACCACGTTAGGATTCGTACACGTTCGTGGTACCTCTTCCATCGTTTCGTCAAGCACCTGAGGGCCCAAGTCGGGAACGTGGCCGAGACGGTCATCCAATCTATCAGCGATCTTCTCCCTATCCAGGCGGAAGTACCAGGAGAGGATGCCGACGACGATATGTCCTCCGACCAAACCGATAACTCTGCGAGCGCCGTCTTTAACAGCCAGCTCTACTTGTTCGAGGCTATCGGGTGTATTTCGTCTACCAGCGCGACTCCCGTTGAAAAGCAAGCGCTCTACGCCCGCTCGGTCATGGACCCCTTATTTGCCGACATGGAGCAGCACCTCCCTAGAGCTAGGAACAGCGATGCCCAGGCCATACTTCAGATACACCATATCATCCTAGCTCTAGGTACGCTGGCCCACGGATTTTCGGACTGGACGCCCGGGGCGAATTCTTCGAACCAACGGCCACCTCCGGCAAAGGCCCTATCCGACGAGTTCGCACGCGCCGCCGAGGGTATCCTGATCGCACTCAGCGAGCTCAACACTTCTTCCGAAATCCGCACCGCTTGTAGGTCGGCATTTTCGCGCCTGCTTGGCGTGCTAGGGTCCGCTGTGCTTCCGCAGCTTCCCCAATGGATCGACGGCCTCTTATCTAGAAGCTCGTCGAAGGACGAGATGGCCATGTTCCTCCGCCTCTTGGACCAAGTCGTCTACGGCTTCAAGTCGGAAATCTACGAGGTACTCAACCAATTACTAACACCCTTGCTACAAAGAGTCTTCGGTGGTTTGTCAGAGCCGATCAACGGTACTGACGACGAGATTCAACTTGCCGAGCTGCGTCGCGAGTATCTAACATTCATCGGGGTTATCTTAAACAACGAGCTCGCCGGGGTACTCGTGTCGGAGGCGAACCAAGGCTTCTTCGAATCATTAATCTCCTCCATACTAGCCTTGGCTCGAGATATCGGCCCAGGCTCGGGAAGCCTCCCGGCGAGCCGATTATCGCTCGGGCTGCTTGCGAAGATGGCGGGTGCCTGGGGCGGACCGGATGTAGCAAACATTTCGGCAAATCCTTCGGCGCCTACCGGATCTCCATCACCCGTAATCCCCGGTTTCGATCAATTTCTCATCGATAGGTTTCATTCCGTATGTTGGGAAGTTCTTCGCGATCCACAGTTCAACCCGGCCGGAGACGCTCAGGCTAAGCTGGTCCTCCACGAGATCGCCGGGCTGGAGCAGGCCATATACCTCAAGACGGGAGGGACATTTTTAGAACACCTGCAATCAACTCTTTTCCCCGGGCTCGGTATTGACGGGAATGATTTCCTGCGAGCCTTGACTACGTCGACAGACAAGAAGGCTTTTTCAAAGTACCTACAGGGTCTAATGAAAGAGTCGAGGTGATATAAGGGATGGGAGGTTATGGCTGGGAACAGATGATATGGACAGGAATGATGTCCGATTGCATAAATAGGAGTTTGGCTCACTATACCAACCGCAATTTCGTTGACTATAGATGAACACCGGAATTGGAGCTAGCTAGTAATGGCGAGATGCCGTTAGCAAGTAAATGAACAGAGAAATCAAGTCACAATATCACTCTCCTGGCGGCTTAAAACAACGTGTATTGAAGCAGAGAAACTCGTATTAACTAGCTTACTAAAAACAAAACTTTCCAATGACTACCTAATGCATAATGACTATAGTGTAGCCCCTATTCTCGCATGAGAGCAACGGTCGGGCAACTCAGACTGCGATCGACCATCGAGAGAAACAACCAACTTGTTCCTCACTCCTTGGTCCTCGTATCGTGACGACTGTGCTCCCTTCCTGCTAGACGAGGCTAGCTGGTCAGCAGCGGTAGTCTCCCAAAAAAAAAAAAAAAAAAAGAAACCTGAGGGTAGGTAGTTTAGGGATCAGTTCAGCTCAGGGGCAAAGCAGCTAGGCCAAGTCTCGCCCTCCACCACGAGAGACGTGGTAAGAAAGGGAAGAGGAGTCAACTTCCCTAAAATGTCGATGTATGACATGGAATAGATTTGTCTGAAGTCGAGGATGTAAAGAAGGATGTCGTATAAATTAGGACCGCATAGTTTCCAACCGCGAGTAATCCGTTCGTTGGATCTTAGTCGAATGATCCATGGCCGAGCTCGTTTGGGCCCGTCGCGATGCCAAACAGTCCAGTGTTCTTGGTCTGTCTTCCACTGAGGTTTTCAGAACCCTAGATCTCCAACCTCTACCCTATCCCCATCCCCCTTTTTAATACTTATTCTCCCCCTCTCCCCCTCTCCCCTTCCTAGTTCCCTTCCTCCTATCCTATCTCAACCCCTGCAAACTCCAATAGGGAAAGGAAAGTAAACCAATAATCAATCCCAAAGCAATCTTAAAGCAAGAACGCATCACAACTGTAAACCCCTGTTGCCAAACCCCAAAATCAAAAGGAAAGCCCATCTTGCATCTCCGCCCGCTGGTTTCCCTGCGGCATCGCAGCGCAGACAGGCCCCCCAACCCCAACCTTCACCTACACAGTCCAGCCTCGAGATATCCGGTTCAACTTTCGTCCAAGCCCTACCGCTCCGAAAGTACCCAGAGTAGCTAAATACTGTTCGCGCGTGTATCCAAACTCAGGCGTGCTGCCAACATACAAGTTTCTGATTTTGCTCAAAGTCGAAAGCAACTCGGCCGGACCCCCGCTGCACCGCATCCCGCCTTCATCAGGGTCGACCACTTTTAAGCCAGCCAGGACCTGAATGTCGCCGGGGCGGCACGCGCCGACCAGCAGGCAGAAGTGGAAGCCGCAGAGGTACGTCGCGGCGCGTAGATCAGGCATCCCCATGCACAGCGTGCAGTCCTTGTGGGCGTGCTCGGCGGGAGGGAACTGGGACAGTGGGGTGTGCTCTTCCATCGGGGGGTGCGTGCAGAGCCAGTGCGCGTCCAAGAAGGTTAGGCCCATGCTTATGTAGTACCAGCGTCGGTAAACCGAGATGGAGAAGATAGAAGGGTGGGGATTTGAGGGATTAGAGCGGCAGAGCATGGCGGTGTGATCAGGGAGGATTTCTGAGGGTACGGAGTAGAAGGCCTCGTATACGGGGTCTTCGGGGCTAGGGGAGTTGGGCAGCGTACCCGGCCAGTTGTAGTACGTGAGCGATGAAGGGCGAGGCATATCCAAATTGTGGGGGGAAGCCATTGCTGATGCTGTTTATGTCTGTCTGCCGTCCAGCAGAGGACTGGTTATTACTCGACCCTAGGGGACAATTTTCTATCCGCGAGCTAGTCGGCTGAGGTACTAGCTCCAGGAGACTTGTCGGCGGCGATGTTTGACCGGAGCTGAGTATCTTTGGTACGCGTTAGAAACGTCGAGATAGGGGCGATGAGATTGAGGATAAGAAAAGGGGGTGGTGAGGTTGAGAATAGGAAAAGGAAGCGATGCTTACTTAATATCAAGGCTCGTATGATATTCTATATCCAAAGCAACTTTGGTACTGATTTCCGTTGTATATTGGTGGTTATCAACGCACACAACCTCGAGATGTGTGTGCCTCTCGTTTGGGAATGACCCCGAGTGAATATAGGAGATAGGGGATAGAATGACTGACGTCAAACGAGCAGGCGTCGAAAAAGTGAAAGCAGTTATGATTGAATGCTAGTATCAATCGCACATAATAATACCGATTCACACCTTAGCACCAGAGTGATGGGAAGAGGATGGGGATGATGAAAGTATCAAAGACGATGGGTAGCTGATGAGAAATGACCTCGCCCAGGAAGAACTACTTTGTGGAAAGAGGGGGAAGGACGGCGACATGTAAATATTGGCGGTCCTTACCAAAATAGCTTTGGTAAAAGGCAGTTACTCTGGACGCTCTCAAGCTTTTGCAAGGGGTGGTTGAGGCCGTAGCGTCCAACTATCGCCTATTCACTTTCTGCCACCACATGGAGGTGAGGCTAAGCTGTCTACCCTACTTGCGCATTGAATATTTCAAACTAGCTACACGTTGCTCACGGTCTCTGCTTTGACACTACTAGCCTGTGTGTTTTATAGTTATCATTTTTCGTGTTATATTGGGTTCAGGTGTTTTGCAGAAGTATACGACTATACGACTGTGTCCTCCTACGCCCTGACTAGTGTGTCAACCTAATCAACAAATATTTTGGCTTCGAGATCTGAGTAGTGTGACAGGTACCCGTCAAATAAGTTGATCGCATGCTCAACATCATAAGTTCCTCCCGTCTCGCGGATGCTATGCATGCTTAACTGGGGATTACCCAAATCCAAAGTGCGAACGCCAAGTTTAGCAGATAGCATAGGTCCGATAGTGCTGCCGCAAGACGAGTCATTCCTAACAACAAATAGCTGCAAGGGCACGGCCGCACGCTTGGCTGCCTCCTGCAACAGAACGATACCAGGAGAGTTCGTGGCGTAGCGTTGGTTTGCGTTGATCTTAATCACAACACCTTGAAGATTCAAAGTTAGAGCTGACATATTAGGTAGTTTTGTAAAGATCTAGCGTCATACCTTTATTTATTTCTGGCTGATGGTTTGACTCGTATTTGCCAACGTAGTTAGGATGAACCGAGTGAGCCATATCGGCCGACACCAGGAACGATGCCGCCATCGTCTGCTCAAAGGCAGTTGACAAATCTATCTCAGGGTCCGAGCTAATGTGCTCCCAAGACTTGTCCGATGCCGAATCTCCGTGCCCTTTACCAGCAAGAATGGATAATCGACGGACAACAGCGGGTAGTAAATCTGAGTTTGCGCCCTGGGCCGATGTCGAGCCAATTTCTTCGTGGTCGAAGCAAGTGATCAAGCGAATGCTAGTCTCGTCATCTAGAGATCGCGACGAGACGGAGTTTATCAATCCCATCACGCTGCAGTAGGTCATGTTTAGGTTATCGAGCCTGGCCGAATATATAAATTCCTCGTTCAACCCGCCAAGGCAAGATTTTTGGACGTCGTAGAGGACCATTTCAAAATCGACCACATCAGCCACCTGCACTCCGGCGTGTTCAGCAATCAGCTCGATAATGTACGGATGGTGGCGGTCGGTTATCTCCTTCAGCGGCTGGAACGTCTCTTCGGAATCCTCCTTCGAACCTGACGGCTTAGGTGCTTCGCTTTGGCCGGTCCTGTTTAGCTCGGCAGCCACCATGCCGGCAATAGGAAATAGTTCAGTCTCCTTGTTAGGATTGAACTCGGACGACCGATCAAGATGAATAGCGAGGGTGGGAATGCGAATAATGGGACGGTCGACCTTGACGAGCTTCTGAACAAAGTTCCCCTTTCCATCCTTGACTAGGGCACGACCGGCAATGGATAGATCTCTGTCGAACCAGCTGTGCCAGATGCCACCGCCGTAGGTCTCAACGCCAACCTGTAGAAATCCGACGCTGCTCTTCTTACTGACGGGCTTAATACGCAGACAGGGAGAGTCCGTGTGAGCACCGAGCATGGCAATTGGGTTTCCAGGCTTCCACTTGGCGCCTATAGCAAATGCTACGATAGTCGAGCCATTCCGGGTCATATAATACTTCCCACCGGGTCGGAGAGTAGAAGACCAGTTATCACGTTCCCTTACGGGAGCGAAACCAGCTTTTGCTAGCCGCTCGATGGAGTTGTGAACGGCATGGTATGCTATAGAGGGGGGGTCGTTAGCGGTGCGGTGAGGAACGGAGATGGGGACGTTGAGAAGTGGGTGGGAAAGGTGGGATGATGAGAGCCATACGTGTTGGAGAGGCGTTGACGAAGTCTAGAAAGTCCAAAGCTGATCTAGGAGGCGCCATTCTGTAAGCCATGAAGTTGGTGTATCAGGGAAGTTTGTATTTAAAGTACGTATATTTGAATATAAAAGTAATATGGACGTAGCTGCCTCACTTTACCTGACTTCACGTGTCCACTGTGGTGGTTACGTAGGTAGGTACTACATATGTATACCCGATAAGATAAAGATAGATGACTAATCACCACGCTAGTCTAGATTTGATACTAATAGATACATACCTTATACATATGCGATCGACCGGGGCAGTTTCTCTCCACAGCCCACCTACCGGTTTTAGCTTCCTGTTATCCGTCTGCCGTCGTGCTACCGGTGAATTCGATCAAGTCGGGTCGATCTTGACAATGCCCTTGTAAAGTTTAACTTGTCGATTACCTACTCAATCTTCTATTCAATCTCCTCTCAATCTCCTACTCAATCTACTCAATCTACTCAATCTCCTTCTTATTTGATCCAAAGCTCAACTCAATACAGGTATGCTATACATGCTCAACTCTTACAACACATTGTATATTCGGCAATAGTGGCATTACGTATACCTTAGGTACATACATACCTACCTTAGGTAAGGTATATAATTGAGATCGTCTACCCCGTCAACCAGACTTGCATCGTTTACGTCTAAGCGCTCCTTTTGCTATCCCGGTGTCTGGCACTCAATCTCGCGAGTAAGTGGTTGCTCATGTAGTAACACTAATCGCTTGCATGTCTATGTGTTGTGCCGCATACATTAGAGAAAGTGGCTTTCTGGTGATTCTAGAAGGGGGATATCGAGGGTAGTAAATCGAAGCCGTTCTTCTCTTTCCTTTCTCGGACGGCATGACCCTTTTTCTGATGCGTTTTGTGCTATGCGTAAGCAAATAAGATGGCCAACTTGGCCGGCAAACACAACTAGACAGATGCAAACCGACACATTTGGAACATCAGGCGCTCGCCACGCCCACCGCCCGCATTCTGCACATTCTGCTACATACCTATTCTATAACATGAAGTGGCGCTTGGACGCTTGGGTTGCTATTAAGCATGTCTGTCATCTTACGTCCTGTCTCTCTCTCTCTCTCTCATATCTGGAGAGGGTGAAGCAAAGGGAGAGAGAAAAGGAAAAAAAAAAAAAATAGAAGGAGTCCAACAAATTTACCAAGATACTTTTGCGCAACCCGCAACCATGTCAGGCACCGCAGGAGCCAGACAGCCATACATAACAACTAAGCGGACAGGGCTCTTAGTTGTTGGCACCATTTCTATTGGACCCGGTAAGCGAACGCACCTGTGGAGTAAGAATTCGAAAGACTAAAGACTAAAATAAGATGATCCGCTGTCAGGGCAAGGGATTCCCAGCTTCTACCACACTTAAACCTAGCTCTCATTTACATAGTACACTATTAAAGATTGGAAGATCTCGAGGGCCCCAAAACTTCTGTCCACGTCTTCGGGAATCTCTCGAGCCATCTTAGTCTATCCGTCCGAGTCCTCTCTTTTTTTCTTCTTCTTCTTCTTGCATACCGCAAATTCACCGCTTTATTTTTTCTTCAAAGTTTTCCGGCGGAGAGCCGGGTATAGTGATGCCATCCAGGTGTAGATGTGTAGGTTAGGTAGATACATACATATGTCTGTCACACGTACTGAGTGAGCCCTGTTGGTCGCGGGGTTGTCGTCCGACCCTTCTTTACGGCGGGATCCGGAAGATGTCTTCCCAGTTTTTGGTTCCTTTCTGAGTTTGACCAGGCGTCGATGCATCTTACTACTATGGTACTTTGCTATGGTACTCCGCCCACCCTTTTGAGATGCACGCATAGCGGACTATCCAGTAGTCGTGGTACAATTGCCGACTAACGTATGCTCATATTGTAAACACTCCCTTCTTTTTATTAGTGAAATATATGTATACTATATATATGGGGTATAATACAAATTGCCATGATGCTTCATATCAGGTCCTCTTTAGAGAGATTTTCTGGTTTATAGTGTATAGGATACGTATGCTCTGAGGTGGACGTGGTCTCGATTCGTGCGTAGGTAGGCTTGGTTAGGTAAAGACGCATACAGTATGAATTATCTTCAAAATTTCAGTCATGTATCGTACGTAGCTTGGTACGAAGGTTGGGGCCAAAAGTCTTGCACATGTCCAAATCTTGGCATCGATTTTCGTACGTCTTTTAACTTATTAATACTGTATCAGCCACACGCTAAGCTAAAGGTCGGATAGTGGCCTGTCCACTGAATTTAGGTGGCTTACCACTATATTTATAGCGATATCAGCCACTATAGCTTAAATAAGACCGTGCAGTCTCTTTTTACTCGCACGTGGCTTTGCCAAGCTCAGATGTGCAAGACTTTTGGCCCCAACCTTCGTACTTCATATGGAATTTCGGTACTTGTCGATATGCCCATTCGATTCTCCCGAAAGGCAGCCAATCAAAGTACTTAACCAAACCATCTAGCCCACTCTGGAAAATCAGGGGTCTCTTTGAGGCAAGGGGGTTGATTAGAACCATCGCCTTGCCCAGTTGTCATGATGGCTGAAAAGGAACCTTCAAGTTACAAGGAATTAGTACGGGAGGTTTGTACATATCACGAGGGCGTACCCCAATGGCTACTCCTTACCTACGGATACATAGGTAGCCATGTACGTATATAGTTGGCAGTCTATCTCATAGTGTAGACTGTGTAGTGAGGCCTCATCAAACTTTGAAAATGCTTCAATTGCTCTTCTCCTATTTAGGATAAGATTACATTGGCTTAAGCAAGAAAGATTTGACGTTATTAGGCGTTTAATAAATCTTGGACGGGTTCTTCAACTTACACATGATGGTGGGCAGGTGGCGTGAATCCTAATTGGTTCTGCCGCGCTATGATTGCCTACAATGTATTAGCTCGCCATCGGCCAGATTCATAGCGTACAATACATACCTTGGAGACTTTCGCTACCTACATAATCCAGTATCCAGACGTCGATGGCGTTTCGTTGATAGAATTAACCACCCAGCCCGTGGGGGAGGCCGTCCATCGCACAAAACGCCCCGTCGTCCGAGAAATAACCCGCCTTAAGTATCGACTGGCTCTTGAACTTATACCTATCTCGCTCGTTTATAGATTCATCTGCTTCCTAGATTCATGCCGCTTGTCTCGATATAGATGAACTGTTAATTTGCGCATGCCGGCTTATCTATGAGAAACTATACTAAAATGCCATATAATAACAGGATATCTGCATACGCATAGCTCCCGTTGATCTACTACATACATGCATGTAAATCGTGTGCCTCGTTGACACGAACATTGCGGGTCTTCCGGTTTGTACCATAATAAGTACCCCCCAAGATTTCTAGCAAGGGAATCAAGAAGAACCAGATACTTGGGCAGTACTTGGCTCGTTTGGATCCAGATAGGTACTTACCCACACATCCTATCAACATCGTAGGGCAGTATCGCGAAAGAGCTAAGGATCCTTTGAACATCCATTAATATATCAAGGAAATAGGGTGGACATAAACGTAACCATCTCGAGTTACCCTATGAATGAATCACTTATACTTGGATAGAGAAGCAAATTTCCATTTACTCTGTATCAAGTAATAAACCTTGGCTTGGAATTGAGAGGCAGCGAACGGGCCTGGTAACGGTCGTACCTTGTAGTCTGCGTGTTGTACGCATCTAAGTGCCTATCATAGGGCATATTTTGACTCCTCCGAGGATAGCTGTAAGCCAACAGATACAAGTGGCGGGGTTTAATAGGAGCGACCGTCACAATGCCGCCAATCGAATCTTATCAGGTTAGAAATGAAATGTCATTCGTTCATTTAATGACGACGATGAGTTTCCTATTCATTTTATTCGGTCTCAATTTTTCGAAACGTATGTTTTTTATATTCGGAGCATCGAAATTGGAAATATTATTACGGATGTGGTCATATGTTGAATGTTATAGGTTCTCGGCACTTCGTAGAGAGTAGAAACCAAACCACTACATACGAACCCTTTAGATGTGTCGCATTTTGATCTGATTCCGGTTTGGTAAAGGAGGGCAATCTGACACGGCCTGAAACAAACAGGGACGCCAAGGTAGCTGAGCTGAGTCTATTTTCAACCCAGGTGCCTCACGAACCCGGAGGTTTGGCAACACATTTCAACCTGAAATAGAAATTGTTCCTGGGAGGGAATCGGGGAGATAATTGTGGTAGGTTATTTTTTCTGCTTTAGTCTTGCTGTAGTGAACCATCCTTACCTTATACGGGTCAACTTTTATACCTAAGGTACTAGGTAGGTAATCAGAACATGATGTGGGATGTCAGGCGATTGTCCCGCTTAATAGACAAGAATGGTAGTATAAACCATTCCTTCCCGGTACCGAAGGTTGGGGACGCGTGGTATTAAGCGTGGCACCCTATCGCATGTGGAAGTATACTTAACTGATACTTGAACTGCATGGGGATGCTTCCTCTTGTAGTTCAAATACGCTCGAACAAGCGTTTTGTCGATAGATGATGCATGATTTCTTCATCTTATATGTGGGTATACCTAACTAATTGCTCTTGTCTGTCATAATCTGTAGATTTACAGATTGTAAATCTTGTCGATCATCTCGCCTACCTCTACTAAAGCTAGCGGGTGGTCAATCTTCAGCGCTGCAGCGTTGGAGGGGCGTCGAGTAAGATCGCCCGAGCGGGGAAGGGTAGGTTAGCCAGCCTTATGAGAATGTTAGTAATTAACCACGAGCAGAGGGAAATGTGAGGCTGACTCGATTCATTACGTACGCGACTACTATAGTTACGCCGTGCTTATGATGCGGAATTTGTGAGAGTCTAGGTATACATATGTCATAAGGTGCTTCGCACTACATTAACTCACATTGCTCGTGTCATATGTCTACCTATTCACCGATGTTCTGTGGTATCAGACTTCCTGTAACTTATATAAGTCCTCACCGTCAAGTGACTCGGTCATCTCCTGGAAATATTCAGGTAGGCTACCGAATGATTACTTGCCTATATTCTGATTGATCGACAGAGTCTAGTGTGGGGGTTTACCGACTTGGACAGGAGCTGGGCTGGGTTGGCGTAAGAAGCACGTCTTGTCTGGCATAAGCACGTATCGTGCCTTCGCGGGGCTGCCTCAATATCTAGATTAGATATTAGATATAACTCCCGACTATTCAGGTCCTATCTACGTCGGCGTCGGTATTCGCGCTGATCATGTAGATCTGGAAGACAAAGAACCTAAAGAGCGCCGCGTTTTATTGCGAGTTCGTTTTATGACATTGGCCGAGATGTTGGCGTGTCACAATACGGGGTCATGCTACCGCTAGATAATTTCATTATCACGAGGTTTACATGTATTCGTCATACCCACCTTCACATGCGTACCTGTTAGTAGCTTAGTAGAGCTGCCGACTGTTTGCTACGCTAGGCGCAGCTAGGTAGTTAGCGATTTCTAAACGTATGCATCAGCTAGAATATTGTGAGAGCATTCGTTCCGTTTCGACTGACGGCGAGGACATTGCCAACTTATGACATACTGACCGTTTCTTGGGGGCGTTTTCTCGAGGCGTACAAATTGAGATATATATCAGTGATCAGGCAGGATGAGCGATCCTCGATTGAGACTTGGAGGATGCGGATAACAATTAAAGAGTCATCCGTCATCCGGCCAGGTTCATGGACACTCAGAATTCTTGGAATTGTTCGAATAAGTAGCGATAAGAGTGTTTCGAGGGGCTATGGTAATCCCCTTTATAAAAGATGTCGATGGGTGTATGACAAAGTAAGCAACACAGATCAAGAGTTTGTATACATGGCATTGCGCTAAGATACATTGACATGGGGGGCGATATTGAACTCGAGATCCCCGGTCGAGATGAATCTCATCATTCATGTAGTGGATTCTGAGGATCCTTGATGTGCTATCGCTTGCAGAATCAGCAGCCATATTATATTTCTCTAACATCCAGATGCGTATCTCGCGCTGTTAGACTACTTATGTTGCATACCGACCGGCGTGTGCATACGCCCTCATGCTAGCTGACGTGTGGCTTTACCTATGTTGGTAAGATAAGACAGACGGTCTACGCAGAGCGGGCGAGAGGAAACAAGAGCCACTGAGTAATTTTATAGGGAAAATAAAACTAGAATTGCTGGCCGACCTTAACTCACGAGGGTATCATCTTAATGGAGATCTGGACCTCGTGAGAAAGCTTCACTGAGAAATTACTGTGTAAGAAAGAAAACCAGTAGTATATGATTTGTATACTATGAACTATGACTGAAAAGGTTAAACGACATAGGAAAGCGGTTTAGACCGAGGCGGCTATCCCAGCAGCCCAGTGTAAGTGGCCCAATATTCCAGTCGAGTTTAATGACAGCTAAAACTGCCCCAACCCAGCAAAGATGCCCAAGTTTTTTCTTGATTTTTTTTCTTCGTTTCCTGTTCAACGTGAAGAGCTCCGTCTTATGTACGTACATAGGGAGCTATGCTTTACGGACACCCCTGCTTAAGAAGCCCGCCCAATTTCGTCAGATTGATGAAGGGTATAGCCTCTCGACTGCGAATAACTCGTACATACCTCTTACCTATATACAAATATTGGCGATTGCGATGGTAGGTATTTGTCTTCTTGCATATAGATAGAGTAAACAGATGCGTACTCGGTGCTTGGTTTATGAAAAGTATGCAACATCCTATTAGGAGGTATCAGTTGGTTTTGGATGTCTACTCTCACCTACACACGCACACACACACACACACACACACACACACACACACACACACTCATACACTAGTATGGACATAATGTAGGTAATGTAGGTACATCAATATAAGTACATGTACCTCTTCTTGCCAATTACATGTACATGTACATGGGCAGGGCCCTTGACTCTTCGTGCATCCGTGTACCCATACTAGCTTAACCTTACATGTACGCATACTTCATAATACAGTACCCAGATACAACTGAGAACCACTGTATCTAGAGCTTACCGTACCTATAGCTAACGTACCTGAGTACTTGGGCTATAAAACGTTTTTTATGATACTTTAATGTAGGTACGTGCGCGACTTGCAGATATTTGGACCCAATTGAACGACTTTCGAGAGCAACCAGAAGCGAAACACAGCCAACCCCAAATAAGTATTCTTCTTCCTCTTTTCTATTTCGGTGACCGCCTCACTACAGCATACAGCATACAGCATACAAAACAAAACTTGGTGATAAGTGGCATTATTCAAGCCAGCTCAGCAAAACCCGACACTTACTCTTTTACCTATTCTCCTCTCCTCTGCTGCTTAGGATTTATCGACTGCCAAGTTTTTCGCGACGTTGCGAATCGACCAGCAATCGCCGTTCCGAAGGCTTGGCCCCGATAGAAACCTCCCGCTCACTCTCAACTCCCGCAGATCCCATCGTCTTCGCCCGTTAAAGAATTCTACGCGAGACACGCAATAATCCTATTTGGTAAGTCCATCTTCTTTTTCGTCAACCTGCTGAACCTGCCAACCTATATGGCCCTATATGCTCTCTATCTGCCTACATGGTACATTCTCGGTAGTTGGCCTATTAGGGCATACCGGCAATATCTTTCCAACTCCCGTTTCCCATATTGCCTTACATGTATGAGCCGACTGCGGGCGCAGTATATACGTTTTTACCTACACACATATATACACACCTCACATACGTACGGGATAACAAGTTATATGCCTATCTACATCATCGTACCTAACATACCTGACCTTGGGCGAGGACGAGAGGGCGATAGAAAAAAAAAAAAAGCCTGGTTAGGCCACTTGGTACCTTACTTTCAGCATCAGTCCCAATGCCAGTACCAATGTCGCAGTGCGATAAGTGGCATTCATGTACAAAGTGTACAATGCAGGTATCCCTCAGGATGGATGAGCTTGCTGTCGCTACCATCAAAAAGGTACATCCACGTCCTGCAGGTTTGATGTATATGTACCGATGAATCCGCTGCTGAAGGAGGGCTGGGGCGTCCACCGCCCAGCAGCAACTATCCAATCATATCTCGTTTTATCGCACCGTACCCCACAGTACGGTTCAAGTATCTGCAAGTGTACTGTACTTGAATGCATCTCAGTCGCAGTTAGTCAGTGGGAGATCCCCAAGCACCCCACTTTTACCAATATTTGAATTCACACTATTGGTGATCGATCATTCACCACTCGCACGCGGCAACTTTGGCCTGGATGAAGTGCCCCCCAGCAACTTACCTCTGCCTACTACTGTTCTGCTTGTACTCTAACAACGTTCCTATTCCCTCCCACTGCCGCCTTTCTTCTTTCCTACTACTATCACCACATCCACAACCTCATTCCGACCCTCTTATTACTTCTCTCTACCGTTTCCCTACTCTTCGGACGCATCTACCTTTGGCATTCCCCTCCCATTTCCTGCCATCTTTATCTTCTGACCAGCTCGCTCATCACGAAAGCCATATTGGTCCCCGTATTTGCGCTATTGGCATCGACTTCGATATATTGGTTATTCGTACTAACATTCCTCCTCGAAGTCGTCTCCCATACCTCGTTTTGGTCCACGGTCCACGTTCCCGATTTATTCTCGCTCGCACGGTCTACCTATGCTTGACCATTCAACTTTATTCAGTCCTGACACCATAACCTTCAATTACTCATATCTTATACTTTCGCAGGTGGCGCGAAATCTGTTACTAGTTACCGCGCCCCCCTCTTTCGCAAGGACAATTACGAAACCTTGCACGATTTAGCACCGAAGCTACACGGTTAATGTTCGCTTAACGAACCGTGTTTGCGTCCAAGAGCTTTTGAGTCATAGCATCAGCATACGATTCAAGGCTCGCTCTTAAGAGAACCAGCCCGCACGACCACGGACGCGCAGACTCGCTTCGATACTAGGATTTTTGTACGGAAATGAGGTGCTTGTAACCGGGAACCCTGGTCTCAACAACAAATACGCCTCGGCTGCGAGATTGGCGAGCGTGTCTGGTTTTCGTGACATGAGAACCTGCCTCATACTGCCTTCTTCCCAGATATCCTGTCGATTCTAATCGCTCGGTTTAATCGCCAGCAACTGTACCAACGTGTACCGGATAGGGCCTAGGAAGGTGTTTTTGCAAGCAAAGTCCTTGCTGGATATCTTGTCTAGGTTAACTTCGACTTTCTAGGAAGGATCTATTTTGACCCTAACGACCGTACACGACTTTGACCGACCCTTAATTATATCCCGCGGCCATGGCCGCCAATATGCCACAGATGGGCGGCGGCGGTGTACGGCAGCGACCGCCCAACCAGCAGTTGTCGCAACTCGTTTATACGCAGATCATGGGACAAGGCATTCAGACTGGTGGCTGGCAAGATCAAGTACAGGTCAATCTACGAGTTAGTAACACGATGAACTTGTAAGTATTGCTACTACCACCCGAAATTCCCGTCCGTTCGTAATCATAATTACAAAAATGTCGGTCAGTCGATGCGCTAATCCGTACGTAATTTAGGATCTCTAACTCGTTTCTTGCCATGCCTGCCCTTGATTCGCAGCAGCTCGTATCTCACGGCTTGACCTTTGAACGAGATGCCTTTTTAAATTCCCCGGACAAGGTGGGTTTCTTTGCGCCCGTGTCTCGTTGCGAAATATAACTAATGTTTTGTCCAGGGGACTTACGATCAGAAGATTGGCGGTCGCGTCCAAGAACTCTTCAAACGACGGCAAGCGCATGAGCAAAGTCTCCAAAATACCTTGAACGCCCAGGCCGCTGCTCAAGCGCATGCTCAAGCGCAGACGCAACAGATGCTAATGAACCAGAACATGATGCCCAGGGGTATGGGGCAACCACCGCAGCAGGGCTTCCAGCATCTCCAACAACAGATGCAGCCCTCGCCGATTCCCCAGCAGCCTCATCAACCGGGAATGGGGATGGGAGGTCAGGGCGGCCTCCCCATGAACCCAAATCAGCAGCCGATGCAGATGGGGGTAGCACAGATGCGCCCTCAATTCCCGATGAACGCCACTTTGGCAAGTCTACCTCCCCAAGATAGGACGAAAATTATGCAATTGGCTCTGGCGAAGTTGAACCAGACTACGGAACCACAGCGGAATCAACTGCGTAATTTAGTACAGCAGAGAATCAACCCCCAGCAGATGGCGCAGTTGCAGGCGGAGAACCAGGATCCAGTTCTATTCTATTTACAGATCCAGATGTTACAGGCATTTAAGCAGGGAGGCGGCAATGGTGGCGGCAATCAAGCCGCATTGCAGATGCAGGCCCAGCAGCGACAGATGAACCAGTCTGGGCAACAGCTAGTAGGGGTTCCTAACAGCGAGTTTGGTCCATTTTCGAACGTCGAGAGCATCATGAACCAGCAGAAGGCAGGACTACTCGCCCAGGAAGCAGGGCAGATGGTGGTGCCGGCGAGTAACGGACCCGGCCGGAACGCCACACCTCAACCTATGGGCGGAATGCAAGGCCCTAACCCTAACCATCCTGGACCAAACCAGTCCGGCATCCCTAATCAGATGCCGCAACAGTTCAACCTGCCGCAAGCCCAACAGTTAAAGATGGACCAAAGGGCGGCCCAGTCGCAGGCCCAGATCAGGGCGCAGGCGCAGGCTAAACAAATGCAGGGCCAGCCCGGAGGACTAAACGGTGGCGCCATCTCTCAGAGTCCTGGCATGAACACTCTGAACACGCCGGTTCGCCGGACTCCAGTCATGGGCCAGCCGGAAGGGCAGCAGCAAATGGGTCAACCCAACGGGCCTTTCGGACAAGGGCTCGACCCGCGTTTCAACCAGGGCAATCAGCGGCCGCAGATGGGTCCGAACCCAATGAATAATCAGCACATTATCAACAGCGTCCTTGCCCAGATGCCACCCGAGCAGCGGAATGCGTTCATGAGCTTGCCACCGGATAAGAGGAGCGAGGTGCTGATGAAATGGACTGCTAATCCGACTGCGAGGGCGGGTATGGGTCAGCCGCCCGGACGCGGTCAGCCTCAACCAGGCCAGTTCGGACAAGGTAATCCGATGGCTCAATTTGGCCCAGGAAATAACATGGGCCAAGCACCCAACCCTAGCGCGCAGATGAATGCTCAGAACCAAATGCTGCTTCAGCAGCAGATGAACAGGATGAGGAGCATGCAGCCCCAAAATCGGCCTCAAATGCCCCAGCCCCAGGATGTGAATAACTATATGGATAGCATGGACGTACCAGGAAGAATACTGGACCAGCTGAAAACAAGTCAGCAGCCGGTACCACAAGAGATCAAGAAGTGGGCTCATCTTAAGCAATGGCTCTCCCAGAGGAATGCCAACAACCATGTCATGCAGCAGCTACTGGGCTTCCAGACTGCACAGTTTCAGAACATGATGAAGCAGAGGGCGGCAAATAACCAGATGGCTCAGCCTAATATGCCGCAGCAGGGACCGCAAATGCCAAATGCGCAAATGCCTATGCAACCAGGTGCTAACATGGGCCCCTTTGCGGGCATTACGATTAGTCCCGCCGAATTTCAGCAGGCTAAAAATCACGAGAGGTTCAAGGGCTGGCCAGATGAGAAGATCAAGACGGCTCTCATGCAGATGAAGCTAACTCAGATGAGGGCTAAAGCAAACGGACAGGCACCCAATGCCCAAATGCAGACGCCTCAGACGTCCCAACCAGCCAACAACAACCTTGCCATATCAGCCCCGCCGCCGAATCCTTCAAACGCCCTCCAGCAAAGACCGCAAAATGCGGGACCTGATGCTAATCCTACGGGCTCTGCGGGGCCCGCAAGGAATAGGCAGCTTCAAAATAATCGTCCGCCGCCTCCGGCCTCGACTGCTCCCCAGAGGAATAGTCTAAAGCGTGCGAGTACGGATGACGTAGTGGAAGTGCCGAACCCGTCGGGTACACCTGTCCAGCGTCCGGCGTCCCAACAGGCTCAGGCCGCCGGGCCTCCACCGCAATTTCATATCCCACCCGCTCAGCTTGCCGCGATGCCGCCCGAGCAAAGGAATAAGTACGAGGCTATGATGAAATCCCGGCAGGCGGCAGCGGCAGCGGCCGGAGGTGGTGGTGCACAACAGCCGCAGCAGCAGCAGATGTCCGAGGCAATGCTGCATCTGAAATCTATCGGCCAAGAGGAACACATGAACGCGGCCAGAGAGCCGTACCAGGAAATTCCGATGAACCCGGAACAATATCAAGATATGGCCCAGAAGATCCAGTCTCTGGTTAGCGAGATGGGCAAGGTCAGCAAAATCCTAGGGCGGTGGTACACTCTAACGAGAGATGACAACCGCGCTAGGATGTTCTTCAAAATGGTGAGTTTGAGCAACGAAACGTTTTATACGGTTCCAATAACTAATATCATTCTAGCGGCTCCGCTTGGGTAAGCAATTCGCGGACGGCGAGAAGATGACGACTCTCAAGAAGGCATTTTCCCTAAAACCGAACGAGCTGGATAGCGTAAGAGCGATGCTGGAGGGCATGGCTAGGGACGTGGCCACCCAGTATCCTCAAGTTATGAAGAGAAATGCTACCCAACAGCAACATGCCCAAGAACCGGGACCTCAGCAGGGGAATAGCGAGAACACCGCCACACCACCGATGGGAGCGCCGACGCCATTAAACGCCGCCAACCTCGAGAAGCAAAATGCGTTGAACAAAATACACCATAGATCCACCAGCAAGAGTGGGCAACCACCGGCTGCGCCAACTACCTCGCAACCTCCGTTCCCCTTCGGTGCCCAGTCACCCAACGGTCAGCCTACGTATATTGGGAAACCTGCTGTTACCCAAGCTGACCTTCAACTACCCCCTCGCAAGAGACCCAAAACCAGCGGCCAGGCAGGTCTCGGTTCGGGCGGCGCGAGCGCGAGCTCATCTCCCCAAGTTCAAAAGGCACCGTCCCCAGAGCTAGTTAAGCGACAGACGCCGGCAGAACACGCAGCGCCTAAATTAGCATACCAGTGTCCCGAGCCAAGCTGCGAGGCGCACAGTACCGGTTTTGCTACCGAAGAGGCTCGACGAAATCATATCGAGGAGGAGCACGTGAAGCCCTCGCAGAACCCATTCAAGTTTGCGACCGAGAGCCTTGCTGCTAGGCTCGGATTAGATCCTGACGGACACCCGAAGGCGCCGCCGAACACCTCGACGACGGCCCCTTCGATGGCACGCGATGCCTCGAAGCAGGGTCAAACGCCGGCGAGCCGAGCCGATGCGACGCCGATGTCCCGAGAACCGTCGATGAAGAGACAAGGTAGCGCACCGGGTGTCAAAGCCTCGGACCTACTTAAGACGATGGCTGGCAAGACCGGCACGCCGAAGCCCGACGTCGGAACTCAGGTTGGAGATGGTACTGTAGCGCCTGCAAAGACGTCCGGCGCAGATGGAGCCTGGCCGATGACGACTATAGACCCGCAAAACCTACTCCAAAACCTGGGGGGCATCGAAAGCGGTGGCGGAGGTTCTATTTTCGACATGAACGTGTATCGGGCAATAACACCACACGACACGCCGGAGGACACGCCGGAGTCGAGCAAGGATAGCGCGAGTTCGGAGCCGACTAGTGACCTGTCGGAAGGCGTGTCGCTTAATCTGCAGCTGAATATGGGGCCCGACCCCAACATGGGGCTCGACAGGTGGCAGCCATTCGGGCTGGGCGACGTCGAGTCTGGCGACATGAACTTGACCGAGATGGATCTAGGTGCTACGGACGAAAATACGATGCCGCTATTCTCGTGGGATGACGTGAACCCCGATTTTACGAAAGAATTCACATTAGACACCAGTTTCTACTCTCTCGAGACGGCATGAAGGGGCAGCGGACTAGAGCTCTTTAATATTTCTCATTTTTCTTCCTCACAATGAATAATGAGGTATTAGCAAGGGTAGGCAAGTCTATACGAGTTGGGCCAGGCAGGGGCTTGGCCGGGGCGTTTTAGGGGGGGAGGGGGTTGGGGGGGTTATTGTATGTTCCCGGTTTATTTCTGGTATATTTGCGGAGTCGGAGTCTAAGGAGGCCCAACGGGATAGGGCAGCGGAAAAGTGTCTTTGACAGGTTGGTGGGTGGAATTACATATATCGCGAGCATTTCATTATTCTTAAGATCAGCGGCTACTATATAGAGCTGGACAGCGTCACGATACCCAAATGAAAAGACCGGTGAACAATTGTAATGTTTTTTTTGAAGTACCTATGAAGTAACTACCTAGTAATATTACATGTGATGATGGTGATGATACCTAGCTACATATGATATGATATAGCGTTACGTATTCCGGTATTCCGTACGGAAGTACGAATTGATAGGATGTAGGAGTGGTGGGGTAAATGTACCTAGAGAGATGCAGATATGGTACCTGACGGGTAGCAGGGATCCCTTGATGGGTTAGAGACTTAGAGTTGCATCAACCTTAAATTATGCACAGCGATCGTCCAGGCTGCCAGGCCGAAAAGGGTAATAAGTCAATAAAATAGTACGCAATATGGTGCACAAGGAATACATAAGAGAGCATAATTTAAGTCATTTCGCATTGAGGGACTGCGACGCGGGTCGAAGCGCGCGCGCGAATCTACAAGACCCTTCATTACATTTATATCAAGTACCTAAGATCCAAACTGTCAAAATTACTAGATTTAACAATTCGTGCCAACTTCGTGACAACTTCGCGTCTGTTGACTTTTATTATCCTTTCCGATCCAGCAAAGATCAAAGCCTTTTTTGCTACTGTTAATATTTAAACGGTATCTGGTATCTACTATCTACTATTGCACCCTTACTACTACGAATTACAAAATACCGGCATCCCGCCATCCCGCCATCGCAGCATACACAAGATGGATTCCTCGCCGAGCAAGAGACGCGTCTTGGGTTCTATCGATACTAATGCTAGAAGTCCTGTTTCTACTTCGAAGCTCCAAGAATCTAAATCAAAAGCACTCTCACCTATCTCGAGCATAATGAACAATGCCATTAAGCGGCCTCTTGATCAAGAAGCCGTGAGCCAGCACCAACAGTACCCACCTACGCCACCGACCAAGAAGCAACGCCTTTCTGTTGGTGAAGAGGAAATTGAACGTATACCTATAGATGAGGAGCACGGTCCTGAAAGGGTATGCATTTCGTGTATCATTCTATATCGAATGAACATGGCTAATCTGGTGGCGGATTAGGACTCTCCTCGAGAAGAAGCTGGACGTCAGCAGTCTGTATCGCCAGAAGAAGACTCCATGTTCCTAGATAACTCTATTATCGACATAACCCTAGAAACCGCAGTAACCGAGCCAGACATAGAAGTTGTTGCGCCAGCTCCACCAACCCCGCCGGCGCCAACTCGAAGGCGATCAACTATGACTCGGGAGGAAGCTCGGCAGGTAAGTTCTGAATTTGAAGTCGGGAAGAAGAAAAAGGGTAGTTAACTAACGGTATATACAGAAAGCAGAGATGCTCCGACTGAGACTCAGTTTAGCTAGTTACAAAGTTCGCACTGGACAGACGGACGTGTCTCTAGAGCAGCTCGAAGCCAAGTCATTATTGAAATCTGGACGGTCCAAGGAGCCATCTTTGCCTCGACCGTCACGAATTATGCACGCAGGAGAGGAGCATGACAAAGACGGAGAAGGCCGCGGGGATAAAGTACCATCTTCGGGGCGAAAGGCATTGCCGACTGCGCGGCCTCTTAGTCGGGGGAGTAGTTTTGACAAGAGCCATCCGGGGACGGAGCCGAGAGAAATGCCCGTATTGCCGATATCGTGGCCGGATTCGCGAAGAGCGTCGCGATAAGGGGCTGGGTAGAGAGGGGGTTTATGGAGTTTTAGAGGATTTAAGGGTGTTAGGGGGTTAGGGGGTTGTGCTGGCAACGGCAATTCCTAAGACGGGGAATCAGGCGGGTTTAGGGAAGGGAAGGGGGGTTATTCTACGTATTCGTCTGCGTTTAGGAGGTATCATGAAATACTCTTAATGGCTCTCTACTTTTCAATGTCGTTTACGTATGAAGAGGTTCTTTTGTGAAAAGTCATGTTTAAGCCAAACAGGCCAAAGTCTTGGGCTTACATTAGGTATGTTGTCTTCTCTGTGCCCGAGGGGGGAAATGCTAAAACAAAAATAAATTGAGAGCAAGGCTAATGTCGTTTCAGCTGGCAGGAACTGGCAATGTACCTAGGTCATGAGGCTATCGTGAGCACTTTCCTGATATTAATGTTAGCTACCTACATGTGCATAATCTCTAAGGTTCCTTCCTGAGGTATGTACATAAGGTATGTATCTACATCGTTCCCGACTTAAGGAAGGAACCAACGACGTCAAGATAGGAGATACTACATAGTGTCATTCATACCGCCTGCCTCCTTCTAATAATTATTACTTTCCCTTCCTCTTTCTTTTTACTTTGCAACTCCACTCTCAACTTTTAACTTTAACTCATCTGCTGCTTCACTCCTTCACTAAGCTGCTGCCAAAGCCACCATTAGCCATTCCACTATGCCACCCCCGTCTCAAACCACAGAAATGCGACTACCCCTACGCATCAAGCCCAGACTCGGTCCAAAACCTACTTCTCGCAAACCAACAATCAAGTCGAAACCCAAACAGCTCGCCATGTGCTCAACAGTCCACTTCACCTACCGCTGCGGTTGCACCCACACTACTACCTTCGAGTGTCCGGATACCGCATCCTCCTTCTCCAGCCTTGCAACTAGCTCGCACTCCCGTCGAAATCGTCCCCGTCGACGCCGTCGTTGCTACGGTCCCAAGAGTACACCTACCATTACGCCGCTGGACGAAGACTGCTACGACTGCGCGCAGAAGCGGGAGCAGGCGGGGAGACGAACTGCTTCTTTAGGGGATAGTGATATTTCTTCTTTCTCCCTATCGACGGACGCAGACGCGGATACGGAGACGGAATTCGATACAGATATATCAATGGCAATGTCGACATCGACATCGACATCGACATCCATATCGTCAACCCCGTCAACACGCGCCTCGTCGCCCCTCGACACCACTATTCTCAAGGAACGCGATCCCAATCTACCCTCCAAATGCCCGCTCATCTCAATTCTAGACATGGACTTAGACCTGCGTGTGTATTTGATGGATCTGGAACTGCCCGAGTTACTGGATGGCTTTTAAGCTCTAAGCTGGAGTTAGTTGTGCGGAAAATGTGGGTTTATAAGGATGGGAAGAAGGAATACGAGAAGAAAGGGGGAGAGAAGAGTCTGAGAGAAAGGAAATATGGCTAGTTCGTTAAGTGTTGCTCTTATCTGAAGGGTATGAGTGGGCTATTTTCTTTGGTCATTTTGACGACGACGACGACGACGATGATGATGATGAGAAGCTATTGAAAGTATAAATAGGGCTTATATATCTCAAGACTGAGGAATCACGCCAGAATCCTGTATTGCTACGTGTCTGTAATGGGATCATGACATTGTTTATTGCTATTGTTTCTTACGAGCTACTCAATAGCCTCGCCTGCCATAAGGGGCTATATACTCGTTTTACTGTGGTGTACTACGTAACAAACGTAGGTAGTTATTTACCTTCATAATACCTAACTAACCGGCTACAAACCTCGTGAAGCGTTACAGCAGATGTGACTTTTCACGGCGTCTTCCTTGTAAACGTGTAACTCACCTTAGGTTCTTCTAACCCTTTAACCTCCAAAGTCCATCTTCAACGCAATACTCGGCTGGCCCTGGGTGCTTGAGCTCTTCGCCGGCCCACCGCTCTGCCGACCCGACCGGATCACTTCTTCCATAAATGCCTTCTGCCCCTCATTCATCGCCGCTACCACACCCCTGAACCCCGCCTGGTCCGCCGACGCTAATTCCAATAGTCTCGCGCTCGTTTCGTGGTACACGTCCGTGCCCTCGCTAGCCGCGCGGGAAAGCAGAGTCGGCACGACGATAGACATGGCGATCTGCGCGTGTCCGCTGCCTAGGGTCGCTACGTACTGCGTTAGAGACTGCGCCACGAGCTTGCGCGCGTCTTCCGGATCCTCTGGTTCTGTGTCGACTACGAAGGCGACCAATCGGGGGAGGAGATAGCGAGCGATGGACTGGTCGGCAGGCGAAGGGGATGGCTGCAACAGGAGAGATCGGATGCAATTTGCTGCGATCTTAGCCGTCTACGAGATAGTTAGCGATGCCCACGAGAAGGCTACGTAGAATCCTAGGGGGTTCTTACCATGCGGTCTGTTAGACAATCCACCAATTCGTCGAGATATTTCGCCACGAGGCGGTCGTTAGCCGCAAGACGATTGCTCCCCCCCGTAAAGAGTATTGTGATTGCGAGCAGGCAGTTCTTGACGCACTGCAGAGAAGTAGGCGTCTCGCGCTTCTGCGCATTTAGATAGATGGATAAGTATCGGCGTAGGCAACCTTCTACTTGCACGTCGCTGGCCGACTTCGCCTCTGCCGAGCCGTGAGAGCTAGACATGGTCGCCATAAACCTTTTAAATATGGGGAGAGCTTGCGGGACGATGATCTCTTGGCAGGAGGGCGTCGCCAGTATAGTGGCGAAGATATGGATTATACAAGCATGCAAGTCCGTCTTGATGATTGCCGGGAACACTTCTGCCGCATCTACCATGGCATTTAACCCGGTCCGTACTAGAAGGACGGCCTCCTCGGTCAGATGATGGCGCACTGGCTGATTCGTCTCGGTCAAATTAGGCAATAGCCCGGATAGCACTAGAACGATGATCCTAGTGAGCTCGAATAGCTGCTCGATGTCTTCGCTTAAGTCGCCGTCATCTTGCTGCTCCTGTTTCCTTGCTGAAGGATGAGCAACGCAAAGGGCGCGCGCAATTTCGACTATAACTCCCTGAACGTCGAGACCCTCTGTCAGTACGAGGCGATCCAGCAAATCCATCGTCTCGGAGAAGATTGCCTCTCGGTAGATAGCATGGCCCGAAACGCTCGGATGTAGGATCTTCTTAAGAGCCTGCAGTATCTCGAGAGTTTGTTCCTGAGTAGCCAAGGAATCAACTTGGCTCGACTTGGTGGCAAGCGCTTCAAAAGCGATGCCGAAGAGGACGAAGAAGAAAGCGACCGGTTCGTCGCGATAATTAATATCAGCGCTCTTAGATTGCCCATTAGTACCTGACGCGTCAGCTTCCTTCCCATCTAGAGCGTCGAAAACAAATTCGCTGTCTTGCTCGATGAGGCTCGCAATAGCGTCGACAAGTTTTAACCAGGATTCCTGGTAAAATTTGAGAAGCGTCTCGCGGTTGAGGGCCGCATAGATGGTATCTAGACTACCCGACATAGACGGGGGACCCAACGTCATCGAAATGTCTGGTTCGAACCTCAACCGAGCAAACTCCCGCAACGAGGCCAGCCACAACGGCGTCAGAGTGCCGATGTGAGGCTTCAATACGTCGAGTAGATACTTCTGCTCCGAGCTGGCTACCTGAAGCTCCGCCCATGCCGAATAAACCGACATCTTAACCATTACCTGCGCGTTAGAGCTGAGACCCTTGAGGTCGCCAATCCCGGCGTTCTCCGTTTCCGTAGAGAAGTTCTCAAGGGCGGTAACGAGCGTCTTTAAGATACGCCCCATGCGATCGACATCCGTCACGATACCCGTGGAGATGAACGCGGCGCACACGTTAACAGCTTCCGCAGCCAATTCGGGAGACGAATCTGCAGCGAAAGCAGGCGTCAATGCCGAGCTGATTTGCGCCTGGTATTGTTCGAGGAGCATCGCCTCCTCGAAGTCAGGGTCCGGTGTTTTGCCAAACATTCTCAAGACGGCACCGATTATCTTCAACCCCCATATCCTTAGCTCCAACACGCTAGACGTCGAAGCTGAGAAAGCCATACGGATAACGTCGGCGATTCTGGCCTGGAGGGCGGACTGCGCGGGCGACTCGCCGTTTGTAGCAACGTCTTTCCCAATCATCAAGAATATTTCATTGAGACAACTCATCGCGAACGTCCTAACTTGCCAGCGCAAAGGCTCCATTTCGGAATTTGAAGGCGAGTCTTTATCATCCTTAGCGGCGCCGGCGGCCGCAGCGAAGCCGGCAACTTCTTCGTCCTGCAGATCGATAGTGGCAGTCGGCTTTCGGTTGACGTCGTGCGTCTCCTCGGCAGCTTTTGGTCGGGTCATCTTGAGAACGTTCTGGCAACGGAGGAGCCAAGCGCCGGTTTCTGTTAACGCAGTCTGACGTAGCCAGTTCCGGATAACATTGCGAATTCCGTCGTGGCTAGGCGATACGTCTAGCACGAGCCATAGCTGGTCCTCAAAGCCTGGATTGGCTGCTTCCAGAACGTCGAGGGAGTTCCTCTTCATCAGATTGTAAAGACCGTCTACCGCAACGTCGCGAAGGATAGGAAATTCGGAGTTGAGATATTTCTGTAACGTTTTGACGTAGTCGCTGAATACCATGTGCCCAGGAGCATACAGGGATAGATGCTCCAAGCACGCTAAGCTTTCGCGCTGTACGAGAACATCCTCCTCGCTCTGCAGCTGATCGACGAGAGTGAGAATCAACTCGCGCGATTTAGTAGAATCTTGCAAGTCCGGTCCCACGACGTTGATCAGAGAGTCGACGCAACGTGTGATGGCTGCCGTAGTCGATAACTCCGTCTCCAAGCTCATAGAGATAGGGGAAGCTACTTCGGAATGATGAGTTTCCGAAAGGTAAAGTTGAGAGACCATTCCGAGGGATCCGGAGATATACGGCGAGAAGCCAAGGCCCGTAGCGTCGGCGGCATCAGCTAGAGCCTCGAGGGCCCAGTAGTGTACTGTCGGATGCGGATCATTGCACAGAGACATCAGGATACCAGTGATCGTCTTGAGATGGTACCCAGCACCCATGCCGCCTACCTTCGACTGGATAGAACCCAGAGCCATGGCGCACCCTGCTCGAGCGCTAGGTTCCCGATTTCCTACGATGGTATCGACTAAATGCTTAATCTCGTGGTTCGTAAACGCATTGCCACATGCATTACAGAGACGGGCAATAGCACCATAACCTAGGCTGCGTATATACTGGTCCGGATCGACCACGAAGCTCCTAGTCATTTCTTGTAGGAGCTTTTCCACTGCTATGTTGGTAAGATTGCCGGCCGGCGACTGAGTCTCCTTCACGGCAACCTTTAGAGTAAGGAACAGAGCACTGGCGACGTTCACAGTAATGGCTGCTTTACGGCCGAGGTCGCGCTGTAGCGAACCAGCCGAAGTGAACGTAGCAATCTGTTCGAGAACGCTCTCCTGTACTTTGGCCGGCGTAAGGGGGAAGACGAACGCAAACAGCTGAATTGCCATATTCACCACCTCGGTAGCAGGAGGAGCAGGAAGATCCGCGGATGAATCTTGCTCGCCAACGTAGAGCACAGCGGCATCGTGCTCCAGCGACGAGCAGATCGGCGACAGAAGCAGGTCGTCGATAATTTCATCTGGATTAGGCTCGTCCGTCTCTGGCTTATCGTCCGAATCATCCTTCTCTCCGGGGAGCCTCTTGATTTTGAAACCGCGAACTAGGTCGTTGACGCCGTACCCGGAATTGTCACCTACATCCCAGATAGTCTCAAAGGTCCCCGCAGCGTTGGCGATAGACGCGCTGAGGGTGTTAGCTGCGTAATTCTCGGGGTCGGCAAACAGCGATATTGCCAGAGTAAGGAGATTGGATTGTAGAAGCGACTCGCTCCCTCCAGCTGGGCTTTGGTTCACCAGCATAGTATAACATTGCAAAACTCGTCGCTGGACCATCATGTCAAGGTCGTGCAGCTGCAAAGCAGGAGTCAACCTTTGAGAAATATCATCGGTGGTTTTCTTCGAGGGTAGCATCTTAAGAAACACGCTGGTATTTTGAAGCATCGTAGCAATGCGTTTCGATACGTCAACAGTTAACAAGCGGCTGTTGAACTGAAGAAACGAGAGAATAGAACCCAACGCGCATTCTTTGACGTGAGTTAAGTACGAAACTTCTAAGATGTTACGATGAGCAAAATTATCCTTCGCCAACGGCTTTGGCAGGGCGTTTTTCCAGAGAACAAGCAACTGCGAGAGATGAATCTTGACGAAATTAGGTCCCAGCGACATTAGTCCCCCGAGGAGGATCCACGCAACCTGGACCTGCGTGCTCGAGACGCGAAGCTCGGACTGACCACTGGACTTGAGCAGGTTGGTAGCCATGGAGTAGACCCGGTTGTTAATATCGAGGGAGCCATGTAACGGACGAGACGGACTGGCACTCAGGGTTGCAGCCAATCCATGAGCGAATCCGACACATCTTCTCGGAGAGTTTCGCGCACCTCCGAGTAGGGACAACTCCCTGCTAAGACTGTTCATACAAACAGACAAGCAAGGTAGGAGCTGCTGCGGACACGCAAGAACGAACGTTTTCATGCAGAACGAAGCAGACACCTGGACGCTATAACTGGGATGCTGAAGTACTTGCAATAATCCATCTCGACAGGGTTCTGCGAAATTATTCGCGGCAGATCCAAGCGACTTGATAAGTGATGCTACCGCGCCAAGAGCTGCGATCAGGGCATGCTTTGTCGGCTCAGGTCGCTCTTTGAGCGTTTGGGGATAGTTCTTAAAAACATCGTTGACGAGCACTTTAGCCACAGTCGTCTGGCCTGATTCCCCAAGTATCTTGCGACCTATTACAACCTGCAGGACCGTATCGACAATTCGACGCGAGATGAGGAGTCTATATCGATTGTTGACTATGTTCTGATGGCCTAATAAGTCGATAGTTAAGCTCTCCAAGATTCTCAAATAATTCTTTTCGACAAAATTCTCTCCTAATCGTTTCAAAACCCTTCCATAGCAAACACCAATGGCTGCCCTGGCTCTGTTGGTAGTAGATAGTCTAACGTACTGAGTCGTAAGAGTCTTAAAAATGTCACTTAGCGACAAGACGAGGACCTGGCTTTTTTTGCCGGGCGCTGGGCTACCTGGCCGCGACGGAATATCATCGTCTTCCTCCAACCCTACGCCCGGCTGGATAGAGGCCCTTTTACTAGCTTTAGACTTGGACTTTTTGATCTTCGGTACCCCTGCCGATGCGGACTCGGAATGACTTTTCACCATAGCTTCGGCCAAACAGTCCGCAGCGGCGTGTCTTACGTGTGAGGAATTAGAATCGATGGTCTTAAAGAGGGCCGACTTCAGATTCTCGAAATCGCCCGAGTTCTCAAAGTACGAAGTATATCTGGCCAACGACTTTAGACAACGGCAAGCGGACACGACAGTTAGGGAACCTTTGTCGCCCGAGGCGGCATTCCGTGCTTGCTTCCAAATATCCCTAGCTATGCTCTCATCCAAGCTCGATCGCACCATGCCTACAATTTTGTTCAAGGAAATAAGCACGGCAGCGCGTAACCCAGCATGACTTTGTGACGATTTGAGCAGCTTGACGAGGGCGCCGCAGGCCAATGGGTGCAGGCCGATGGCGCTGTCACCGGCGGATGCGTACACATCGCCCAAGCAACTGATAGCGGCATGTCTGGTTCGAACTTCATTTTCGGTCTTGGATTTCCCGGTGGATATTATAGAGACTAGCTCGTTTATAGTATCGAAGAGTAATTTCCTATCTCCATTCCCGAGGAAGTAGGCAAGTATCTTGCCAAGATTGACCCTTATAACCCGGCTAGGGGAGGGCGTGGACAGGTTGATTATCTGGAAGACCTCTTTTTTGAGGTAGAACTGCTGGGCAGTACAATCATCATTCGACAAGCTATGGACATGTTTGCTTAGAGAGGAGACGAAGTTCAGTAGGAAGAGGTCCTGCTGCTCGGCGGGAAGCGATTGGAGCTTCTGAAGGTCGAGTTCGGGATTGTTGGTGGTAGTCAAGGAAGCGCGCGCGGGCGCTGCGGCTTGAGAGGCGCCGTTAGACTCTCGAGGGGGGGAACTTGGCGCTGACATGGAAAATCATGGATGTTCTGTTGAAGCGCATAAAAGGAGGATCGTTTCAACCGCGGCGAATAAATGAACGAAGACGAGACCGGAAGAGTCGCGATTAAAACGTGTGCTATGCTATCGAAATGTGAAGGTGAATAAGTACCTAATTACGGATATCGAAGGCACGTGGAAGGCAGTTGGCGGTATTGCATGAGGTATGTATGTATGTACAGTGTACCTAATGTATTCGAGCGCGTACCTGACTTCAAAGGGGGTATGTACTCGGCAGTAACGAGTCCTATAGCCAATCACAGGCGATAGCAATATTGGGTTTGTATGGATTATCTGCCAATTACACGGCTTCAATCGCCCAAGAAAAATAACCTTTAAACATTTCTAAAATAGGTTTAGCTCCTTCAAGAATAAAAGAAAGCTATTTCAACATCTACTTCGATATCTCGAGCGCATTCATATGAGGTAGCCATAGGCAGCTCTCTTTCAAAATGTCTACCCACCTATTCTTATTCCCCGGTCGAACTCTTGCACCAAGGTCGATTACCTCCACCATATGCGCCCAATGCCGCCGGTCCTTCGCTTCGAGCGCGCTGCTTAGCAGCGGTCACAATCGCTGGTCCAAAATCAAGCACGAAAAAGGCGCCGCCGACGCGAAGAAAAATGCCCAGCGAAGCAGCTTCGCCAAGAACTTGACCCTCTGGTCGCAACGTTCGTATCCTACACGACGGTCGTCAGTCCCGATCCGAGCGCTAACGGAGTACAAGATAGTGTATGGGCCAGACCCGAGTCTTAATTCGCGACTAGCTACCGTGGTCGCGGCCGCGAAGAAAGGTATTTAGTATACAAACAAGGCAGGACGGAACAACAAAGAAGGAAATTCTAACGAGAGCCACGGCCATAGCCGGCATGCCGAAAGCCAGCATAGACATAGCCATAGCACGAGGTCAAGGCAAATCGTCGTCCGGGGCGGGACTCGAAACCATGACGCTCGAAGTTATGATACCGCCAGCCGTAGCCATGGTTATCGATGTCGCAACGGACAACAAGCAGCGCGCACTGCAGGACCTTAGGGTCATGGTCAAAAAATACAACGCTACCGTAACGCCGACAGCATTCCTATTCGCCAGGGTTGGCCGCGTCGTCCTAAAAGGCGACAAAGACGACGACTTCGACGAGGTGTTAATGGAGGCGGTCGAGGCCGGTGCCGAGGACGTCGAGCAGGATAAGAAGGGCAACGTGGTCCTCCGTACGCAGCCGAATACTACACACCAAACAGCGCAGAGCCTAAGCCAAGCGCTATCTACCGAGATCCTAAGCTGCGAAATTATATGGTCGCCGATAGGGGACAAGGTGAAGCTCGACGACGACGACGCGGCAACGAATATAAGCGCCTTCCTAACGGCGCTCCAAGAATATCCAGACGTGCAAGGAGTCTAGTAAGCCTACCCCGCGAATACCTCACTACCAACACCCTCAATTGGTATTAACCCTGGAAATCTACAGCGCGAACGCCGAACAAGGAAATATATCCACAGATCTTTGGACGACGATAGAAGATAACCTCGACACGTAATCCGTAGTGACGATACGATGTGTAGATATCTTGTATGCTTAATGTAGACTATTGTACATGTTGTATCGCGCAACAGTCCCCATCTGATTTCCGTCTTTACGAGGAGTGGAGAGACCGGCCTTGTCGCCCAGTGCTCGAGTCAAGTCCAAAGTCCAAAATATGTAAAGGCCGCGTGATCATGTTCCAATCCCATTTTCCTTCCGCGCCCCTAAACGCCGTCGAAGCCAATGCATCCGCCACTTATAACTGTTCCTCTTCGTTGTCTTGTCCAGCGCGACTATTCCTGCTCCTCGCTCCCGGGCTGCGGTGCTTGCCGCGCCTCATTCTCGAGCCTCCTATCCCTGATATACAGCCGTCGCGCGCGCAATCGCTGCAGCTCGGCGTGGATCTCGTCTCGGTCCATGGGCACCTTGTTCGCCTGCTCGGGCTTGGGCCAGAAGTCGGGGACAGCAAAGCGTTCGTCGAGGTTCGTGCCGAAGTAGTACATGATGCCGATCGGGAACATGACGTACATGCCGAACTATATATGGTGGCGGTAAGTATGCGTGCGAACTAGACGGGACAGACGGGAGGACATGGCGAGGAGGGGTAGTTAGTCGGGTTGGGAGCGCACCTTGAAAACTTCTAGGTTTAGGCCGCCCATTGCGAATATCTTCGGTTGAATTGAAGGAATTTCGGCTCTCGTCAATGAGGTATAGACATAAAATCGAGCTGATCACATGTGGAATAGAGCCTATGTTATGTAAATTGTCTAGTAGTCGCACTTGGGAAGCTTCCAATTAAAGCTTTCGAGTTTCGATTGAGACTGTACACTAAAGCGCCTTGGCTCTGATTGGCTTAGTTCATACCCGCATTAGAGCCGGGTAGCTGCATCGGGATATCCATTTTCCTTGTGCTACTGAAGCCGCCTGGAGGCTAGGTATGGTACATACCGAAGGTACCTCTTATCCCCTGAAAACAACGCCATCTTACAATGGGTGTTTTGTTATATAGGGTGAGATGCCATAAACTTTAAAGAGCTACCATAAATCCTAGAGGATATTCCATTATAATGTGAAGTCAGCATATCAAGGCTATAAGTAAGATAAGATAGGGGTAGTTAACTGGAATAGGGGACTTGGATATCGAACGAGGTACCCTAGATTTTCCAGATTCATAATGGGAATTAGCCACTACAAGCATTCAGATTCAGGTGTAGATACGCGACATCTCATGATAGAAATATTATATCGTATTTTTGAATTTCTCGTTACCGCAGTGGAGGACCGCAGCTCTTGGTAACCCTCCAAGCCGCCAAGCCTCGTCTACCAACTACTCTTTGCAGTGTAGGCCAGAACCCGTCTTCCGCCCAGTCTAAGTCATCCAAGTTTAAATGCTTGCTATGCCGCCAAACCTCCCGAAACCGTAGCCCTTCTAAACCCTTGTTGTCTAAGTATGGATCGAGCCACGTCGACGAGAGCGGCGCGATCAAGTACGTGCCGTTTGGCTCTTTGAGATACTCAAGGTTCCTCCGATCGGCTGGCGTGTCACAGGTCGCTATCTGCGTCAACTCCTCAAATAATAGGGGCCCCTCCATCCCCGCTACGTCCCTAGTCTTCAGAACCTCGTTCTTACCGTTCAGAAGCCATATCGGCGGCATATATGTTTTCCACCATATCGCTTGTGTCGCGTCTGGTTGTTTGCTCAAGAATACTTGAGCTGGTACGATACCGCCCTGATGGTATACCCCCATAAGAAGGCCAAGGACCACATTGAAGCCAACCCAGGTAGCAATCCAGATTTTTCGATGCGTGGACTTCTTCGGGAGCTTTAGGGACGAGAGCAAAAGGGGTACCGTCGGCAGCAAGAATCGTGCTTCCTGGTGTTGAAAGATGGATAGCACCAACACTCCCGATATCGCCGAGCATAGCCTGAGCGACAGATGTGGTTTTGCGAACAAGAGAGCCACGGCAGGCCCTATAAGCAGCGGGAGGTTGATTAAGAGATGTTGGTACCAAGGGTGTAATCCGTGCTCCGCTAAATTCGAGGGCGAGAGGTTGTATTGCAGATTATTTAAGGGTGTAATAACAGGATTGCGGTAGAGATCTAACCAGGTAATAGAGTGCGGGGTGTAGAAAGCTGTATCAAGAGAGATAGCAATTAAAACTGTAAAGAGCCCTGACGCTGCCATGATGGCAAGGGATAATGGTCTTGGAAGTAAGTTAGCAACTCGGCCTAGCAAATCGACGACCAAAAGGCACGAGGGACGATATGGGAGTAAGGAGACTTACCTATGTATAAAATGGGGTATCAATCGAAGTCCAGGAATAAGCAAGAATGCAGGAAAAGTTATCCTATTAAAAACACCAAAGACGGCTACAACACCAAGCACCGTCGACGCCGCCAGGGCGGATGTTTGTGCCTGCTTAACAGTTAGTTTGTAAATCCGGACACTACGAGAACCTGGAGGAGCGCAACTTACCGAAGCCTCGAGAATGCGCTCAACGAGCACTAGACACCACATAACGACAAGGGTCTCGATCGAATTAGAGAAAGTATGAGTTTGAAAAGTCCAGGTCACGTAGGACGATCCTACCAGCAATAAGGCAGTGTTGCGATGTCGCGGCGACTGGACTAACTCGTGAATAGCCCAATCCTCCAAGACGAAGCTGATAACAAACATCAGCACTCGCAGCGTCCAGAATACCGTAATCGGTGGTATTTCGCCGTCATTCCCAATACCCTCCCATAGCCACTTCAGTAGAAGCATAGGCAGTCCGTAAACCGGCCATAGCGGAAAAACGCTACGTATGGGATGATCGCTTGTGAATTCCCAAGTCAGTCGAACGGGGTAACTGAAGATTTGACCTATATTGCGCGCCGATTTTGTTAGTTTATAATCGTTGCAAACGGTTGCGAACAGAGTTAATTTTGGACCCCCGCCCTCCCCCAGCAAAATGTGTCTCTGCGCTTACCTGCTATAACTTCGGGACCTTGGAAATTTTCATCTGGATGCAAATAGCTCGGCGAAAAAGCGAGCCATAGTCGTACCAGAACTAGAAACAAATAGGTACGCCTCCACATGATTCTACCCGGAGGCGCGCATCTACGAGGGTTGTGTGTGGGGTATAGCTCAATAGGAAAACTCTAAGTCGTCGCAATAGTTTGCGATATTACGGTAGCTGTCGCGTCGCGTGGAACGGTCGTATATACAATTACTGTCGCTGTCGCGTTATCGTAGTTATCGGGTATATCGGATACGTGGGCGTGATTATTATCTTATGAAGTATAGGATCGCTCAGGATTTAGCATCGCGGCAGGAAGCGAACAGGGTATTATGTAGGTAGGAGACAATGCCTATGTGTCGAAGAAAGAGACAAAGGGTAAAGGAGTGTGGGCTATGTTTATTCGTTTGTAATCAATAAAAAAAATACCAAAGGAGAGAAAAGAAGAAAAAAATCTAAAACGAAATAAGGCAAAGGCCCAATATGGTAACAACAATAAATTGCAAGCTCTCGAGATACACTATGTAGTATGTACACACTATGGTAAGAATGGTAGGGATGAGAGGTAAGATGACACGGGTCACGAAATAAGATCACGGAACACAGGCTGACATGTTACCGTTTCCCGGCATTTTGGGTAATTCGCATGCATCCTCATTCGATCGTTAAGTACGTATCTACATAATCTTACGGGCCTCCCATAGGAATTTTACCGTAAACGGCTAGACATATGAAGTCGGGCACCGTTTGGAAATAGTCTAGAATGCCGTGCATGGATCGATTGCGAAAAAGGAACTGTCAAATCTAAAGGTTATTAACTGGGTCGATTCCTAGGTACTGTGGTGTAAGTAATGTACATAGGTACATATGTACTTCATTATGTACCTCCCTGTAAAGTCCCTCCGCGAAATATCGAATTTACCCAGAACAATGCATTATGCAAAGTAACTTGCAAACCACCTAATTTACTACGCATAATATAGATTCATATGCGATGTGATATTCGCGATGTTCATTTATTATGTACATAAGTAGCTTAACGCCGAACCGTAAAGGATCTATCTCTAAATTTCGACGATCTATACTCTAACGCATATAAGATCTTGTATGTCATTTGCAACCGAGCCAATATAAAAGACCTCCAAATGCTACGTTAATAACGAGATGCTGTCCCAAACTCCACGCCATGCTGTACAAATACTTTGGTGAGAATACGGTCCATATGAATAAATGCGTCCTCAAGGTCGTGCAGGCTATCATCACGAACACGAGAGCGACTGCCACAAACAACGTCAAAATCGCAGCGTGCTGTTGATACACACGACCACGGCCGGGCTTTGCTGACTCCCTGCTTCGAAGGAGCAGCAAGTTGGATGCCGAGGTCCACCATACCGGAGCAGCCCAGTTGCTGAGGAACGTTAAGACTCCTACGGCGAAGATATTAAATCCGCTGACGCCATTGTACGCGTTAGACAAGTCCACGCCGGATATCGCGTTGGAGCCTCCCATTGCGAAGAAGGAAGTAAATTGTAGTAGCAGCGATGATATCGTGATGTCTACGGCTTCTAGACGGAGCCCGCTCAGATACAGGTAAATGGCCCGAAATAGTAAGAAGAGGGGTATGTTAGTTACTCGAGACTGTGTCAACGCAAAAAGCGTATACAAGTGATGCATGGTTCGTATCGCTGCGTGGAAGTCAGCCGACATCGCTTCCCACTCATTTATAAAGAAAACTCACCATCCCCCTTAGATTGCTTAGTCCCCTGCACAAAAATACTGTACAAGGGACATATCGAAGTAAGTCCGAGACCGAGGAATACCGCCCGCGCTCGATTCACAAGAGTCGGACCGTCAAATAAGTCCACAAGCGTCTTCGCGAATCCAACAATTAGCTCGGGGGCGTCCTCGTTAGTAAAGGCGAGCTTGAAAGATATTGCTGAGGTCGCTAGTCCCACAACTATGGAACCTGAGATAGCAGTTGGGATCCTCCGAAGCCCGTCGAATAATTCCAAAGAGACCATCGCATACGTCGCGAGGGTAAGAGACCAGAGCAATTCCGGATTTGACGCTATAAAACTAGTCGCGATATCGGGCTCGCCGGCGAACTTTTGCCCAGTTTGGTTCCATCCCCGGGTCAACCGCATAGCGCCGAGCGCAACGAGGCCCATGACGAAAGACTTATACGTCGCTCTTGGACTCCTACTTCTATATTAGTCCGGTAATATCGAACAGCGACGGATGCTACTTACGACCTAATCGCGAGATAGAGCAGCCACGCAGAGGTAGCCCAATACCAAAAGTGTTGCTCTTCCTCGACGTAGCTACTAGCAAACATCATTATGCCGTACAGCGCCGTGACGAGGGTAAACGGTGCTAAGCTAGAAGCTGTTACGGAAGATGAAGTAATTACGGCGTATACCGCAGCCAAAGAGGCCGCTGCCGCTGTCGCTTCGCCGTATATGAGCATCGGCATATCGTAGTTGCTCGCCATACCGCTCATTAAAGTCTGCGCCCTTGATAACCACTGAGGGTTGTTAATACGTCATACCTGGTTGCGAAAACATTAACGGGTTAAGTCTCGCACCTTTGACACATCCATTATCTGGTCCTCGCCTAGATTTCCCTCGACCGAGACAGTCTCGACTTTTTTGCTAATCTGCTGCCACTCGCAGGCCAATTGTTCGGCCCCGGAGCCAGGGCGGACACAATCAAGGTTGGGGTTCCTACCAACCGATGACGAACCACCGAAGCTTGCGGTGACAATATCGAGAATCTGCCTCGCGTTACGCACAAGAATTTGGAGCTTGTCTCGTCCTTGAACTAGTTAGCACGGCGCCTACCAATTACGAAGAGGGCTACTTGCTCTCTGGCCAAAAAGGCAGAAAGTCTACCATGAAGGAGCCAAGATTATTTTTAGGGATCGGAAAATCGAGCAAAGCGGCAAGGGTAGGGGCTAGATCGGACTGCTCTACGACGTTGTAATATTGGAAATCCTCGACAAAATTTGCTGGCACTTTGACGGGTTTTGCGATGGACTTCAGCTTAGGTGATACAAACACGAGGGCAGCTGAAGTTTCTCCAGGAGAAGAGGCTCCGTGGTTACCAGCATCATTCATGCCGTGGTCGCCACAGAAAACAAGAAGGGTCGAATGGAGATGCGGTTGCGTCTCCATCGCCTCGTATATCTGGCGAATGATTCCGTCCATCTCTTGCTGCTTCGGAATCATATTTGGGCCTCGAGGGCCTGTTTTGTGGCCGATGTGGTCGAGGCCGAGATAATGGAGAACCATCGTATTCCAATCATCTCTGCGCAACTCGTCAGGGACGTGTCTCGTCACGTTGTTGTCGACTTCCGTAAAATCGGAGACGAAGAAGCTCGAAGTGCCGTCCGCTCGGTCGAACACGCCGGGGAATAATTTCAGCCACGTATCATCACCATACATAACTAGCTTCCCCGATTTTTTCGCCTTCATCTGAGCGAGCCAGGTGTCCTGGACGGCGAGCGTCGAAGACGTGTCGGCTTCGTCGAAACTCAAGATCGCATCGAGGAAGGAAGGTGTAGAACCGGTAGTAATCGCTTTTATTCGAGGCATCGTGATAGTCGGCGACGTAGCGTGAGCGGTGTAGGGAATAGCAACTCCATCTCGAATAAGCCTGGAAGTTTGCGTCAGCGATGCAGGTCCGCGAATTACGCCTCGATTCCTCTAACCCTTGGGTGAACTCGAAGCCGGAGCCATTTAGATATACAAAGTCGCTGCGCTGGTTAGTTAGACAAGCGCACGTCGGCGGATGATAGTTGCGCCAAGTAGACGAACCTGCGCAAAGCATCGACGACCATGAATATTAGACGATCGAACGGCGCTTCGGGCGGCGAGCCATAATCGAGGGATTGGTATTCGGCTAGACCAGGCAAGAATGGTTTATAGGGAAAGAAACCAACGGCGAAGAGGAGGATTGCGACAGGTATTAGAAGATTAGCTGCGACGAGAGATACAGTCGAGACCGGGAAGACATTATGGCGGTACATGACCAATTGTAGCGCATAGATCAGCTTTTCCGGTCGGTTATAGCTGTATTTAGAATTGCAAGAGGTCAATTTCACCTATGCTCCATCGTCTATCACGAAGTGAGGGTTCGATTAGAATAGCAACAGGTAGAACAGATTGGTTTCGCGATGTTGAAAGCTAAAATTACAGAGCTGATGCATTGATCCACTCATAACGTTGCACCAGGTAATGTACCTCCCCTGCGCAAGCTTGAAGGGACAGGTGTATCTTCTTGCCCTATAATAATAAGGTTAGGTAGGTACTGTGGGGCACTATGTATTTACCGAAGTGTTCTTTGCAGCGATGATGTACCAGTATACCAGCCCAAGTACCGCAGGGATCCACACACCCCACATCCCGATCAGATGTTCGTGCATATGTCGAGATCCACTCTCTCGTCAATTCCATCCCACTTCTGAAGCTTTCCAAGACAAGTTCAACATTGCCACAAGCTCAAACGAGTTATTCTCTTCAATATAATCGTACTGATCACAACCCGCCGAAAACTCCATTTCTATCCTAATGTCTTAAGCAATTCAAGAGCCAAGTGTTATCATGACCATCAACGATCCGCCTGATAACATTTTTATCCGTTTCAAGAATCACATCGACGACAAGATCTACCGAGGTTTTCAGACCATTCTCACATTGCCGGTACATATGGGGAACCGCGAGCGAGAAATGGATAACAGTCCAACCAACAACTACGGTATTGTTCCCAAGCAATGGGAGCCCGTGGGTCCCCCATCAGATTCGAGCACACCAAGTCCGGACGATACGAGAGGCGCCGAAGTAAAAGACGTCTACCATTGGGCTATCTCATCTCCGTATTCTCCTCTAAATCTCCAATACTTACGGCAACCTCGTCCCGCCGATGCGCCTCGGGATTATCCAGATTGCTTCACCTTCCGGGACGCATTTGAGGATCTCTTAGCAGCGAATTCTGGAAAACCTCTATCTGACCTGCGCAGACTTGTATTCTCCAAACACTTTGAGCATGTCCGGTACTTTCCCTGGGGGATGTCCGTCGAAAACTGGGTTGCCGGCGTTGGACTTCGCGGCCTTTGGGGCGCTTACTTCCGCCTCTCCCCATCGGCTAAGCGTGATTTGTCCTACGGTATAATCTCTCCTTGGAGGAGTCTACAGATAGGAGAAACGACGTTTCATCAATCGCCCGTATCGGTGTGGCCTAGCATGATCTTCCCGCCTTGGGAGCATCGCCAGCCGTGGCGATACGGCGATCCGATCGGATCTGAAGAAAAGCCAGCCGAGCGCGGAGTCGAAACCGCGCACCCCCAGGAAGCGGACACAGAATATGATTTATACGAAGCTGCGCGTTCCGGGCCTGCTACGGATAATAAGGTAGTAGAGACAAATACTTCTCAAGGACTAAGTAATCAAACGAGATCGAGCCGGGCTACTGATTCCCAGGATTCTAATGACGGGACCGTAACCCGTACGACTGAAACACCAGATGGCGGTAAGATCGTAGAGACCATCGAACAGCACGCCTCAAAATTCGGGAAAAGAGTCAATACTGTCACGAAACGATTTGATTCTGCTGGCGAGCTGGTCTCTACAAACCGGACAAGCAGCTGGTCATGGTCTTATCAGTCCCCAGACCCGTCTTCAAGATCCTTTGATGATGACGAGCCAGATTCAGATGATGAGGATGCAGATTGGCCCGACGACAAGGAGGGAAGGTCTACTAGAGAGGATCACAAGTCTAAAGGTTGGTTTTGGAAATAGCTTCAACTTTGAACGTGTCCCACTTTATAATGAGATGCAGTGAGCATCACCTCTCCCTTCCAAGCATACACCCTCATATAGGTATATATACCCACGCAACTCGTTTAAGAACGCCCGTGGTACGTACATAATAGCAAAAATAAATTACTATCGAAAAGTACGCGCTGGAAGTTTCTTATTATCGGTTAAATCATGCTTTTATTCCGTCATCTAATTATAGCTCAAGTTTCTAGACGTAGCTAATAGCTATATGGCACACTCAACGACGTGCCTGGGCCTTCTTCTTCCTCGTCATCCGTTTCCTCGCGATAATCTTCTGTTGTAAAGCATCCTTCTCCGAGACTTCCTCGCCCGCCTTGGCGCCAGAATTATCACCTGCTGCTTCACCCCTCTTCTGCCCCCTCCATTTCCCATTGGACACAGAAAAGTCCTTGCCTCTTGGTGGATGCCTCGATCCGTTCGCATTCGCACTTCTATCTTGGCCTTGACCGTCAGGGCGCTGATTACTTCGGAATGCCCGTTGCCTTTCTTGGTTGTCCTTCCTCCTTGCTACAACCTGAGCGTTCTCGATAGCAAACTCGACGATCAACCGCTGCGTTTTCCCAGCCGGGGTCTTCAATGCGTGCCCGTTCAGCCACCGTAAGCCCATGAGCGCCCATCGATGCGAGGAGTATTCGATGAAGCCGTAGCCTCGACTTTTACTGGCGCCGTCCACTTCGGGCACCTTGGATCCTTCCTTGTTCTCGAATACTATCTTCGCCTGCTTGACTATACCCTTGCCCTTCTCTTTCCGCCGGCGTTCGGCCTCCTTGTCTTCCTCTCCGCCCCGGGCATTCTCCTCCTTGGAAAGCGGCTCTCTTCGACCTTCCTTGACATCCTTAGCGAAGCCAACAACAGCTTCGCGAGCTAGAGCCTTAAGCTTCTTCGAATCCAAATCGCGGGGGATATTGCGAATCGCTAAACGAGTAAGACTTAGATGCAGGCTCGGGTTGCTTTCGATGAGCTTTTTCCGTTGGGCAGCGCTATCTTCGCGAATCTTGATCTCCGTAGGAGCGAGCGCCGCGTATAGAGGCGAGTCCGTCATGAGAGCACCTTCTGACAACAAGTATAGTCGGCGCTTATCCTTTTCCTTGCCAAGCCGAGCGGCAATACCCTTCTCTGCGAGATTGCTCGCTTCGTCTTTGCTTACAGCCTGCGACACTTGAAGAATGCGACCGTCCATAGTGTACTTACCCTGCTCGTCCGCTAGTTCGTTTTGCAGGATGGACTTTTTATTCGGTATCGCAGATTGCTGAGCGCGTGGTGCGCCCTTGAGACACGCCTTCGAATCATCTTCGCTGACGAAACAGACGAAACCTGTGCCGGCCGGCCGATCGGTCGCTCGATCGACTACGATACGGGCGTACCTGACGCGTCCAAATTGCTCGAAGTGAGATTTTAGTTCCGCATCTGTAGCTGTAAAGGGTAGATTGCGAATAAAAACAGTCGACTTATTATCCGTCATAAAGGGTTTCTTAGGGATAGGTTTGCTTCCTAATGCAGCACCACCTTCATCATCAGCGTCTTCAGATTTGTCATCGTCTGGGTTGGCATCGCTGTCTTCATCCTCCAGATTTTCCATGTGGTTTTTCATGAAATTCTTTATATCCTCATCCTCTTCGTCGTCTTCGTCTTCGTCTTCTTTCTCGCTTTGGTCTTCGCCTGGCTTAGCGTCATCATCTTCCAATGCTCCATCCTGGTCCGCAGGCTTAGTATTTTTACTCGTAGTGCTATCTTTATCTGGCTGTTGCTTCTGCTGCTCCCACGTCTGCTTATCGACAGCCCAGTCGACAGCTAGAGTTCTGCCGTCGATGGTCTTCCCATTAACTGCTTCTATAGCCTTTTCCGCATTCTTCCGACCACGCATGGTGACGAAACCGAACCCCGAGAGTTTCCCTTTGGCATTCGGAAGGTCGGCATATTTTACTTTTCCAAATCCCTGGAATAATGCTGCGAGCTGATCTGACTTCTTGATGCTCCAGGGCAAATTTCGTACGATCAACTTGGGCGCTTTGCGAGCCTCGGCCAGGGTCGCTTGCCTCTCGGCCTTCTTAGCAGCGGCATCTACCGACTCGGTACCTGGTTGGCGATGTCTGGGTTCTGCAATTTCTAAAACTAGCGGACGGCCGTCGAGCTTCTGTTTGTCGAGCTTTTCTTTAGCCTCTTTAGCATCGTCGGCGTCGGTGAAAGTAACGAAGCCATAACCGCGAGAAGCCTTGGTCTGAGGGTCAAGAATGACAGTCGCATGCTTTACGGGGAAATGTTGAGAGAAGAATTCGGTCAAGGTCTCGGCGGTGGCTGTAGGCGGAAGCGATCGCACAAAGAGAGATCTGCTCTGCTCAACTCGAGCTTTCTTGGTAGGCGGCTCGATAGTGGAATCGACATCTTTTGAAGGCGCATTTGAGTTTGACTCTGTTCCAGAAGCTCTGGATCTTTTGAGATCACTGTTACCACCCATTTTCACTTGCACATACGACTTCAGCCGTAATTGACACGGATGAGATAACGATTGCGTAGATGAACGTAGCTTGGAGGGAATAAAAATTATAGCATGGGAAGGAAAAAAGTCCGATAAAATTATCGATAAGGATAGTTAGTATTAGCGTAGTGGTGGAAGTACAACCTCTAGAAGTACCTAAATGCACGCTAAATGAGTTCGGTACTTTAGGTGATTACGGAGCTTATCAAATGCGTTAGCGTTAGACCGTGTAATACGGCGCGGGGTAATAAACGGAAATTCTTGATAGTTGTCCTAGCAGCCGTTTCGGTTTATTGATTTACTTCCCAAATTTTAAAAAGTCGCGCCAACACAAAAAACATTACCTTACCATGTATCAGTGCGTTTGTAGCGGGGGATACCAGGGATATCGCGATACCCTTTGCGCGTCGACTTTTACGCTTATTATTTTGCTCCAAGTGGCCAAGTAGATTCGCCATATTTTCAATTCCTGTAGATACTTCGCCCATCCACGTTTTTCAAAATCGAAATCAAATCTACCATATCCTTGGCGCATATTTCTCACTGCCCGCGGCTTAGGTTCCGAGGGGTCAACACAAACAACTAGACTAATATACGTAACGGAACTACCTATTCAGCATGCCAGCTCGAGGGTCCGCTAGGTCCACGCGGACCGCTGGCGCCGTATCTAGCAAGGCCTCCCGAAGAGTATCATCGTCGAGTATCGATCTTCCCGAAGAAACGCCCGACAGCCAGTTGCGAACCCAAATATGTGCAATATTCCGCGACGCGCAGAAGACGACCGCCACCCATAGAAAATTAGTTATCAATCTCCGCAAGATCCACGAGGCTTGCTGTTACGAGCCCACGCGCCCGGACAAGACTTCTGCAACCGAATTCGACGAGACCGACTTCAATACCGAGTTTACGCGATGCGTACTCAGGGTTATGCCCGTAAAAAAGAGCGAAGGCGCTGGCGAGAAGATCATCCGCTTTATCGGTATATTCCTACGCCACGCTAACGACAAGGACAACGAGCTGCTAGGGGAGGAAGATGTCGATGCTAGCACCATGCCTGAAACCCCGAGTACTCGGCTCACTACTCAAGTCATGGAGATCATCCTGCCCTTGCTTACCTCCAAGGATAAATTCGTCAGGTATAGGTCAACCCAGCTGATCTCTCACGTTATCAACTCCTTAGACGCCATCGACGACGACTTGTTCCAGAAGTTGCGCCACAGCCTCCTCAAGAGAATTCGAGACAAGGAGGCTATGGTCCGCTCGCAAGCCGTACTTGGCCTTGGCAGGTTGGCTGGAAATCAGGTCGAGGGTATGGCCAACTCGGACGACAGCGGTGACGACGCCGAAACTGGTCTACTGGAGAAGCTCCTCGAAGTTCTGCAGAATGATCCTAGCGCCGAGGTGAGGCGCTCGCTTCTCGTCAACCTACCTATCCTACCAAACACTCTCCCGTATCTCTTAGAAAGAGCAAGAGACCAGGATCCTGCTACTCGTCGCGCAGTCTACTCTAGGTTGCTGCCAGCGCTCGGCGACTTTCGGTATCTCTCCCTCTCGATGCGAGAGAAGCTGCTCCGCTGGGGGTTGCGGGATAGAGACGAGAATGTTCGAAAAGCTGCCGCAAGATTGTTCCGCGAACGCTGGATTGAGGATTGCGCAGGTAGCAATCAGCCCGAAGACGGCGAACAACCAGCTACGACGGCTCCTCCAACGATAGACGGACTTCACGAGTTACTCGAGCGTATAGATATCGTCAATTCTGGCGTCGAAAATGGCGTCGCGTTAGAGGCCATGAGAGGCTTCTGGGAAGGAAGACCAGATTATCGAGATGCTATGGAATTCGACGAAAATTTCTGGGAAACGCTCAGCGCCGAATCCATATTTATAGTACGGACTTTTAACGACTTTTGCCGAACAGAAGGAAATGGAAAATATGAATTCCTACTCGAGGAGAAATTACCCGAGGTTACCAAGTTAGCCTTCTACCTTGAACGCTATTTAAAGGTCCTCATCGAAGCTATAAAGAGAGTCAAGAACCAGGATAACGGAGAGGAGGAGGAGGAAGATACGGGCGAGCAGGAGTTCATCGTGGAGCAATTGCTACATATCGTTCTCACCCTCGACTACTCGGACGAGGTTGGCCGACGCAAGATGTTCGCCCTGCTACGGCAAACCCTATCCATACCGGAACTGCCCGACGAGATTACCAAGCTGACCATCGAGGTGCTCCGAGACATATGTGCACCTGATACAGCTGGCGAGAAGGAGTTCTGCAGCGTCGTACTCGAAGCTGTCGCGGATGTTCACGATACTATCGTCGACGAATCCGAGGTCGGAGATGGCGAGGAGAGTTTCCACTCGGCTAGGTCCGAAGTTAGCGGCGACAGTACTCCTACCAAGAAAGGGAAGCACAGAGCAGATGCCGGTCTAAACGACGAGGAAGTACGAGAGAAGGAGATCAAGGAGATCATGATCAACATGAAATGCTTGCACATCGTTCAGTGCATGCTCTCAAACGTCGAAGGAAGCTTGCCGCAGAACGACCACCTCGTGTCGATGCTGAACAATCTAGTCGTCCCTGCCGTTCGAAGTCGCGAAGCGCCTGTCCGAGAACGCGGATTCGTCTGCTTGGGGCTCTGCTCACTCCTTGATCGATCACTTGCCGAAGAGAACCTAGACCTTTTCGTGCGTTTCTTCACCAAAGGCCACTCGGCACTTCAGATTACCGCGCTACAAATCCTGACCGATATTCTGAACGTCCACGGAGCGCAGCTCCTCACGGCAAACCCGACATTATTGAAAGTGTACGTTAAGGCTCTCCGATCTGGCTCTAAAAACCCAGAGGTCCAGGGCGCAGCCACCCTCGCAGTCTCGAAGCTATTACTCGGCCGCGTAGTCACAGATCACGATACGTCAGCAGAGCTCCTCAAGACGTTAATAGTAGCTTATTTTGATCCTTCGACCGCAGGGAATCAGAGCGTCAGGCAAGCCCTCAACTATTTCCTACCTGTATTTTGTTATTCGAGAGCCGAGAACCAGGAGCTTATGGGAGCTGTGGCTCTCGACGCGCTGCACGCTCTATACAACGTCAGGGAGGGCCTCGATGACGATGACATCGATGTCGATGACGAAATGGCTAGCTTGAATACTATCGGCGCTTGCCTGGTCGACTGGACGGACCCTCGAAAGTGCTACACCCCTGGTGTTCCTATGGATGCCGACAAGAAGAATGTGAACGGAGACATCCACCTGGACTTGGCAAGGGACATCCTCGAGAAGCTAAATAGTAATTTGAGCAGTAAGTTTCCGTTGCCGTTTGGTGCCGCCGTTCATACTAACAATAATACAGAGGAAGAGAAGAAGGTCATCGCATCGCTGCTAGGAAAGCTATATATCTCCCCAGCCTCCTCGGAGGATAAGATTCGTGCCTTGTACGAAGATATTTCGACAGCAGTCGAAGAGAACCTCGTATCAGATGCCACGAGCAAGAACTCTCTCTATAAGATCCACGTGAGCTTAGGAAAGATCGTGAACCAACTCAACGACCAAGACAAGATGTCGAGGCGAAGCGCTAGTAGGAGCGTATCTCTTGCTCCCGATGAGAAGACCATCGCGGAAGATGCAACTGTCATGCGGGTGTCTAAGATTAAGGAGGAAGACGAAGAAGAAGACGAAAAGGGCGATATAGAAGAAGAGGAAGCTGATGTCTCTGGCACGGCTGGTCGGAGCGAAGCTGATTCTCTCGTGGAAGACCTCTTGACGGACGGAGAGACATGACGGTTATGACTTGGATACGTACCCAGGTGTTATGTCTCAGCTTAACGTGTAAATGAATGAATGCCACGTTTGAATTGAAATACCCTCCCGATCCATCGTATTACACATCGTCTCAACCCTATCATTGCCGATCGAACTGATGGGTGGCCTTGCTAGATTGCTATATGGACTTACTCACTGGGACCATACTCGCCATTTGACTAATTAGGGATGAACGCACATAGAACGGCATATTTCTGCCTCGGGGTTGGGTTCACAGTAACTAGTTTAAAAGACATGTAGAACATTGGGGTTACATGAGAGATCCAAAGATCGTAACTATTAGTCTAAGTCATAAGATGACTAGAAAGCTGCAAGGTATCGCTTATTCTAACTTTTCTACAGGGCGAGCATGAGAAAACTACATTCAAGGGATGATCACGCCCCTAATTTTGAATAATAGATAGCTTAGATGTGAAAACCCCAACCTTGGCGAGAGGGTCGGTATGGCTAAAATAGAAGCTGAATCGAAGCAAACTCGCAGTGGTAAGGGATCGGCAATATGTAAAGATGAGCTAGCCTCTTTAAGAAACAGAGATCCTACTCGTAAAATCGATATATTTGAAGTCGTCTCAATAGGTCTCACATGTAGAATAGGCGGTCTGGATATAAAATACATATCGCCTCTTATTCGGCCTACGAATATGCTTTGGTTAGATTACCTCGGACATTTATCTAAGGTTGGTCCTAACAAGAGCAGAAGTTATTTTTCATGACGTCACGAAAGGTCTACTATGTCGAGCGAAATATCGTAACAACACACCAGCCGTAGATTTTGGTACATAAAACTACGACAGCCGTTGATTAGCAACCCAGCAGGTAACGCCTGCGGTTCTGTTGTATATAAGAACTATTCGTCGAATTCATACCGCGCCAGTATATCCAACCGTAGCGATGCCGCCATATATCAGGAGCCCCGAAAGTCCGATGCCCACCGTCCAACGGACCTTTACGGTCCCGCTTCCAATCCCCAGGCCGTCCGCCATTATCGGATCTTATACATTCTCACGCAATACCAGGCCTGTCTTCGGGTATCATGAGCCTACCGGCCGCCCACCATTATGCGACGACTGTCACTTAGATTGAGAAGGAACGTGTCTCACGAGTAGAAGTTGGCAACCTGCTCGAGCAGAGCCAAATCGACACCCCGTCGGGAAGATTGAGACGAGTCTGACGTCGTGATGGTGATATTTCCGATATCACACCAGTTGTTAACGGGCTATGGAGATGTTAGCAAGGCTGCTAGACGAGAGGGGAATAAGAGGTGGACTAACCAGACAGCTGAGATACTTGCACCAACTGCAGTTATTTTGGTTGGAGTAGAAGTTCTCGAGCAGCACGATGAAGACGACAACAATAAGTATAAGAAATCCAGCGCGAACGAGCCACCACACCCACCAGAGGGGCTTCCGACCCTTGAAGAAGCCTACAGGGTTTCTGTAGAACGAAGGGAAGGCGACGCTGGTGATGCCGGTGCCGCCTACGGTAGAATACGAAGGCCCTCCAAAGTGGTCCTCGCCGATCTTACGGCGGAGGGCATTGGGCGAATGGAGAACGCTGACTCCCAGACATACACCGACGATGAACCCGCCGATATGAGAGAAGTTGTCCAGACCGGGGAGCAAGCCGAGGGCGAACGATATAAGAATCTCGATGATGATAAATATTAGCTCCCTGCCGGGGTTACGCCTCTCACCCCACGAGTATAGCAGATCGAGCAAGGTCAGAGCGATAACTCCGAACAAAGATCCCGATGCTCCGGTAGACGAGATTCCCGGAGCGGCATAGTTGCCTCCCATGACGAAGCCGAAGATGCCAGCGCTCATATAAACGAGGAAAAATCGGGTGGATCCGATGGCCCTTTCGATCTCCTTTCCCATGGTAAGCTGCATCAGTAGATTAAAGCCGATGTGGATTATACCCGCATGCATAAAGATGGGGGTTATGAAGCGGAACCACTGGTTGGGTGCCGGGTCCTGATTCAAGCCGTTGACCGGGTCCCACTCGGGATTGGGGACTCCGTCAAACCCGCAGAGCTCCGAAAGAGAGCACTTATTCGAGTCGTTGTTAGGGTCGTTCGAGGTGGTGTTCGGGCAAGGCCATCCATACCCCGGCGGGCTATAATTTTGTACGCCGTTGACGTTCTTCATACACGGGACAAACCTCGAACCCATGTTGATAAGAACCTGCTGCGAAGGACCTATCATGGGGTTAAAGGAAGGCTGAGTTTGAATCGGGCTGCCCGTGAGCTGAGCGGACTTGACGAGCTCGGCGATGAACACGGCGATCTGAATGATGGAGAATAGATAAACCATGATGGGTATTCTCCTCTTTTCCGACCCGAGCATGCCTAATTCACCGAACCGGATGCGACCACGCTTGGGTAGGCCTCGATGACCGCCCCCCTCTTGATCCGGGGCGTCGTAGACATGGTCGGTCGAATCGGCGGCATAACCTGGCGACTTGTTGCTCTGATTGCGCATGGGGATATCGTCGGTTCCTACGGGTGACACATCACCTGGTCCGGAGCCGTGATATCTTGTGTCGTAAGCGAAGGTCTGCTGGCTGTTGCTTAACGAATCGGGGTTCTGGTGGGATTGCGAGTTAGTCGGGTAGACATGATCATCAAAGACGGTCTCGAAGGGAGATACGGTGGAAGCACCCGGACGTTCTTGATTATGCGCATGCGAGGTGTAGGAAGGCGGGGTTGTAGATGCTAAGGACGGCTCGTATTGATTATAATGCCGTGATGAATCGTTGTAGTAGTCGTTGGCCGCCATGGTCGCTCTTCTATGGGGGATGTTTGGTTTGCAAAATAGAAAAGACGTGGCCAGCACTAATTTTGCACGTTTTTGTTTTTGTTTTTGTTTTGCTTCCCAGTTCTAGGCCCGTTCGAGACCCGAAAACACCAGGCTGCGTGGGGAGGCAGGTTGAAATAAGATGTCTCGAGGTGAGCCGGCGTAAAATCGGATGGACGGCTCGGCGGTCGCTAGTCGCTCGAACGAGTGTGGGAGGAATAGCAACCAATTAGCGTAATGAACGTTGTTTAATATGGATTTCCGCCGTGGTCGATTTGATGATGATGTCTCTCTGTTAAAAGAGAGAAACGAAAACAAGAATAAAACGAAACGGGAAAGAAACTGTGTTGCTTCTTTTCTGGAGATTTGTTTTTGAATTATTATGTAATGAGGCAGGACACACAGCCAGATCCAGCGGTTGTCGTCACACAGCAGACAATTGTATAGCATGCAATGTACTGATACACGATAAAGTAGGAAATGAGTGGTGCATCGCGCGGGGTTACTGAAATATACGTGTACAGTACTTAATTCTCTACTAAGATTGCGTGTCACCGGGTGCTTAGCGTAGTGGCTACAGCCTACTAACAAGAGGCTGTGCTAAAGTTCAGCGGACTAAGGTACCCGTCCAGGCACCCTTCAAGGGTCTTTACCGTTCTAATTATGGAACCCACAATGCCACGCAGCTTACGTACGCCTTCATCGATGATTTGTTCATCTGAATGGCCGAATGAATACGGCTGAATGATAATGTATGGGCTAACAGTCATTGTCAAGCCACACATCGCATTGGCATTCCTAACTTCTGAGCCTCTACGGAGCCTCTGCAGAACGTAGTATTCCTATACACGTTTAGGCAATAATTGCGAAGCTCCGAGTAGTTAGTGTATATCCATGTCCGGTTCAAGTCACCCTACGACGTTCTTACGTTCCCTGAATTAGCTCTATAGGATTCCATATCAACTCACAGTAGAATTTAGAGAATGCCGATCAAATAGCTCTGAATACGGAGAGAAACGTTATTAGCTCTGTCATTGCTTAAAGTGTCCCCAACTATATTACATACCATAATGCTTCCCGATAACTCCTATATCTACCTAGCCCGAGACTAACCGGCAGATTCCTCACGAGTAAGGTGCTCAACGAAAACCCGTGCTGGGGCGTGGTAACGTCCCCTGTTAACTAATATCGGTAGCGTGTAGAATAGTCTTTTGGACTGACGACTAGACCTCGACCTTTCTTGGCGCCTTTATAAACCGTCTCGATGATATCAATTAGCTCTTGCTTGTCTTCGAGGACGAAGTTGAGCTTATTGTTATTTCCCGTGCCGTAATCGCATAGCATGTGCTTGTTTCGGTAGAAAAACATGATAGTGCAAGGGTCATATAGTTCTGTACGTGTTTGACTCATCAGAAGCTGACCTTGAAAAATAGTTCAGAGAAGGGACAATACGCTTACCATACATCTGGTTGAAGTCGGGTACTTGGTCGATGTCGCAGACGTAGATGACGCAAAAGTTCTTTACCCTATCTGCGATACGGTATAGGACCTCGTCTTGTCGCATGCATTCGGGGTCATGATCGCGGCCGAAACGAATTGCTATAGAAATAACTGATATTAGTACTTTTCTCTATTAACTAATCATAGGATCTCTTGAACGTTTGCTTCGCTTACCGACAACGCGCTCGGTTTCCGAAAGGATGGCTTGGTCGACGTGCCAGCCGGTGTTCAAATGTGGTAGAACGATGGAACCCATGGTTTTTGGAATCGGCTAAGTCGAGAAATGCTAGTGATGATGAACGGTTGGTGTTTTTGTTTTCAGAATTTAACACCCAGAGTTGAAGTTGAATAATGACATCAAGCCGCGGCTGCGCGGACCTTCTAGTAAGCACGCTGGAAATCTTATGTGGTGGGGCAGCCAGTACATTATGTATAATCCGGGGGATTTACGGCTAATCACATGAGCAGCCAGTGACGTATTTTAGTACTCAATTGTAATATTGGTAAACTTAATTGAATCAACTCAATACTTTAATCACACGCAGACGAAGCTGTTGATTCGCAAGTCACAGATAAAAGTGTTTTGCTAGTTGTTTCTACGACCACCCAAGATATCATACACGGAGCGAACCGCAGATCGGAGAATATCTCATTAGCGGGTCAGTTTCCCACCTGCTAATGCGACAAGCTCGGGGAAGATTGGCGTCCCGAGGCCAGTAACAGGATCCCATCCTTCAACTGCTGGGAACCCGTCGACACCGCATCCGACAGCACTGCCACTTACGATATCAGTCAACCCTTTGTATCCTTTCGAGTACAGCCACGGGTTCAAGAAGCCCAGAGGCCGCTTGCCCGACGAGATGAGCGCGTCATTTACCAACGAGATGATTCCACCCGTCAGAGGGCAGCTGGCGCTAGTGCCGCTAATAGTTCCCTCGGTGCCGTTCCAGAAATACGCAAAGTAAAGTCCCTGCGCAGAGATATCCGGGTAGCCACGGCCTTTCTTATTATATAGACCATCGTATAGGCCTTTCAGGTTCTTGACGTAGCTGGCAGCCTGCTTCGCCTGGTACGCAGGCACGTCGAAGTAGTTGCTAAACCCACCACCGCTGGTGTAGTTACCGTGCGCAACGCCGTCAGGACCGACAAACGCGGGGCGATACGCTACGACTTCGGGCTCGAAGTTCTTCGTAGCACCAACTGCTGTTACGTAGGGGCAGCTAGGTGGGAACTCGGGAAGAAACTTGGTCGTGTTCTTGCCGTCGTTGCTTACGCAACTGCCGTACGATCCGACACCGCTGTCGCCGCTAGAAAACAATAGCGAGGTGCCACGAGCGCCCACCTGAGCGAACTGCTGGCAGACACGTCGGGCGTACGACTCCGGAACAGTCTGCTCGTCATCGGCATACGAGGTCGCTATGTCAAGTCAGCAATCCATCCGAAGGGCTATGTAAAGTACGAGATGACATACTATAATCATATTAGCGTCTATCAACAACAGAGGGGCGTATATAAAGGCGATCTTGCACATACCTGATGACTTGCGGGAAAGACTTCTGATCTAGCAGGTAGTTCACCCACACGAGGTAGGGTTCGTTCGTGTTGTCGGGAGTAGAAACCGACGGGACGAAAGGCGGGCTGCCCCCCGTCGAGTAACTGATGATCGGAGCTACAACCAACACATATTAGCGGAAGAGTCCTCTGCAGAACAGCCTCTCTAAATACGTACTCTTCCAGCTTATGCCGGCGATGGCCTGGAGGTCCAGGTTAGCCTCCTTAGAAGTGGCCGACTCGATCTCCTCCGGTGTCAAAGCGTAGTCGCCAGGCCCGTTCGCGATCGTGATCTGCGGGAAATCCTTCGCGCTCGAGACCGCCTCCGGTCGGTACTTGGCGAGGAAGAGTTCTCCGTCCGACCGGATAGGATGCTCACCGAGGAAGTTATTGAACCCGATCTTGTTCTTGCCGCAAGCACGGGTTTTGTAACCCTTGGTCGAGTAAAGAGTCTGGAAGCACTCGGGCGTGACGGAGCTAACATTGCAAACCGCGCTTATGTTCTCATTGGTAGGTGGCGTATATTGGGGGTCAATGTACACCGGCGCTTCGATATGGTCAAACTTCTGCGCACGAGCACGGAAGAACGAATTGGTAGGCTGGATCGTATCGATCTTATCATGCAGATGAAGCGGAAGAGACCATTTGGGAGCCCGAGCGACTACACCCCCATCCTTGTGCTCATAAACGTGGTACTCCGTGTCGAGGAGACGCTCGATAGTTTTGACCGGCAAAGACACCGTGATCCAATCCTTAGCTGAGCTATATCCCGACGGAGTGACCCCGTTGTCCGCTAGCCACTCGTGGACGAGGTTGAGCGTCTCGTCAGTGGGCTTAACCAGCTCCTTCACCTCATCGGCGGAAAGATGCTGACCGTAGCGGGGGTGATCCGGGTCAGAAACTAAACAATGAGTCAGACTTGGGCTTTTCATCTCATCTAGGTAGCTTAAAAGAGTAGCTTAAAAAGACATCACATCTCATACCTTCGTAAAGATGCCTCTCGAGCTCCGGGAAATTGCTCTGCTTTACGCCGATTTGAAGGTCAATTACGTGATCAGCAGGCGCGCGACGAACCCGCTTCCAATCTCTCGGAACGTGGTGCGTATCTTTGACACGATACGGCGTTCGTGACCCCACGGGGTTCGCAAGGGAGGCCTGGGCAGCGAGAATCGCCGAAAAAGCAAGACCGATGCCGACCATTGTGCACGCTTCAACCTATCAACCTAGTAAGGGACGGGGACGAGCAAAGCAAGCGAGAGTAGGGCCGGAACAGCTAAGACCGGATCCTGGGAAGGACAAAGCTCCCAAGAGCGGCGCTCGTAACACTTTATATACATAGTAAGGTTGTTTACATTGTACAATGGCAGCACGCTATCTCGTACGCACATAATGCAAGCTGATAGAGAGCAAGGATAGATAGCCCAACGAACCACGGCCCTGGTCTACTTCGTAACCCGCATTCAAATATCCAATTGGAGCCCCCGCTTACCACAAACCGGAAATTACATTAATTGCGTTGTGAGATATTACGTAGGTGAGGTAGTATAGCTGATGCCGCCGGTCATTTCCTATAAGCAGTATTCACCTCTTTTTCAGAGTCACGCCATATCTCACCTTGACGCATCCGGAAGGTCGGCTACTTATCTGTACCCAGGTCCGCGGGTCTAGATCGTACCCCTGATCTAGTGAGATCCTGCCTTAGCTACCAATACGAGGTATCGACGAGAGTAAACAATGTGGCTAAACCAATTACGCGTGAAGACCGTAGATAAACTAGTCTTTTAAGAGGGAAAATTACTAACAGAATTACCTCTCCCTACCCAGGTGTCTATTCACGTGAGGGCTGCTAAGCCTTCTTTTATTGGCCGACGTCCTCATCATGAGAAGGTTAAAGCCCTTACATGATTGCTTATCTGATAATTGGATCCTCTAGATTATTAGAACGTAGATATCTTTGATCCTAGTGTTTGTCATGACGAAGTGTTATCTAGATATTTAGCGTACTCATAGAACATAACACATAGGCGTTCCCGGGGTCTCGGTAAGGCTGGGTAAGTCTTCGTTCAGAGATCTAGAGAAGTGGTTGATATATAGTGTAGCGTACGAAGCGGACGGTTGAGGAAACATGTTTTGAATGTAGTTTGAGAAGCATAATCAGCATCATCGAACGAGCGCATACCTAAGGTAAGAATAGCAAGACTATTGCTAGATGTCAGGCTATTACACACAAGACATTAGAAATTCCCGTGTAGATGGGTACTTAGGCTTTCGAAACCCGTCCTAATAGTATAGACATGTAAGCTGCTGCCTGTGCTATCTTAACGTGGTGTAGTGTGCCATACAAGCACCCAAGGGTTAAAGAGATAACAGTGAGACCGACTCAACTAACTCAATAGTTCATGAAACTACAGGATAATTATAGGAAGCTCTCGGTATAACCCATGTTTCAAAGGAACGTCACTTTAAAGTAGGAAGACCGAAACACGACGTCTTCGTATAAACTGCCCCTAGAGTCTCGCTACTAACGTGGAAGACTGCAAAGAGTAAATATGCCGCATTAAAACACCACCGATACGAAGGCTTTGCAATTTCACAGGCTATCTGCGTAGTATCTTCCATTTCTGACTATCCTAGTTAAAGAAAAAGTACAGGGTTAATATCAGAACCTCGCGCATCACGACGCAGCAGTCAATTTGACCGTGAGCATCCCTCGCGAAGGAACTGAAACCGTAACCGTACCGTCAGCAAGTGTCGACTCGACCGAGGCCACAGATCGGGTATTGTCCGTCACAAAAGCTTCGGCAGCTGCCGGGGTAAAGTCTTTGAACGAAACCTTGACGCTCTGCTGCGAGCCGCCCGAGTTAAGGAAAACCACAACCACCGAACCATCCGCGTTCTTAAATGCTGTGATACCGGTGCTAGAAACGCTACCGGAAGTGCTAACGCGGTATGCACCGGGGCGTACGAACCGCGACCACATCGCGAAGGCCCAGAGACGACCGGAAGGCGTGAGCGTTTTCCCGTCGCTCGCAACGAGGTAGGAAGACGCTTGGAACTGGTTCACTTCCACACCTTGCCAGTAGATGTAAGCAGACAGATTAGCGTTTGCGAGGCCGTTGTGAATCTTTTGCGCCCAAGTAAAGCCTTCGCATTGGCCACCGCCGCCGTACCACGTCGCACACCAGCGGGATTGGAGGTCAGCCGCCTCGGTTTGCCACGTCTTTAGCTTGGTAGAAATGACCGAGTTTGGGTCCCCCGTATACATATGACTGGTAATATATCCGAGATATTTCTCCATGCCCGCCGAGACGAGACCTTGCGTAATACTTCGCTGAGAGTTCCAGCCCACTGTATTGTACTGTTAGTAATCACCTGCAGATACCAAGAGCAAGAGGTATTTCTGAAGATATTCAGAAACTAGAGAGTCTGGTTAGGGCATCTACTTACTGGCGTCGCAACAAGTTATAGACACATTGCCGAGGCCATTAGCCTCGAGCGTATCGTGTAATATAGGGATAAACGATGCAGCTTCGTTAGCGCCGGATTGCATCGACGAGTAGCTCGTCCTGTAAAAGTTAATAAGGCACAGCATCGATCTTTACTCGGTTAACACTTACACATAGTCAGGCTCGTTTAAGAATCCGAGTTGCGTAATAGGTATACCGCGCTCGCTGTAGTACTTCACGTACTGGACCAAGAAGTCGGCATAGGGTTGACGCCAGTCTCCAGACGAGCACGAGTGGCCTGGGGTACCGCAGAGGTAGCCGCCGTTGTTTTCGTTATTGTTCGTCTAGGATAAAATTTAGCTTAAGAGTCCTCGGCAGAAAGATTTCCTCGAAGCTCAGAATAATTACCTTCATGAAGCCCGGCGCACTCCACGCATCAGCATAAATAGTCTTGACTCCATATTTCATGGCTTGCTGGCTGAACCAAACTTGTCCTCGGTCATCATCGTCGAAGCTATAGTTTGCAGCCGCGCTCGGGCCGCCTGGGCTTTTGGGGAGGATACTGTCGCTATTGGTCGTACCCGAGCCGATACGGTTGCGGATGATTGTAAGACCAGCACCGGTAGTTGTGTTGAACAAGTAATCGAGACCCTGCTTCTGAGGATCCCCAGATAACATGTCCCTAAACTCAGCCGCGCGGCCGAACGCCTGGGAAACACCAAAGCCATCTATCTGTTGCAGCGTAGACGCGGTATTAACAGTCAAGGCCGACTGGGCATAGGTTTGCCCTATGCTAGCGGCGAGCGCAGTTAGGGTGACGAGAGTGGCCATCCTACTTGGGAGTCTTGATATGAAGACTTCAAGTACTATAGGAAATGGTCTTGCTTAAACACAATAAAAATTAAGATCGACGGGGACTCACGATCAGGGGACCATCACAAACTTTATATAGCCGAGACGATGTCGTATAGTTACCTTATGAGGTTCCATCGAGAACAAACTCTTGTAAAGACCAAACAATACCCATAGGATATTCAGCAGGCCGCAGGGGTAACCTAATCAACAGGACGTCGTTCATTCGATCGCATCAGCGGGGGCGGAGTAGTGCCACGAGGACCGCTAATCTGGCCGTCAGAAAAGTGCGATATGAGTAGGTAAATATCGGAAAGGTACCATGCCAAGGTTGCCATTAATAGCTTATAACAGCCTTGGCACATTCTAGCCCTCTCGCTAGCTAGAAAGAAACTGCGGAGATGCGTCCGTGGATGTGATGAAGGTACTGAATGGTTACGGTGGTATTTAACCGGGAAAGTCCTTCGCAGTAACTAATGATCAGGGCATGGTAATTTTGGCTACATGTCTGTATAATATTTCAAGGTCTGCCGAGCGGGCTCTTCTAATCTTGTATATCATTAGTGGAATTTTGCTCGACAGCTCTATCGACTGAAATGCATTCAACTATATTAGTTAATATCTTTCAGCTTGCACCTATCGACAGTTTCCCCAAGTTGACCAAATATAACCTTTTCTAGATATGAGCCTCATGCTCTAGCCCCATACTTCTGGTCCAATAGGACTCCTGAAAATCAGTAAGAATCCTCGTGAGTATGACCACGTGAGCCAGTAACACTCACAAATTCTTAACTTAGGTAAGAGAGGAGGTACTTTTAGGCTATAAAAGTTAACAGTACTATTTTGGTTCTATTACTATGTGTTAGCTATCCTAAGAATCGCGTTTCCTCTTCTGAGGTGGTAGGTTCAGTAGCATAAATTCTAGTAACCCCTATTTGGGAAACTTTGAACGTCAGACACTGGGAAAATTCGGAGAGCTAGGTACGACATGGATATGGTTATTATCGTCAATTAACTGGGCAATCCCCCAGTCCCCATTCTCGATCCCTCGCCAGTCCCAACTATATACATATATAAGAAGGCATTCGCCCTATAAGTCCCACTAGATGGTTAATGATATACAAAGTCTCCACCGGGTATAACTAAGCTACCATCGAGCATATTCTCAGATTCTATGATTTAAGACTCGCCGTTGTTAGCAAGGAGGTTGGCAGTGCCGCTGGGAACGCCAGAGATAGCGCCGGAGAGAGCGCTCTGGGCGATGTAGTCGCAGAGAGAGCCGACGGGAGAAGCGTCAAGTCCCAAGTAGTAGGCACCAAGGCCGGCAATGTGGGGGGAAGCCATCGAGGTTCCAGAGATGACGTTCTAGGATATCGTTAGTACGGGCAGAAACAGCAAGATCGTATTCAGGGGTCGGCTTACGGTAGATCCACCAATCCAGGTGGACTCGATATCGGTGCCGGGGGCAAGGATGTCAACAAGGCTGCCGTAGTTGGAGTACTCGGCAAGCTCGTCGTCCTTGGTGGTGGCACCGACGGTGCAGGCGCTTTCCTCCGAGGCGGGGGAAGAAGAAGAAGCGTCGGTGGCCTCGTTACCGGCGGCGACGGCAAGGAACAGGCCGGCATCGACGATGCTGGCGGCCGCCTGGTTCACGGCGCTGGAGGAGGAACCTCCGAGGGACATGTTGACGACGACACCCTTGGGGCAGTTCTGGCCGGCGGCGTCCTTGGCGACGAAGTCCATACCGGCGATGACACCGGAGCTGCGGCTTCTAGTCAGCTAACCGTAACTTTATACTCGGGTAGTTTAAGGGGTAACACATACTTGGTGCCCGAACCGCTGGCGTCGAGGACCTTGACGGCGAAGAGAGACGTCTTCTTAGCAACTCCGTACGTCTTCGAGCCGATGGTGCCGGCGACGTGCGTACCGTGGCCGTTGCCATCGGTGTCGTCATCGTCAGCGAAGTTGTTGAGCCACTGGGCGCGGCCCTCGAATTCCTCGTGGTCGACTTCGATGCCAGTGTCGATGACATAAGCGCAGGTACCCTCACCAGCGCTGTCGTCGTAGGTGTAGGTGGTGCTGCCAGGCTCGGTGCTAGAGAGACGCGCTAGACCCCAGTCGGCGTTCTCCTGGGTGGCCTTGATAGTGACAACGGCATCCTGCTCGATGTAGTCAACCTGGTATAAAGTGTTAGAGTCTTTGTAAAGCCTAATATCCCGTCCGTGTCGTCTCTATGCTTACGTCGGCGTTGTTCTTGAGAGCCTCGAGCTCTTCTTCCGACAGGCTGGAAGCGAAGCCCTTGAACTTGCTGGTGTTGTAGACGAAGTCGGCGTCGCTGGCGACGGACTGGATAGAGCTCTGGATAGACTCGTCCTTCGCGTCGGCCTTCATCTTGACGATGTACTTGCCATCGACGAGCTGGGCGCCTCGCGGCTTGATAACCGGCGCGGGTGCATCTCGCTTCGAGGGCGTAGCAAGTGCCAGAGGCAACAAGGCTAGAGCGGCGGCGGTGCGCATTTTGAAGGATAGATAGGGGTGATGAGTCTGGAGCTGATCTTGCGGCGTTATCTGAAGCGAGTGATGCTTGATGGCGAAGCTCTGAGTATGGGATGGCGAGAGTAAAGATAGCCCATCTAAGGGAGAAGCATCGTCCTTTTTATAATACCCATCGCGACCCTCTGACAAGAAGCGTGATGTTGTTGGATGTTGAATGCAATACCATGACAGACTTCGTGATAGCAGATCCTTACCAAGGACAGCGTTTCGTAGTCGGACAAAACTGCCAGTGACCAGTTACATGTGAACGCCGCATGTGAGGTAGAAAGAGAATCATGGATAAGGTAAGGATTCGAAGTAGGCGACAGCATTCCCTGCCCTGGTCGGCCAATCCGGCATGCATAACGAGTGCCGATCACAGCAGCACCTCCTAGAAAGGGCTTGGTTGGGCTGAAGTCCCCTTATTCGTCGGAGAGTTTTCGTCCCTTCAATAAGAATATAGACGAGCTACGATCCAGTAGTGTTACTCCAAGCTCCGAATGACATCGAGTTACGGTGTTTTAAACCCAGGCGTTCGGGTTTTCTTGGTGACGTGCCGCGAAATTAGCTATAGACTACCTTGTAATACTAGAGCAGCCAATGGCGACGAGATAGTATGGAAGGCCAAGCTTCTTGCCAAACAGCTAGCTACGCGCGCATACGTAAAGTAGATGGTTGCCAAGAAGCGCTGAGCCGCGAGTAAAACACCACGGATTGAGCTTAACCCAACTGCCCAAGCGTAGAGATGGCTTGCTCAGGAGACGTTGTAACGGCCTTCCCTATCGGGAAACCTTCCCTCCAAGTTGGCCTTTAGACCCGCGGGGGTCGTCAGCATCGTTGTCCAACCAAGCTTTGGCGATAGGGGTAAGCTGACCGATCGATTATCTCCGAGATGCAGGGCAGCTACCTATAATACATGGTATTAATGATTTGGTTGTTTCATTCGAAATAGCTTCAAGATATCAAACGTAGATGACGAAGCCATAGTCCCATTGTAAAGGCCACTTTATCTTTGCCTCTCATTCCGCTGGAGAATCATCCCTCGAAACTAATACTTTTGCTACGAATACGATATGACGGCATGATATATGTAATATGCCTAATAACCCTATATTCACCACACCCACAACAGCCACGATTGTGGGTTGGTTCAACTTGGAGTGCTAGCAATGCCGTCAGACGGAAATATGCCCCAGATTGCGACACCGGTTTCCCCACATGATGTGAGCAGAAAGCGGAATGTGACTGTTCCATCACTTCCCCCGAGAAAATCCCAGGTGCGTCGACCGCAAGCTAGGTATTCGTATCGGTGCTTCTTGCGGCGTATTGTCAGGTGTCTGCAACCATGCAGCCCGGGGAAAGCCCTCGTATTGTAGTCGGGTTAAAATTTTAAAGACCTTTTCAAAGACCTCTCTCACGAGAGAAGTTCAGTTTTATCGCTGTCCCCCCACATCTTCAGCTTGTTGATCCCCCACTACCCCTGTCCCTAACCGCCATACAACTATCACGACAGGCACGCTTAGCATACCCCCCGGCCATGATCTGCGAGAAACCCCCTGTATTTCAGATACCAGGTGCCGGCAGCGGTCAGCACACCCACTATATAAGGTCTTGGCAATTCCGCTGCGCAACCTGTTACCTACGACTCCCACGGCCAGCTCTTCTACGTACGTTGCTATTTAATATGTTATGTGTAGATGGATGGGCTGTGTGATTGTCGATCAATTCCAGCCTAGGCAGCCAGCCTAAAGCAACCGAGACTCGGTGCTGAGCTTCGAGTTAAACTGACTGACTGACCAGACTGGCTTAACAGTCTGCTGGCTTAATATTGTTATTCCTTGCCCCGGCCGACTTGCGAATCCCAACTGTACCTAATGCGGAAAGTACCTAGGCAGGATTCCAAAAGTTCACTTGCTCACTACGGCAGGCCGAATCTCTAAACGCACGGCATTATTCCGGAGCCTGTCTGTTGCGACTCGTATCGTTATGTCTTCTCCGGCCAGCGAATAATATGGTTTAAATCCGACGCAGTCCTGACGAACTCATCTACCGAATATTAAACGCCTCACGAGTACATATTGAAAAGAACTTGCAAATGTCACTACCGAATTATAAATCAATAAATCAGCGGCGGGACCGAATGACGTGCCGTCTCTCTGATTTAGCAGGAGATAAGAAGGAAAACCCCTTTACCGAGTCTGACGGCATTCCCTACGGCCTTCTCTGCGGCATACCTAATGCGGCCCGCGACCGGCCGGATTTTGTAACCCGAGAGGGCAGGACACAATGCCAATGTTGAAACCCGATCCACAGTCACCATCGCACGAGGAATTAAGCAATGCTGCATATTCGGAGGAGAAAGGATTCGTACACCTAGGTGTACTTAGGTATGGATTCCCTCCCGCTGTCGTGAAACGTCACAACAGCTTCGAGTCTGGATCCGAATAGCCTCCCGCGCTTCCCGTGTTAACCATGCACTGGCGTTTTCGCGACAAACACGTCAAGTCACGTTACAGGGAACCCCTGCGGTTATTATGTTACACTATCTATACAATATATAATTGAAACCCCTACCGGTCTACTCCCGCATCTAGCTGATGTTGTGAGGTTAAGTTGAAATCCCAGCTGCACACCCTACCTATATAACTCACTCTCCCTCGCAAAGATGCCGCTTGAACGAGCCAGAATAATGAGATACTCAGTTAAGACGATATGTTTTAACTGAAGTCAAAATCAAGCCACCGGCAATACACTTAAAAATGTCTCATAGATATTTCTACGGCATACACCGTAGGTTGTTTTACATCGACAAACCGTCGAGCGCGTGCGAGCACGAAAATTAATCGAAAGAGGATCAAACGGAGTCACCCGGCAAACATTATCACGCTCTAATCTATATCCTCTCGCGTTTGTCTGCAACTAGCTCCTCTGGTGGGCAGTTTACTAGACACTACCCTGCGAAATCCACACGCATACCAAAGGAACCCACATTCGAGTTCCCAGCATGTGATATTGAAGTTCCCTCTGTTTCATCCCCGGTCGCAGCCGTTGCCGGAGCTCATGACATACGTATGTGACTTTCGACGCCTTGTTTCAGGACTTGGTTCTGTGATGGATAGCAGTGATTTAGAATTGCCTAGTGTTCATTTACGCGATAGAATCATCTCATATGTATATGAAAAAATTCAACATTTCAATACATAACGTAGGTTCTTATTCTTAGTCTCTGTTAAAACTATGAGCACATCTCAATAGTTTGAAGATATTACCTATGCGAGAGCAAATGTTACCGGCATATCATTAAGCCAAGATAGTCTATCAGCAAGCAGTGTCCCCCTTACTCAGGCTACTCTATATACGCAGTCCTATTTTAAGAAAAAAGGGGGAAGGCTTGAAAATAGCATCACTTTAAAAAGGAGCAACTTTGTTATCGCAGCAGGTCTGTTTAGTAGCGTATGAACCAGTCAATATCGCATTGAAACTATCAAAGAGAGGCTAATCAAATAAAAATAAATACATCTGCACGCCACATATATACCCAATACCGAGACAACCATTCCGATAATCACTTACATACCATCTAACCATCTAATGCTTACAATCCCCCTACAAAGGATGTGCCTCCAGCGTCCATGTCTACTGCCATGCTATGCTGTAGCCCACAGACCTCGAAAAGCTTCACAGGCGTAATGTGCTTCGGCGTGCCGACCACGCCCTGGTTCTTTAGACGGAGAAGGGTCTCGCGGATGGCGACGTACGCGGGTGCCAGCGTCGCAAAGCTGAAGATCATGATGCGGAAGCCCATCTTGCGAGCCTCCTCGACGGTGATGACGGGGCTCTTTCCGTTCTCGACGGAATTTAGCAGAAGCGGCCATGGTGCTAGGTCTCTGACAGCCTGGGCTGCTTGCTCCTTCGATGCGAAGCCCTCGAGCAGGCCAACGTCTGCGCCCTCGTCGCGGGCTGCGCGTAGTCGCGAGATGCACGCGTCGTACCCGAGCGATTGAAGGGCATCGGTACGCGCAATGAGTACGAAGTCAGATTGCAACCGCACGCGTGCGGCATGAGCGGCTCTGATGCGCGAGATGTATTCTTCCTGCGGGACGACCTTCTTGCCGCTCAGATGGCCGCAACGCTTGGTGAGGACCTAGTTCGCGAATAGGGGTTAGCATATAGCAATAATCGGATAAGCAATAATCGGATACGCGAGACTCGTATATAAGTCAAGAAGCAGCGTCGGAGGCAAGAAACCGATCTTAGGACCGGGAAGATACGAGTAGGTGGTTAGAGAACATACTTGGTCTTCGAGATGGGCACCGGCTACTCCGGCGCGGATATACTGCTCCACGGTACGAGCAACCATGATAGGTCCTGATGTCCGAGTCAGATTCCATGCCATAAGGGGAATATAGGGGGGATATAGGGGTTGAGGGTGGAGATTCTTAGAGACCTACCGCCATATCCAGTGTCCATGTCAGCGATCAAGGGCGGACCGAATGGATCAAGGTTGGCAATCATCTCGGCATTCTCTCTCATCTCGTGTAGCTGAGCAATGGCCAAGTCTGGCTGTCCAATGCGTGACGCCGTAGTACCTGCACCAGTCTTCGGATCGACTGTTAGCCTTGCATGGATTAACGATATTATAATAAGTCCATATCACGTACCATGTACATGGCGTCGAAGCCTAATTCCATCGCGGTACGAGCAGAGAGGCCATCGTATACCCCAGGGCAGACGATAAGCTCCTCAGTCTCGAATATCATCTTACGGAGCTTCTTAGCGCCAGATGCCGGTTCACGGACGCTAGCGACAATGTCGCTGAGCCGTAGCGGTCCGTCGACCCTGTCTGCAGCATCATCTTCAGAGGGTGCCACGACGGTAACCTCTTCAACATTGGGAACCGTGACGGTATCATCCTCGAAAATTTCAACCGTATGGACTAAGGGAAGCGGTTTGATGGAGTCATAGAATTGGCTAGAGCTGATGTCCGTTGCCGCTTGAAGAGTTATAGTCGACTCGTTTTCGAGCCTGGACGTATAGTCTGCGGATGCGATTGCGGAGGGAGACATGGTTCAGGTGGATATATATGGGCTTCGACAATAGAATAGCAGCACCGAACTGCAAGGTGTCGATCTGTTGTGTAGCTTAAGAGGTGATGAATATGGAACCGGGATGAGTTGGCCAACCGATATTTATACTTTTATCGCACTCTACTCTCCCCTCTATCAGCCCAAGGATCTCGCATTCTCAGAACATCAAACTATCACATTCATCCGCCTCCACACCAAGTTTCCTCCCTCGATATACCGAGGGCTAGAGCTCCTCCGTCGCAGTAAGCACCGGCCGAGATACACCACTTTACTTGGCGCATATGTGACTTTCATCCCTTTCCCCTGTCGAAAGATCCCCGACACCATGTCGTTAGCTTCCTCGGACCTAATTTGCGGAGTCTCAAGTTGTGCTCAGCTCCTCAACTGCACTCCACGTTACCTGATCGTACCTCCCGGGTGTTAGCTTGGGCCGCCGGCGACAGGGTCTCGAGGCATCCTTGTAACTAGTAACCACACGCGAAAGCCTATAGATATTTCGTTTACTCCCAAATCGACCTAGCGACCATAATTTTAGAAGCTCTTTAATATCAGTGTAATGTATTATGATTATTCGTAGACTTTGAGGATGCTGATCACGTCTACTCTCGCGAATCCAGGCCCAGTGATAGCTATTCTGATGATACGAATGGAAATCTAGGCATTCCACACCTACCAGAACAGGCCAATCAATACTGCAGGACTACCATTGTGTGGTTATAGTTCTCCAAGAAGGTCATCTGCGGTCGGTAGGCCATCACCGGGATTCTTTTGGAATAATACGTCACTAGGGTTGGTTGTTTGAACAAAACCCTGTACGATCTCTAGTACCTACGGCTTCTGAGGCCTCCCGCTCTGGTAGGAGCATAGCAAACCAGTATACCACGGCGCCATGGCACTCTCAATGATGACAACCCCCTTGTTGTCAATACAGGTCACCCTGTTTGTGGCAGCTGGAATATTCAGAAAGCGTCACGTCCGGACTTGGACGACAAGACTATTATCATCTCTTAAATAGCTTCCCCGAATAGGATTTATTCAGCTCAAAAAATGATAGACGATGAATCTTTATAATAGCTTTATAATAGGCAATTCAATCTAGTTACACTTACCAATATTAATGATAGGATATAAGAGAGGGTCGCACACTTTTACAACATCATCGAAACGCTACTGACATTGGCCAGGCCTCATAAAGTTTCAGCCTGGCTTGACAGATATCGCCACCGGCTTTATTTGACTTTAGTAAGAATTGCTTGTTTTCCAGCCGGTATCTTACGCTTACATCAACAGAAGTGTAGCGAGCATCATGGGTGTGGCTCGACCTCTACGCGAACGCCAGCCAGTAAGACGACGACGCCACCTTGACGGCCTAGGCCTTGTGGCTGTCCCCTTTCCCATGGATTCGTTAGTATACGCACCTTTGGGTTTTAAGCCAGTTGGTTTCTTTTTCTTGTAGAAGACCCCTCTAAAAAGCAATAGTAGCTGAGTAGTCGCTCAAATCTGACCCGAGTTAGAATTAAGCAGTCTTAGTCATTTCCATGTGGAATAGTTTCTAAGTCTAGGCATTTATACAGTTTGGTACAAGAGAAACGGGTTCGCAGCGGGCCGAGCCGGGAAAAAGCAACGTCAGCCGCCAAGTCGTACTGGATAACGACTTAACCAACACCCTGTATGCATGCGACCCATACTCCTATCTTCCTACGATGATCCACCCCGACGTCAACATTTCCGCCGTCCGCTGACCCATTTATTGCTGCTTCCCCGGCGATTAGCTCTTGGAACCCAAGACTTGCCGAGCTCTGTATATTCTTCAGCGAGTGGTATCCGTTACCAATCAAGGGATTGACTCTAGTTATGACTTTGGGTAGCACAAACCAATAGTAATCAACTATAACTTCTACTTATGCTTCTTCTTCGCTGACCTATGTAAAGGCTCGTGATCTACACCCCCCTCGATCGGTATGATCCGCGCTAGATCTCTAGCTGCCGCCCTTATTCCTGTTGCCGTGTCTAAAGGAAGTTTAGTGAAAATGCCCAGAAGACCTACTATCCATCCCGAAAACTCGCTCGGGCCAAGTGATTATTTTAGTGATTATTACGCTTCTTGGGTAATGCGACTGCCGTGGCTATGCCTGCTATGATAGCTGGGCATATAGAAAACAAGTTATCATAATACTTTAAAGGAAGCTCGTTTCGCGCGTATGTTGCTGCCTGCATATTACCTTTAGACGCGAGGAATATTACCAGCCGACTTGGCCTCCTTGGCGAGCTGGATGTTTCTGTATACTGCTGCATCCGGAGTCTTGGGGTTGGCATACCGGGATTTCACGAGAAGCCGCCGTGAGCTGATCAGCGTTGGCACATGGATGCAATATGCTTTGAATCGTATAGAGACACGAATCCTATAGAGACACCAGTGACTATCCGCGTCTCGATCAATCTCGCGATGCTTCCGTCTGGGCTTCGAATAGCTCGTTGCTGGAGCAGTCCTAGTATTTAGCACCTTGGCGCCAAGTTCAACCCGCCTAGGTTCAGAGTCCGAGCGAAGGAACCTTTAGCAACTCGACGTATCACATTTACCATCGGTCCGTCTGTGCAGCATCTTGGATAGGCCTCATCGAGGGGTTGGGTTGGCGATTAAATGTCGAACGTCTAATATAGCAGCAGAAAAGAGTTTATGGACTTTTAGAACAGCTCGTTACTCTATAATTCGAATGACCTCTTTGGCCCTAGTTAATCGTAACAAGTAAGCAGTCACATCGCGCCGAGTTTCCTTTCTGTCAATCGATGGCAAGTCGATATAACACGTCTATAGGATTTGAAATTGAGATTCCTATTGGACAAGAGCTAATAGCCGTATATAAACAGGATCGAGCTACGGCCGCCAAGCACAGGCCACAGAAGGAGGCCCCGGGAGGAGCCCCATGGTCGGATCGCAGACTTGGATTTCTCGGCGCTGGTCTGACACATTACATTGGCCACACCGGCGTGCCTAGATTACCACGTCAGATGGCGTCGTGGTAACACGACGATGGCGGAATTCTGTTCAGCTGAGACCGGACGCCCTCCGGGCCATCCTTACGATACAATATGCATACGGTTATCTTTCAATACGGAAGTGGATACGTTCAAGTTGACAGCCAAGTTCACCGGCCCATCTGGAGCAGCACCAATTCAGGAATTTTCCGTCTCCCCGTTTACCGTCGTATCAATATCGATTGGGATAATTCCTCCGCGTCTTACATGATACCAGGAGGTTATCGGAGGACCGCAAAAGGGTTGAGGGATTTTGAGCATTCCACATGCGCGTTGGTGGATAGCCAAGCAGTACTAAAGAGAGGAGGCACCCTGTCGACGCAAGGACTAGCGGGGAGATGACTCGTTCCAGATCTACTAATCTACCCGGCCCAGACTATCTCTAACTTGGGCTAGGCGCTCATCTTAATCTCCCCCGGATCCTTATATCGCCAACTACCAGGCACAGTTCCCATATACGATCACCAGATCTCTATACTCGCTGCACTGCCACGCCGATATCATCATGTCCGACGAAGAGAAACTCGAGTCTGCCCCAACCCTTAGCCCCGAGCCGCCGGCGCGACGAAGTTTCGTCCGGGGTTTCTCGCAGCAGCTCTCCGAGGACATCAGCGCAAGCGCGGGGTCTATACCACTAATAGCATGTTGCTTCGTAACGGGCCTCACCGACGGTACTCTGTATAACGGTGAGTCGCAGCGGACCTATCTCGAGTTATACAGGCACGTCGGGATCTTAAAGCTAACATCGTACGGCCTATAGCCTACGGCACTTTCGTATCGATGCAAACTGGTAGGTCGACAATATTCCCACCCTCGCCGGCATATTTCATCCTAAAGCGTTCCTAGGGAATACCGTCTTCGTCGCGCTCGGCACCTCCGGACAAAACAACAAGCCTTTCGGATGGGCTCGTTCTCTCTTCTCCATAGGCTGCTTCACTCTAGGATGCCTATTCTTTTCCCGGTACCATAAACTTATCGGCGGCGGACGTCGTCGAAGGACCCTCTTCTTCTCATTTCTGCTACAGACGGTCTTCGTCGTCGTAGCGGCAACCATCATCCAGACCGGCATCGTCGACGGTACATACCCCTCGCGAAGAGATCCGACGGACGTAGACTTCCTCGAGCTTGCCCCCATCGCATTGCTCAGCTTCCAAGCCGCGGGTCAGATCGTGAACAGCCGCGGGCTGGGAGTCAGCGAAGTTCCTACGGTGGTGATCACAAGTCTGCTATGCGACTTGGTGAGCGACGAGAATATCTTACAGCCGCTTACGAAGAACGTGAAGCGCAACAGAAGGGCTATAGCTTTTGTACTCACGCTGCTAGGCGCGATATGCGGAGGTTGGATATCTAAAGCTACAGGTGCCGTACAGCCAAGCCTCTGGTTTGTCGCGGCTATCAAGGCGGCAATTACGATCTCCTGGTTATTTTTGGTGGGAGACAACGGGGATTAAAGAACGGGCCTGGGACGATGTCCAGGTTAGAGTTACAGATCATCATAGATTAGACTTGATGCGTCGGCTTTACCACTAGCTGACAATAGATTGAGGTAGACATTGGGAGACGTGCATAATAGACTAAGAATAGGATCTCGTTCAAGTAAGCCTCGATAAGTTTGAAAAGATACGGCGATGCTTTGCGCAGTCTTTATCTAATCTACACGTGGTGTGACGCAGGTGCAATTAATATATAAGACTAAATAAACCTAAATTTTATCATAGTTCAAAAGGCGCTAAAGGCACTTTGGCGGAGTGGTTAACGCGATGCCCTGCTATTGACCAAATAGACCAGGCATTCCCTTCGGGGGCGTGTGTTCGAATCACACAGGTGTCGATTTTTTTTTTTCAATCGTACTTCAGTATAATATGGCTCTCTATCTGGTGCTTGTAAAATTCATGTTTTTTGCTTATTATATGATGAGATCTTGCGAGCGGTCACGGCGCTCTTGCCAAAGTACTGCCCATTTTAGAGTATGAGTACTTCCCCGGCGCCGAAGTCATGAAGTTCTCAGCCGCCAAACCCGCCTTCTTTTGGAACACGCAAACGATATCAGACCCGCCAAATAAAAAGGTCGAAATCTCGTCTCCTTTCTTCAACTGTTGGTTCTTGCGAACTAGCAATTTGACTGCCGAAACAAGAGCCATCCCAATAGGTAACACTGCAACCTTTCCCAAGACAGAGTTATCAATAATAATCAATCCTCGGGTCTGTACAAATTCTAGAATGATGACGTTAGCATCTGTTCTATGCCATAGGAGTTTACGCGAGTTGTCGAACTGAAAATAGGGGTCAAGGGGCGCATAACTGACGAAAGCCGGGAGTGACTGGAGCTTGAAGCTTGTTTCCGTCCACGTCCACTTCAAAATAATTGCTACCCTGAATGATCTTGGCTTCTATAACCTCTCCCGATACTGGCGCGTGCTGGCGATGATAATTATATGCGTTCAAGAACCCATGCATCCATACAGCCCCATTAAAGTCGTTTGCGTACTCGCTACCACGGAGCAGCGAGCCGATAGTCCACGGGAGGTTTTTGATAAGTACGGTCCCCGCGGATGAAATAGAAACCACGTGGTCTGCTACCGACGAATCGTACTTACAGTAGGCGGGGTAGACGATGACTTTATCGTCGAGGGGGCTCTCGATGGGCCTCGCGTCGGCCTTGAGCTGTCGAGAGAAGAACTCGTTGAACGCCTTCCAGCCTCCAGGAGGAGGTAGTGCCTCGTCAACATCGTAATGCTTCGATCTCTTGAAGGATTCCAAAGATTCCTCGGTAAGAGACTCGGTGGTGTCCATCCAGAGCCCCACAAGTTGGGAATACACGACGAGCCAAGACGAGAGCCAGGTAAGCGGCCGTCCGCTCGCATCAGGGGTGGTCGGGTTTTGGAGCTCCTCGAGAGGTGACTGGTTGAAGGCAAAATAAAACATACAGAGGGTATTATAGACATCTTGCCCTTCGCTGCCTTCGCGAGGAATCCATCCAAGTAGGTCATCGGCAAATCTGAGAAAGGAATCAACGCCTATTATATCAAAGGTATCCATAAACTTTGGGGCCTTCTGGTAAGCGGACTCGATAGCTTGGTCGAGCGCGTGTAGGTTGTTGGTTTTCTCGAGGTGGTTGATAAACAGAATGATTATGGGGTTGAATTCACCAGACGGGTCACCCGTGGACGTGACGGGCGGTCCAAAATTAAAGCCATCATCGGGCCTTGAGAGTCTAGCTAACATGCTGACTTGGGTGTAATATGAGGATGAAGAGGAGGTTTATGGACTTGGTACGGCCCACGATAGCTCGGTAAACCCGAGGGTTTTATACATAAATGCAGATCCTATATCAACAATCGAGGAACCGCACAAGGGGTTCCTCGAAGAGTATTCGATTTGCCTACTTACTGATTTACGGAGACAATCTTTCGGGACTGATTATACTTTTGCATCGGGAATACGCATGACACTCCGCCTCGTGGGACACAGGATAGCCACTTAGAAGTCGTATACTCTAAAGTAGTAATATGGATCACCGCAGATGAAACATGCTACCATACGTATATAGCCAGCCGTGCACAGCGGCTTCGAGCAAGACACCGGTTGATTTACCGGCTTCCCGGTAAGCCGGCTGCGATCCGAAACACACGGCGATACGTATTACGTCGAAAGTTTCTCCCCGAAGAACATCGTCTCGGGTGGAAAAGCATACCAGCTTCGATCAAGCCGGTAGTTACGGATCGGTCCACTTCGTACCTGGCTCTATCGGCTAATATCCCGTTGCTTCGCCTCGAGCTACCAGCGACGATAACCCTCTACCATCTTAAGATCCCCCAGATTGCTTAGCACGACCCCGAATATCTTCCGCGCTTCGGGACACGGCTTCTCCCGTCTTGGTATTACGTATCTCTAGCAACGTATCCCCTGATACCACCAAGTGCGGCTAATAGCTAGGTAGTTAACTAAATTTGACAAGAAATATATCCCGAAAGAACGAGATTGCTGATGTGACCAAATTCTGTACTAGCGCAGCAGATGAACTTCTCAACGTTGTTAAGAGACTGAAGTAAACGACAACGATCTGGTCCGGCCTGAAGGCATCTGCAAGTAAGCGAAAGTCGACAAAGTATACTTGAGAATTCTTCACTTAGAAATCGTGTAACGGTATCACGGATAGGAATTAACCGCTAATAGGTATCCAGCGGGAATCGATCGGGTGTAGGAGAAACCATCCGAGAAATTGACGAGCGCAGCAGAGACCGGGAGTTGTTAGTTGGTAAAGATCTAGGTGGGTGATGGAATACGGACCAAAATCAGCGACAGGCACATCGAGGCACGGGACGAATCAATCTTGGCTGAAGACTTCGCTGAAGACACGAAGGTGATACCGGGAGACAGCTAAGGCGTTGACAAGACCGAGATTATAGGGCACGAAGATCGGCAACACTTGATCAATTACTATGAAGTACTATTTATATACAGTAGTTGATACCAGCTCTACCTGACTTCACTCCGAGGCCGAAGATCAAACGCGATCAATCATTCCTTGAATCCTTACTTTCAAAGGCATGAGGACACGTCAAAGACCAAAGAAGCTCATAAGGCGACCTTTGAATGATCCTTTCGAAACAGTTGACGGACTTTACGAACTTCAATTCTTGCGACGGATGGAAGTGGCGAGGGTATCTTCTGGATTCGAAGAAAAGCTGGTGTGTTCCTCCGAGTGTTTCTAATGGGCGAGGTCCTTACTTGACCGGCGGTTTGACCTACACTAACTATCGACCTCCAAAAAGGGTGCAATCCCTCCTAGGTTTAGGAACTTCCTCTAAGCAGATTGTTGAATATTATATGGTCAACAAAGCGTCCAAACATTTCTCATTGCAGTCGACGCACACGGACTGCTATTATGTCAGAGAGAACCATTGATGTATTTCATGCATAGAGTGAATTAGAAGCAGCAGCGAAGCTACTATAGTAACCGCATAGTAGTATCAATCTATTAACGCTTAACCTTTTGTCCTCTTGCGATGGGCTGCGCGCCCCTTATACCCTGACATATCGACATATTCGGTCCTTGTCGACGATTCTACAACTACCCTTGACTAACTCCGTTCTGAGCACTACAGATGACGCAAAGACGGCCTTGGGATAACTCGATGACTATGACTAGATACTCGAAAGAAGGGCTTTCTCGGGGTGAAAAGGAGTACGAGTAATCAGTGGGGGAATACTTTCGAAACGGTGGAATTTCTCCATCGAATAGTACGAGACTTCCTCATCAGGAATTTAATCTGGAAACATTATTTGGATAATAGAGTAACCTAGGGTTTAATCCTCCGTACCGTCTGTTTTCTTAGTATTGCTGCTATTATAACATGGAGGTAAATGCTCTTCACGAGGTTCGAGTTTGGGAATAGGGACAAGCTTGCTCGTCACGTCTTAGAGCAACGTTTCCATTACGTATGGCGTATTGAAGTTGAAGAAGGAGTATGAACTCTGGCGCCAAATATATCACCACATCGCAAGAGAAGACTATTCGTAGACATGGTGCGCCTCTTATTAGAGCACAATGCGAATCCTAGACTGGGATCCTTCAGCGCCGAGACCCAAATTATTCGGGCAGGCTTCATGGTGCCAGTTTATTCCGCTTGGGAACCTATCAATTGGGAGCCTGAACTCGGCTTAAAGTACCACCAAGCTAAGGCTTGATATCGAGGGGTACATCTATTCACGAAAGAGCGGAAGTTGGGATGGAAGGACATGAGTGTTACTTAGCAAAGGATATCTAATAGTGGGTTAATGTTACAAACCAATGGACAGTCACCCGAAATACTCAAGGAGAGTGGTGCATCGGCTACCCAATGACGGGTAAACCCTGAAATAATTGATCTAGTTGATCTGGGTCGCCAGGACTAGATCAACAGGATCACAGTACTATGAAAGAACGAACGCACGAAGGGTAAAATGAATATAGGAAGGGGGGATCTCCTTGTGTATCCAGTCATTCATTCTACAGTTATCAATCTAAGTCTAGTATCTAACCCATACTCAGAGGAAGGACTCCAAGCCTTCCTGACGAACACTTCAGTATTAGTTATTTTACCACCTTGACCCGTATTATTACTGTTTACCTAAAATCAAGACTCAACCCGCACTATACCTCAACGTACCTAGGTATAGGTTCGTCACAGTTAACTTCGTGCTCTTCCACACCAACTGTTCTTTCTCATCCAATTTAACCACCTCCCCAGCCGTGACGTCGGACATATAACAAAGTCCAACTAGGGAAAACACTAGTGCTCTTATATTCGTGGTAGTTTCGTCTCACCATCATTGGCATCGAGTATCCCCTCACCACATAAGCTGAGCCGTCCTACTTTTTAAAAAGACAATCGCCTTTTCTCGCGCCGAGTTTTATTAGGCTCGAGACAGTTTTTTCAGCACGGACTCATCTTTCCCCCTGTGTTATCGTTCGGATAAATCGGGGTTTTGTGCAACCATTTCACGGACCCCTCTTCTAGGCAGCAGCATTCACTCTGCTGTTTACAAATTGAACTTCGAACCTTACAAACCTATCACCACCCTTATTTTACCACCCACCTAAATTTATCATCATTCTTGAATCGAGTCGGGCAAAATGAGGCCTGTAACAATAGCCGATATCTCCAAAGGACTCGTCACACCAGATACTCTTCTCCTTCTCAAAACCAGTACGTTGGGTCTCCGCTACGCGACACAGCTTCTTACCCGTAATGACGCCGGTATCTGTCTTCGGAGCAAAGGCGGAATAACCTTGCCGAACGAGATATGGACAATGATCCTAGACTTCATACGCGAGGGGACGAGAGGCACACGCGAGGGTACGAGAAGGAAAAAAGATAAAGTGTGTTTGGTAAAGGCCGATCTCGTAGCGGCATCGCCAAATACTATGCTTCTTCGCTGCTTTCGACACAAGTTCGACCATCCTGCAGACGAGATGTTTCTAATCGGCATCACGGATAGCAGAAGCGTAGAGGATTTCGAGGATTATCTAGCTTGCGCAACCCCGTCCGCAGCCGAGAAGCTGGGATCCAAACTGCCTAAGCTAGACCGACTTTCCGGCCCGGACAACACATTCGACGTCGTCCTCGATACCAAGTCGGCAGATCTCTGTCTCTACACCTTCGAGGACGCTGCCGACTTCATCGCCACGATCGACGATGGCGACTGCTGGGTTTGCGGTGGCGAGAGATTTATCTGCCCGGGATGCACCGGCGGGGTTGCGTCAAGGTTTGACGCTTTCATGGGCTGCGGTGTGGATCTTGCCTGTCCGCTTTGTATGGGCATAGAATTTTCCGCAGAACACAAGCGTTATCTAGAATATTACTACCACGAAGAGCCAGTCGAGAAGTTCCAAAACGATATGAGAGAGGAAGTAGAGGATAGATTAGAAGAGCTAGGCTATCCTGTATACGTGCCGGACGGTGCGTGGATAGGTGAATTCGGGGGAGCTGCCAGAGAGAACCCTTGATGGATGTCACACGAAGAGTGGATGTTAGAAGCAGCAGCGCAGCCGCTGTATAGTAGCCGTGTGGTAGTATGAATCTATTAACGCTTGGCTTTCTAACTTCTGACGAGGGCGCTTCGCGCTTATATAGTCGTAGAGACGCCTGTAGCCACCCTGACACGAGCCCGACAAGACAATTAAAAGCTTGACTTGACTTGGCCCTACTTGAATTGACTTGGCAAATCCTAATTTTCGCGTGTTTGAGTTGGCTTGTTGGACTCGCTGGTCATTTCCGTGATTAACTAAATAGCACAAGTAGGAGAAAACCATCATTCCCGGATAATTTAGAAAATCCCCAAATACACAACTATTAATTCAAGGCGGAAAGCTTGTTGTATGAGCTGCTATTATCATCTTCGTCTCAAAATCTTCTGCTATGTCAAAGGAAGCCGAGCTAATTGTAAGGTCCTCAGATACATGGGCCAAGGCTACTTCTGAGCTGCTATTATCATCGTCTCAAACTCTTCTGCTATGTCAAAGGAAGCTGAGCTAATTGCATTTCCAAGGTCCTCAGGTACATGGGCCAAGGCTACTTCTAAGGGAGACCCTCTCCTATCGCCTCACTCGTCGATGACGATAACCTCTTCTTCCCCATACCGTCCTTCACTCGACCTAGGCAAATCACCTTTATTAGCGGCGTCTTTACCTCTTATCCTTCACCACTCACTTCTTGCGACGCTTGTCCTTTTCCGACTGAGTTTGCGAGCCTTCTTCGGCCAGCTTTCGTACCTTCGGTCCAAAGGCCGACGGCAGCGAACCTTGGGTCTCCTTCTGCTGGAGGGGCGTAAAGTTCATCCAGCTGGCATTCGGCGCGGGCGTCTGCGGCTTCTGCGCTGGTGGTTCGTGGGATTTGTGCGACGGCAACGAGTCTTGTATCCCGTTCTTGACGTACGCCAAGGCATCCGGTTTCACCATATTTAAGACCGGGATTTTAAGCGCCTTGACTACATCCTCGCTCGTGGCGGCGTCGCGTAGGATTTTCGTTCCTTCTTCGGAAGCAAGATGATTCGTGAAGTGATTAATTACGACGTCGTAGAGCTCCTTGGATCCCAGAAAAGCCTTAAACGAGTCCATGATCAAAGCTTGGACTTCCTCCCTGTCCAGGCCAGAGCCGCCGGCATCCTGATTCTCGGCGATGTTTCGAAGTTGATCCTTCAAGGTGTCGACTTCTTTCTTTGCCTTAGCGGCCTCTTCCTTTGCCTCGAAAGCTTCTTCTCTGGCGGCTGTACATTCAGCCATGATATTGTTGAGCTTGGAGGAAAATTCGCTGCGGATAGTCATTATTACCTCGCGATACTTCTGGTCGACGGCGCCGACCCCGTCGGAAATATACTTATCCGTTGCCCACTCCAACTCCTCGGTAAAGTCATGAACGTCTTGGCCTAGTAGCTGATCAGCCGTGTCGTCGTCATCGTCATTGCCATCTTCTAGTATATTCTCGCCATGGTCGCTCTGGGCCTGCATGACTCCGGCCCAGAAGTCGTCGGGAGTTCCTTCGGACGTGTTAGGCTCGTAGAGAAGGTGAGTTAACTTTGCTTTGGCGAGCCGATTAACGATCCCCACGGGAAGATACCCGAACCCCATCTTAGCATCTCCGTAAATGCGTATAGCTTCGATATCTTCGGGCGACGGCCATTCGTTGGTCAAGGCCGGAGCGATGTCGCTTGGCTCTTTCTCCTTAATTGCATCGGCGATTTTATCAAGCTGTTTGCGAACCGATTTGTACACGCTCGATTCTGTAACAGCTACTCCTGGGACGATATCTCCGAGGGAGATCATAACTCGCTCGAAATTCTTCCAAGGCGCTATCATATGATCTGCTATCACGGTTTTCCAATAAGTTACCGGATCCGCGACGCCCTTCACAATCTCTAAGTCGTCTTTCGTGTGCGTACGGGCATGGGCGGCTTTGAAGTTGCAGGGCCGAAGGAGACCCGAATTGTTGCTGATGATATTGTGGACGCAAACGATATCCTTATATTTCTTCCATTGTTCCATAACTTCCTCGTCGTATGTGAAAGGCTTAACCTGGGCGTCATCTCCGCGGGCTTGGGGGTTGACGGGCATCTTGATATCGGTGCGGCGAACGTGAAAAAGCGATGGCGAGGTTGGTACGGGGATGTTGATGGATATGTGGATGGCGTCTGGTAAATAAACGAAAAGGTTGGGGATGCAAAGGTGAGGATGTAAATGTCTAGAGCGAAGATATTTGAAAAGAGGGAAGGTGCTGGATATGTTTGCCACGTAAGGAAAGAAAGTGGGACAGCGCCGGTGCGGCTGGCGATACTTTTGCGGTGTCTTTTGTGTGTCAATTTTACTTCTCTCGAGCTTCCAATGGGATGAGAAGTCCGAAAACTTGGAACTAACTAAATGCGAGGTCGAAATAGTATGTTGTAGACGTTGTTCGAGATCGTATTCACGCTGCAGGCGAGATTCAAAAGGTTGCGTTGTTGTAAAGTGTAAGATGGAGATGTATGTTCGGGAGATAACCAAGGCAACAGCAAACTGTTCCCGCCAATATAATCTAATTAGTTTCCTACCACAGCCCCTGAAGTCGGGTAGATAGGTACCCAGGTAAATACGTTGCGCACTTTTTTCTTTTCTTTTCTTTCTTTTTTTTTCTTCTTTCCTTTTTTTTACATCTCCAATCCCCAACGTCGTCGCCGCATCATATCCGTCTACACGCCGAAACTAGTGAAACCTTTCTCGTTTATCTTTTCCCTGCCTCCCCGCCATGTCGTCCAGCCGGGAGATGCGCGCGGCGCTCTCCGCGGAAGAGCAGAAACGTCGCGATGCCGTCTTCGAGGCCATGATGGACGAGACAGGCTACGAAAAGGCCTTTCTCGAAAGCTTCTTCAAGAGGAGCGAAGGGAAAGTCGCTGGCTATCTGGCCAGCCAGGGCTTCCTGCCGACGCTGTCCGCCAACTACTTTTCCTGGTCCGTCGAGAGACACCTTTGGGCGGTAATCGGTAAGCGCGTTTCGCTTCCTAGCAGATGTAGTACTGACGAGAGAGCCTCTAGTCGGCAACAGCAACAAGGACTCTAGCTGCCCAAAGTTCCCCTTCGCCGCAGCCCCCAACAAGTATGGTCCTCCGTATAGCGAGGTCTTCATATCTCACCTCGCCGAAAAGGACGCCGAGTCGGAGATATCCGGTAGGCTCCGCGAGCTCGAGCACATCGCCCTCGGACAGCCGAGCGGCGAGAAGCGAGAGACGCCTGCCGGGCTCAAGCGCCACCCCGAGTTCCTCAAGGGGCTTTGGAAGAAGATGTTCGGCGTGCGCGAGTACGAGAAGGGTTGCGACGAGCCCTTCGTCGTCCGATTCCTCTGCAACGACGGCGTGAATTACTTTCACGAGTGCATCGCTCGCGACCCCGACGAAACTAATACCGTCGCGCAGCGTGCCGCCTTCCTCCTCGGCGGTCGGGAGGTCGCCTTGATCGTCATTATCAACGACGAGAAGCAAGTTTGCCTCGCCCTCGACTTCGACGAGACGGCCGAGAAGGAGAATCCTGCGGTCCAGTACCGCTTCCAAAGCGCCTGGCTTGACCTCCTCCGCCTGAACGTTCAGTGGCTAAGTGGCAAGAACGTGAACATCCTCTCCTACCTCGCCGAGCTCAACACCAACCGCCTCGGAGCTGGATTCATGCACATCGCGGCGGAGACGGAGAAGGAGTTCGAGGCGCGTCAGAATCGTACGAAGAATAGCGTGCGAGAGGCGCGCGAGCTCCGCCCCGACGATCCCGAGCGGGCTATCGTCCTACTACGCTTCCAAACCCGCCAGGTCCGCGCCGTCGCCAAGCGCGAAGCTTCCATGATAGCGCCTATCGGGGTATCTACTGCCAACTTCGAGGCCAGCTTTGCCGGAATTGTCGGCCTCGTCCGAGACGAGCGCTTCTGCTGCATCCCCAAGTACGAGCTGATGGCCATGGTCGAGACTCAGGCCGCCAACCTCGTCTCGCTCCACGTCAAGATGAGCCTAGATCGTTCCGAAAGCCCGCGCGAGTTCGAGGATTTCCTCGACGACTTTGTTGTCGATCCCGACTGGGATGACATCATGTCTCCTCACGGGAGAGTCGACGTTTGCGAGTCCACACTCGCCGAGATCGACGAGATTTGCCCCCTAGTGAAGGCTTGGGCGGCCAAGACGAGAGCTCGCACAGCCGCTAAGCTGCGCGAAGGCGATATCGTCGAGGAATGAGCCGGGTGTCCCTTACCGAGTTGAGTGGATAGGAGTTGTAGTTGGTCTGGGAATCGAGTAGGTAGCACCGTAGTGTGATTCCAATATCCCGTAAGGAAAGATTAAATTACGTCTTTGTCCATAGGTGACTGCTCTCCCATGTTATGATTAGTCTTAAACCGACTACTCTGGCTTCAAGCCACTAAATTGAGGTTATCGTCCTTAGTTACGACTCTGGAGCCGAATCCATAATAAGAACAGCGAGTTCGATGGGTTAGGTTGGGTCAGGCCAAATAACCGTAAAGACTTGACCTTGTCCGAGTCAGGTTAAATATATTGAAAAATGAGGCTTACCTGGCCGTATCGTGGGACTGACCTCCTTAGCGTCTTAGGGGGGGTAGTAGTAGCCGTATATGTACAGTATATATACGGCTCCCAGGTATGAGCCGCTCCCAGATGTTAGGGAAAAACGTGAAGCTCACCAAATTCATACGCATCAGCGCTAAGAGCCAATCAATATTTTTTGAGTGGTACAACTGGTGCGCCGCTCTTGCACTGTAAGCCGCTCGACCAATGGGCGGCTCGTGCGCCTCTCACACTTTTTGCGCCGCTCGCATCTCTGCGCCGCTCCCGTTTTGAGCGGCTCCCACCAACGAGCGGCACATGCACCGCTCCGGCTAAGTGCATATATATGTAAAAAGTAAAAGGTATATTCCCATACATTTTTGTATGGGAATCTACTTGTAAGATTATTATTATTATTTTTTAATTGGTAATAATTATAATTACGATTACGGGTTACAAGCTACGAATTACAAGTTACGGTATACGGTTGATTTAATTGGAAGGTTACGTGTTTTTTAAATAGACTATGTTACGTATTACGGGCACGCGTGTGGATTTGTAATTATGGGGTATAAAGGTGTCTGTGCGGCCCGGGTATATGTAATAATACCCTATACGTACCACTCAAAGCGGGGAGTCGCTCGCAATGGGAGCGGCGCAGAGATGCGAGCGGCGCAACGGCCGCTCATTGGTCGAACCGCTCAAATCGGGAGCGGCGCAAAAAGTGTGAGAGGCGCAAAAGCCGCTCATTGGCTAGAGCCGTGCTAGTACGGCTTATTTTGGCCTAGCGCCCCAAATATTTGGAGCGTTTAAACCGTAAGCGGTAATATTACCACTTAAATATTTGAGTCACTTAACTTTTTAAACGTAAGAATCGGGAGCCGCTTATTGAATTGAGTGGGATAAGTACGGCTTGATTTAATAAGCGGTATATATGCGGCTACTGCTACCCCCCTTAAAACGCTAAGGCTGGGAGCCCTTATAAAGCCACACCTAGCCACACCAGCCACATAAATTTCCTACTCTAAATCCACTACTACCCACCCCTTAAGGGTATATGTATTAGGTACTGTAGACTGGTCAATTAGTTGAAAATTGCGTTGTTTATTCGTAAGTCTGGTGGGCTTGCAGGCCCTGCTACCTAGGTAGGTAATCACCGGAAGGGTACTATGATGCCGGGGCGACATTCAGAATATCATGGCTAGGAGTGAACTGCCAACATTGGACTGGCGAAGTCAAATGCGGTCGATCATAAGTGCTTTAGCAGTCAAGAGACGTCGACGCTTAATAGGATTTCAACTTGGGTGAAGCCCTCACTGCTTTAACTAATGAGGATCAATCCCTCGTTAGCAACATTGGCATTTTTGAGATATCTGATCTGTCAGAGGAGACGCTAGGAATTAATAGGGGTTAACAAACTAACATAGTTTCCAACCTACATCTATTCACTTACCATTTATCACGAGGTATCCAGTGAAAGGCGATTTCCTGCCGAAATCGCGTTATGAAGACTTCAACTGTGGGCATTTCTATTCCTTAACTCCCCAAAAGACTACTCGTTATCACTATCACTATCGAAATTTCTATACTCTATGGACGTGATTGCAGAGGCATTAGAACTATCCCACAACTCCCTATTCCTGCGAGCGTCACGGTTGAGGTAGATCCTCGTACCCTAGCTGCCCCGTCCGTTAAAGTCCATATCCGGAACGGTCGTAAGTTGGCTCCCATCCTGATAGTCCGAGCCCCCTCAGACCGGCGAACTTACTGGGCTATCCACCGGAAGTATCTGCTCCAAACGTCTCTTCTCCAAGCCCCTCTTCTCTTCTACGTAAATCCTTTTCTGCAGGATCTTGACGTGCTCGTAAGTTTTAGGGTAGTCGAAACTCCTTCCGTGAGAGACGATACGACAAGTATCTCTCACAGAGGCGAACAGGGGCCGGCCGAGGTCCTTACAGTTGCTTACGGCGCGCTCGACCATGCGGAGGTCCTCGGTCGTGACGGAATAAATCCGATATTCGTCCTCGTCCTCGTCCTCGTCTCTGGGCAGCTGTTCTGACCGCTCGAAGGCTAGCTTCTCTATGCTACGCATCATCTGAGACTCCCAAGGCAGTTTATGGCCTGACGACCGAACCGCTCGGCGCGCGTCTTGGTGGGCCCGCGGAATCGTCTTTCCAGGATCGCGGTTATGCATAAACTTCTCGCATATCTGACGTACGAACGAAGAACCCTCGTTGTTGAGCACGAAGAGAGGTATGGGGCGACGGTCGTCCATACGACAGGCCGACGCGTACCGCACGAACGTGGCCAGCTGTTCCATATCATCTCCCCAGGGGCCTCCGAGCACCAGTCTCGTCAGCCGCTCGCAGAATGACGAGGACCAGACAGGATCTGGTCTCGTCGTCCCGTCGGGCAGCTCCACGCGGGCGGTGGCGCCGTACTCGAGGTAGTTCAGAGGAGATATGACATTGGGCGGGAATACGCGTCTCAGGCGGCATATCTTCTTCCACATGGGGATGTACCTCTCGTTCGACTTCGGAAGGGTGCTGCCATCTATGTAGGCCAGGTAGGGATCTTGGGCTAAGCCCTGCTGGAACTCGTCTTCCAACGCCTGCGTCCATACTTCGCCGATCTGCACTTCGTCGGTCGGCATCAGGCTGTAAAGGTCTTCCATCGATTCGAGCTGGCCTTTGTGCTTAGCGATATAAGCTCTGGACTTCTTGGCTGTTCTCTGTACCCTTGCTGGGCCGTCTCTTGCTAATGTGCGAAGTTCGGCGGGAAGCGCGGCGTACGCCTTCGTAATCGCTTCGATATTTTCTTCATTTGTCGCCTTGCCTCCTCCCTTGCGTTTTTTCCCCTCGTCTTCCTTTTCGCTATCCGGGTCGGGGAGAGAGCTATCCGTAAGTTCATCTTCTTCCTCTTCGCCCTCTTCGCTATCTACATCCATCTCTTCTTCGTCCTCTTCACTATCTACATCCATGTCTTCGTCGTCTTCGGAGAACGGGTCGGTGTCGTCGGATACTGGGGCGGGACCTCCCATATCGACATCGTCTTCTTCATCCCGTGGACCTGAAGCCTGTCGCCTCAGTCCGTGGGCAGACGATCGAGTCAAGCGGGAACTCATGTTGGGCGAGATGGTAAGTGGTAGGTAATAGGTAAGTAATGACGATGTATGGTAAGTAATGAGGATGTAAGTAGGGAATAACGATGACGTCGTGAATAAGTTGTAAACGCGAACGTGTGCTGGTGAAATTGATGTAAGGTCGAGGTTGCAATATGGTAGTTTATGAATTGTGCGGCTTCAAGTGGGTTGCCTGGATGCGGGATTCACTATCTACGGTACGTCTTCAGTGACCTACAAGAAAACCCTAGCATTAACAGCTATATTTCAGGGCTACTAGATAAGAAGTCTACGCGAATTACATCGATAAGTACTGCTATCTTTACCTCGACAACGCACTCTGGGAATTTAAAGGTTGGACAGCCTCCTTGCTTCTATTTTGCCTTGCAGCATACGTCGTCTCCTCTAAGAGTCAAGAATATGAATACTGGTCAACATTATCAACGAGCCAAGATAGAATGTATCTCTAACTGAAGTACTGAAGTACTGAAGTAACGTACTGTTCTGTAGGTACCTTACATATAAATTAGGGGGCGAGTGGGTAGCCTGCCTAGGTAGGTACCTAAAGATATATGATTTCAAGGTCTCCACATTTTAGTTTGTACAGTACAAACAGTAAACTCTCTCAACTTTATTTCGACTTCATTCAAAATTTTTGGAAGGAACTCAGGGTGTAATCCACGTCACCTAAATACGATAAGGCACGATAAGGGCCGTAATGTGTGCTATATAAGTAGGGTCTGCAAGGCTACCAGACTTAGAATAATCAACGCACTTTTCAACCGATTGACCAGTCTACAAAAGTCTTCAAAATCTAAGTCCTCAGGTTACCCGTGCCTCTTATATTCGATTACGCCAATAAATTTCCGAGATGAGCGATTTTCTGACAACGGGAGAGGCGCATGAGCGTGAGACGCGTGAGGCGTTAGATAAGCGTCAACCTTTAGTTGATGAATTTCTCCAAGAGCTAGACGGGGCCGGACCGCCTTCCGATCGGACAGAGTGCGAGAGGGAAATGGAGAAAATCATTGAAAGAAGGCGCCGCATCGACAGAGATCTCAAGAAGAAGCGGAAAGTCCTCGAGAAGCGGGCGGCTGCGGCAAACGAATTTATCGACAGCATGAAGGACGACTCTGGCCGGATCGAACGCGAGAGGCTGCTCACCCACTTGGAGAATCTAGATCAGTCCATCTTCCAGCATGCTCTTCTTGTGGTGGCTGCGCATGAGAAGGACCCGAGTTTCATCCGTAATCTATCGGCGGGACATCGGGAGGCACTCAGCATCCTTGATCACAGGTCTGTCGAAGACCATCTGTCTGATGAGATCTCACAGAAGAAAAAGGCGTTGGAGGAGGCGTCGGTCGAGTTGGCGAAGCAGAAGCAAGAGCTAGCAGAAAAGGATAGGGAACTGATGAAAAAGACAGACGAATTAAAGACCGCCCGAGCCGAAGTCGTGGCACTCAAAGCACAAATAGGCGAGAAAGACGAGTCGATTTTAGGGTTGAAGGCAAGTAAGAATAAAGCAAACGACCTCGCCAACGATCTATTCGACCAGATAACGAGAAAAACCGGCGAAGCCGTCGCACTGACGAGCAAACTCGACCAAGCGGAGCACCGCCTATCAGAGCTGAACAAGCGCATTCCCCAGCTAGAAGATCATATCAAAGATAGGGAGCTTCGGCTGGCCAAGTTCTTCGCTGCGCAGTCCAGCTGCGAGGGCAACGACTACGGCGGCTAGGTGCCGTTCGCCCGTGTTGTCGCTGAGGCTGATAGCGTCGTAGGATCGGATCCGCCGACGACTCTTCCGTGGGTGCTACTCGAAACTTGGCGAGAAGACACAGAGCAGCAGCTTAGCGAATATTCCCATCCTTCCGACGTGATCCTTATGGCCTGCAAGCTATACGGATTCGCGCTGGGAGTGCATTATTACGACGAAGCACAACACACCCTCGGGCTACTAGTGCGACGCCTTGCCCAAGACGACTCGGCCCACGTTGCCTCTGTCCTCCTCGCGTTGGAAAAGTATCTCGGAATCGCGGGAACGTTACAAATCTCTAGCGCCTCTATACATCTCCAGATCTTCTTCTTCGGCTTGTGGCGTGTGGCATCCCTCGTTGCGGGGCGATGGCCATCCGTTCCTGCTGTCGGAGGCGTCCGAGATCGGTTCCAGGAATACTTGAACGACTCTCCGTTCTTGAAGCTCGAGGAGCTGTTGGGCCAAGCAAACCTGGAAGTAACATTTCGCGAGCAGTCGCCTAATGAATACTACTTCTCGGAAGAGTTAGGTATGGGCTTTGCTCGGTTTCCTGAGCTGCGAGATTGGGTTTTTGCTCTCGACTTTGCTAAACGGACGGTCCGCATGTTCCATTCCTCGAGAGCTGATTGGACCAGCACGGAGCACCTGACAATCACGGCTACCAAGCCAGGTGAGGATTTAGTGATTACAGTGCATACGAAAGCGCAGTTTGAGTGGGTTCAGACGTATTTGAATTATGGGTTTCTACCGTAGCTGCAAGTGAGCGTGTAAATATCGAATAGATTGCTGGTTCGTTGGAGTCTTGCCTAACGATGACAGACGTATAACTTAATGAAGACGTCCTACCAAATTAAAATACCCCTGAATGGTGGGTGGTTGTGGTAGTTGATTTAAGGTTGGAAATGTGGCTAGTGTGGCTAGTGTGGCTAATGTGGCTTTGCAAAGGGTAAGCGTCATTTTATATTTGACGTGGTTCATCGAACTCGCTGATCATTAAGAACGCAATTAATTTGTTGATCTCAACTACCTATCTACGCAATAACTAACATCTTCGCCTCGTAACATCTCGCCCCGTAATATCTCTCCGTCACGCAATTAATGGATAAGTGACGATGGCGGGCGAGGGCCACTTCAGTCCGGTCTCCTTATCTACGTCTCTGTAGTGAAGACGAGGGATAAAAGTCAGGCCGCTAGGCTTTAGCCACTTTTCATTTTGAACGAGTTCCATCTCCAGGTCGTTGTATATAGCAAAGAAGCCGCCGCACCGTTCCACTTCGTCTTCCTTAAGGATAGCGCTCACGTCCAAGAACTCTTCTTCGTATAGGATGACATCGCGGCAAGATGAGACATCAAAGGCCATCTGAGGGGAACTTCCAAAGCAGGCGACACTGTGAAACCAGGCCCACATCAGATTTCGCAGAAATTTTTGATGCCGACCGCGGAGATGAAGGCCATGCGCGTCAGGACGCGGCTGACGTTGGTCGACACCGAACCCGAGTACGCTACCGCCAGCAGGTAGGCCGAGTGAACATCAAGTTCCTGGATGGGCTTGCACCACCTGATACAGTCGAGCACCGCCAAGCCGCGCTCTGTGGTGTGACAGGTTTCTTTGTCAGTGGCGCCATGCTCTAGGAGTCCCATGAAGCTTAGCCTTCGTATGGTCTCGGCGAAGGCGAAATCGTCGGGGGCCCTGCGGATGGGAAGACGCCAGAGCTTCGTGTCCTTCCATACCGAAAAGATCCATAGCAGGAGCCAAGGCATATCTACGTTCCAGGCCGGGCACCAAGGGTCGTCAGTCTGCGTCAGTCTATTATATTCGTCCAAGCTCATACGTACACAGATGTCTACAGGCTCGGAGACATCCGCTTTGATCGCCCAGGATAATCTGTTGCCTACTCCAACGCCTCGGTGAAGTAAATGTTTTGGCTTAAGAGCTTGTTGTTGTTTATTTTTTGCTCGAGTTGTTCCGATGCTTTATGATTTCGACTTAAAAGTTGTTGAAGGTTCTGTCGGATGCGTTAAGCTCGTGAAGGGGCGAGTTAGAATTATTGCAGAGTTAAGAGAGGGAGGGCGCTGGATCCTTTATGTCCAAGGGAAGCCGAAAAGTAGAAATAGCGACGGCGTGGTTCACAATATTTCCCGGCGCCTTTCGTGCGACGGCTCTGTTTCTCTCCGGCTCATAATGGGATGAACTGTTGAATTTGTTTGTTTGGATTTGTTTGAATTTGCTTGTAGTGTTGAAAGGTATGGAACTGGTCTTGTGTTATGGGTGTGTTGATAAATTTTGTGTGTTGATAAATTTAAAGGACTACAGGACCTTGTTTGTTTATCCAGCCTTAGGGCCTCGTTCCTTCCTTTGATGCTTCGATTGTTTCTGCCTTAGTGCTTAGCAAGTAACTCGCGACTGCCTGTAGTTGCCCACAACTGTAATCTGTCTTGGTGACGTGGATCACTCGGCAACAAAAGGTCGTGTTGTAGTATGCTTGGGAGATAGCAGTCGAGGCAATGATAAAATCTACCAGAGGTTACCCCCCGGGCAACACAAAGGCCTAATGTTTACACCGCACCACGTGTCTATGCTGTTTTTATATATTAGCGACCTGCCCCCTATTAAACTGGAAGGCACCCCTACGATAGCCCGAATTTCCAGTACCCTCGAGACCTGAGTAATAAACATATGCCTACGCATTCTATAAGGCAGAAAAATTATTTGTAAGGTAGCAAGGCATGTGTCCTAAAACCTTAGGAATTCAGGTAGTTTCTTATCACGGCTTAAGTGGTCTCTTTACGGATGCTTAACCTTTGTCCGCTACGCTTTCCCCTATCCATAGTATTAACCATGAGACTTAATTTAGTTGCTTGGCTCCTTGCTATCGAGTCTGCCATGTAGTCTATTAATTCAACGTCTCTTTTGAGCCGTAGATGTTGCTAACGAGCAATTAAAAGAAGCAGTAGAAGCCTTGAGGATATACGGCGCTGGCAAATGGGGATTCGGCACCTTGCCTACCCAGATCGAATACCTGTTGGAAATCACCGGACTAATCTGGCTGGGAAGAACAGAGCCCCGGCATCTTCCAGAGTTCTGGATAGCTTATTACAAAGCTATGGCGCAAGCACAGTCATCGCTGAAGAAAACAAGGCAGCAGAACGCGCAGAAAGCTAGAGAAGCCAAGGCGAAGAAAACAGCAGTGACGACACAGAAAGCACCAGTCACACAAATTTCTTCATCCGAGTAGTAAAGGCTTTGCCGTCTTCGTGGGCTCCTTGAGATAACCACGCGCTAAGCCGGGCGACTCGAGCAGTTCACCTACGCAGCCTATTAGGCAAGCAGGTGATGGTCGTGAGGCTCAGCCATCCAGCAACGGCTCCCCACGCCTTTGTGGTATTGTCCGACTCGAGAGTCGCATTGTCGCTCGAGGCGGACACGACCGAGCATTCGGAGGGTCCATATTCATCAACCTGACAGTGCTAGACCACGACCTATCTGCTTGAGACATGGCTTCCCCGGTGTCTTCAAAGTAGGGATATTCCCTCGGCAGGAGGCGGCCAACCGATGATGATGAGAACGTTAACGTCTATAGGCTAGGTAGCTACAGCGGCGCATCTATGGCGCTTTAGAAGTCTAGAGTACTCCCTTACATGAGGGAACTGAGCTAGAGTTTCGCTTGACATGAGAGATCCTCCACTTCCTGCCTATAGCATCCCCAGCCCCTACCTGCCTACAGCATTGCTCTACCTGGTTAGCGCCGGCGCCAGGTAGCCGACTTTGATCAGGGGGAAAACCGTCGAATGCTTATAACGGAGAGGAATCACCCTCAGCGCCCAGCATGCCCAAGGAAAAACCTGAGTCGGATCAGTTTGACCACAGTGGAGGCGGCCAACCGAAGGGGTCATCATAGCCCAAGTCGCTCCCGGGGTGCGTATCGCATCGACTAACTCTGCTGGGTTTTTCCGCACCTCGTCTTTAGCGACGCAAACACAGCCTCTGTCAGGATTGGTTGCCCTAGTGAGGTAAATCATGCATAGAGTGAATGTCTAGGGTAGGTAGACCAAGTAGTAACGCCTGGCCTTCTAACCTCTGACGAGGGCGCTCCGAGCCTCTTATATACTCGTACAGACCCCCTGTAGCCACCCTGACCCACTATACCCTGACAGCCTCCCCGAGTTAAAGTCAACGATGTAGGGGTCAAAGCAGCGTGCTGCAACACGCGAGCCGTTTCCGAGATCTGCATGGCGACGCCAAAGGAAGCCGAGCATGAAACGAAAGCGCGGTCGACGTATGCAGCATTGTTAGGGCTGACGATGGGAAGGGTGGCGACGCAGTGGACCTCAGTGATAGATTGCATAGTCGACCGCTAATGGGTAGTCTGTAGTGTCAGGTTATCTTCTAAACTCTACCGTGGGTGTGCTGGATCGAGCATGCACATAATATTAGCATACGACATGGTTCTATACCACTTACGAATTAACTTGCTAAGAATATACGTTGTCGAAGAATTGACTCTACGTAGGATATCACTAGTCTAGGGGTATCGTGAGGTGAACTGAAGAGTATGGAACAACCAACTTCGTTGTTACGCGAGGCACTCTAACCTACGGCTCGCATATACAGACAAGCTCTTTGTTCTAGATGTCTCATCTAGAGTCTCGAGGAGCCGTGATAAACTTGTCTTCTACTTCAGCGAGGTTTTACAGAGGTACCAAATTTCGGAATAGTGCAAAATCTCTAGCGATGCCCTCATCATTGTAGTGCGCCCTCCCCCTTTAAGTCGGACTTCGACTTCGCTACGCGGTCTACCCAATCCTGCGACTGGTGGGCATTCTACAGTCCGACACTGGAAGTCGATACGTCACGAGTCAGACAATAGCTTGACCTGGCTCGGGTCTGGCCTGACTTGGGTATCTTTAAGTCGAGCGCCAATCGTTTGTAGATAACCCCCTGTAGCTACCCCTGACCCACTATGCCCTGACAGCCTCTATACGGTAGCATTTAGGCCAGCGGTGACCTTAGTACGGACCGTTTGTTGAGTAGGTAGATCCTAAGGCCGTGAGGTAATACGAGAGATACCTTGACGGCGCGAGTAGCTACGATTTAAAAGGAAGCATTGCGAGACGAGGGCAGAGAGACGGTTGCTACGGCGTAAGAGTATAGTACGAGAAAAGAGAGATACGGCGGCGGCGTTGGGGCTACGGGGGAAGAGGGCTAGCGGCTTTCAGTTCGAAGAAGCTATTTAGTAAGGCCTTACCACCGAGACAAGGGCGAGGCTCCACGATTAACACGAGCTCGACGTATGAGGGTCATGGCAAGGCAGCAGCCACAACGACGGGACCTTACGACAGATGAGGCCTCAGGCTACAGCGATGAGGATGAACAGGATACGAGGCCTTACAGTTATGAGGCTATAGGGCCTGGCTAGTCGTCTTGGCTACGTTCCAGGACCCTGTTATCGCGATTACGTACGCCTAGGAGGTAGGACTTCCCCAGTCATCACCAGAGAGCTGTGTGGTTGCGGCAGGGAAGATCGAGGCCTGAAAGGGCGTACTGCCGAGGTCCTTGACGCGGTTTGAGGATAGCCAGGAGACTCCCCGGAACGGTAGCCGGTGACCCTGTGGTAGACTAGCAGAGAGCCGTGCAGTCGCTATAGGGAAGATCGGGACCTGAAAGAGTGTACTGCCGAGATTCTCGACGCGGTTCGAGGATAAGAGACATCCCAGCACGGTAGCAAGTAACGCTGCGGTAGGCTAGCGACGAGGTGGCTGTGGGAGTGCGTATCCTATTACCGATTGCGTATAAGGCAGCGAGATAGTTATGGGAGCGTGAGGGTAGAGAGGGAGCTAGTATGAACATGCAGCGCCCCTCGCAAGAGGATAGAAAGGTTAATAGACTATACGGCTACTGGTTACTCTACGTATGACATCAAGAGTTCTCTGACAGAGCGCGTACCTTACTATCGAATTGCGTGGCTATAGATGCCGAGAGCGGTATAAGAGAACCTTTCGAGAATGGCTAGTGAGGCTGTGGGGCTAGTAGCGACCACGAGGCAAGGCAGCAGTGGTGCTAGAGGCGACAAGGCAGTAGCAAGGCTAGACGAGATGGAGTGTATCCCTTCTACATGGTAGAGGCGAGGCTAGCAGTGAGGCTACGAGACGACAGCGAGGTTAACAATGAGGCTGTACAACGACAAGGTAGCTATGAGGGCGTATCTTATTCATCAATGAGGCTACGGCGAGGTAGTACCGACAACGCTAGCGAGGTCAACGATAAAGTTATAATACTATTACAGGGAATCAGAGGGCTAACTAATCTGACAAAATAGTCTAACCGGCCGGTTTCTCAACAAGGAGTTAGCAAGCAATTAGCAACATTAACAACCTCTAAGATCCACGCATCCCTCTCCTTATCTTCTTCGGTCTCCGCCTCGGACCCTTTATCGGTCCGTCGTCTTTTTCGAGGAACCCTTAGCAATTCTAAAAGTCCCTCCTCCTCCTTCTTCTTTAAAGCTTCGACTTCATCGCTAAGCTTCCTATTGGCGGCCAGCCACACCTGGGTTGCTGCTTCGGCGCGCGTCAGCGAAGAATTAGCATGGATGACCGGCCGGTTCCTTATCAATGTGTGAGCAATGTCGATGACCTCCAGGGTCCATGCACCCCTCTCCTTATCTTCTTCCGTCTCCGCCTTAAGCTCTTCGCTAGCCCGTCGTCTTTTCCGAGCCACCCCCAGCAAGTCTAATAGTCCTTCCCCTTCCTTCTTCTTTAGAGCTTCTACTTCTCCGCCAAGCTTTCTGTTAGCGGCCAGCCACATTTGGATGGCTGCTTCGGCGCGCGTGAGCGAAGAATTGGCATCGACAACTGGCCGACTCCTCATCAAGGCGTGAGCAGCGTTGACGACCTCTAAGGTCCACGCGTCTCTCTCCTTGTCCTCTTCGGTCTCCGCCTCGGACCCTTTGTCGGTCCGTCGTCTCTTTTAAGGCACCCTTAGCAAGTCTAAGAGTCCCTCCTCTTCCTTCTTCAAAGCTTTGACTTCAGCGCCAAGCTTTCGGACTGCTCCTGAAACTGCTGAGACATCTCCGAGAAAGCTTTTGACTTCTCCTCCAGCTCTTCGGTGAGGGCCTTGACTCGTTCCTCCGAATCGGTAGACTCACGAAGCGGCTCGCTGTTGGTTAGATTTCCTACAGCCGCGGCCGCTTGTCTTTCGCGACGCTCTAATTTTGAGAGTCTCTCTTCTACGTCTCTCTCTTTCTCTTCTAGTCGGGCCTCTCGTTCTTGTAAAGAACTCCGGAGGGTTGCAGCCGAGTTATTTGTCCCAGGAATCGGAGATCCCGGCATGTTGTCTCATCTATCCATGACATATGTTGAAGTACAGCCGCGGCCGCTTGTATTTCGCGACGTTCTAAGTCTCTTTCTCTTTCTTCTAATCCGGCTTCTCGTTCTTGCAAAGAACTCCGGAGGGTTGCGGCGGAGTTAATAATCTGCCCCAGGAATCGGAGATCCCGGCATGTTGCCTCGTCGACCCATGACATATGTTGAAGTAAAGCAGCCGCTTTACGATCTAACTCGGTAAAGATATGAGTCATTTCGGATAATTATATTCCGAATATAGGTTATAGGAGTAATATGAGTCGCCTTTTCCTGTAGACTGCTCCAGAGGGTGGCTGTCAGGATGTTAGATGAGACATCTGCAACAAAGAATATGTAGGAGCCTTACAGGTTAAATAGATTAGAGTTGAACAACGAAGTTGTTTTGTTTAGATTATTTCCATGTTGTTGGGGTTGTTACCATGTTGTTTAGGTTGCTCCATGTTGCTGGGGTTGCTAGCATGTTGCTTAGGTTGCTCCATGTTGTTTAGATTGTTTAGTTCCAGTGGCGGCCATGTTAACGAGCTCTCGGAACCTGGAGCTCTAGGCGTGCGGCCTCGCCTACCCATGACAGACGTTCAAGTAAAGCAGCAGCTTTGGGCATCAGAGTTATGGGCTGTCCTCAACCGTGAAAAGATGAGATATGGGTTATGTCCTCGAGCGTTCAAAGATATTCGAAGAGTTGTGGGTTATGTCCTCGTGAAAAGATGAGGCATTCGAAGAGTTATGGGTTATGTCTTCAAGTGTGAGTCACCTTTTCAAAGTTAGGTTTGTAGGATGTCAGAAAACTTAGATGGTTCTACCTGCCGCATATCCCTAGGGATCTGCGAGGGCTGTTCCTTCCCCCTTTCCCGGTGTTCAGTATGCCAACCCTCAAGTGCGAGGGAGGCGCGGTGGAGTACCTCAACAAAACTAAGGGTTAACCGATCAGTGATATGGAAAGAGCTGCCTACTAAGCTACGTATAGTGGGTTTTGTATGCAGGTAGGCTGTATTTCGAGAGGCTGCCTGGGCCGCGACTTCCTTCCAATGTTGAAAAGTACGTTGGTACTTGCTACCTACTTACAACCGTATGTAGCTACATACCTAAGGTAAGTAACATGTTCCAATAGGAGGTACCTATCAGTTCCTACCCGCGCATATTTCCATAGCAACTTACTTCTAACTTACCTCCTAACTTTCTCTTTCTAACTTTTCTCAAATCTTAATTTGACGCCCGCTCCACCTCGAAATACTAGTTACAACCCGATCATCATGGATTCCAGGGAGGTGCGTCCGGACGTTTGCGCCGAGTTGCCCATCTGCGGCAGACTCGTTAAAGAGATTGTACAAGGCCTCGACAACGGCGACACGCTCGAAGTCTTATTTCCTCTCGTCGTAGAAATGGCCAAAGAGTGGCGCGAGCAGAGCGCCGTCCCCAGCAGCAAGATCATCGAAGCCTTCGAAGACAAGGGAGAAGTCCGCAACAATCTTCGCCTCCTATTTCATACCTTACATAGGAAGACCCTCCGATCCCTACTCCTGGGTACGCTACCCCACGACCTATACGACAAAGACTCGCCCAACTGGGAAAATATTTACAGCCAGAACGGACCCGGAACTTACCTAGTGGGCATCTCGATCGAAGATCGTCGCGGAGCCTTCTTGAGTCGCAACGAGATCGAGCAGGTTGTCGATTACCTACGAGAATACAAAGCCGCCTGGGAGGCTTGGCTCGAGATAGAAATAGAGGAGTCGTTCAGCCAAGACCATCTGTCCCACGTACAGAAATCAGCTCTAAACAGAGCCCTCGCCATCGACAACGTGATGCTCCCGGAAAAGGACAAATGGCGGGTAGGAGACGACTATACGAAACCTAGATGCGCAAAGGGAAAGATTAGCAACTTGGACGAGTTCATAGCTATGCTTAGCAGGCGCGTGGACGCGCAGTTTGACGGAGAAGCCTATCAAATCGCGTGTCCTACTTACGTCGGGTGCGGCCATCGAGTTTCTTCGAGGTTACAACACAATCCCGACTACAGCAGCATGTCGCGGTCACCCAATACTCTGAAGCTGCTAATATCTTGCATACGCTACCTGGGGCTCAAGCCTATCGTGCACACTATCCCTATGGTCATGGTGTGGGAGGAGGTTCAGATCCCGCTAGCCGAGATGCTGGTGACGGTACTCGCCCAATCGCTCATCACGATCAACGGTCTTAACATTATCCAGCCCGGAATATCCTCAACCTCGAGCGATGAGGACGAGAATATCTACTTCGAGAACAAGAAGCACGTCTGGCTCGAGTGCCCGTGGCTCTTCGACAACATCAAGGAGACTTTAGCTGTTCGAAACAATAGGGACCTCTATTGCAACACTCTCGAAATACTCGAGAAAAACTTCATGTCCGAGGCCGAGTTGAGGGAATATGCGGCGAAGAACGACGAGCTCCGGGCCAAAGTCGAGGACCTCCAGACTGAGGTATACCGGATCATCGAGAAGAAACGCGCCGAGCAGGAAGAGGTACTACAGAGACTCGCCGAGATCGACAAGGTCGCCGAGGCCGCGAAAGGCATGTTTCCCGACTTGTCCTACGATGAGGAGGAGGACGACGATGACGACGACGAGGAGAATGACAACGACGACGGGCAAAGCAAAGCTGTAAGCGACTCTAATGACGACCCCGACGACTTGCTTGACATGTAAATTGCCCAAGGTAGTCACTAGGCCGCTCCCCGTGCGCCGGGACGTAGCGAAGGCTGCGTTTGATACGAATGAAGAGACTTGCCGTAGATAGTACATTAGGTAGCTTCACGAAATGATACAACGTACTCATCTGAGTCAGATCAAATATAATGTGACCGGATAATTCGACGAGTTAATTAATAGCTTCACCTGACTTGAACCTGACCTGACCTTGCCTGGGTAGACCGTAAATATATTTTTGTGTCACAATTACGTACATTAAGGATGTATATGTTTGACGATATGTGATTGGTGTATTTCCTGTGACTGACGTAGCTAAGGTTGTGGCTTCAGGACATTTAAGCCAGTCCAAAGATGTGACCAGGTAAGCCTCGTAAGCCAATATACCTGACCTGAGTTGTAGGCGGTCAAGTCTACACGGTTCTTTGACTTGACTTGACTTATCGAACTCGCTGAATGATGCTCACCTGGCCGTATCATATTGTTGTTGTCGTTGTATATTTAACGCCGAGGGTACGAAGTGCCAGGCCTCCCTTGGGGCATGCGGCGTGTGGAGCTATCTAGGTCTATATACACGGTATGTCCCTGATATCCCACAGATCAAACCCGAAGGCATACTATATTCAAACCGTTTCCGTTTGCCCCGCCTTTTGGGCTCGTGCTCGGCATTTTGGGTGTTCGTAGTTGATCCCTTTACGGGAGAGCAAGCCAGGATTCAGATACAATGCTGTAGGAAGCAGTTCTAGTTCCCTGAGGTGCGTTCGCGCCCTGTTCGGGGCTGGTGACCTAGTTCGGTATAACTCTGACGGGAGCATAAAGTTTACCAGCCGCAAGGACACCCAATGCAAGCTTCACAGCCAAAGAATAGCATTCACTTCCCGATGCATCCTCGGGAGCGTTGCCGTTGAGGTTATCGAGCCAGAGGCCCGCCAGCGAAGTCAAAGTCTAATTGCTGTCTAGGATGAGAGCTATGGGAGAAATTGATGTGCGAGAGGATCGTGACAATAACTTTCGGATGAGGTGGCAATCCAATTGCAAATACTGCAGGGTTGGCTGATGTTCCCTCGTATGATCCCTACTGTCTTTATTCCTGACGACGAGCTACCGACCATCTCAAAGATAGTGGAAACGGGGGCTCTCCTCTCAACGCTGTCCAGAACACCCAGTGCGGATGAAATAGATCGCGGCACACAAGCACTAACGGACCTGCTCACGAACGCGCTAACGGCAGCCGACAGCTCGCCGAGCGGCAGGGGCCACAGCGCACCCTGGTGGAACGAAGACTGCAAAGGCGCTCAACGAGATGAGGCGCACACAGCTGAGGGATGGCTTCCCATCGACAGCGGAAAGACCAGAACTGCACAGGGTAGTACGCCTTGCGAAGCGCTACCGGAGAGGCAGAGCGGAGGACATTGAGAATGATGTCGAGCTATACAAAGTGGTAAGCTGGCACAAGCTCGGCCCGGCGATCAAAGCCCCCCTACTCCTGGTGGATGGTACGGTAGAGAGAACTAGCGACAAAGCGCAGGCCCTCCGGAGAGGCCTTCTCGAGAGATTCACACCGGACGACGACCTACCAGTAGTCCCTAGAAAAATACTAGAGTGGGACACCACAGTCACACTGGAGGAGGTGGAAGCGACCACGATCTCCAAGAACACTGCCCCTGGCATAGAAAATCTCTCGGTACGCCTCCTGAAAGCGGTGCGGGACCACATCGCGGAATACGTACGGGCCGTCTTCCAAGCTAGCCTGGGGGCCGGGCACCACCCCGAGCCCTTCAGAACAGCCGAGGTGGTGATGCTACCGAAGGTGAATAAGTCACGGCCCCCCATAGCGCTCCTATCGTGCTTGAGCAAAGGCCTGGAAAGACTCGTCGCGAGAAGGATATGGCGCATAGCCCTCCACGAAATAGTCAGCCCGCAACAAGCAGGGGCTCTCCCGAGCGCTCCGCGACAGACCTCACAACGTGCCTAGCGCACGACATGGAATACGCCCTCGAAACTCGCAGAACGGCGACCATGGCTACCCTAAATGTACAGGGCGCCTTCGACTCGGTCCTCGGCAAACGCCTTGCCGTACGCCTACGACAACAAGGATGGCCGCCGCTCGTGGTGAAATACGCATCCTTCACGACCAAGCGCCAGGCCGGGGTACGGCTCGAAGACGCTGTTACAGGCCTCTTCGACGTACGGTGTGGGCTCCCACAGGGGTCCCAGCCTCCCCTATCCTCTTCTTGCTTTACATGGCCGACGTGCTTCTAGACGACCCCCGATGCCGTTTCGGCTACGCTGACGACCTATGCGTCCTCCGGGTGGGGTTCTCTACACGAGAACGTAGTGCAGCTCGAAGACGACATCAGACAGATACTCAGCTGGGGTAGGGATAAAGTCGTCTTCGCCCCCCGCTAAACTTATGCACTTCACCAGAATCAGACACAACAATGCCCCGAATGTTCACATACCCGAGTCAGCTGACCCGAGTTCGACTTCACCATTCGCCAAGTACGGGACAACAAAGGAAAGAACGCGCCCGTACGATGGCTAGGTGTCTGGTTGACCGGAAGTTCAGCTTCCAACACATCTCCACCCTAGCAGGCAAAACCAGGCGAGTGGTGCAACACTGAGTTCGGCCCCCCAACAGAATCACTCCGCAAGGCGGTAGCCGCACGCATTCTGCCGGTTGTCACGTACGGAGCAAAGGCATAATACGCAGGGAAGACCACGAACAATGCCCAGGCCAAAGGTAAGAGGTCGGCACCAGACAAAACTTTCACGTCACAGAAGTTGGCAGGGTCCTGAACGGTGCCATAAGGGCCATACTCCCCATATGGAGGACGACCCCAAAGGACGCCATCTACAGAGACGCCGGGCTATCCACAGCAGAGATAGCCCTCGATAAGATCCGAAAACGGTTGGCCTTTAGGCTTAGAGCGGTCGACGAGCGACATCCCATGGTAGATTAACCCCGAAGCCCGCGACACGCGGACGCAACATCGGAGGCCTCATTAGGGCACGCATGCGAATGTAGCGTGCAGCGGACTTGCTCCCCCCTGTCAGAGGCTGCCTTTGGTATATCACCACTACGGAGTGACAGGTGACTAGCTGGTGAATAGCTCATATTTCGGAATCCTACTAACGCCTGCCCTCTCCTAAATCTAAGAGGGAACCAAGGTCCCCTTACATGCAACATAGTGAATGACTAGCTGGTAATCCTTGTCATCTGACACCCCCTTCCTCTGACCGAAACTCCTGATGCAGTGATATGCGCCAGGCTCCAGGAATCACCCACCGGAGGGCAATATAAGGAGGATGCAGCCAAGGCCTTCCGGGCACGGCTACGCACCCTCGACACGCACACCGTAGTCTACTCGGATGGCTCGCAACTAGAGGGCCGCACGGGATATGGCTACGTCCTGTACAGGGGCCGACACAACACTAGACACGGCTGCGGCAGACTGCAACAGGCGGAGGTCTTCGATGGAGAGGCGGGAGCTAGACACGGGCTTCGAGCAGCTTTAAGGAATAACGGACACTCGATATACGTGTGCCTAGATAATACGGCGGTAAAGGGGAACCACCCCGAGCTTCCAGGAGGCTTTCTTAGATTCACACTCGTAGACGTTAGGGTACGCTGGGTTTTTGGCCGTGCCGGGGTTGCAGGAAACGAACAGGCCGACGAATTGGCCAAACAAGGCACCACAGTCCCAGAGAATCCGGACGAGGCCCCGACGTACGCCGCAGTGCTCTCCCAATGCCGCGCCAAGACGGCCACTGTCAGTATTAGATGCCCTAGTGAGGTGAATCATGCATAGAGTGAATGTCTAGGGTAGGTAGACCAAGTAGTAATTGTATTGAACTTAGTAACGCCTGGCCTTCTAACCTGACGAGGGCGCTTCGCGCCTCTTATACTCGTATAGACCCCCCCCTGTAGCCACCCTGACCCACTATACCCGGACAGCCACGGACTTCCCAAACTGGTGGGCCAACAAGGCCAAACCCCCGGACCTATATCGACTTCTCCAGCTACCAGCCAAGCTCAAGCGCCCACAGGAACTAAGGCTGCCGAGGAAGGTGTTGCACCTCCTGGCCGCCTGCTCCGGATACGGGGACTTTGTATGGTAACTGTTAAAATTAGACGCAGGTGATGAGGTATGTGTGTGTTGTATTGTCATGCTATCTACTAGAGAACTGGGTAGGCATATCAAGTATATGAGCCACGGGTATGGGGCGTATTACCAGCCTCCTGATTTATCAGTCTTACTCATTCCAGCAGTAACCACCTAGATGCTAAGCTAGACTGCACCTGCGGTAGAGCCAAGGTACCAAGCCACCTGGTACTCTGCAGGAAGACCCAGGAGCCCGATAAAACGGAAATGGCCTACTTTCAGGCCCGCACCGGCAATCCAGATTATACTGGCAAAGACTCCTGGTAGAATATACGACGCCTGACGGCGTACTGCGCGGTAGAAGCGCCCCGAAACCATGCCCGACAGCCGAACCGCGATGGGACGGTGTCTACGGCTAGGATAGACCTCACACCCTCGAATGTGTGATACAGAACGGCTTATAAGCGAACCAACGGCGCCTTAGTAGGCGACCAACTTTGCACCGAACACGAGCTCACCCGGAGGAGCCACGGGAGCGGCTGGAACATCACGTATGCCTTAAGGACCAATATGCATATAGACAGGTACCTTGTATATTAGTTTTTAGATAGCTCTGCACGCCGCATACCCCTAGGGAGGTCTGCGAGGGCTGGTCCTTCCCCTTGTCCCGCCGTTAGATATACCAACCAACCAACCAACCTCTCTACCTTTCCCCTGGCTCCGTCAGGAAAATGCGCGCGGCGCTCTCTGCGGAAGAGCAGAAACGTCGCGATGCCGTCTTCGAGGCCATGATGGACGAGACAGGCTACGAAAAGGCCTTTCTCGAAAGCTTCTTCAAGAGGAGCGAAGCGAAAATCGCTTCATCTCCAGCGAGTTCGACGAGGCAATTAATAGCTTGACCTAACTTGGACTTGACTTGACTTGGCTTAAGTATGTGATTGTGGCTAGCGTGGCTAAGGCTGTGGCTTTATAGGGGCATTCAAAT